AGGACAATCGGATCATCGTCATAATGGTGAGTATTGGTGCGACGGTTGTTATGAGGTCACGCGCGGAGGGAAGCGGCCGGTTCCCGTCCGGAGTTCGTCACAGGAAACAGCAAGTCGTACTTTTCCTGTTGCATCTGCGTAGTTTCCCTCCAAAAACTCGAGCCTCGGCTTTTGCCTTTTTTTTTTATTGCTTCTTCGGCGGCCCGGGGCTGATCCAAAAGCAACATGTCGACTGTTCCTATGTAACGATTTAAAAATAATACCATTTTTAGAAATGCCTTAAAGGAAAGCTCCTCAGAGCGCTTCGGTGGGGGGAATCCTGCGGGGGACGGTTAACTCTTTCCATGTGTCGTGTCAGCGGGGCCCTACTTTCTGGGGCGGTGCTGATGTGGCTTCCGCAGGCCGCGCGCGTGTGTTTTTTTTTTTTACTTTTCTATTCCTGCCGGCCTGCGCCATCGGGCCGAAAGCTGCTGCGTGTCTGCAGCGTCACACCTGAAGCCCAAAACCAGTCTGAGGCCTGTGTTTTAACATGAGGTCAGACATGTGATTATTTAAACCCCTGAAGCCCTGGATCAACCTTTTTTTTTTCTCCCCCCTTCAGCAGCTTACATTAATTCTTCAGCCCTTTCACCCTTTTAAACTTTGTTCCCCGCGTGGGAGCAAACAAGTGCGTGTGTCGCAACGTCTGAGGGCCCAAAGCCGACAGCAGTTGAGATGTGACACTTCCTGCTAGTGACTCAACACGGAAGAGCGTTTTTAAAAAGTCACTTCACTTTAGTGACGCACGTTGAGATTAAGGGCTCATTGTGTGTCAAAACCTCACGTTAGAGGGCGAGAAGACGAAGCCACGCGCGCCCCCCTTAACTTAAAGTTCACTAGTTGTCAAACTAAAGCGACTCCCCAACACAAAGCCCCTCTTGTCAGCTGTCCCGTGTTTCTACGCCGCGACGTCATCTGTGACGTAGTTTCAGGGCGAGATACCGGAAGTGGACTGTCCCGCACACACGCCCCTGACGCCCTGTTGCGGGTTCACGCGCACGAAACCGTAAAAAGGAAGCTTCTTTCTGCGTCGTTTTTATTCTGCAGGTGAAGCGCGTGAGTTCCGCAGTGCGCGCGCGCGGGAATGGCGCTGTGTGCGCAGCTTCCACTCAGAATAGCTGGCAGCTCCCATGCGGCGGCCCCCCTCCGCATCACGAGCTATTTAGGGAGGGAGGGGGGGGGGGCGTGCAGATTTCAAAACAAAAGCACACCATAAAACCAAAACCAAGTTATGTGGTCACCGTTTGGGTGGAGATGACCTAGCTGCTCTAATCACCTCACCCATAGCCGCTTATCAACCATCGAATTACTTTTGGCAGAAATCTTATCTTTCTGAAAAACTGCTGATTCATTCAGCCAACTGCAAGACATTCTCTATCAGAGGACATAATGCAGAATAAAGCATACATCTGATAGGATAAAGAACTTAAAGTTAAAATTGCATTTAGCTCACAGGTGTCCTCAGCAAACCGTTTCTCAGAAGGGGACGTGGCTAAATGCAGATAAAGTAGGTCGCCCACATGAAACCGGTATGAAAGTCTCCTCCCAAAGCGCCCAGGAGAACCTGTCGAGCTGCTCCGTCAGAGAGAGGCCGCCATCGCGGGAATTTCACAACCACGGGATTATTTCACCGGCCCACGTGTTCCTGTTTTAAAAGGAGGCAGAGGTCATCTGCTGCCCCATAGCTCACTCGCTAACATGCTAATGTTTCTCACACGGCGCTTGCGTGGCTTTAACCTTCCGAAGGGCCACTTGGCACAAATAGACCTACTGTGTTCCATAAGCTCCCTCAGGCCCAATCTCTCTTCCAAATGATGTGACCAGACATGCTTCAGTCAGCCTGCGCCCTCTGCTCCACCCACGTCATCTACACGTCCCCACAAATACCTCTGCAGGGAGTGGAGGCCCTTTGGCCCCCTTAGAGTCGATGACGAGTACATGCTAATGACCTCTCCCCTCTTATTTAGACCGCTGACTGCGGAGGTGTCATGGCGGCGTAAACGTCTGACCTGATAGGTCGAGGCCACCAAATAGTGTGGTGAAAATGAGGTGGCAGCGCATGTTGATCCGTGACTTGACGCGATCCGCTCTGATTTGCATAAAGAGAACCGGTTTAATTTCTGTGTAGCTTCCGATCCCTTTCATCATTTCAGTTTGGAGTCCTTAATGGAAAACATTTCTCCTCCTCCAGCGAGAGTGTATCTCTGTCCACGTTGGCCAGGCGGGTGTCCAGATGGGCAACACCTGCTGGGAGCTGTACTGTCTGGAGCACGGCATCCAGCCCGACGGGCAGATGCCCAGCGAGAAGCCCAAAGGGGGCTACGACGACTCCTTCACCACCTTCTTCAGCGAGACCGGCAACGGGAAGTACGTCCCCAGGGCCATCTTCGTGGACCTGGAGCCCACTGTGATCGGTGAGGATCTGTGACGTCACGTCGTTTACATGTCGGGCCCATTCAAGCTTTGTTGGCCGCGCCCACTTCAGTTTTTAAGTTAGTTTCTCAGTTCAGTATCCACCGTAAACGTCCGCCTCTCCCCCCGCAGACGAGGTTCGTACAGGAACGTATCGACAGCTTTTCCACCCCGAGCAGCTCATCTCCGGGAAGGAGGACGCCGCCAACAACTACGCCCGCGGTCACTACACCGTGGGGAAGGAGCACATCGACAACGTACTCGACAGGATCCGCAAACTGGTACGAAAAAGATCCTAAAACGTATCTGGTCCCCCCAGAGGGTGTCGCCTGTATGTCGCGCTCTCTATAACCTTTTGTTTAAAACCCTCTAATGGTAACGACCTCTTCCCAGTCTGACCAGTGCACGGGACTGCAAGGGTTCCTGATCTTCCACTCCTTCGGAGGAGGAACCGGCTCCGGCTTCACCTCCCTCCTGATGGAGCGCCTCTCTGTAGATTTTGGCAAGAAGTCCAAGCTGGAGTTCGCCATCTACCCAGCCCCCCAGGTGTCCACCGCCGTGGTGGAGCCCTACAACTCCATCCTGACCACCCACACCACCCTGGAGCACTCCGACTGCGCCTTCATGGTGGACAACGAGGCCATCTACGACATCTGCCGCAGGAACCTGGACATCGAGCGTCCCAGCTACACCAACCTGAATCGGCTCATCAGCCAGATCGTCTCCTCCATCACCGCCTCCCTGCGCTTCGACGGCGCCCTGAACGTGGACCTGACCGAGTTCCAGACCAACCTGGTGCCCTACCCCCGCATCCACTTCCCCCTGGCCACCTACGCCCCGGTCATCTCGGCCGAGCGGGCCTACCACGAGCAGATCACGGTGGCCGAGATCACCAACGCCTGCTTCGAGCCGGCCAATCAGATGGTGAAGTGCGACCCCCGCCACGGCAAGTACATGGCCTGCTGCCTGCTGTACCGCGGCGACGTGGTGCCCAAGGACGTCAACTCCGCCATCAGCAACATCAAAACCAAGCGCAGCATCCAGTTCGTGGACTGGTGCCCCACCGGCTTCAAGGTGGGCATCAACTACCAGCCCCCCACCGTGGTGCCCGGGGGCGACCTGGCCAAGGTGCAGCGGGCCGTGTGCATGCTGAGCAACACCACGGCCATCGCCGAGGCCTGGGCGCGACTCGACCACAAGTTCGACCTGATGTACGCCAAGAGGGCCTTCGTCCACTGGTACGTGGGGGAGGGGATGGAGGAGGGGGAGTTCTCGGAGGCCAGGGAGGACATGGCCGCCCTGGAGAAGGATTACGAAGAGGTGGGCATGGACTCATTTGAAGAAGATGAAGAGGGCGAAGAGTATTGAGGAAAAACAAAGCAGAGGTGTATTGTTTATAAATTGAGCCGTTTTTAAAGAAAGGGGTAAAGTTCTCGCTCAATCCAACAGTTCATGATTCAAAGTCTCCTCCAGAAGCATGCCGAGTGTCAATGTTCAGTTTGCTTGTACGTAAAACTCAATAAACACTAATGTTACTGCTGGGCAGTGTGTCTGCGCTCAATCCCACGGCGTTCAAGAAATGACTCCGATGGGAGAGATGTGCCTTTACATCCTTTTCTAAATAAAGCTGTTGAGACCAACTTTTCCTGACTCAAGAATAACATCTGATTTTAATTAATGTCTACGCTGTGTTGGCGATTAAGATTTTGCAATATGAAGGTAGGAAATTGTAATTGACGGCGCTCCTTAATTATTAAACCTTGGATTAAAATGCATTGTGCCAATTAAATGACTAAATTAAGAAATCAATGACATCTTGCACATTTTTTTATTTTGAATCATTTTAACGACACCTTGGAGCACAAATATGAAGCATCTGCATGTTCACATTCAAATAAAACAATTTAAGCAGCGGTGACTTTCTACCACACAAATCTCCCGTGCTTTTACTTTTGAACGTGTGGGTGTTTCACCAGCAGATGGCAGCACAGCTTCACCAGTGAGGAAGATCACGTGCACAATATTCCAAAACACAACCGGTGGTTATACCAACAACTTGTTTTCTGCGTACCACTAGTTCAATAAGCAGAATTACTGCAAAAGCTCATTTAAAAACCTTTATAGATTCACCAGAGACCGACCCCTCTGGACTTCCTCAGAGGAAGGGGGCTTCATTCTGGCTCTTTAATTGCTTTGCTGTAATTGAGGCTGAATGAGCAGCGTGGACGGGGATTTGCAGATGGGAAGATGAATAGTTCGTTAAACTCTCCACAAACCCAGATGGAAACTTTAACCAGCAACGCGGTTTAAATGGGACTCGATGTCACGATGCGCAGACGCGCGTTACTTTGAGGGTGTTGCATCACCAGCCGGAGAGCAGCCGTATCCAAGGCTACCCACGGCGTTGGCATGGCAACCGGTAGCCATTCAACGGGGGATGATGAGGATTTCTTCTCTCCGCTCGTGCGTTGAAGGAAGTTTGAAAGTCAAAGTAGGATGTCGGACACAGAGGACAATCGTTTTTCAAGGTACCAAGAGAACACTCCAGATAACTCCTCCAGAATCACATTTTTATTAACAAATTAGGACACATAAGTTCACGGAACACATGATATATGTGTGTTTTGTGAAAAAAGGAACATTAAGTGGTTTAAAAACATTTTTGCGACCAGTAGAAAGTATAAAAAGGGAGAATAGGAACCAGCAACTAATAAAACATCCACTGACCACAGACGAACTCCAAAGCAAACTCACGTGAAGAACGAAAGGGACTATTTCGTGCTGTGGGACAACTTACATCTGACTTATCCCCATTCAGCTGAATCCCAAAAGAATGATTCAAAAAACAAATCGATTTAACACTAAGCGTGATAAATAAGTACACGTGTTTAGCACTATCTCTCTCTAATTTAAAGCTTAAAGTCTTTGCAAAATAAATACACAACACTTAATATGACAAACTGCTTTTCAAACGTTCCCCGTGTGAAAGAGTCGCACTGCCTCTCAGAAGCAGAATCAGAGAGATAAATTACAACGTGGGAGCATCTTATGTCATCTTTACTTTGATTTTTGCGTATTTAGGCATGAATATGAATGCCGTTACTTGTCGAAAATAGCACAAATTAAGGCTCCAGTAGATTTTGTGAGCGATTTGAATTGAGCCTCCAAACATCCCCCCACATTATGTAGCATTTTGAGAGCGAGATGCGATATTTCAGGTACTCAGAACCACTTTAGCTCTTAGAAACGAAGTCTGAAATGTCGAGGAGGAGGAGCTTGTTTTGGCCATCACGTGTTGTGCTACCGGCATAAAAACACACGCACGCTCCAGTCTACCAGGGACACGCACGGGGCGCCTCTCACGCGTCGTCCTCGTGCTGCTGGCGGTCCAGCGAGGACGCCGAGTCGAGCAGACATCCGCTGAAGTAGTTAATTAAGGATTGAGTCAGCTGGATGTGGCTGCGCGTGGACAGGAAGTGTCCCTCGTCCGGGTAGATCTGCCCACAGAGGAGAGACGTGAAAACACCACGAGATGCGTTTTGGGTTCAAAATGCCCGTTTGTCCTCTTATTGGGACTCGGGATCTCCAGCCTGCACGTACGCGATGAGGATGGAGCTTCCTACCTGCATGGTGTAGTTGGCTCCGATCCTGATCAAGTGTTTGATGAGCTCTGCCGAGTGCTGGAAGTGGACGTTTGCTGTGGACAAAACAAACAGCTGATGAGCGTCCGCGGGGTTGGGGGGGGGGGGGGTGCATTGGGGGGGGGGGGGTGCCTACCATTCGCTTGTGCCTGAGGCCAGGAACAGAGTTCCTCCCTGCAGGCCCTTCATGTCGCTCAGGACTCTGGATGCCTGCAAGACACGAGTTTTTGTTTCATCAATACATCATTTCCTCTTGTCTTCCTGCGGTTGCTAAGCTAGCTGGCACAGTGTGGAGGGGGGGGGGGGGGGTGGACACGCATTTCATACATTTCATTTTTCACCATTTTTTCTTTTCCCCACGGCAACGAGAAGCCAGATTGAATTTTATTGCTCGGGGGAGAGCGAGCAGTCGCTGCTTTATTAGAGGACATCGCAGCCTCATCATTCACTCGCTCGGCCCGGGATTCAATCCAGGGAGATTTTCCGTGGACATTTAATAACACGTCTGCTTGTCTTTCAGTCCCGGGCGACGTGCCGCCGATTATTGTCTGATCATATCGCGCCGCACATCTTCCTCCTGCTGAGACAGTCGCGGAAATGGCCGTCCCAGTTAGAACGCAGCCCAGGAAGAACACTGTGCGACCTTCGCGTAGAGGACGATCGCCGCGTTGTTTTTCAGGAGGATTTGGGCCCCGAGAGGCTCGGAGACACGTTTGCTGTTATTTATCTTTTAGTTGATCGAAGCAGAATGCGTTTTTCGTTCAGAGCTGTGTGACCTTTGCCTTAAACAAGAGAGATTGTGTGGAAAGAAAAGTTATATTTGAAGTAAAACATTACTTTAATTGTAGTATTTTAATGAGCAATCAACACTTGAGGCTCCATTGAAGTCTGGAGTTAAAATCAATTCTGTTGGCAAAAACTAATTTCTCCAAATCTGTGGTAAAAAAAGGTCACAAATTAACCTGAAGGGCCTCAAGATGGTTTACAGTCAGATACCAACGGTATCTATTCGTGAATGCTGCAAATGAGTCAGAATGAGAAATTCGCCGACATAATTGACCCATTAATACGAGCGATGGTACAAGTGGTCTGATTGAATGAAGTTAAATGCCAGTAAAAAAGGTCAAAACAATTCAAATTCTTTTTCCCATTGTTTCTGTTCATCAGCAATGATAAATGAAGTGCAAATCGGTTTGTAATCACAAATAAACAGAATTGTGTTGGCTTGCTGATGTGTCAGATTCAATCATTTCATGCTGCCTCAGCAACCTCTTTTTTCCCTGCAATTTACATATCTTGAAAATAAACAGCATATAATCCCAGCAGATAACAGATGCATGATGGGTAAAAGCAGCTCACTTGGTACGAGTTCTCCTCAGTTGAAGGCGATCCGAGGTATCGCTCCGAAAACGCAGACGCTGGAAAAGAAAGGAAAAGTTTAAAAGACACATGTGAAGCTTTAATCTCCTCACAGAGCAGCGCGGCTCCTCCACAGCTTTTCATCCTCTAAACTCAGTAAGTCGGAATCCCCGAAAGCGGAACCTGCAGATAATTAAAGCCCCGTTAGCCAGACGGCTCATAGGAAGGAGACGTCAGCAGTAATGTGGACCCCCCCCCCCAGGTTCTATCCGCTCACCGTACATGGACCAGTCGGTGACGGGAGCCTGAGCCGCAGCGCATCCGATCAGCTCCACCGTGGACTTGAGCATCGTGAGCGCGAGGAAGCCGCCGTAGTCCTGATGGAGGAGGAAGAAACTGTTTTATCCTCATCTTCAGCCGCCCCCCCCCCCCACACACAATTTCAAAAGACATCAGCAATGTTTAGTTTCCACGCCGCAGCGAGTGTAATTATTTAACAAATTGAATTTGGGCTTTTATCAGGTTATTAAGCATTTCTAGAAATTGGTTTGTAGCACCTCCCATCGGTGTTTTATTAAAAATGGTGTGTGTATATATATATATATATATAGATGAAGAAGAAACCTAAGCTCAGATGATGGGCCATGGTGCCATCATCGTCCCTTGTTGGAGGTGAAGGACGATGAGATAACGGGGATTAAATGAGGATCCAGTGCTTCGTGCTGCGTGTGAAACACCTGCATTGACGCACAGACCGTTTCGAGCTGGCGAGCGGCCTCGTAACTCAACAAAGACCAACCTCTCCGAAGACGCCCACGCGAGTGCGGTCGATGAAGGGCAGCTTGGACAGGTATCTGAAGGGGGAAAGAGAAGCCTCTAGTCCAACAGCGAGAAGGTCAAAAGGTCACGGGCGCATGCGAGAGAGAATGGAAATACCATGAACACAGCGTGTGTCCTACGCATGTACGCCGTGTTCCAAGTCAAGGATTCCGTTTGAAAAGACTCCCCGTCGAGTGTTAAATCTCAACGTGCGACCGCAGGAGGAAATAATAAATGTTAATAAATGTTTGTTCAAGCGTTCCTTCTTCTGAATTAAACAACCCGTCTTAACAAAAGCACGCAGCATTATTCTCAGGAGGGACCGATCTTAAAAGCCGGGAGCGTGAATTCAAGTCCAGGACTCGTGACTCACTCCAGAGCTGCTATCTGGTCGTCTGCGTCCACGGAGCCGAGCCGCCGGTGGACCTGCTGCGCAACCCTGAGAAGCGACAAGGACATTTAAAGGCATTTACTCAACCCGGACGGAGCGGGGAACGAGCCCGAGCGCCCGTGCGGACGTCCGGTACCTTTGACCTCTGGACCCTGACCCTCTGCCGTCCAGCCGCGCCACAACGACCTGGTCCGACCCCGCCAGCACCGAGGCCCAGTCCAGCCCGAACTCCTCCGTCACCGCCTGGCCGCCCGGCGAGCCGATGCTGCGGAGGAGCAAGTTGTGTGAAATCTAAACCCGGGAAACCCCGCCCTACATTTTGCATGTTCTCCTCTTCCATCTCCACCTGTGACCTAAAGCGTGACGCGTGGTCTGGGTTTAAGAGGAGGGTCCTCCGGAGCGCAGTGGAAATGGTGGAAAGATGTAAATGCAATGAAGGGTTATGGCTCACACAACGAGCAGGAGGCCGTAGAGGAAGGACTCGGTGAAGTCGGGAGGATAGATGAGCTTCAGCGGCAGCTCTGTGAGGACGAGACGGAGACGTTAAGCTGAAGGAACGGACGGGTCCGAGCGGGACAGAGATGCAGGCGCACTGAGGCCGTCTTATACCAAAGTCATCGTTAGAGATCGTCCGGATTTCAGTCTGAATCCTCTTTTTGGCCTCCAGCGCCGACCGCAGGGGGAGGTTGTTCTCCAAGATGAAATACGCTGTGAGAATGCAACCATTTAAATGTGGAAATCTGCTAAAGTACAAGAAACTAAAGCGCATCAGCATGTGCAGTTTATGCAAAGGGATTGTTAAGCCTACAGAGGTAAATACAAACAATATACAACATAGTTCACATGAAATATTCAGCGCTTCATCCGGAGGCTGCAGCATTGAAAGGGCACGACTTTTGTTTTATACACAGAAGTAAACAGGAACATGCTTTGCATGACCTGAAGGACTACACAGGCCTCATTTACGTCTTTCCAAAGAGATTTCTCCTTTCTTTCGCGGTGAAAAAAACAAAACACAACTGTGAATATTTAAAATGTGATATAAAAAAAGCAACTCTGACATTGAAACTCCTTTGTATTACTTCAAAAGCAAAAGCACATGTGCCCGCTCACACAAACTGAGAATAAATCAACTCACAGTCCACATCGTCCAGACTCAGAAGCAGCACCGCTGGAACTCCCGGACCTGCGATGAAGACAACATCTAGTGCCGATAGCGCCGATACCTCTACATCCTGTTTGGCATCATTACGGCCTTCTCCTCTCTGACCTTTGCAGTGCAGGACGGCGTGCTGCGCGTCGGGGTTGATGTCGGCGGCAAAGAACAAGCAGCCCTCCTTCAGTCCGCAGGTGAGGCATCGCCGTGGAAACAGGCCCAGGGTGGACACGCTGCGAGAGGACGGAGACAACGACGTGAACGGGTGGAGGAGGGGGGGGGGAGGCGGAGGGGAGGCGGAGGGGGGCATTGTGCAAACGACGAAGAACAAAAAGTGTTTTACCTGTAGACGTGTCTTTGTTCTGCAGCGTCTTCTGTGCTCAGAAAGTATCTGTGTGACAGGAGAGCGGAGCAGCTTTAGAACGAGGTCAGAGGTCAGAGGTCCACCGCCTTATTATCACCCTACTCTGGTGTTCTCTGGGAGCAATGAGCCCGCAGGTTCACGGGGGGCGACTAAAAGAGGAATCTCAGCGCCAAACTAATATTTAGGCGCCTGGATGAGACGTTTACGGAATTATTTGAGAATGAAGACCTACATGATCTGGTTGTTTTCGTCGTAGGCCAAGAGCTCCGTCACCTCCCAGTCTCCAGACGTCAGGTGTCGGACTTCGTCCTGATCACCTCGGAGCTGAAAGAGGAATTGGGAAGGGCAGGAAAAACACCCCCCACCCGGTGGAATACTTCAACAGGCCGCGGGGGACTCACCTTCCTGGAGAACATGGTGACGTGGTGGAAGTCGCCCTGGCCTCCTTGTTTCACGGGCAGAGACAGAAAGAACCTGCTCCTGTCCCTGGAGAACAGCGGCTCCTGTGTCTGCAGGGACAACCAGGGGACACGCACTTTAGCCGCGGGGGGCTTTCCACTGTTCCAACCCCCCCCCTATTAGAAATGAGGTTTCACCTGCATGGAGAGCCAGGTCTCAGAAGAGTCCCCGTGTCGCTGTGTTCAACAGACAGAAAGGGAAGTTCACGCTCATGAAGCAGCAGGTGTGATCTCGAAAAAGGTGTCGCCGTCGATGTCGATACCCACCGGCTTACAGGCGCCGATGGTGGCGTCGCACTCCGTCAGCAGTGATGCATTCTGGGGCCGGTTGACCCAGCGCACCGCCAGGTGAGTGTTGCTGATCCACGTCACCATGGTGACGTAGAAATCCCTGCACCAAAAGTGGACAGTCACCCTGTGGCTTTGTGTGCATCACTGCTGTGTGTGCGTGTGTGCGTGTGCGCGTCTCACCTGAGCAGATCAGGAGGCTGCAGTTCTTGCGTGTGCGTCGCTCCGAACAGGTTGACCACTGACAGCTTGACGGTGGGGTTTTTCTGACCGGCCTGCAAGACGGAGAAGCAATTATTAAATATGTGAGGATACGAATAATATTTCCACCTGCAGCAGCTCAAACAAAAGCTTCTGCAGATGTTTGCCAAACACAGCGAAAGATATTTGTCCTTCCCCAGAGCATGGACTCGTTTTTTTTTCTTCTATTAATAAGCAGCAACACTTCATTTTGCAGGTGAAAATGTAATTTCATGTCTGAATGTATTCCTTATTTTGCTTTGAGGTTTTCCACAGGAAGAACTAGTAATTTGGTACAATTCATCTGGATTGAAATGGGTCTCGATAAGAAAGAAAAAAAAACTCCATTTGTACCCAAATAAATTGGAAGTCTTGAACACTTTCCTTTCACCAAATCAGAGAAAAACCCTTCAGCTCTGTAATGGGGAACTGGTGGATGTCTTTGCTCTGCCTGCTGCGGCGAGTCATTTATGAAGGAAACAACTTCAACGGCTTCATTTCCCACAACCCCCCCCGGCGCGGCGGGCTGACCACAGGATACGGGTACTGCAGTCCTCTGGGGTAGGTGTTGCCGGTGAACTGGGGCAGCACCATGCTGGGCACCAGGGAGTCGTTGATGGTGAGGAAAGCCAGCCGCTCTCCGTCGGGCGACCACCAGTGAGCCAAGTGGGAGCGCAGGATCTCCTCTGAGGGCACCAACACGAACCATCAGCTCACAGGCGCTATAACGACTAACAGACTTTCATTGATTCATTGAATTACAGATGTGCTGGTTCTCTGCCTCTGCAGTGCTGTTGGACATCTCATTTTGCTGTTGAGATGCTTCTTTGGGAGACACACAAATGCTTAAAACGGATCGATTAAAAAGAAACAGATGAAACACTTTTGGTTCCTTTCTTTGTAAAACGTCGAGCCAAACGGCCGCAGTGTGAAACAAATGCTAATTAAAAGGGAGAGAGCAACAAGCGCAGTAAGCAGAAATGATTCCATAGCGTCCCGCAGTCTGTTTGTGCAGAGTCCATCAGAACTTTACCGAGTCTGTTTGCACGGCGACTTAATGGATCCAAGAGGCTCCATTCTGCGGAGTTTGTCTCTTCTGCTGCGCCGCAGTTCTTTGAAATGAAATATTTTACAGTGTGCTCTCAGAAGCACCTCGACCGTCCGATCTCCCGAAAGTCATCATCATCTTATTAGTTAATCATCGGATTACTACACGGTTGAAAAAAAAGGAACAGTGTCATCAGAAAATGTATTTTGAGTATTTAGAGAACTCCTCAACAAAGTGAGAGTGTTTCAATGTTGTAGTTTGTGAAGGTGGAGGCAATTTGAGATGCTTGTAGAACTGGGTGGAGTAAATGTGGGTTTGATACGTTTCACCACGGTTGAGGATTTTTGTATTTCACAATAAAAACTAGCCTTTTAATGTGAAGCAGCAGCAGTGTTATTTAAACACTATTTAAAACTCTGTTGAAAATGGAAAATCCAAATAGGTTTTTAAACTACCAACACACACACACACACACACACACACACACACACACACACACACACACACACACACACACACACACACACACACACACACACACACACACACACACACCTTCGTACAACCAGTCGGTCAGTCCGTTGAAGATGACTCCCTCCATCCCGGAGGAGGTGATTCTCAGGGAGTTGCTCTTCACATCTGCCTGGTAGTAGATGTTGTTCTCAAAGATGTAGATCTGAGGAGGAGATCATGGTTGTGTTGATTGGAGACTTTTGCTCATGTATGATCCCACATTTGGGTTCATTTTAAAAGCTTGTGGAGCTTTTTGACTGTCTCTCTGACGAGATGTTTTCACATTGAAGCTTTTATCGCTCTGCAAAGCGCGCGTGCTCGTTGCTTCTTCTCCGTCGGCGTATTAATATTTGCATCGGCAAACACAAACCGGATCAGCCTGCAGGTTCACTTCTATCCCGAGGAGGTATTTTCTTTCCCAGCTCTGAATGCGCATTAGTGACAGAGGAGCCTTTTCTACTTGGGAAACTTCACCTGGAGCCACTCGGCTCTGCCGCATGAAGACGCACCAAAAATCGGCATCGGATAAAACATTTATCGCGAAAGGTATCCGGTATCAGCAGAAGGGAAAGTGCTGCACCGGCTCTGAGGAAGAGACTTGATCGGAACCAGACAGCCTCTACAGCTGCAGCCCAAACACAGAAATACACCAGTAAATATTACATGGAGCGCTAAAGCCAGTCTGCTCTTCATCCGCATCCGTTCAGTCTCACAGACGTCTCAAAAATGAATGACAGCGAATTTTAAAAAGGGATGCAGTGAATCTGAGATCATCAATGATCCCGGATTGACTTTGAGATTCGCTCCAGAAAAGACAACAAAAAAACATTTTTACTATTCAGTGATCCCACAGTAACAGGTTCTGCTCTTCTCTCATCGTGTCTTCCCCGAATAACCAAGGACATAACTCATGGACTCGGGTTTGAAAGTCCGGAGAGCAGAACCAGGCAAACTCGGATCAGAGGGAAGCAAACCGAGGCTCCGCTGTAAAAACTGACAGAAGAGGAAATCTCACCAGAGAGACGAGGCAGCACGGATGTACAAAGAATAGATCACACACACACACAATAAAACACATTGAAACGTACCAGCTGCTGTCCTTGTGTTCCCCAAGCGGCATGCTGGAGCACTGCGTCGTGAACCTCTGGAGGGTTCAGCTCCCACACCTCCCTGTTCCACACACACACACACACACTTAAAATACAGCAACCGCCTCCATCTGTTTCTGACAGGTAGAGAGAAACAAACGGCTCACCTGGTGTAGATGTTGTAAACGATGTACGACGCCGTGTACGAATATCTGTACATCTGCACGAAAAAAAAAAGAGTTCAGCTCACCGCGTGATGCCAACAATCCCCCGACTCGTAAACACGCGGGTCATTTCGTGTACATTTCCACAAGCTGTCACGCGATTTCAAAAATCACGCTTTTGGGGTTCAGGAGTGTCGGCGACGTCCTTTCCTCTCAACTCCTCTCGGGCCGCAGCCGAAAAGACGAAATGAAGAAATCAAATTGAGAAGCGGCTAAAAATCTCAGCGGGTCGCGTTAGTCATACCTCGATGGGATTTCACGTTGCCGTGGCAACTAATACAACTGGAATGCAATCAATTAGGCCTCGCGATGCAGACGAAGAAGGAGCCGTGCAGGCGGTGACACAGGAGAAACCAATGTTTCTACAAATAGAAGAAGCGGAGCGGTTGAACGTTACGGAATACACCGCAGGACACAGACGCCCGAAATTCCCCGCCCGCCCGCGTCCGTGAGCCAAAAATCAATGAAAGAGACCTCGACGGGGAGGAGAGAAGAAAGCCTCGCTGTGGATGGCTGTCAACGCACGGAAAGATGGGAATGCACAGAAGAGATAAGCGATGACGCAGCGCCAGCGGAGGTCCGTTCCCCGACTCCAAACCGTCCAAAAGCGCCGCGGCTAATCAGAAATCTAAATCTAATTCCGGCCCAATCCTAACAAACAGAGTGCAGTAAAGTGCTCTTCAGACAACAAAAGCGTGCATGCGTTTGTTTGTGAATGCTAATCAGTGAGCGACGGCTCCCTTGGGCGTTGTGTTGGGAGTTTTATGTAAATAACAGCCTGTCAGGAAATAAAGAAAAGACAGAAAGGACGCTCCGAATCTCCAGTCACAGCAGTGAGGTCACTCACCGACACGCAGCGATGCTTCTCAGACGCTTAACCTTTTCCAGCAGATTTAGAATTAAATAGCAAGACAATTTATTCTCTTTTTTTCAGCTTCTCTTCTAAAACAAAGCGCTGTGATCTGCTCATTAACATTTGCTTGGCATTTTTATCTCAGTTTTGTGTCCTGAATCTTTTCATCAATACAATGCAAACAGATTTGTATTCAATAATATGCTTTACGTGACATTTTAATCTGAGGTTGTACATGGATGTAAAAGGATGCGAAGCATTGGACGGGTTCTTAAAAGTTATTCATTTAGTTTCACGGTGGCATTTAAACTCTAAACTCACCTGTTTGACATCGTAAGCAAAGAGCGCAAACTTCAGATCCGCAGACAGCGAATACTTCACCACCTTGAAGGCCACCTAACAAAGAAAAACAATTAGCTGACAATTAGACACAGAGGACTTTTCAGACTTAAAACTATTCTTTTAACGTTTGACACACAAACTAAAACCGATCTAGTTTGAGGAAAGCAACATTTATGTGCACCGCAGCTGACATGAAACTTCATATAAAGGAAGCAAAGAGCTACAAGATGAACCATCAGTGGATACGTTAAACACTCAATGGCTACTCAGGCATTATTGTTAGGCTATATACTAGCTAGCGTGCTCACATTAGCACCAAAAACAAAAACCGTCTGAGGCTGAATTTCTGCAGTTTTTTGTTCGATATGCACAAATGCTGGTTACCAACAGGTCATATTAAATCCGTCCAATAAAAAAGGATGTAGTAGTAGAAATACAAAGCGTCAAACGTACAAACGTGCTGTTGGTCAGAATGACCTCCGTCTCGTTGGAGGCGAAGTTGAACTTGATGACGTGACCGTCTCGGTTCCTGTACACCACCTCTGAGTCTGAGAGAGCAAACGTTGACGCGTTAACGCAACCAGCAGCTCAGAGGACAAAAAGGGAAGAAAACGTTGACACACGAGGAAGCTCGAGGAAGCATTCTGAGCCTCATTAGATGCGAACGCAGAGTGAACGAATTGTGCTCGTTAAGACTTCAGCTTGTTAGAAAAAAAAACCTGTCAACCGAGTTCTCTCCAGATCGGTTATACTACACCTGAAACGTGAAAGTACAGGAAGATGTACAGATTTTTGTCTTTAAAATGCCATTAATGCATCAATTGACAATATCTAAATATGGACATTGAAAATGACATCAATTATCAGGTGAGGCCAGATGTGTGGTAGTAATGTCATTCCTTCTGGGTATTTTTATAAATATTTCTAAAACAACGGCGACTGTAACATTTCACTTGAATAACTTGAATCCAAACTGTTTCCTTGTCAAACTGAACCAGGAGCAGCTGTGCCCCCCTTAATGAACTCCTGAAACTCATTATGAGATAATCTGTGGCTGATTGCAGAAGAAGAACCAGGCAGCTTTCAGCCTTCAATGTGCTGAGAAATATGCAAGTGAAAAAAAGGATGCATCAAATTCTTTTCTCCTCTGGCTCAAACGGACATTTTGAAAATTGTTTCATTTCCTCCTAATTACTATCCAGTGGCATCACTCTCCACACTGGAGAGCTCCGTGAAAATGATGGTGTGGAGACGCGGCGGCTCTTGTTGTCGGGCTCTCGTCTGCACGTATTTACTACGACATCATCAAAACGAATGCATTATTCATGTGGTTTTACTTGCATTGGGTCAATGCTGAAGATGTAACCTACTGTTTGTGTGAACCTCATTCGTAATCACGGACGACGAGCGGCATGAAGCGCTCCCCCGCGCCGCGCTCTGATTGGACACGCACGCCAATCCTCTCTTATGTAAGTACCCGAATGCTTTCCTCGTCTGATGTAAACAAGCTCTGTTTACATTGACTGTATATTAGGAATACAGAATGCCTCCATGAATAATTCACTCCAACCGTGACCCTGTGAAGACGCAGCATGGCAACGTGGATGTAGAAATAAGCAAAGGAACCATCTCCAGTGTAATATATATATATATATATGTTATATATTAAAGCTGCCAATAGATTGAACAAAATGTAGCTAAATAATCTGACATTTTGCAAATTCATTAATCTTGATTAATGGCAATTAATGAATGTTTGTTCTTCTTCTAGACTAAATCTTAAAAATAGTAATCACTTTAAAAAGGGTGTATTTTAGACACTGTTGTTTAATTGTTAATATTAACACAAAACTACACACATTTGATCCTGCTCTCAACTCGCCATCATTTATCGGCTGTGTTTGAAGTGCCAACAATCTCCCCACATTTATCCAGGACCTTTTCAAACCACCTCTTTCAGGGTGGTGCTCTGCAGACTGTGTGCCGCGCAGGGTAACGTTAGATGCTGAGATGGAAGCAGCCTGGCAGCTAGCTTAGCATAGCAGCTAGCTTAGCCTAGTTTGCCGCTCATCCCCTTCTGTTTGACAGGAGTAATTCCTCTGCACAGTTATCTGCTGTATGTCGCGCATCTGTTCATTTTACACTCAATGCAAAAAGTTCTCTTCATCTTATTGTAACTGACTGCAGCTAGCGACCGTTTAGTTTCCGCAGTCAACTTCCGGTTTACTTCCGTTAGCTACGTCAAAATATTTTGGTGCATTAATCTTGGCCACATTAATCGCTTAGATTAATGCTTTTATGTTGACAGCCCGGATATATATACATACAAATATATACATTAAATATATCCAAGTGGTTCAAAAGTCAGTGTAGCATCAGCAATGTAGAAGATCATAAATAAGAACAAAGAGCAGCATAAAATACTTTTTTATACTGCTGTAAAACAATTTAACCACTGTGTCGTTGTGCCTCATCTGGCCCCGCCTCATCTGGCCACGCCTTATCTGGCCCCGCCTCATCTGGTCCCGCCTCATCTGGCCACGCCTCATCTGGCCCCGCCTCATCTGGCCCCGCCTCATCTGGTCCCGCCTCATCTGGCCACGCCTCATCTGGCCCCGCCTCATCTGGCCACGCCTCATCTGCCCCCCCCCTCATCTGGCCCCGCCTCATCTGGCCCCGCCTCATCTGGCCACGCCTCATCTGGCCTCGCATTCCTCGTTCAACGCCTCGTGTACTCGGGGCTCTCGGATCTCATCGCCCCGCCTGCGGTAGATTTGCACCACGCGACGCAAGTCATTCCCCAACGTCTTCGGCAATCTGGGTAAAACAGCTGGCGGAGCCGGTCGGGCTGAAGAATGAAGTCGTGTTTCTACGTTTCTTCCAGGTGATGGCGGCTAACAACATGCAGTCGACGGTTCCTTTCGTAACTGATCCGTCCATGTGATCGATTGTCTGACAATTCCTCACAATACTGAGATGTGTGTGTGGACGCTGTTAAGGTCCTCACAAGCACACTCCTGCATGCATGTGTGTGTGTGTGTGAGAGAGAGATAGGGACCGTCCCATGATGAGAGGCCACAGGCCACAGCAACAGCCATTAGTATTATCTCGCAGGGGAGGCGGAGGACTTGGCAGGCGGTGGTTCTCCGTCTCCTATCCAGAGCAGGAAGACCATCTCCCTCTGTCCCCTCCACCTCTGTCCCTCCCTGCACGTCTCCAGAAAGCTGTGAGGAAATACGTTGCGTCATCTCCTCCCCTGAATTAACCATGAGGGCTGGAACTTTACGTTCTCACGTTCAGCTCCTTTCTCTCCTGCCTGAGTCTTTATTCCCCTTCTCCTCCGAGCTCCAATGCAAACACAATCTGTCCCCGCCGCCAAGGCGCCGGTGAAATGACATTTCAGATTCTGCACATTTGGACAACGAAGACAGTCCTGGAGCGCAGATCGAGGCTTGAGCTGCAACACCGCCGTCTTATGTAACCATGAAGGTAATGAGGAGGAAGATGTGGGAGGAGAAAGGTCAGGGGACTCAAGTGGAAGCAACATTTCTCACATGTAAGGAAATGCATCTGTGCGTTTACTGCATTTTACGGTTAAAGTTGCTTTTCAATTATTTGCCATTGGTTGGATAAATGTCCGGCATCTTTATTTGCTGGAGCTATAAAGCACAAAAATCGCTTCAAGTTACTTTGGAATTTTTAGATATTTACTCACAACCATAATCTCTGTTTCACATCAACAAAGTGATTTAAATGCCGGAATGTAAAAAGGGAATCTTTGGGGGACCAACCACAGTAGAGATGGTGCAGGTGGGTTTTTTCTTTCAATGCAGTATTCTGACTTCCTGCACGATTCAGAGACATAATTAAAAGATCTTATTACGGACTTTTTTCATGCCCGCTGGTTTGCAAGACTTTGGAATAATTTACCAGAAAAGATCTGAACATCCAGCTCATTTTCATTCAACTCCCCTTAACGCATCTTCGCTGGCCTCCGTTTATTATTCCAGCAGGCGGGGGTTTGATATGCCGCCGAATCGAGGCCTCGTTAACGCCTGAATGTGTATTCAGCAGTGATGCAATAAGCAGAGGATCCGGTCCAAAGCGGAGGTGCTGCTCCCGTGACCACTGCACACCAGCAAGCACTGTGCTGTTGCTATTATTAATATGATCATCTTTATTATTGTTGATCTGATATGGTCGATCCCGCGGTGGCAGGAAGTCCGACCCAGAGTCCCTGCAGGCCGTTGATGCTGCTGTGAAGCCATCTGCGTTTGAATGTGCAGGTCAGCAGGGGTTTGTGTGTCGATGCAAACAAGGGAGGGATTTAAAAATTAAACTAAAATCAAAAACCTAAAAGAAGTGTGACGAAGAAGTGTGAGTCTTAAATCGACAACGTGTGTTTGACACTATAACGAACATCTAACGGATTTTTTGATTGAATCAAATTCAATGCAAAATTATTTATTGTGATTATTAATATTTGTATTTGATTTCATTTCTGTTGGATGCGTTTGCAGTAAAATTGTTCATTTCATACACGATGGTCTTCTCGTTTTCTGCTCATCATAAACACGACTCGTTGAGCAGAATCTCGGCCTTCCAGCGGTTTGCTGAACGTACCCGGGTCTTATTAGAAACCCACTCTGAAACCACGAGAAACTGGGATCGCTTTAGTCCGCGTCGTCCTAAAGCCTCTTCTCAGCGGGGAACGAGAAGGTGTTAAAACCCCGCTGATCCCAAACCAGCCGTCCGACCTCACGCTATTTTAAATTGACACAACCAGCTGCTCCCTCGGATGCCTGAGGAGCACAAATGTTTCCTTTTCAGAAGATAAAGACACCGAAGCGTGCGTCTCAGTTTCTGCACGTCACACTGCGCCTCCTGAGCGCCGTCGCCTTCGCAATGTTAATCCTGTATTTTGCCTTATTTGACGACTTCTCATATAGTTCTACTCATGAATGAAATCTTTCTCGCACAAGCAACAAATGCACTGATGCTCAACGCACTCAGCCGCAAAATCACCCAGAATGCACTGCAGGTAAAACACAAGAACGTCAGTTATTCATGAGGTGGAGAAACTGTCCGTCTTTATTTCGACGATCTTCACCTTCCTAGTTCAGGCATTAAATGTTTATCTGGTGGCTGGTCTAATGCATTATGGGAAATGTAGTCCGAGCTTTTGGCAGAGTCACCACGAGACAGATTTCAGGATTACTTTCTTACGCCAAGATGGCATCAATTTGCATGCGAGTAGAAGTTTTTTTTTTGATCACAATGAGACAATGTTAAAAAAAAAGTACCCCTGCAGAATGAAACACTGATTTGGGTGGATTTGGCGTCTCATGTGGTTTCCCTCCCTTCGCCGTACTCACTGCTGATCCACTTGGCCTCGGGGTCGTGGACGCTGAACTCTGGTTTGTAGAGATCCGCCACGGTCAGCCGGGATCGGCCGCTGCTGGGCTGCTCCGCTGGGGGGGGACAAAAGGAAAACACGGGTAACTCGACTTCAAGTCCTCCGAGGACAAGGACGGACGAGAGCCTGACGCACCGGGTGTGAGGACGACCACCGACATGGTGATGAGCGAGCACACCACCACGATCACCAGCAGGGAGATGGCGATGCCCTTCCAGTTTCTCTGGGCGGGGCTGACGTCCACAAACTCCTGCAGACACACAAGAGACAAGCGAGGCATGTGTCATCTCTTTGCTCGGCCAGAGTCCAGTTCTCCCTCATTAGTCTCCTGGACGTCCTAATCCGTAACTCGTCTCTACCGGGGGTTTGCATCATCTCCCTGCACTCGCCTCCTCACTCGCTTTCAGACGCAAATGAGGAAAGTCACCTGCGGACTTCGAGAGAAGAACGACGCGTGTGGTTTTTGTTTTTTCCCCCTCGACGCGGCGGACAGGGAGAGTAGCCGGGCGTGGACGAGCGTCCCAGCAGAGACACTGCGCGGGAACGCGAACAGGTGGCTGTCACAAGGTGTTTGATTCAGCATTCTTCACAGCTTGAAACGGACAGGAGTGATACATCAAAGGGGGCCGCGCGAGGCCTCTTCCTCACGTCGGACGTGTCTCATTTACAGTGCGGGACTGGAAAAGACGGGCAAACACTTGTTAAGGGAAGACAGACACCTCCTGCCATCGGATGGGGCCCACCTTCCAGATCAATAACATTATACACATATACATATATAAAAATGGAATACACTAAACTATTCCTACTAGAACTGACTTCAGAGTCGCTGATGGGTTATAATCATAAAAATGTGTCAAGAACAATCTGCACATTATGTGAGGAGGAAAATGTTTAATTATTGAAGCAGGAGAAACTGATTCTCTGTCACACACACACACACACACACACACACACACACACACAGAGCCAGCATGAGAATTGGCTCCGAGATGTAGAACTAATATTGAGAGCAGTTGATGGCGCAGTGATGTGCAAAGAAGTGTGTAGGAAAGTAAAACAAGCGAGGAAATCAAGTGTGTGTGTGTGTGTGCGTGTGTGTGTGCGTAAGAGTTAAAGAAATGGATTATTCAGGTTTTTACCCGAACAAACACATACATTAATGTATATTTAGGACTAAAAATGACTTAGACGCGTTGTTAAAACTGAACTAAGACATCGTTACAAAATAATAAACACAAAATCACTATTTTACTATTTTAAATCAGCTTTGAGGAATAGGAGAAGATAAACAAACGGTGGATTCAGAAAATAGCAGCATGAAACTCCAAAAATCTGAATCCTGTCTGTTTGTCTGCACGTACCAAAATAAAAGTGAAATACAACGTTCTTTCGAGAAGACTCCAATCTGGTATCTTGTACCGGAACTTATTTCCTTAATGCTGCCATTCAATTTCAGATTATTTCTCCACTGTTTCATCTGTCTCATATTCACAGGAACCTTTTATTTTCACTGTGTCTTTAGCATGCAACACAACTGCTTTGTTACCATACAAGACCATTTTAAATGGTATTTCCTTAAATATTTTTGAAAGACGTCAACCTTTCAAAAATGGCAGGACTATCGCCCTCGTTGTTAACATAATATTACAAAATCCAACAATATAAAGATCTTATCCCCCAAAACAAGGGTGTCGGTTTTAAGGGACTTTGCATGTAATTGTTCTCCAGACATGACTGGAGACATGACTCGTGTCTCACAGCAGCACAGCTGACCTCCTGAACACAGAAGCTGATCTGAATCCAGAAAACACGACAACATGCAGAGACTAGAACTCGCCAGTGTGCCACAAACTACACGAGTCTGCGCATTAACAGCACTAATTCACCTGCGCCTTAAATCCGCCGGCACGCGGGACACATCAGCGATGAATGACCTCCCTGTACTTTATTGCATCTCGGTGCGTATCTCAATAGCATGAATACATAATTCATACATCATTGCAGGCGCCCCCCTCCCCACCCCCCGCGGTGTCCTTCACAGCACGACCGTCCCGGGCGACGCATCGATGGACACGAGTCCGCGCGTACCTCGTCCTGCTGCGCCTCCTTCGGCTTCTTCTTGGTCGGATCCTTGGACGCCGTCATTGTGCCGGAGCCACGGTGCTTCTGCTGCAGCCTGGACCCAGCGGCTCTCCCGGTAATGACATCCGAGGCGGGCGGCGCGGCGATGAGGAGGCGGGCGCGTCAAGCTGGCCCGAGCGGCCACGAGGAGGACTTCCGGGAGGGACTTTCAAAATTGTCACAGGGTTTCGCACACGGGTTTTTAAGACGCATAAAACGTATCGCTGTTGATTGACATAAAATACTGGAGCTCTTTTAGATGAACACTTTGGCAGTAACAATTCAATTTTTGATATTATTATTTTGCCGTATGCTTTTATTTTGTAAATTTCTACCAACTTCCGGCTGCACAGTCTGTCTGTCTTGCAAATGGTCTCACAAGCGTCTCTATTTAAATGTTTTGCTGTACTTATCTATATATTATTATGGATAGATCTATTTAATGAGCAAACACAATAAATAATCATTACTTTTAGCTCCACTTTCAACCACTACAATGCAAAAAAAGGTTAATTTAAAAAAAGTTAATAGTTTAACGCACAATCTGATTTAAAAAAATTTTAAAAAGGTAATTTAATAAATCTGTTTTTCTGACTCATGATGTTGCCATTATTTAATTAAAACTATTAAATCCTCCCATCACGTGGTACTCGTATTTATGGATTGAATCACCACTTGTACAGCAGTGTAATTTTCCCATAGGGACCTGGAATTTTACCCCTGATAATGTCACTCGGTGCAGGATTCAAGCCCTGTGCGTCACGGCGGTACCGAGACTTCACGTGAAACCTCCTCCGAGCTCGACAATGGAGCGGCTCGGCGACCAGCTGGCCTCCCCTGCTGAGTGACTGGATACAAACTGATGCCCCCCCGAGGACACACACCTACAGCCGACAGACACACACACTGTGCCCACCATCCACCAATAATGAGGACAACCGGAGGTCAAGCCTCTTCGTGTGTGCATCTTGTCGTATGGCTGCACTTCTGAGGACCAAGTAGACGCAACAACTCGAGTACCAAAAGCATAAAATGACCAGAGCCTGACGCAGACATGTTCAAGTAAAGGCCGGATGGGGAGAGGCGGTGGATAATGGAGGCCCTGCAGGATGGAGGTAGTAGAAAAGAGAGGGAGGATAAGATCCTCCATCCCCAAAGCTTTCTCCTGTTCTTCATCAAATATTCAACACGGGAACCAGAGAGCACATGGAGATGATCGCTCTCCCTCTGACCTCTGCTGGTGTTTGAGAAGTTCACCAACATCCCCGAGGCCGAAGCCTTCAGACAACAAGCTGCAGCTCCAGCACCGGTTGATGCATCTGTGCATGTTTGCTCCGCACGTTGTTTTGTGCTCCGGCCTCCCAAGTCTTCTGTCGTGCACAGTCATGCATTTATGAAGGATGATTTGATAAATACGCTTTGCTTCATCTGTTTTAACGTCAAATATTAGTTCGTTTTGAGCATGTTGTCAAGACACTCTAGCACCAGATTTACTAGAACTTTTTCTTTTTCATTTTCCTGTAGCCGAGGCAGCCAACGCGCAGCACTTTGTTTCTGCAGGTCACTCGCCAAAACAGTCGACTGCTCTTCCTCGACCACTTCCGCTGCCTAATCCGGGGCCGGTTTACACCTGGGAGGCCAGGTGAATGTAATTAACCCGCGGCTCTGAGTCTGGAAGCACTGACGTCTCGTTTAATAGTGTGTTTTAGATAAGCAAAGCTCCTGAGTGGGTCCGTTGACCCGGAAGGATCTGAGCTCAAGTGCTGATAAGAGCCAGTTAAAGTGCGAAATACTGAGGAACGTGCTTCTCTGCATCGGTTATTTAATGCATGAATTACAACGCTGTTTAGATGGATGTGATCCATCTCTTCCGACTGATTCATACCGTATTATTCTGACTTTATACCAAAGTGTTATCCACGTAGTACAATCATTCAAATGAGCTACTCTCACATAATAGGAGTGGATTTTTATCAAGATATTTCTCTCTGATGTTTTCAAGCTCTTTAAACTCTTTATCGCCGAACGTTACATCATATTGTGTTAGTTAATTAGCTTTTCAAATATACGCAGCTTCAAATGGAAAAATGAAGTGAGCTTCTAACCACGACGAACACTAAAAAATACAACCTGCTTTTTCAAAAAGAGCCATTAAATATGAATAAAGCCATTTTCATGCCGCTCATGAAGAAAGGAGCGACCTGTAAATAATCCCACTAAAGGAAACAACATTCCCCTCTGTGAGTATTAATTCGTATTCTGCATGTGCTTTGCAGCAGAAGGGACTTCAAACACTCAACTGTGGAAAAGCTTTAAATCTGCTCAGGGCCTAAATATCCATTTATAGAAATGCTAAATTGCGAACAGCACCGACAATGAGTGTGTGTGGGAGTTGTGCAGCTGGCGCATGAAAGTGGGTACCTGCAAAACGGATTAGTCATCACCATGAAAATCCACACGCACATTTAAATCTACATTTTCTAAATTTTTCGGGATTCAAAATGAATGGAAGCTTCCACGACTGCAAACCAGCAATCCGCTTCCTCCGGTAATACAAATACCTGCAGGATCCAGTGATCCGGGGGGCACAAACACAGGCGGGTCACCCGAGCTGCCCCCAGACGGTCCCAACTGGAGCAAAATCCATCAAAATCCCACTTCCAACAGAAGCACCGCGTACTCGTCACAAACAAACATCCATCGAACTGTGGAGAACTGTTGTGTTCATTGTTTGTAGACCGAACACACAAACCTAACACAATAGACTATTTGAAGATGTCACATATTTTTTGTATATATTTAAAGACAAAACAGTTAATCAGAAATTTCTATGTTATTTGTTTTGCACACTTTGCATCATTCCTCCGTCACCACCTCCCTTAAAGCGAGCGCTTCCTGCTCCTCCATCGGCTGATCTGTGTTCAGATCTCCCAGGAGCACACACACACACACACACACACGAGGTGACACACCGGGGTCCCTGGGGGCGTGTTTCTGTTTCTCGACTCTCTCCCGGGAGGCGGCGCAGCCTCCTGGGGGCCTCGCGATGGAACACGCACGCCGCTCCTGACGAGTTTCCGGCTTCGTATGAAGGAAACTTTAACCCGTTTCTCTTCTTTTTTTTGCGCTTGGAATAATCCGTCACATGCCGTCACATGTCAGAGCGCTCACTCATCCGCCGCTCCTGTGGTTTCTATAAATAAAAGCGCACTGGTGCCTCACCTCTGTGTACCTGAGCTCTGGGTCCATCGCGCTGACGTCTCTCCGGCCCCCACCCTCAAAGGTGAAGGGTGGCGCTCGGCCTCAAAGGTGAAGGGTGGCGCTCGGCCTCAAAGGCGAAGGGCGGCGCTCGTTCTCAAAGGTGAAGGGCGGCGCTCGTTCTCAAAGGTGAAGGGCGGCGCTCGTTCTCAAAGGTGAAGGGTGGCGCTCGGCCTCAAAGGCCGTGCCGTCCAAAAACAACGAGAAACGCTTTCCCTCTGCAGAAATGCAGCGAGCCGGCGAGACACGGCCTTCCCTGCTGCCCGTCCGCGTCAGAGTAAACAGACGTCTGACACGCATGCACACTCACGAAAAAAACCTCGGTTCGGATTTTACCACTTAAAATAAATGGTGTCATTAATACAAGCGGAAAAAAAATCGGCTAACCCAGTTTCACTTGGCGTCGTTACTCTGATGATCTAATTCTGTGTCGGGGGGATTGGAGCTCAATTCATCCATTAAAGTGGATAAAGTGGGTTTATACAAAGGTTTGTTTTTTTATAATGAATATTTTAATAACCGGTTTAAATTGGTTAAACATTTGAGATAAGTGAGGACTTCTCACCTCGCAGCCTGGAGGGAGGATCACAGAGGTCATTACTGATGGATCAGAGGTCGACAGTCAGAGGTCACCATTAACTCAACATCTGCTTCGTGTTCTGCCTTCACACCTTTACTGACAAATACTCCCAGAAACACGTGAAGGCCACACGTAGATGTTAATGTGTAGCAGAGAATCATCAATACTTTGCATGGATGTTAAGGGGTGATTGGACTTGATATTTATTACCTTGAGTTCTGCGTCCACGAGCTGTTTCTTATCAAGATGTCTTTGTTTTATCTTTGTTTAACCGGTAAAATGATTTATTGTCCCTTTTATCTTTTTTTGTAGCCGCTCTGTATAGTTCTTCTTTCGCTCGATAATAAAAGCAACCGTGACCTTGAATACTACTCATATTTCCGTCGACGTCCGAGTGTCGCAGCTGTTTGCAGATGAGGGGAAATGCAGAAGCGTTCTTCCTGTGCAGTAACTTTACAGAGCCGCCCCCCCTCAAGCCTGCAGCGCAGATCACGTCCTTGTGTATTACTGCTCTCTAGTGACCAGAAGAGACATTTCTTCATGTCCTCATGCGTGATCCACTGTCCATGAACCCACTGGACGAGACCGTTCAGAACTTTGTTTTAGAAATGTACACGATGTTTACTCGTCAATATATTTGTATTTAACACGGTCAGGCAAACAATAATTGATTTAAAGTCATTTATTCTGCAGAATATGCTCCAATGTGAATTTGATTTGAATTATTTTCCGTATTGGACGTTTTCAATTTTTAATCAATGGCGTTTTTAAGTTATTAATAATTGAAGTATTTTCACAGGGTGGTACTGTGCTTTTAGTGAAGTACAGAGACTAGATACTTCTTCCCACACTGTCACGCCGTACAGTCAGTCCTCACGCGCGGCTTTCACACCATGACAGTGTAGGATGTGCAAATGCCACCAGCTCAACTCTGCATGTCACATTTCTGCACAACAAATCTCCTTAAAAGAGGCATGACTTTTAAACAATGAATGTACTAATATTATTTATTCCTTGCTGAGTGAGTGGGAGGGGGGTTATATCAGAACATCATGCGCAGAAATGCTCAAAGGTTAACTTGCTGATAGTCCTTCACGCCGTGTCCGTCTCCACGGTAACAGATGGCGGTGATGACGCCGGCGAGTTCCTGCGACGGAGAACTGAGCGCTGTTATCGTGGCAATGTGTGCAGTTCCACTGGTTTCATGCTTGAGTTCGGTTGTTACTTCCACATAAAATAAATGGTTTATAGTTATTTCAATGAGAAAAGATAATGCTGATAGTGTTTTTAGACCCTCAGTAACCGTGGGGACATTCACAGGAAAAACAGCTTTCCAGATTTCTTACCAGGTGCACAAGGCCTGATGTCCCTGCAGATTTAACGCCACGTCTCCTGAAGGACAACTGGATATCTTTTGTCCCATGAAATGTGTTGTGTGGGGAAATCCAGGCCTCATCTCTCTGGAGTGCTGACATGTAGCTCGTGATCAATCTAAAGTTGTGTGAAAATGGTCATGTTTGCACAAGAAAATACTTGAAATAGATCGATCAAATACATCGAATCTGCAACCTTTTGGCGGGTAAAATCTCCTAAACAGCGAATGAATCTCAAGAGGCAGCGGCCGATTCATGAAGCAGCTCAAAGCACACGGTGGTTTACAGGAGCTGTGATTTATGAGACAATTAAAACCACTCAGGCTAAATAATGCACAGAAAGCGCCAAAGCGTCCCCGCTCATTACTACTCAACGCATCAGTCGTTTTGGTGATTTCAGCCCTTTCAGTTCTTCAGAAGGCAACGAATGAAACCAAAAAGTTACTCAAAGTGTGTCGTTTTTTTTGTTGTTGCATAAATTAACCTCCTTCCAGGCAGATTATGCGATTTAATGCTCAAGCACGGGATGGTGCAGGATTACGCTTTGGCTCTTCATCGTTCTGTCTCGCATAAGCCTTCATTCTGCTCGCTGCTGTCGCTGTGTCTCTGCGCGTTACCGTCGACCCCGTCCACCAAACATGAGTGACCTCCACCTGGTTGCTGGATGGAGGATCCAGTTTCACGGAGCGGCAATGAAGACACAAAAGCAGCGTTTTGCATTAGAATAACACTCGCGCTTTTGTTTCTTTAATGATGTCATTCGGCCGGTGATCCAGCGGGATAACAAATAAAGGCAGAGGCAGTGGTAATGTAAACACACCTGACCTACCGAGTGCACCTTGGTGCTTTATATTCACCACGCATGTATCCTATTATGCAAAGAATACACAATTTAACGTATGGATATTTGTAAAACGTCCAATTCGAAAGAGGTTTTAGTCTGAGAAGATTTAAGGAGTTTTCTATTCGCTCTTTTCTGAAGGCATCTGTGCTTGTACAATGTATGAATGGATGTAAGAATGGATGGAGGTAATATTATAATCTAAAAATATGACGTACAATCAAGGAGGGACCCAACACTAAAAATAAACTGTTGCATTTTAGTGGCACAGTGCTCATAAGAAGCGTGAGAAAGGAAGCGGGGCATCAACAAATCCTCCCTACCTTGCTGTCCTTGATTGGCTGACACTCAATCTGATGCGAGACGGATGCAGTTTGATTCATGTTTGTGTCTCAGATTTACTGAAATCCTCCTTCCACTTCGATCGAATAAAATCCCAACAGCCGGGCAAAGTTTTCCCCCCGACTTCAACGGCTCCCAGTCGACCAACGCAGCGATGCTGAAGAGGCTGAAGATGCTGAAGATGCTGAAGATGCTGAAGATGCTGAAGATGCTGAAGATGCCGGAGGCTGCAGAGCCACTCTCCCTCGTCGCTATGGAAGCCTCACAGAGGAGATACATTCAAATACACCTCATCTTATTTTTCCTCCCATGTCTCTCTCTAAATGATCCGTCCTCTTCCCTCTTTTCTTCTTCTTCTTCTTCTTCTTCTTCTTCTTCTTCTTCTTCTTCTTCTTCTTTGCCACTAAAGCGTGTGTGTGCTGCTCCGCATGCAGCTGACAGTTCATAAACCGGGATGTTTGCCAGTACCTCCCACCTACCAAGACGTTTCTTCAGCAGCATGCAAATGCGCTCGAGGCAACGATATTTGCGGCCGTTCGGTTTGAGCCTTTTCACATCGGAGGTTTAGTGTCGGGTGGAAAGACGTTGAGCTCAAACAGAAAGAACCTGCTGCTGTTTGTTTCATTTACAGAAAGCATCAGATGCACAATTCCCTTCATGGAAAACAAATAGAGGTGGAAGAGCAGACGGATGTTAGATGTTTTTTATGTATTTAAAGCACAGTGGTTGCGTTTTATGTGGTTTTTATGTGTTTTTCATGTGCGCGTCCATCCTGACCAGGATCCCCATGTGAAAGAGATTAAACAATCTCATTGGGATTATCACAGATGAACAAACGTTAAATAAACTAAACGAGTAAAAGAAAATCTTTCTTAAATAAAATAATAAGTTGTTGCGTCACAATATACGTGAAGTTCTGAAAGTAAAAGTGCTACTTACGTTCCAGCTGAGAATATTATTTATTATATTTTTGGATTATAATTGATGCCTTGATGTATAATTGATGTAACTTAATGTACATCACTGCTGGTGAAATTACCCCCAGGGATCAATAAAGCCATATGTTACCCTCCAATAATACATAATAAAGTATCTGTTGATCATATTTTGCATTATTGATTTAAGTATCAAATCGGTGGAGACGTATAAAGCAGCAGAATCTGAAAATTCTCCAGCAATGTTCCTTCTTGATTGATTGATGATGGATGTTTTTCTGATGATGTTTAAATGACTTAATTTGATGACATCATTCATTCACATGAATTTAATGTTAAATCTGCTGTGACTGAGATGCATTTGCACATCCACACGTGTGCATCAGTAGGACGTCTTCAGCCCACAACTATATTTATGTGTGACAGTCAACTGTTGACCCCATTAGAAATGTATGGACATGATTCAATTTTAGTACGCTTGCTATGTTGTATATGCCAAAAATAACATTTACATGATTTCCTCCATTCAGCCCTTTTGACATTAGAGACAGACACCGACTCTATTGGATTTCCATTATTCTATTTTCACACCTTTATTGATTTGTATGGAGCTGATTGATTGTTTGTTTGTTTGTTTTTGTTTTTTACCAGAACATGTTTACATTTCCTCATGCTAGCTCTGCTCTAGGCTGTTTTAAAAGGATTGTGTTGCTAGGCAACAGCTTTGTTCCATGTTGACTTCCTGTCAGCCGGTAAAATAAAATGAGACACAGAATGTTGACGTTGAACACGTCTATGTATTGTATGTATTTGTATGTATATAAAAAGCACTTCTACCTGCTCTTTGATTTAAAAAAAGCACTTTTATATTAATATGGATCCTTTAAAGTGTGGAAATAACCACAAATACATTTTAGGAATTAGGATTTTTTGGTGGATTTTTTGTTCAATATATTCTGAGATGAACAATAGCAACTTTTTTATTTCGCCATTTCTCATGTTCGTGCTGATGAACTATTATTGTTTCATTATTATTGTTTGACAGATATTGTGTACTTACTGTCCTTTGTCTTTTTCTTTAATTCTGTAATTGAGTTTATTATATGGTACATGCAACTTATTCAAATAAACTCATTAGGTTCTGTGTTATTTACATGTAGTAAAGCTATTAATTAGAGGTAATATGTACAAACGGGGTAAAATAACATTGCTAATGCAGCATTTAAAGTTATTCTCTTCAAAATTAATCTGATGATTAGCTTCATGCGGGACATTTCTAAGTGGTACTTTATGTTAATTTATTTGTTATTTAAAACTGCAGAACTTTAAGTGAGACTCTATCTAATCCATTATGCTCAAATAGAAGATTTATTTTAAAAATCTGACTGTGGAGAAGTGAACAGATTTAAGGAAAATGTTGCTGCAACAACACTCTGCTTATCTAACTAATTTATCTAAATAAGTTCCACTAATGGTCATATTCCAAATTTGTGTATTAATCACGAGTTATTTTTTTCTCCTCAGTATAAATAATAGTTAATTTCATACTGTGGTGATTTTCACAAAATAATTAAATGCAACAATCACAGTGGAACATCTTTGATTGGAGCGACTGTGCAGGAAGTGAGAGTTTACACTCCAATAAATTCAGGAAAAAATATTATCTGCTCTTTGTTAGCTAATCTACACAATTTGCAAAATAAATGCCAAGACATACATCATGTTTTCATTTCCTGCATTCCCCAGTACACTGTAAAAAAAGTCTATATTTTCTTATTTCAGAGCAGCAATGTGCCTTATTTAGTTTATACGTGTTTCCTTAAAATATAGAGATGAATCTTAATGATCAAAACTACTTATAAGAAGATATTTCTTTCGTTGCTAACTAAATTGTTGTGCAGAAAGTGAAGAAATAACCTTCTTCCCCACAGCGCTGTACAGAAGAATCGATTCCTTGTCTCTCTGCTGAGCAGATAAAAACATTTAAAGATGTAAACTTTGAGAGGAGACGTGGAGCCTCGAGCAGACCAATAGAAGAGGGAATTAAAGCAAACGAGAGCAGACCTTCATGGTCTGTGGGTCTTGTTTCAAATGCTCCGGTGTAGAGTTCATAACTGCGTCCAAATGCACCTGGTAGCTGAATTACATCCTGTTGTGTTTAATGTACAAATACACCACAAAGCTCTTATGCTACTGTGGCACCAACGTTAAATTAAATTAAATAACAAGGAACAGTCTGGCAGTCGCTCTCAGGTAGTGCATGTATACTGTGGAGCATAATAAACAGTACTCTTATGCATCGATCTCTATTGTTGTCAGAGCAACTGTAGGATAACTACCTCTTGTTAGTCATTTCCTGTTTTATTGTGTCAGCAGGTTGAGACGCTTCACTTCCTGCCCTTGAAGAGATCCGAGGAGGTAGAAATAACACCCCTGCAGCCATGAACAAATGTTTATAAAAGTCATTAATACTTCCAATCATCCACTCCCTGGGCCTCCGCCCCCCCGCGGGGAGTCCCATAGTAGTGTCTCGTGTTCTCTTCCGTCCCGGTCCTCCGGTTCCCCTTCGTCCGGCCGATCCGAATGACTCCTCCCTGGGGCCTTCCTGCCCCCGAAGCCCGAACCCTCCGGACCTCTGGGACCCCTGTGGTCCCAAGCGTCCGGCCCAGGAGGTGGTGAGGACGGTCGGGAGGAGGCCCTCCCGGTCCCCTCGATGGTGTCCAACCTCTCCAGCGGGACAGGAGAGCGGCACGGGGAGCGTGAGGGCGGCGCCGAGCGATGTTGCACGTCTCCACCTAAATAATGAACCGTGTTTTCATTCAGGTTTTTTTTTAATCGCACCACTTAATCAAGTCCTCACCGCGACTCGGTGGACGGAGGGCCGTCCCCGGCTGCAGGGAGAAGTACTTCTGAGACCTGGGGATGTGCTGTGAAGGCTGCAGGAGGAGGAGGAGGAGGAGTGAAGGTCACGCAGGTGGGAGTAATGCACACTATAAATAATATAAAAAAACTCACCGGCTGGCGGAAACTGGCGGCACGGAGGCTGCGTCTGACGCTGGCGTGGCGGCAGATCAGGATCTCCCGGTTCTGGCTGTCGTCGGGCAGATCGTATTTGTTGGTGTAGGCCATTGTCTGGAGAACATGGACAGCGTTGTTTTTAAAAAGCACATCCTCCACACACGCTGCAGTAGGACTGAGTCGGAGCACACGCGTGGAGAGTAGAGACGTCGGAGCGCATTTACAGAATAATGCTGTTTAAGAGGATTCATTAGAAGATTTTAAAAAAATTCTAGCTGTAAACTGAGTGAATGCCGCTTATATAAGTTATTTGAGCTGCGATTGATGAGCTGAGTCGTCTTGCTTCTGATACATATTGCTTTTGTTCCATTCAATTTTACCAATTTAAAATCTTCCTCCGTCAAAAATAAGCTCATCCATGTGGAATTGTATTACTTTAAAGGATTATGTTTGTCAAACAAAGGTATCAGAGCATATTTAATGTATAACGTCTCTCTTTTTGTTTCATTCAAGATTATACAACTGCCAAAAAAAGAAGAGCATTGGAAGACGTTACAAAGACCAAAAAGCCCAAAGTGATGGAGCACATGAGTTTCTCTGCAGGCGTCGGCTACCTTCTGTCGGATGTTGTACATGTTCTTTGACAGGATGTGGTGCATCTTCCTCACGTCAGCAGCCAGGAACTTCTTCTTGGGGCGAGTCGCCTCCTTCCTCTCGTCGCTGGCAGGAGGAGGAAGAGGAGGAGGAAATGTTCTCTTATTGTTATCGACATAAGATGCGTTGAGCTGATGCACTCCTGCACTCAGATTAGTCTTAGCAGAGCAAACGAGAGTTTTCCGGACTCGACGAACGTACTGCAGAGGAAGGAGCGAGGGCGCCGCGCCGAGGTCTCCCATCGGCGAGTCCAGCAACCCGATGGCGCTCTGCAGCTCCAGCCTCTTGTACAGAGACACGATGCTGGACTCGGCCCTGTTGTGCCGGAGCAGGATGCGCCTCAGAACGCGGTCGTTGAACTTCTTGAACCTGACAGAAAGGCAATCAGAGGCAGACTGATTGCCTCTGGATCTAAATGAGCCAAAATCAACACACTAAAGCCTTGATAGATCCTACTTGTCTTTCCAGTAATAGTGGCTCCATTGTCCACACAAGTCCTCAACACCACTGAGGACGTGCTCCATCGTCTGCACAACAACAACAACGTGAACAATGCACATAAACATGAACCACGGACGCCAAACAAACTAAGACACTTGCCCTGGTGTGAATCTCCACGTTGATGGTGTCCACGTCCTTGTTGGTTTTCCTGATGTTCATATATTCTAATATTGGACGGATGCTGATGCCCTGAAAACACCAATTATCAGAACTTATATGATCAAATTAAAATAATATAAACTGCAGGCCGAAGCTGAACAAACTCAAATTAAACGCACACAAACAGGGAGAACGCATGTGCTGATGTACATCGTGCTTCACTTTAAATCTTCCTCGCTGAGCTGCTAAAGTAATATTACAAAGCCGCGCGAGGCCTCACCTGAATGAAAACGGTGAATGTGATGACGGCGATGGAGGCTGTGACAAACAGGTCCTTCCTGTTGATGCTATCGGGTAAGGTGAAGACCAGGGCGAAGCAGATCGCCCCCCGCAGGCCCCCGTAGGCGAGGCCGAACTGGTCCGTGAAGTTGAGCGGGACGGTTCGGAACGGATTGATGATCTGGGTCAGAACCAGCATGCCTGAAAGAGATTTCGATTAAAGAGCGGGACCCCTCCAGGAGGTCCCAGTGGGGGGGGGGCACTAATTCAGAACCTAAACCAGGAGTCCCACCGATCCCTCTCCAGACGAAGGCGAACAGCAGCGTGAACAGGATGTAGGCCCAGTTCCACTCGTGCTCCGTCGTTATGGTGACGACGCCCAGGAAGAAGAAGATGAGGGTTTCGGAGATGGTGGCCAGCATCTTGACCACGTGGCGGATGGTGGTGCAGGAGCTCTGGGAAACGTTCTCCTCCACGTAGTACTTCATGGTGATGGCGCACGTTATGAGGCTACGTGGAGGGAGGAGAACGTCGGAGGTCATCCAACTATGATGATGATAACATCCATAAAAGCAATCTTTTTCACGTTTGAAGCAGCGTCTATGCTACGTATGAACCACTTCCTGTGCGGACATCGGTGTCAGCCCACACTCACGCCATCACGCTGGAGATGGCGAAGCACTCGGCCACCAGGTACGCCAGGTAGCTGTACAGGAAGACGAAGAGGGGCTCGATCTGACGCACGCCGTGGGTGAAGCGCGTGGTGAACGCGGCCACGAATCCAAACACGAGGCCGAAGAGGACGCCTCCGGCCGCCACCACCAGGAACTGGGCCGTCCCCAGGAACACGTCGGTGGACTCGACGACGGGCAGCGCGGCCAGGAAGGTGAACATGTTGTAGAGCACCTGCACAGAGAAAAGGAGGGTTACGTGAAGGCGGCTGGGTGCCAACTGCATCTCTCACGCTGTTGTTGTGGAGCAGGTTCAACTGCTACTGAGCCGGATCGACTCTTTATTCACGCCGTCATGTGCCAACTTGAGTCTGGAAAGTGGCTCTCAATGGCACGCAAATTCAGCATGCTAATGCTAATTATCCAAATGCTATGTTGAAAACAAATCCCTGTATTATGAAATATTCCTGATGTTAAATCTCTTAGCATTCTCACCACAGTGACGGCGTCGTTGAAGAGTCCTTCTCCAAATATGATGATGTACGTCTGCTCATTGACTCCGATGTCGTCAAACACATTGAGAGCCGCCACGGGGTCCACGGTCGAGACGATGGAGGCAAACAGCAAGTTCTCCTGCGGTGAAGGGGAGGGTGAAGACTTGATACCTTCCTCTACCCGCATGTTTTGGGCCATCAAGGAAACTGCCCTCCAAACAACACGCAAACCTGCACGTCACCTTTGACCTTTCCTGTGGACTGACCTGCAGGTTGATGTCTTGGACTCCAAACACCTCGAACTGGCAGATGGCGAAGAGGGAGATCCCGATGCCAATGCTGTTCCACAGGGTTCCCACCACGGCGTACCACAGCACCGTGCCCACGTTCTCGAAGAACGGCCTCGTGGGCATGAAGTAGCCGCTGTCGAGGACGATGAGCGGCAGCATGTAGAGGAAGAAGACGTTGGAGTTGAGGACAGCGGGGGGCTCCTCTTTGACCGAGTGCATGATGGCGCCCACGATGAGGCCGATGGAAATCAGCAGGCAGGACTCCGGGATCCAGATGGTGATTTTATGGTAAATGTTGAAACCTGCAGAGCAGAAAGTACCTCAACACCGTGATGGAGTACAGCATTTGAATAGTTAGTGGTAAAAAAAAGAAATAAAGAGTTTCATCAACACTTACCAATTTTGGCAAAAGAGGCCAGCAGCACCCACATTGTGAACTCAAAGGGGACCTGGATCCGAGGGTAGTCCATGGTGAAGACCGGGAGGTTGGCCCTGTCCTCGACGGGGGAGGCCTGGGGCTCATCCGGTCCGCTCATGAAAGGATCGACACCGGGGGAGTCCGTCTGCGCTGAAGTTTCAGATTCCTGCAGCTCACATTTTCCTGCCGAGCAGCAGAGCGCGAGGAGCAGAAGCGCATGAAGGGCAAAGGTCCCCATGTCAACCGACCTCAAGTACTACCAGTGTGTCATGGCATTGGGAGGCTGCGGTGCAGCTGCAGTAGGTCGTTGCCTTCGAAAGCAAAACTCCTTTACTCCATTCCCGGAGCTGTTAAATAGCAAAGTCATGTGAGTCCTTCTTCGAGAACTAATGTTGAACAAGTGAAACACAATTCTGGTTTCAACAGTTGCAGAACCTGCTTGTCGGTGGGCCCTGCCTTCTGAGTGTAGCCCAATAGGACGACAGATATCATTTACATGATAGGAAAACACTTGGGCAATGGTGCTGCTATTACAGGAATCAAAGTCTTTCTAAGTTTGACTAAATCTGTGTTTAAATGAATTAAAACAAAGATGGACCCAGCAAGTGTATGTGTCTTTTTTGGATACCTGTAGTTGCATATTACGTCCACGTGATGGCGGTAGATGTCAGCTTTAGTTTGCAACAGTTGCGGCACCATCTTAAAACTTATATTATCATTAAATTCCTGAACCATCAGAAATAGAGCGTATTAAACTACGTAAAAACGACCCTACCTTAAATTAATATTATCCAAAAGTACCTGACCAAATGTTTTTATTTTCTAGTTTGCAAAAACATCGACGCAATGCGTGCGTGGAATCCTGCGTGATGACGACACCAACGTGCCGCGCAGAGAGGGGGGGGGGCGTGGCCAACCCGGCTGCAGCCAGATAGAGAACAGTGCGGCACTTTGTGGACGCGCACTCCTCGAAACTGTTGACTTTTCATCCGACAAAACCGACCGGAACACGCGAGCGGACCGGTACGTAGCGGCTCGGCACGGCTCGGTGGAGAAGACGCAGCGTGATATCGGCCTCCAGCCAATGAGCGGCCGTCCGCTCTGTTTACGCTGTCAGTAAGTTTGGGGACGGAAGCTTCAACTCGTTGTGTTTCTACGCAACGAGCTGAAGGTTCTGGTGAACGCGGAGGGTCGCGCTCCTTCCGCTCGGCGCGTTATCTCATAAACATCGGAAGGGTTGAAAAACAACAGGACGTGACGTACGAGGACAACAAGTAAATACGACTGCATGTTGTTTGTATTTGTTATGGAGGACATCCTGCGTTGTGATACTTTATTGCGAGTGCTTTATTGCGCCGTCAGTAATTACGTAGCCTGACGTTACAGCTTTATTGCCATGTCATGATTGAGCATCCTTATTCTATGAAGTCACGTGTCATTACACACGCAGACGTATTTGTTCACGTGTGTGATGCTGACTGTGGATGTGTCTCTGCAGCGTCTCGTCCCCGAGTGTCTCTGCAGCGTCTCGTCCCCGGGTTCCTCACAGGGGTTTAGAGTGTCTCTGCAGCGTCTCGTCCCCGGGGCCCTCACAGGGGTTTAGAGTGTCTCTGCAGCGTCTCGTCCCCGGGGCCCTCACAGGGGTTTAGAGTGTCTCTGCAGGAGTCAAGGTCAGCCGGAGGAGGAGGAGAGTGGCCGAGGGCCCTCAGGGGGAAACTTTGATTCAGGTAGTCACTTTGGGCTCAAAATTCTGACCAAACAAACAACCGTCATACTTTTGAGAGTTGATCTGAGAAAGCTTGTGCAGCCCTTTGCTCAGGTGATTAATAGTCATATGTTTGGGGATTAGGGCGTACTTATGGTGCCTTTATGCTCTCTCGTTCCTTAATGCAACGTGCATTCACTCACTTTGGTGTCACCGAATCTTTGTGCTTTTGCCACAAATCCAACAACTCGTTAGAGCCACTCTAATCGAGTTGACGAGGGTCGAGCTGACTCCTGTTGATTCACACTCATCTGTGTCTTCCTCTGCATCTGCCTTTCTTATGCCTTTCTTATTTCATATGTGTGTGCCTCTACATACAGACGCACACACATATGTATAAATATATACACAAATACATTGTGTGTGCGTCAGCCGCTGGTCTCATTTCCCGTCTGGTTTTAACAAATGGAGGAAGCAAAAGCCTGTTAGTGACATGCGATGAGGCTTCAGGTGGGTGGATGAAGCTCAGGTGGGTGGATGAGGCTCACGTGGATGTATGATGCTCAGCTGGGTGGATGGTTGAGGCTCAGGTGGATAATGCTTAGGTGGATGGATGAAGCTCAGGTGGGTGGATGAGGCTCAAGCGTGTGCATGACCCTCACTAGTGTGGATGGTTGATTCTCAGGTGGATGAGGCTCTATTTTGTTGGATGACACTCATTTGATGGGATGACGCTGATGCGCGCTGACGTATGACGCTCTATTGATTGGGTTGAGTCTCAGGAGTGTTGAATACTAAAGCTATGGATGGATATAAGCCTCGGGTGGATGGTTGAGGCTCGGGTGGCTCCTCGGTCTCATCGTCACAGTGAGGATGAAAGAGGTTGTGAAACATCTGTCACATGCAGACATGTGAAATATATGGGTATGGGTATATATGAGAAACAGATGGTTCCATTACCACAAATATATAACAACAAATGTGTTTAAAAGTCCATTAATACAGAACACAATAAATGTCATTAACCTTTGTTATGGTGTGAGCTCACACGGGCGTCTTCAGATGACTCAAAGGCCCAAATATGTTCCACTTATTATCAAACAAGACACAATAGTCTTGCTGACACAGAAATTCCACAAACAATACTTTTTGCTGATTGATCTGTGTTGTGTTCAGATCAGACAAATGTATTTGACCAATTTATTTGTGCCAAGAAGATGAAAATAAGTTAGTCGGATATTGTGTTTTTTTCCATTGAATTTGGCCTCTCGGTGCTTAATTCCATTATCTTCAGTCTGATGCAGCGCGGATGTTTCCAAAAGGGTCGGGATGGATTGACGAGCGGACGCACTGCTCTGCCGATGCTCGCATGCAACAGTCAAATTAATTATTGATGAGCTTTGGGGGAGAATGGAGAGGCATCAAAAGGGGAAGAGAAACGCGTGTGTGCGGTGCAAAGATAGGACCACCGCACCGGTGGCACTGCAACAAACGTGATTTGTGTCCCCACAGATTGCCAGATTGTCTTGATGAACCTCTTCCTCTGCAGAAAATATCTATTGTATGAAGCATTGAAGCGAGTATGAAGCAACATATCAACAATGCAAACAGTTTGTTTCAGGCAGAGAAAGAGTTAATGTTTTGTGGAGCCGCAAGAGAGAGAGTAAAGAGTGAGGAAGAGCGGGAGGGAGGAGGGAAAGCAGGAGGAAGAGGAGAGGCCGACGGCTGCAGTCTCTGCTTCGCGTTTGTTTACATCTGTCCTCAGTGTGCGTGCGTGTGCGTGTAAACTCACGCCGTCAGCAGCACTTGAACGGTGACGCTGGTTCGATGTCTGGAGGACGACATGTGAGCCGTCTGCGGGCATCGGGGAGGAAGTGCACCATCACTGCCAGATGCTGAGAGGTCGTCTACTAGTGCACAATGCTGCACAATGCTGCACAATGCTGCACAATGCTGCACAATGCTGCACAATGCTGCAGTCTTACCCACAAGTCACCGCTGTGCTGCGGGTTCAATAAAGGGGCAACGAGGAAAAGGCCGCCTGTCATTTGGTGAAAGGGAGCTCCGGTGATGGGTTTACTTCTGTAGGGAGACTTGATGTTTCAACACATCTGGATGGCTTGCAATGATATTGATTTTCTGGCATCCCTCGTGTCCCCTCGCTAGATTGACCCCTGGCGCTGGGCAACAATGGCCGCCATGAATCCCCCTCCCTCGCATTGTGGGAGGCGGTGCTTTCAGTTCTCTCAGAGAGAGAAACTCTTCCCTCGAGACGCTCACTTCTGCTTTCTCTTCAAACACATTCAGACTGATTCTTTTTTTTTTAAATCTTCCACTCCATCTTTGAGGCGATACTCTGTTTTGTGTCCAGGCCGGCTCTGTGGTAGGAAATCCCCTGAGCGTTTGGGTTACGCTTCTATGTTCAGTTGTTGTCTCTGTACTGTGTTCCTCATCATCTGGTTTGTGTTGAAACAAGTCCGCCTCCCTTTTATTAATGAGGAATCGGCTGTCTGGAGATATAAAGCCTGTGATGATATGTGAAACACGCAGCAGCAGCTAAGTGTTACAATGAAGCTTAAGACACTTCCTGAAACATCAAGGAAGTGATGCTACACACACACACACACACACACTTTTACTTTTCTTTTGTTCGACACTCTTTGTTGAAGTGAGAACATTTATACCGTCACAGTGATGAACTTTAATGCAGTGAGATGGTTTTTATTCTCTTAGGCTGCTTAGGGACACTGATAACTAATCAATAGTGTAATCAAACTCATTTACTTGAGTGAATAACTTCATGTGGAACATATTTCTCAATCTAAACTATGTAAAAGTGGAAGATCTAACAGCTCTTTACTTTTACCTTAATTAGTGTAAATGTGCCTGAGAAAGATGCAGCTGAGATATAACCAACATGCACATGACAATAACTGAATAACCAACATGCACATGACAATAACTGAATAACCAACATGCACATGACAATAACTATATAACCGACATGCACATGACAATAACTGAATAACCAACATGCACATGACAATAACTGAATAACCAACATGCACATGACAATAACTATATAACCGACATGCACATGACAATAACTGAATAACCAACATGCACACGACAATAACTGAATAACCAACATGCACATGACAATAACTGAATAACCAACATGCACATGACAATAACTGAATAACCAACATGCACATGACAATAACTGAATAACCAACATGCACATGACAATAACTGAATAACCAACATGCACATGACAATAACTGAATAACCAACATGCACATGACAATAACTGTATAACCAACATGCACATGACAATGACTGTATAACCGACATGCACATGACAATAACTGAATAACCAACATGCACACGACAATAACTGTATAACCAACATGTACATGACAATAACTGTATAACCGACATGCACATGACAATAACTGAATAACCAACATGCACACGACAATAACTGTATAACCAACATGTACACGACAATAACTGCGTTAGAGAGGTGTGTGTGTGTGTGTGCGTGTCAGAGGGTGGGTGATGCTCTTTTTCATGTGAAAAGGCTCCAGCTGCTCCGTCCCTCTAAAGAGATTATTCATGCTTTATTCTAATGCCAATCCCCCCCCCCCCACCCGCCCACACACACACACACACACACAGGGACCTCTGTTTTGGGCTCAATGGACCCACACGGGGGCCAACGTGTTTTTGACAGGACGGGCCTCAGTCTTTATCTTTAGTTTTGAAAGCAAATGTCCACTTTCGTCCTTCCATGATGTGGACAAACACAGAAGACAAGCGTGTGGTGAATGAGGGAAACAGAACTGACTTTAGGTGCAAATCTTAAATGTGGAAACGTGAACCTTTTTTGTGAGGTTTTGTGACTCGAGAAGTAAAACATGCTGTCGTGTGTCTTTCCAGATTGTCAACTTCTGCCGCCCACACTGAACCTGGATCAGTTCCTTCCTTTTCTTCTTCACCCGACAGACTGAGAAGACGTCCGACAAACCAACGTTCAGCCATAAACCCTGTGAGAAAAATCACACACACATTACATGTCGGACACATCCATGAGAAGACACGTCGGGTCCTTTCCGTCGCACGACCTCCTCTTCCTTCTTTCCCGCTGTTTTATTCTGAAATCTGGAGTTTAGCTTTTTAATAGCAGGTGTTTTTTGTTTTTAAGCCGGTTCACACTGTTAAAAATAACCAAAATCCACCTTGTGAATCCTTGATAGGGGTTTTAGTCAGGGGCTCTGGCCCAGGTGTGTGTGTGTCTGTGTGTGTGTGCATGCTCTCATTCATGTGACTTCCAGGCCGACACACATCCACTGACACACCAGTCTAAATCTGGAGCTCCCTTTTATGGCGTCTTTTCCCCCTCAGTGAGGCTTCCGAGCTGCTTGCTTTGACCTCCCCGTGCTGGTGGTTTATTTTCCGGCGCCACGTGACCGTTATGGAGGCAGTAGATACCGCGGGCCCGCCCAAACCACTCCATCGATTTGAGGCGTCACATCTGTCGCCCGTCGCCGGTTATTTTGTGCTCGATGTGGCAGCACATTGAGGATTAACAGGACAAATATAAAGATTTATTGAGTTCAGCTCAGTAAGGAATAATACACGACACATAAATACGCTGAATTTTCACCCAAGCAATGAAGTTGATGCTCTGCACGAGGTGTAGAAACCCGCCGTTTGATGAGTGAACTCCTCTGTGTTTTTTTGGCTTGGGCTGTGGAAAATTGTGGCTCCAGTTGGCCGAGACGCTGGAAACTTTCTTTTCTTTTGGAACAGAGACCCCGATCCGTCCCCTCATATTCTCCGGTGCTGCAGGAATCGTATTCTAGCATTAGCTTCTAATCAATACTAGAGGAACTGGAGATTCCACCCATCAGCAAGTAGGACACTAACTACTAACCCACAACCACAATTAAACAATTATGTCCAACAAAAGCTCAGCGGGGAGGTTTAAAGAAAATCCAGAAGTGACCAAGATATGTTTTGAAGCGGAATTATCGACACGCACTGAAATAACTAGACCACAGCGTCTAACTAGACCACAGCAGCCACGGTCCCTTGCGCTGGCCAAACGGGCTAATTGCTCTTCACCGAACTGGGACAGAGGGAGCGACGGCAGCAGAAGGAAGAGCCGCTCCGGCACGAGGAGGGAACACAAAAGGAAAGTGCAGCACCGAGAGCAAGACTTGAGTCTCTAACATCTTCCCATGGTGGGAATAAATGGGCACACGAGAGGCTAATTCAGAAGTTCCGATGACGCCCGTCAATACACACCTGTTGTACTGTTATGCCCTTTGTCTCCACGGACGCACACTTTACAATGCACGTTAAATTTAGCCTCATTTTCAGACAAAGCTCGCTCTGCGTGTCGAGTTTGTTAAACCCGACCTGTCGTTTCTCACCCAGAGAGCGGTGGGTCTTTGCAGAAAGAGGGGCGCCTCCCATGGGAGTGTGTGACCGCGAGTGCGCATGTTCACACGGGACAGGGCCGGCATGGCGGGCGCCCGCACGCAGAGGCCGTGGTCGGTGTACCGGGAAAGCACGTTGGAGCTGTCCAGCGAGATGATCAGCTTGGCTCTGGCAGGTATTATCAACGCCGTGGCGTCCTTTTTCTATCAGTTCATGAGTTGATGGGTGGATAATATTAACGGGTAGGTTCTAACGTCCCGGCTGGAACTTGTTGTCTCAATTAATGAACCGTTTGGTCCGTACAATGTTTGGAAAAATAGATGTTTATGTTGAAATTCATTTTACAATAATATAAAACTACGAAAAGCAGCCTCACCAACGAGGCTTCTTGTTTCCTTTTGTCATGTCGTGTGCAGGAAACAGTCAGGACCCGGACGCGCCCGTGCTGGAGTTTAGTGTGGGTGAGTAGCACGGTTCAGGCCTCGACTCCTCCATCGTTCTCATCGTTCATCATGAGATGCAGGTCGGCAAAGTACGCAGCCGATGTTTGAAAGCTTTGTGCACTTTTCGTCCCTTTGTTGTTCCGCGTCGCCCCCATCCAGCCTGCGCCGACCTGCTGACCCCCGCGATGGATCGCAAACCCAACAGCTTCGTCGCAGTGAGCTGCACGACGCCGCCGCAGGCCTTCTGGACCAAACACGCCCAGACGGAAGTCATCGAGGTGAGACCCCCTAAAGTTTCAGAGGGGCCGTTTACACGTGTGACGCGTGGTCGGTAACCCGCTGTGACCGGTTCCGTCTCCAGGGCACCAGCAACCCCACCTTCCTCAGCAGCATCGCCTTCTTCCAGGAGTCCAACATCGACCAGCAGACGCAGGTGAAGGTGGTCGTCTACGACGTGAAGGACCGCTCGCAGGGCACGGTACGCGCTCTTGTCTTTGTCGGACCTTTAGGTGCGCACGGACCCGTCCGTGCACGTGTTCTCTGGGGTCCGCACCTGAAAGGGAGAGAAGAGGAATCGCCTTTCTGTCTCTTTGCAGATGTACATGTTGGGCTCGGCACTATTTCCTGTGAAAGAGTTGTTGCAAGAGAGGAGCCACCAATTACAGCTCGAACTGAGGTAACACACACACAGACACACACACACACACACAGAAAGGGCTGTTTGTGTTTTAGATTTTGCAACGTATTCATATTTCATCAATTTAAGGCGTGAAACCCAAAGTGCATGCATATAAACATCATCTTCTTTAATATACAGGAAATGCTTTCCGTCCTTGCACATTTTTTTTTTTTAAATCACCATTTTTTGAGTAATGGTTTTGTCTGTGAATTTCCATAAATGCACCTGAATGGACAGATCGGCAGAGAACCAGCGGGTGGGGAACATCACCGTCGCTGCCTGGCAGATGGAGGAGAGAGCCGATCAGAGGACGCCGGTCGGACGCCTGCCGGACAACATCGGCGGGCGGGTGAGAACCGTCAAATGAAATGTCTCTGTTCAGTCCAATTCTGGTGTTTGTTTACTTCAAGTGGAGGCGGTTGCGACTCGTCTCATTCCCTGCAGGCCACAGCGGCGCCGCCGAGGCGTCTTCTCAATCTGTGTGCGTGTGACGTGCTTTATAATCCGACAATAAGTCAGTTAAGCGCCTCCGTGTCATCGTCAGACGCGTCAGAGCGACTAACGCCAGAGCGTCGCGTCTCTGTAGGCGCACAGTAGAGTGGAGCGTTGTCCTGAGGGAGTGAAACAGAGGGATAGGAGGCGGCTTGAAGACCCCGTGTGTGTGCGTGTGTCCTGCAGACGGTGCTGCCCGTCGACGAGAGCCTCACCGAATCCATGGGAGTCCGGATAAAGTACGGCTCGTTGTGCAGAGACACCCTGCTGCGCTCAGGTACGACGGCTCGCTCACGGATTCGTACGTGCCAACTTTCGGTTTGGTGGTTCAGGTTTCGCTCAACTCACACATGACTGAGAGAGTGTACTGTACAGACAATTATACAAATATCAGTGTATCGATAATTATATATATATAAAAAAATATTATATATATATAAAAAAATATATGTATATAATATATATATATATTTTATATATATTATACATTTTATATATATTATACCCCTTTCCAGAAAGCGTGCAAATACAAGTGTATCGATAATTATATATATATATATATATATATATAAAAATGATATATATATATTTTATATGTATATATATATACATAATATATATATATATATATATATATTTTTTATATGTATGTATATATATATATACACATAATATATATATATATATATATATATTTTATATATATATATATGCCCTGCGATTGGCTGGTGACCAGTCCAGGATGTACCCTGTCTATCGCCCGAAGTTGGCTGGAATCCCCCCCCGCGATATGTCTTTTGTTACATCAGACCTCAGGTCCCATCATCGGGTAGAAATGTATCGATCGAGTCTGTTCGGTCGGATCCGTCGACATCAAACCCGGGCTGATCACATGTTCTGCTCCTTCAGTGTTCGGGGGCACGATGTACAGGATGTACCGCCTCCCGACCACCGAGGGGAACCACCTGCGGGTGCTGGAGCAGATGGCCGAGAGCGTCCTCTCGCTCCACGTCCCCAGGCAGTTTGTCAAGCTGCTGCTGGAGGAGGACGCCGCCAGGTGACCACAGACAAAACCGGTCAATGCGGCGCCGGGGGGGGGCGGGGCGACGTGGGGCCGCGTCCCTGACGTGTGCTCGTTGTTGTCCCGCAGGGTGTGCGAGCTGGAGGAGCTGGGAGAGCTTTCCCCCTGCTGGGAGGGCCTGAGGCGACAAATCGTGTCCCAGTACCAGACCATCATACTCGCGTGCCAGGAAAGCGTGTCGGACCTCAACGCCTACCGAGGTCAGGGTCCGTTTCTGGTTTTCCCCTTGTTCCGTCTCTGATCATTTTCCCTCGTGACGGCTTTCTGTCCTGTCTCCTCGTCAGGTCCGTTGTTCAAAGCCAGCAGCCTGAAGGCGGAGAGGAAGCTGGAGTTCATGCCCACCAACCTCCACGTGCAGAGGATGAGGGTGCGGGACGAGCTGGGCCTCGGTGAGAAGAGAAGAGAACCACGCGCGCAAAAATCGATGCAACCAGTCCTTCACACCACTGACGGCCTCCTCTTCCTTCCCCAGAGCACACGTACGACGTGGTCACTGTCGGAGCTCCGGCGGCGCACTGCCGGGGCTTTAAGAACGGCGGATTGAGGAAACTCATTCAGAAGTTCAAGGAGGCAAAGAAACAGTAAGTTCACAGGACACTCGACCACGGCGATATCCGCTGTTTCTGTTGATTTCTTCACCCTGCTGCTATTTCCAATTGCTTCAACATTTGATTCAAACGAAAGGTGGTTCTATTTTGATTTGGCCGCTCGCCGGAGTCAGTTTTACATTGAAACAAATGACTGCATTGTTCGGTTTTATGGCTCCCTCTTAATTTTGTTTCTGTTACTTCTTGTGGATCAGCGTGTGTGAGGAGGAACGGTGAGTTGTTGCACCGCTTTGCTTCCGTCTCCGTCTGTGCGTCCTCGACCGCCACGTGTGCCCCGCAAAAGAAAAACCTGCCACCACGTTTAGGGATTTTTTTTTTTCCAGACGCCAAATGATGACCCATGATGCACTTTAACACTGTTGTGTGTAATGTTTGTTGTCCCAAAAAGAGCAGAACACAAAGGTTGTTTAAATATCTCCTCGTCAAAGGCGGCATTGAGGCTTTAATGAGAATGTTTCCCATTTAGACTCTTAAGTTTAATGTCGTGTGCGTGTTTAAGTATCATAAGGGCCGTTAGTAAGAACACGCATGTGCATGTGCAGGCCTAGATGTCGATCTAAAAGATGGAGGCTGGACAGTCGGGTTGTCTTTCCTTTGCATTTGGAGGACTCCACGCACGCGCGGCTAAAAGCAGCTGTCTCTGCTTCCCGCAGCAGCGCGCTCTCCAGCTCGCAGTCCATCGTCTTCATACCTCAGGACATCGTCCGCGCCAAAGAGATCATCGCCCACATCAACACGCTGAAGACTCAGGTCGGCTACTACGCCGAGCGCCTCTCCCGCGCCGCCAAGGACCGCTCCGCCAGCGGACTGGAGAGGACGCTCGCCATCCTGGCTGATAAGGTGTGTAGCGCTAACCGCGGGCGTCACTCGAGGTGGGTTATTTTGGTTTGATGAGGTGTGACGGATACTCGCTCTCAGACCCGCCAGCTGGTGACCGTGTGCGACAGCAAGCTGCTGGCCTCGGCCATCCAGGCCCTGAACGCAGCGCGGCCCGAGTACATCGCCTCCAAGGCGTCTCCCTCCGCCGACTCGGAGCAAGTAGTCCTGCGCAACGACCAGGACACGCTGCTCGCCAAGTGGAGCGGCTCCAGCAGCCGGTCCTCGCTGCACGTGGACTGGCACGAGGAGGAGTGGGTGAGTTAGGGGAAGTTATCCGGGCAGTGGTCTGATATTTATCTTGCTATCTGCGATCGCTCCGTTCGTAGCCTTCCTTCCATGGCCATGTGTGTGTGTGTGTGTGTGTGTGTGTGTGTGTGTGTGTGTGTGTCCTTTCAGGAGAAGGTTTGGGTGAATGTGGATAAGTGTCTGGAGTGCATCATCCAGCGTGTGGACAAGCTGCTTCAGAAGGAGAGGAGGCCCAGCCTCGTCAGGCACGACAGCGCCCACTCCGGCCTGCAGGGCGGCGCCAGTCAGAAAGGTAGCGCGCACTCATCGCGTCCAATACCCTGGGCTTTTGTTTAGTGTATAAGTGTCACAAATTATTGAGGGTTTATGTGTGAATTTGTGAAGAAAGGTGTGTATAGATTTTTTGGTTTTCTTTATCTACTTACTGAACCCTTTTTAATTATGTTTCTTGTTTGTCGTTAGAAAGTAAGTTGTTTGTTTGTTGACTACAAAAGGGAACAAATAAACTAAATTATAATTATGCAACTTCGAAAAGGTTTTTACAAATAAACAATAGTAACAAATAAACAGCAATAGTCCATTTATATATTAACATGTAATAAATTACATTTTACTTTAATGAGTATGAATTAACACTGCTTTGTATGGCTGTGAAAGGTGAAGAAAAAAGAGCTTTCTGGATCAATCCAGGAAGTACACCCCAGGATTCTCCATCACTACGACCACCATCATCATCATCATCATGCCTGCCTCCACCCTCCTCTTCCTCTCTGCCCGCCCTCGCCTCTGCACAGGAATCCTGTAGGTTTAAATGTGTCTGTCAGCTGCGTTGCAGAAAAGGGAAGCTGCAGTTCAGGCTTTGTGTGTTGGTTACGCCCTGAAGAAGGATATTAAGCACCTTTTATTTCAATCACGAGTCCGACTTTATGCTCCAAACGAAATGTTTTTTGGATGGATGGTTGACCCTGGTCGTGTAGTGTTTTCTGTGTGTGTCTGCTGCCTCGTTTGTGCTGCAGCGCCCGCTAATCACGCACGTTGCACCTCCATCCTCTCTTCAGATGGAAGCCCCGGTGCTGAGGAGGCGTATCCAGGTAAGAGCTGCTGCCCCTTTGTGGATAATATCAAGTTGGGAAACGTGGGGCATCTATGACCCTAAGTCACAATTTTTCAATGTATTCTTTGGGAGAAAACTCTTCAGTCCTGTCCTGACCCCGTGGAGTTCTTCCCCTCTCAGCGCTTCTGCTTTTGCTGTCGCTCCTCCGTCGCGCCTGTTTTGCGTCCCGGCGCCGTCGTGGCTGAATATCGCCGTGTTGGTGTTTTTGGCCCCGGCTTCACTTCCCCGCCCCGCGTCTTCCTGTGTGTTTCCAGGCGAGTGGAGCGAGGCCTTGTACCCCCTCCTCACCACGCTCACGGAGTGCGTCGCCATGATGAGCGACAAGGCCAAGAAGTCCATGGTGTTCCTGCTGATGCAGGACAGCGCCCCGACGATAGCCATGGACCTGTCGCTGCAGTGCCGCCGCGACGTCGTCTTCTGCCAGACGGTGAGGACGGCCTCCCCACTTACGTCAGCGAGGAGAGTTTATAAATCTCACAAAGTGAGGCAGAGGACGGGATTTCTTCCCCTGCAGGACACTTGCTTCTCTCCGGACGTCTACGTCTTCAGGCAAAAGTTAAAATAAGCATCCGTGCACAGAGGAAAAATCCAGGGAGTGCATTTTTGTCTTAGAACTTTATTTGTGCGGCCTCTTATTATGGGGTGGTAGGTATTGTTGACGTGGGATCTCCTCTCAGTTTTACAACCGCATTGAGCAAGATTCACACCAGGGGAGTAAATAGTTGTAATAACTAAAGTGCAGTAGCGATCTGAATAAGAAGCAGCCAGAACAACTCGACAGTATCCGAACACAACCAGACAATTCTGATTCCCCTTTTTCTCCTCAGCCTTTTATTTAAAACACAGGATTTTGTACAGAAACCACAAACATGCTCTACTTTGTCTAAATATAACACGACAAAACCCATCACAGATCATCTTACTGAAACTAATGCATCAAGTTAGGAATAACATTTAAAAGTTTGCCTTATTTCCTTAAAAACGATCCATTTTAATAATGATATTAGTTGTGCTTGATACAATATTGACCTAATTACTGTGTACCATTTTGGGGATGCAAGAATCATCTACACACAAGTATAAGCTGTGTGTTTGTGTGTCTGCGTGTGTGTGTCTGCTGCAGCTCACCGCTCTCATCTGCGGCTTCATCATCAAACTGAGGAATTGTCTCCGTGACAACGGATTCCTCCGGCAGCTGTACACCATCGGCCTGCTGGCGCAGTTTGAGTCCCTGCTCAGCACTTATGGTGCGAACACACACACACACACACACACACTCTTCTTTCCCGGCCGAACCTACGACAGTTGGGAGGTTAAGCGGTTATCTCGGTTCTGTTGGTCCCAGGAGAGGAGCTGGCCATGTTGGAGGACATGAGTGTCGGCATCATGGATCTCCGCAATGTCACCTTTAAGGTAGTAAGACGTCCCATAATGCTTGTGAGAAATAAATTAAAAGCTCTTTTTAAATGTGCTTTTTTATTGACTTCATCACTTTTTGCAGTTATTTGAGTCAGATAATTTGTTCTTTTAGTGGTTCCAGCTCTGAGATCTGAATATGTGATGCTTTTATTTTCATAGAAGTTATATTTAAAACTTTATTATGTCTTTTATAGAATGTTATTAGTTCTTTTTGGTAAGTAATTGTTTGTTGTAGCAAAACAAAACTTTGAGACCTTTTTTTTTTTTTTCATCCACTCGGCTACCAGGTGACCCAGGCCACCGGAAGCTCCGCCCCCGACATGTTGCCCATCATCACGGGGAACCGGGACGGCTTCAACGTCCGCATCCCGCTGCCAGGGGCCATGTTCGACGCGTTGCCGCGGGAGATCCAGAGCGGCATGCTGCTGAGGGTGCAGCCGGTGCACTTCAACGTGGGCATCAACGAGCAGCAGACGCTGGCTGAGAAGTGAGTGAGGAGGAGGAGGAGGTCCGATTCACCCGCGCTGCTCCTCCGTGAGAAACAAACGGCGTTTCCTCTGTGTTCAGGTTCGGAGACACGTCCCTGCAGGAGGTCATCAACCTGGAGAGTCTCTCCAGGTTAAATTCGTACTACGAACAGTTCAAGGAAGTCCTGCCTGAAGACTGTAAGTGAAAAAGTTCAGCAGTGAAGATGCTGCAAGTACACTTTCATCACCCGCCCCCTGTCTCCCCCTCCTGAACCCCCCCCAGGCCTCCCGAGGTCTCGTTCTCAGACGTGTCTCCCCGAGCTGCTGAGATTTCTGGGCCAGAACGTCCACGCCAGGAAAAACAAGAACGTGGACATCCTGTGGCAGGCGGCCGAGGTGAAGCTCCGTTGTGCACGGCCGAGGAGATTTCCGTCCGCTGTTGCTCTTCGTGAAAGCCTTCTCCGTGCGATTACATGTGGAGTAAAATCCCGGTGTCGTTTCTCTGCGTCTCAGATCTGCCGCCGGCTCAACGGCGTTCGATTCACCAGCTGCAAAAGCGCCAAAGACCGCACGGCCATGTCGGTGACGCTGGAGCAGTGCCTGATCCTGCAGCACGAGCACGGCATGGCGCCGCAGGTCTTCACGCAGGCCCTCGACTGTATGCGCAGGTAGGACGACACAATGACAACGCAGCAGAGGGCGTGCGACTTTAAAGCCGCCGCCGCCGCCGCCGCCCCCCTCTGGGAAGCGAACCGGGTTCATCTCAAAGGGGGCGCTTCCATATTTTCCGTGGGTCGTTTACTTCACCACAGGTTTCCGTTTATCTGACCTCCACGTCCACAGGAGCCTCTTGCCGTGCGTGCGTGCGTGCGCGTGCGTGTCGAGTGCTCGCCGGTGTGTTTGTGCGTCGGCTCGTCTACGAGTCCGCCCCTCTTTGTCTCACCTCCGCCGTCCTTTCTGTAAAAGAAACGGCACATTTAACACACAAAAAGACTCACAGAAGTGACCCGAATGAAAACGGTGACAGGCGGAATTCAACGTGCCAAACGGAGCTTTATCCGTTGTTACAGCAAACGGGAATTTGGTTGTTTCTGCTCAGGAGGACAGAAGAAGGTCCGATTGCTCTCAGACACAAATGAGCGATGATAAGTTTCAACCTCGCGTTTGTATCTCTGTGACTTTGTTGGGTTTCGTTGTGAAAACACCGGTGTGATCACAGCTGTCTGCGTCGTTCGCATGACATCACATCTCTTCATCTCTTCACCCCCCCCTCTTTTCTCCTCCTCTCCCTCACTCCCTCTCTCTGCCTCATCAGCCAACCAGCATGAAAGCAGCTTTTTATCATTATTAGAGCTTCATCATGGCTGCTAGGAATGCGATGCACGTTGGAAAAAGCTTAATGTTCTACCCTTTTCCTCCATTACACCATTTTTCCCTTCTTAGCTGTGATAAGGAGTTAATAAATATAAATATATATAAAGACAAATGTGCACGTTAGCTTTGTTGGCACGTTCTGGTTCTTGTCCTTTAACGGCATGCAGGGACATTTGGTGTAAATGAGTCTCTTCTAAAAGTCCCTGAACGTCTCATTTAAAGTGTGTTTTATTAGACATTTTTCTCCTCATCCCATGTCTTAGAATTTATAAACATGGTGAGTTTTTTTTCTTCTCTCCTTTATCTGATAGATGTAGAAACATCTTTCTTAATTTCTCTTTTTCTCTTTCTCTTTTTCCCCCCTTTCTTCCTCTGCTTCCCTCTGTGTTTATTATCTTCGTCATGATTTGGATTCCATATGATTTGTATTAATCATTGTTGTGGTCGTTATTTCTATCACGTGGGAACCGCTGTCTGTCATCGTGTTTTTGGCTTCTTTGTGGGGTCACCTGTTACTTTCTGTCATTTCCCCCCTTGGCCTCCTCACGCCGTCTCTTCCTCCTCCTCCTCCTCCTCCTCCTCTTGTTCCATCTTGCAATATTTTCTTTCCCCATTTCCTCCCCCTCCTCTTTTTGCCCCTCTCACCACATCTGTTTCCTTGGCTCCTTTTTTTTTTTACTTTTATCTATCAAACTTCCCCCCCACCTCCTTTGTCGCCGCTCCGCGCCTCCTCTTCCTCCCCGCCTTCACGTGACCCGGCAGAGTTGGCACGAGGGAGGGGGTGATCCAGAAGAACCTGAGCGGCTTGCTGCCGGTGCGAGACCTCCGGCTGGACCCGGGCCTCCTGTACTCGCTGCCCCTGCTGGCCCTCAGCCCCAACCTCCTGGTGGTGTGGATCTTCCTCAGCGTGGCCTACTTCCTGGCCAAACTCCGCTGCAGCTGAAGGGGCCACGGGCGGCTCTCCACGCTGCTACTGTGCGGCATGTACATACTGTCCCACCCGGACTCTGGCTTTCACGTAGCGGCGCCCCGTGCGTTAACCGCAAAGCTCCAGCGAGTTTGCGTTTTGTTTAAGGGCGCTTCCTTTTTCTTGCGAGCTGCCAAAAAATAATAATATCACGGGTTTGCTTTTGTGAGACGGCGGATGTGGCCAGAAGCTCGAGGGCCGAACCCGTGTGTTGCCGTTTAAAGTGAGTGAGACTCGCTCTTCACAGCATTCGGGTGCCTGTGTAGATTCGACAAGCCGCTTTATATTTCATGCAGTGGTTTCCCAGGCGCTTCTCCAGGCGAGTCCAGGACGGCTCTTAACGAAGGTTAGAACAGGTAAAAGTAGACGCATTTAGGATGTATAAAGATGGGGTCAAAGGTGAATTGGCCTCTATGGTGTGCGTGCTGCATAGCGCCCTCTGATGGACAAATATGCAGGTGTCTTGACGGTAACTTTTAGAATAGAAATCTTTGTTTGTGCAGTTTGTTTGGCTGTAGTAGCGGGGAAACTCTCTTAATCTGTGCCAAAATGAAGTAACTATATGTATTTATTTACATTTGTACATATTTCTATGCAGTACTTGCTGATTTTCTTCCTTTAAGTCTTCCTGCTTCTCTAGACAGAACGAGGTGTTTGACCTCTTCATGCACTTTCCAGCTGACCTCGGGTCACTTCTTACCAATATCTCCATTTAGACTCAAATGCCTCATTTCAGTTAACTGTGTGTTTACTTCTATTTCGTGGGATTAAATGTTTGGTATTCTTTGCGTACCTTGTGCATTAGCACGACATGCCGGGCCTTTCGTTGCATTTCCCTGCGTAGCAGAAACAAAGTCGTCCGATGGGCTGATGCTGGAACGCAGCTCCGTAGGATATTCGGGGGAGTGTGTTTGTTTGTGCACAGCGGTGCCGTCGGTTCTGTTCACGAGGACCCGTTTACATTCATTCAGACGTGAACTACAAGTTGCAGCTTCAGCAGTTTGTTTCAGCTTTAAAGCGTCGCGTGAAGGAGCCGATGAGCGGATGGGGATTGTGTGCCAAATGCTTTGTGAGCTTGTTGGAAGTGGTCGTTTGATGGTCATAGCTTTCTTTGCACGTTAGAAACCTGCTCAGTGGAGATCGATCTCTTCCTCTGTGAGTTTGCAGGCTCCATCTCATTAACATCGACCCAGTAAGGAAAGGGAGCAGACCCAGAATAGCCTCCCGTGGGAGTGATGGCTGCTCCGGTGACCCTCTGTACTCGAATGCGAGTGTGTGAGGATCCGGGAGGGATTAAATATCTCTCGGCATACTTTCCTGTGCTTGTTTTTGTATTTGTCGCCTGGTAGAAGCACACGTGTGTTGTAAATTCCCACTTTGTGTATCTTCAGCGCTTCAACCTGAAAGGTAGCTAAAATGTAAAACCCTTTGATTTAACTTGTCACTCCCTGTGTTTTAACTTTATTTCCAGTTAAGGACTACCTCTGTGAGACGGAAGCTATAGAGTTGATATCAAAGAAGTATATATTCATTTATAAATGCATTTAGCAGAGAAATGTGTAGTGATATAATCACTGAGCAGCAGGGATGTGATTATTTAAATGATTAATATCACAATTATTTTGTCACACTTGTGTGTAGTTCCACTAAAGTGCTTCCTTCGTTTGAACGCTGAGTCATTGACCTTCTTTGTCTTTGTTTTATTCTGAAGAATCCAGATGTATCAGAGAATATATTTGCATTGCTGCACATAAATCGTATTTATGTATTGCCAAGACGTTTGCTCCATGTTGTCTTAAATTATTCCAAAGCAGATTATCTATAATCTACAATATTATCACGCTTGTGCTGCTGTCACTTTATATTTAAAATGCAAGTTTATTTTGGTTTGTTCAATTTGTACAACCAGCTGGCATGATGACAATTTGCACTTTTGCTCTGAGCCCCGATATAAGGGATGTTTAAAACATAAGTTATATTGTGTGAACATGCCATTTATGATGGTAATAACCTGTAACAATAACTGTGTTAGTTACCAAATGACGTGTTTCTCCGTTATCATCTCCCACTCCGAATGTGTTGAGTTTCTATGGGTATATTTCAAAAGTGACAGATGATGATGATGATAGAGTTGATGCTCTAAATGTACAATGAAGCCCAGAAGCCCTCCAGTCGCAGTGTCCCTGAACGCCCCATCCCTGCTGTAAACAATAATTGATATTATTAAACAACAAACGCCCCGTGCATCTCCTCCTGCATCTCTTCACCGACTCTAACTCCTTCTTTTCTGCGTCTTGTGTGTGTGTGTGAGCGCTGCTGCAGCGCGTTAGTTAGTTTAAAAGTGTTTACTGGCCTCTTCTGGCCGCCAGCTGCTCGTTTCTCTAACAAACGAAGCGATGCGTCCTTTGAGGACCCGATGCATTACGTCATCAAGTCATTTGTTGATTGAACACGATCTGGACTCCCGGCAGAGTAAGTTTCACTCCTGCTCGTCTCACAGCGACCTTCACCTCTTCATTGGTTTCACCCTCGTCTCTGCTTCGTTTCTCCTCAGCGAGGGCTGCAGACGTGAAAACACCGTGAAGAACGTGGGATGCCGAAAGTACGCCTTCAACTCGCTGCAGCTCAAGGCCTTCCCCAAACACTACCGCCCCCCCGACGGCACCTACGGGAAGGTGGAGACCTGATTGGACCACATTCTGCGCAACACGCTGAACGTTGAGCTGTGTTTTTTTTATTTCTTATTCTGAAGATGTACTTGAAACTACACTGCCTCTTGATACCATCCATATCGCCCCACAAGTGAGAATCAGGAGGACCTCCTGCTTAGATTGAACTAGATAGAAATAAAAGAGGCCGTTGTCTGCCGTCGACCTGCAGTATTTGTACAATTGAATGTCTAGAAGCCTTCAATGAAACTTTATTGTTGTAAACAGAATTCATGAAAATATCAAAAACTGGTACTCGGCCCAAAGCCGGTAAAAACGTGTCACAGATATATGGTTTGACCTTTATGCCTCACAGGTCTTTGCTTAATCATTTCACCGTCCCTTTGGAATACAGAAGGCGTTACTCGCTTACGGGTTCCCCTTCGCAGAGGGAAACGGTCGAGAGCGTCCTGCTTGTTTTACACGCCACCTGCAGAACACGTAGCACCCTTCAGCAGAACTTCTGTGGCGCCGACCGTTGAGGAGCTGTAACTTGGTTGAATGTGAAGAACACTGGACTGAACTTTGCAATGACGTCACAAAGCTGCCAAATTAGAAAATAACTTCAATGAAACTGAATCTTAATTTGATGAATGAATCGATTGTTAGCGGGTGCAGACGGGCAGCTTTGTGTTCCACGTTTTGTTTCTATGCAATTTGTTTGACATGTGAACGAAGCACATGGCGTTAACAAAATAAGACATTTAGAGCTCAAATAAGAAGCAGCCAAAGCGAGCTAAGACGTATTATTTTGCGTTGGGACATTTCTTGGCATTTCCTCACCGTTTATTTGCAATGACCAATCCGTAGCACACGGTGGAGCCCGCGCTCCACCCTCAGGGACTGAAAGGTGAAGCACTGTGTCCCACTCGCTGCAGAAAGACATCCGTCCTTTATTGGCTTCATCAATCAAATGAGTGCTTTTTGTTGTAGATTATAATTACTTTCTGTGAGGAGAACATCTGTGAAGGTTTGAACGGGGCCATTTTTTAGAACGTGTCATTCATCATCTGTTGCTGAAATAAATATGTATTTTGTTTTGTTTTTATATTTAGACACATATTAATTTTACAGTAATGTATCAATGTAAATTGAAGTATTAACCTTGACGATTTTCATGTCAATAAAGGTCACTGTTTAAAGCACCACAGGAGTTAAGAGCGCTCGTAAATTTGATGAAAATGTTACATATTTTCCAGCTTTTCTCCGATGCAGCGGTAATTGGTTGGTCGTCTCATCTGGTCTTTGCAGTGAAGAGGCACCAGGATGCAGCCTGAACTCCCAAAGGTCTCTGAAACCAGAAGCAACACGGGACACTCTGAGAAGCCCACGCGTCCACCGATCTCCAGACCGCTGTCCGTGTGGCTTCCTGGGTGCTTTGCTATCACGCTGCATGTGTTCTCCTCAAGAGTCATGAGCGCGTGTGTCCTCCCGCGGCGCCGTGCTCCGTGACCTCTTTCACAGCCTGAAGGGTTTTATTCCAATGCTGAAGTTCTTTGTGTGTGCACTCATTTCCCCCCCAGCGTGTCCCTGCAGCCCCCCTTAATTCCATTTCATGGGAGCTCGTTTTCCTCAAGGTGGCTCCAGCAGGTGTGTGATTGTGTGTGTGTGGGTGTGTGTGTGTGTCTGCATGATGGAGGCGTCATCCGATGTGTGACCAGAGGGCCTAATTGCAACAGACCAGATGAAAGATCCTAGAAGTTTGTTAAATGTTAAAGCTGATGTCTGTGGGAGGGGGGGTTGTTGCTCTCATACTTAAAGTCTCACCCACGATCATCGATTAGTTGAGGTCACGATTGATTCATTCACAGCAACAGTCACATGAAACCCTGAACGAATTGCCCAACACACCCCTCCCCCCCCTTCCTCTTGCGGGTGGGTATAAATTACGCAGCGCGCCCTCCGCCCGACACATCACGCACCACCCGCCATGAACGCCGTCTTCCTCATCGGCCAGGTCACCGGCGTGGCCTCCGTCTGCTGCATCCTCCTCTTCGCCGTCGGCAGGCTGCTGTCCCGCCGGCGCGGCGGCGGCGGCGTGCAGGACGGCGACGGGCGCGCGGTGCTGATAACCGGCTGCGACAGCGGCTTCGGACACCAGCTGGCCCGACGCCTGGACCGCCACGGCTTCGTGGTGTTCGCCGGGTGCTTGTGTCCGGAGGGGCCCGGGGCCCGCAGCCTGGTCCGGGAGAGCTGCGGCAATGTGACCGTCCTCAAGCTGGACGTCACCAGCGACGCGGAGGTGCAGCAGGCCAAGAGGGTGGTGCAGGAGAACCTGCCGGAGAAAGGTGAGGGTCCGAAGAGTGGAGATGGTCATTTATGGGAGAAATCCCAAAAAAAATGAGACAACGTAGAACAAATCTAATCGATAAATACTGTTCGAGTTACTTGATTCCATCTCAGATTGTGTAAATGACCTTGTTTTTAGCTTTGTGTCTCAATCTCAAAACTTTTAATTGACTTATTTAATTTCTCAAGTGACTCGCAGTTAATAGTTCACTGGTGACTCATTTATATGTGTTGTTCCTTAAATCAATCACATAATGTGAATTCGCAATGTTGTCTTTGTGTCTCAAATGTTTCAATTCTCAGTTTGATCTGCATCACATTTGATTTAATGCTTGGGTTTCATGCATCATCTGTCGTGCAACGTGTCCCGAGGGGTCTTCAGACGAGATAAAATCATCCGCTGAAAATGGAACGATTTCCCCGTAGTTCCCCATGTTGACTGATGCCTTCAAACCATCGGATCTGCACGCTGCACGTTCTTCCTGAAGAATTACTCTGACCCACTGTAACAGGGTTGTGGGCCGTTGTGAACAACGCCGGGATCACGGACTGGGCCGAGATCGGGTGGAGCTCCATCGGCGACTTCCAGAACATGGCCGACGTCAACCTGTTCGGCCCCATCAGGACGTCTTTTGCCTTCCTACCTTTGATCCGCGCCTCCAAAGGTGAGCTCAAAGACGGGGCCGCGTCAGCGACCCTCGCCGCGCGGCTGTGGCGACGTTTTTCAAATAGACGTATTTGCCGTTTCAGGTCGGATGGTTTACACGTCGAGCATCTTTGCCTTCTTCAACTGCCTGAACATGGGGGCGTACAGCGTGTCCAAGAGGGGACTGGAGGCCTTCGCAGACTGCCTCCGGGTGGAGATGGCCAGTTTTGGCGTGAAGGTACAGGCAGAAAAACGCACGTGTGTTTTGGCCGTATAGCCTTTGCCAGGCGAGAATTAGCCAGCTAGCACGTCGACGTTCCCGAGAACTAAACTCTTGTCTTTCCCGTGTGCAGGTCAGCATCATCCAGCCGGGGAATTTCGGCCAAGCCACCAACATCCTGAAGGCCAAGACGAGCGTGGACATCTGGGAGAAGTTAGACGAAGAACGCAAGCGGCTCTTCAACCGGCAGTACGTCGACGTGGCCAACGAGTACTTCACCGCCACGTGCAAGAGCGGGTTCAAGAGCGCCGACATGGTGGTCGACGCCATGGTGCACGCCGTCACCTCCGCTCGGCCTAAATACCGGTACCTGCTGGCCTCGGCGGCCGACACCTTCTTCTTCCAGCTCTTCCCGTTTCTGCCCACCGTCTTTACCGACGCCGTGTTCTCGTTCAGCTCCATGTACGCCAAAAGAGAAGAAATGCTCTACGCCAAATAGGCTGCGGAGGAACCGGCGTGTTTTTGGGGGGGCTTCTGTCCTTCTACGTACATGTTGCACATTTGTGAAGATATTTTCATGAGTCTGTTGTTTGGTTCTTGTAATGTATTCACTTTTTTTCATTTTATTATCAAAGGATGTAAATACGAATCAATAAAAAATGTTTGTTTCAACCATCCACTATTTTTAGTTTTTGAAGCAGAGAAAAGAAAACCTTTGCTCAAATTTTGGGAGTAGCAAATCAAAATTTGGCCACTGAGCAACTCGAATATCGAAATACAGATGAAATAAGACGCTGAGACAGACATGAAAATGTCTCTCACAAAGGTTCATGTTTGACCGATGAGACAAAGATAAACTTCTGCACATGATTCCCCCCCCCCCAACCCAATGGTGGAGGTAACGCCATCACGGTTATAAACACTATGCACATTGAAATGATCCCAAACATATAAAACGTTTACCTTCCAAAAACTATGATAATATGTGCAAGAAACAATACTCCTAATTCAACTTTTCCTCCCCGGTGCCTGTGTGCATTCCTTCCTGTCAGTGACCACCAAACTAATTTAGTTTGATTAAGTCCAGACCAGAACCTCCCCCCCTGCCCCCGAGGTTTGAGGTTTACTCAAACTCCCTCCTCTTGATTATCAGTTTTTTCCTGTAACTCACTCTGTCCAGAGAGAATTCTGCCGCCGCGCCGGGAATAAAGATCAGCTGAACCAGCCACAGAAACCTTTCATCAACAACAAGTTACAAAAGACACACTTCATGGCGCCTGAAACGCGGCGCTCCCTTGTGCTAGTGTGACATTGAAAAGGCTCATGAGGTGCCCGATAGCCTGCGGTTAGGTGAGCGAACGCGTAATCTTGTATTTACAGATTTAGATTGAACAAGTAACCAGTCGGAAAAGCTCAGCAACACTTCTTCTCCTCCAAAATGCAAAGAAGCACTTTATTCGTGGACTCTTAAGGGCTCCGGTCTTAAAACATGATGGCTAACTTCAGTTTGCGAGAGGATTAACAAACACTCGCATGCTCGATGAAGCCCCAGTAAACTCATGGCAGCATGATGCTGCACATGTTTTTAGAGATTTGTTTAGTCTCAAGTTCTCTCCTGCCTGAGAAGTTAGGGTTTAAGTGTCCTCCGTGTATTAATGCATCTATTCGTTTTCCTTTTTGAGTTTTCTTCAACAAGCACTAAACCTTAAGGATGCTCTGTTTGGCCATTTCGCTCACCGGTCCCGTGACCCGTATTCATTGGGGAGAAATAGGTTTCTGCGGGTGCCCTTGCCCTTTTCTGGATAAAACGCGTGTCCATTCGTTGGATAAACTCAATCTTGTGACTCAGAATCGTGTCTCGGGCTCTTTTATTGGCTGCTTCCCTTTTCACTATACATAGTTGTTACACACTAATAAATGAATCAAAGCAATGAAATACACAATTTAACATGTTCAGGAAAATACGTTACATTGAGCTGTTAATATCCCATTGCATATTCTAAAGTATAATATGGTAAACAGCTACTTTCATGCAGTGTCATAAGCCCATCAGGGTCTTCGTAGTGATTGTGTCCAAGTGTCCTACTTCACCTTGCGGCTGAAAAGAAATCAGGACATGGATTTTTCTCCAAAATGCATAACAAACAAATGACAACATTTTTGTCAGTTTATAGGCGACATTAAAAACCTCTCACCTTGCTTTAGTAACACAAAAATCAATTACATCACAGTTCTTCTTTTTCAGTCATCAACTCACTATTTGTGAGTTTTCACATTATATTTGAGTTAATTTGGGCTAATTGACTACGGCATCGTCCTTTTAGCCTTCCAATGTCATAACAGGCCAAGTAAGATTGGGAAGAACTACATTTTCCTGAAATCCAAAGATATTTTCAGTATAGAAAAGAACACACGTACCTGCTGTCTTCCACTTGTTTGCAGGAAGACATTTTTATAGCTATAACAAAAATGTAGACCGTCATTTGAGTAATATCTCAGGTAAAAATACAGATTCATTCATTCTGAAATCATTTGAAACGTTTGTGATTGATTGATCTGGTTCTACATCAATTTAATTAGGTTAATAATCCTTTCTGATTTTCAATCTGCTTCTAAAACATCCCCGAGAGCCACGGAGGCAGGAAGAGTCCGACGGTCCCCAGGAGACACACGATAACAAACATCCACAGGAAGATCCGGTCCACAACCATGGCCACGTACTTCCAGTCCTCCTTCACCTGTGGAGACGGAAAAACACACAAAAAAAAGATTTGACGCGAGTTGAGATGAAACCATCTCCTGTGGTCGGGTCGGCACTCACTGAGAGGTCTGCGTCCTCGGCTCGGAGATGCTCGGCGATGTAGGTCACCCCCTCCAGGGCCGACACCACGGCAGGGGACAGGGCGCAGGCCGCCGGGCTCCAGGCCGAGCCACGTTCCACGCGGAGGGCGTCCCAGTCCGAGCCGAGTGGGGGGTTTCTCCGCGGGAGGAGCATGTGACCCAGAGGAGGAGAGAGGGGGGGAATCCTCGGCCCAAACCGCCCCAGGTGAGCTGCGTCCGAGTAACCGTGGAGACGGCAGTAGTGCTTTTCGTCCCCGCTGCCGCGGCAACCGTCGCCCTCCTTCTGGTAACCACGGAGATCTACGTCAGACTCCTGGGTGACCCAGGCGGCCGAGCTGTGGGCGGGGCCCGAGGTCCGGAGGGGGAGGAGTCTATCAGTCAGGTGAAGTCGCCTGAGCCCCAAAAAGTGAGAACGACATTTTTAAATAGTCATTATTATTTAATAAAAAAAAATATCTGAGAATGGGTTTCTACAGAAGCCAATTAATTGATTGTCCTGCTTCCGAGAGCCCCGATCACTTAATGCAGGTTTAGGAGTTAAGTTTGTCAATAAGAAAATGCCCCATTTTGAGATGAACACGTGCTTCACGTACAAGCCCTTTCCTAACGATTACGTCTACTTGATTCAATTCATCTTGGATTACGTTCGTCGCCATGTTGTTGTTCTCAACAACCATCATGTTAGGAGAAGGGTCCTTTCATCCCTAGACTTCCACAATATCGCACCTCTTTTCGGGACTAGAGGAGTCGCCCCCTGCTGGCCAGGGGAGAGAATGCAGGTCTACCTTGCCGGCCTCACGCCGTGTTCTGGACGCTTCATGCACAGCCAGCGGGGAACCGCCGACAGGAAAAGCCCGCGGACCCATCGGGGCATGGCGTGGGTCTCCGACGAGCGGTGGTGCACATTCAGCGCGAACACGGTGATGACGATGGACAGCGTGACGAAGATCATGGTGAAGAGCAGATACTCCCCGATGAGCGGGATGACCAGCGAGGTGGACGGGATGATCTCCGTGATGAGCAGCAGGAAGACGGTGAGGGACAGCAGCACGGAGATGCACAGCGTGATCTTCTCGCCGCAGTCCGACGGCAGGTAGAAGACCAGCACGGTGAGGAAGGAGATGAGGAGGCAGGGGATGATGAGGTTGATGGTGTAGAACAGCGGGAGGCGGCGGATGACGAAGTAGTAGGTGATGTCGGGGTAGATCTCGTGGCAGCAGTCGTACTTCTTGGTGTTGTAGGTTCCCACGGCGTTCACAATCGCCCATTCTCCGCTCTCCCAGTAATCCTACAAGTTTATCAGAATGTTTGATGGATCGCCCAAAGATATCGTACAGATATTCGTGGCCCACAGAGGAAAAATCCAACCTGATAACGACGCTGTTGGGAAAGGACAATGGATCTCCAAGGAGGACAATGAATGTTTGTCCCAATTTCCTGTAAATCACCATCTTCCAATATAGGACACGCTAGAGAAATGCCAATTGTGTAAAAATGAAAATGGAAAGAACCTTGAGGTCCACGGTGTCCTCGAAGGGCTCCAGGTCAATCTTGGCGCGGTCGTACGTCCAGGAGCCGAACTTCATCTTGCAGCTCTGCTGGTCGAAAGGGAAGAAGGTGACGTCGATGGAGCAGGAGGACTTGTAGATGGCCGGGGGAACCCAGCGGACACGACCCGTGTGGAAGACATGGGCCTTGGTCATGTGGGTGACGGCGAACTCTCCGTCGGCGCTGGAAGAAGAGCACAAGAGTCGGGGGAGGGAGCGTAGCTTTGACACGCGAAAAACAAGACGGAATCAACGCCAATGCCAAGAAGTTGGGGCATCATGTGAATAAAGAGGAGGACTTTCAGCCGTTTTTCTCAGCGGGGCTCCCACGTTTCCATCTCATTGCGTTTCAAACTCAAGCGCTGTGTCAATAAACCTCGAGCGTTGCCCCTTTCACACATAAAATGTTGAACATTCGGCTGAATAATTGATCAGCCGAATGTTAACCACGCTGTGTTCATGATGCAAACTCATTTGCAGAAACGCTGAAGCGGGAGAAAGTTTTCTCAGACCACTTTAAGGATGAATACTTCCCCCCCCGGGGGGGGGACGGAAGCCAGACTCTTGACTAAATCCGTGTGATGCAAGATCGCTGCAGAGATGCAATACAATCGGGTTTGTCTATTCATCTATTCAGGGAATTGCAATCAAGCTGCACGGCTCCATGTGAGTGACCTCCGCTCACTCGACGGCGGTCGAGGGCGACGTTACGGATCGAGCGGGTAATTGATCACTACCGATCGTTTCCAGCCAGGAGCTCGGAGTGTACTCGTGTGTGTTGGAGTGTGTCCTGGGCCGCCTGCGGTTGCGACACAGCCTTCTTTGTATCCAGAAAAATGAAGACAAGGGGGTCCAAAAAGAGGACCTCTTGTGTACAAAGGTTGCCTTTTACTCTTTATTAGTCAACTATCAAAGCAAACGTTCTTCCTCTTCCCCCCCCCAGATGTGTGCAAACTGCTGAATGTTTGTTACTTGTTGTAAAGCACGATGTCCGGCACCCAGAGCAGCTCAGAAGGGACTCTGATGGACGTCACGTTGTCGAAGTCGGACGGGCTCCACTGCAGCTTATAGTCCGTCCATTCCTGCCAAAGGCACACACAAGTTAAAGCGATGAAGCGCTGAGCCCGCGGGTCGGTTTCCTCCTCACCTGTTTCAGCCACACGTTGGTCGTCATCATCTGATTTTTCTCGTCCTGTTTAGGCGCCAAGCGTCGAAAAAAGCAAACCACTGGGTTAGAATGGATCGTTAATTATTCGACTGTTGGACATTTAGAAGGCAGAGACTAGTGTGATGTTTCTTTTGGGCGGTTCCCACCACGTCTATCAGCTGTGCGATGGACAGGCCGAACTTGACGATGACCACGTCGGTGATGTTCCGCGCCGGACGCGTCCACTTGCTGTAGGGGCGGAACAAGCTCCTGAAGAGTTCGTCCTCGCTGTGGACGCGAGTCCAGTCCTCAGCCAGAGCTGAGGGACAGGGACGGAGGCGACAGACATCATGTATCGGGCCCCGGTTTGTAGTTCAGCGCCCTCCATTATTATTGCGTGCACATTCAAAAATGCCCCTTTTTTTAACATTTCCTTGCGTCTTCCTGTATGTCCTCTGGGGGAAACAAATCCATTACATAAGCTTTATTGTTCATAACATTTCAGACTGCAATCTACTGACTTTGATTTCATTTTATGTCATGCGGACAAATCATTAGACATAATAGATTGGATGGTTTTATATTTGTGTTGTGGTTTAATTCAGGACTAATTGTTTATCTTTAACACAATTCTGTATGTCGAGGTTCAATGTTGAATTGAAAAAAGTTGGGTTTAGATTTAATGATTTGATTTGATTTATATGTGTCATGCTGTGAAATGATGATGCACCCTGATATTAGTATTGTTGAGGAACAAATACCGCAAAGCATTATAAAGTCCAGTCCCAGATATTACAAAAACACTGTAAGAATCCCTCCGTTTATTTTATACTACACGGTTAAATTAAAATAATCTATAGTCAAAACCGACACTTTTAGTCCAGATAGAAATAATATATAAACATGTTTCAACATATTTCTTCATTCCTCCACGTCGTCGGAGAGTTACGAATAGTACCGCGAAATTATGACATTAATGTGGAGTTGTGGAATTACGCGCAGACGCTTCTATGTGATACAGGAGGACGAATACTGTATAAATATTATTACATTATCGGTTAAGGGATATTGTAAGAACATCAGCAGTGTTTCGCTTAACAAACAAACAACAAAACATGTGTTAAATATCAGCGCGTCGCACTCACCCAAGTTGATGCAGATCCAGCAGCGGTGAAGCGCTGAAATCACTGTGAAGTCTCTCTTCAGCTTCATTACTATAACCGGCAGAAATAGATCACAGATCCGTAAAATAAACGTCTTAAAACATGTTTCGCCTTTGTTTCCCCGTCTGTCGTGTTCGTGTTGGACCTGCTGGATGGATCGTAACCTCCCGGGTACATGATGAGTACCTGTCCTCATATTCCCACCTCAGTCTTTCACAGTGCTGACGTTCAGGACATTTATAAGTCGATACAGCTTAATGCTTAAAGTGTAGTGACCGTCACATAAATTATACCTGACTGTCACTGCACTGTGAAACCACAGCACAACTTCGGTATAAGTGATTTAAGCAGGAATGGAAGTACTTTGATATTGCGCTCGAGTAAAAGTAATTTTTTTTTTCAAATATTTCGAATCAAGTAAAAGTGTTTAAATGTACGCATATGAAACAAAAAAAATGACCAGCCAAGACGTATTATGTACACGCACTGTGAAGCATAAATTGCACATTAAAGGTGGTTGTTTAAAGTTGTCTAATTATAAATCAATTAGTTCATCTCTTTATAATGTTAGGATCATGTATGTAAGCATTGTTATTGTATTTCTTCATTCCAATATTTATTTAGATTTTTGTGTGTTCTTAGTTTAATAAAAAAAAGTATTATTTAAGCTGTATGCAGGTGGCGTCTCTCGCCAGGAGGTGGCGCTGTTGAATATAGCTGTTTTGGAGCAGCAGTAGTAGAAGAAGAAGAAGACGTCCCACTCTGCTGCTGCTTCGGCGGACCGGTTTGGGTGCACCTCAACGTCTTCGATGCCGAGCAAGACTTCCTGTTTGCGTGTAGACGATCTTTGGTTTCCGCGGCGCTCACTCTGTGTCAACACAGCAGATGAACAACAACCTGCGGCATTTATCTGTCACACCACCTTACTGACGTTTTTCCATTTTTCCTCTCTGGGTGAGCACATCGAGGGGGGACGTGTGAGACCAGCCCGTAAGACAGAGAGTGTCGTTACTCCACCTGTGTTATCAGCTAGCGGCTCGGCCAGTCGGCAAATCTTATTAGTTAGCTAATGAAGCTAGCCAGATTAACGGTTATCATCGTTACCTGACGTTAGCTCACTCCAGCTAGCTTAGTAACTAATACGTGTAAACACCTGCCAGGGGTTTCAGGTAATTAGCGCTATTTTATAGGAGTAACGTTACATTTTTTTATAGGAGAACATTTAAGTGCAATATTCCAACCCACGTGAAAATGAAACCGTAACTTGGCTGGTTTCATTTTTGACATAACTTCACAGGTGTACGGAGTTTTCTCCCTAGACTGCAGTGAGGACAACGGACGTTTGACTTCGTTTCAGAGCCCGTGCGGGGCGGGCTGCTAATGGCGGGCGTGTTGTGTTTGACAGCCGCAGCAGCATCACAGATGGAGACATAAACCCCGCCGATGGAGAGGAAGAGGTAACCAAAGTCCCTTTTCCCTCAAATGATGCTTTCAAGTGTCTTGTGATGATGTCATCACCATGTGACAAACCGCCTGCGGAGGCTTTCCCCCACAAAACAGCTGTTGTTCCTTGTGTGTGTGTGTGTGTGTGTGTGTGTGTGTGTGTGTGTGTGTGTGTGTGTGTGTGTGTGATTTGTCTCACATGAAGAACTTTGTGTTTCCAGGAACTTGCAATTCCTCGAAAATAAATGGTGGTATTTCTACACTTTATAATGTCTATTCCTTTAACAAAAGGTGATTCTGAGAAAATAGACAGTTCGTTAAAGGACCCGTCAGGTCGGCTCGCCGCATTTTCCAGCGAGAGATCGACCTTTACGGCCCCTCGTGTTTATGATGCATTATTCTCTCAGCTCTGGAGATGACAGCGGAGGAGAGCGAGGCCTGCTCCACACCTGGAAGGGCTACTCCTACAGCGTCACCCCAGACAGGCTGCTCCTCCCCGGGCCTGTGCTGCAGGTCGCCCTGGGCACGCGCCATGGTGTCCTGCTGGTGGAAGGTAGCAGCATTGTTCTTTGGGCTTTTTTTTGTATATTTGTATCGCCAACAACCTGATAATAAAGCGAGAAATAAATAAAGTGGAAATAATGAATGCTTTGTTATCCAACCCGTAACGGGGAAACTAAAGTAATGTATATTCAATTTGATGTTTTAGATATTTATTATGCGAATATAATGCAAATATTCCCACAACTGAGAAAATCTGCAACGCTGCTCTTTGATATCCGTGTTGTCGTCGCTCCCTGTTCAGGAGGGCTGGTGTACAGTTTCGGGGAGTTGCCGTGGAAGCAGAGTCAAGTGCCGGATTCCGCGAAGCCCACGGTGGAGGGAGCGCTCAGCGGCCAGCGGGTGGTCGCCGTTGCCGCCGGAAGCTTCCACAGCGGGGCCGTCACAGAGGACGGAGGCGTCCACATGTGGGGGGACAACGCTCTGGGGCAGTGCGGCTTGTCGGGCCTCAGCACTGTCCCAAACCCGACTCCGGTCGCCCTAGTGGACGCTGAAGCTGCCCCCCCGCAGACTGTCCCGGTGCTGGAGCTTGCCTGCGGGGGGCAGCACACTCTGGCGCTGTCGGCCCAGCGGGAGGTGTGGGCGTGGGGCAGCGGTTGTCAGCTGGGCCTCAACGTCGCCGTCTTCCCTGTCTGGAAACCGCAGAAGGTCGAGCACTTGGCGGGGAGGTATGTGTTACAGCTGGCCTGCGGGGGCTCGCACAGCCTGGCTCTGGTGCGCTGCTTGGGCCCCCAGGACGTCCACAGGCCCCTGGTGGACAAATGCAGGCAGTGTAACCAGCTGCTGTACACCATGACGGATAAAGAGGACCATGTCATCATCTCCGACGGTCACTACTGCCCCCCTGGCGTGGAGCTGACCGAGGATGAGGGCAGGCGGGAGGCTCCTCCGCCGACACAAGGCCTCAAAATGTCCCCTTCTGAGCCGCTCCTCTCCTCCCGTACCTCCACCTCAAACTCCCTGGCACCTACCGACGGGGTTGTCCCCACTCAGGACTCGGAGAAAGAGGAGTCAGCCGCGACGGACGGGCCCCTGACAGCCTCGGACTCCGCCCCCCCGTCTCGGGCCGGAGGCGGGGCTGTTTCGGGGGTCAAGAGTTCACTTTATCCAGATGAGCAGGCCGTCAAAGAGTATCTGAAGAAACTGTCGCAGGCTGAGCAGATGGCGAAGGCGTCTGCTGGAGGAACGCTGGTGAGTTGTGTCTGTATCACAGTGATGAAGACCTAAAATACTCAAAGGAGGAATATTGATACTTTAGAACTTTGCATATTCCTAGACGTAGAGATGCAGACTCTCATTTAACCCCCTTTTCTTTTGTCCTCCAGCCCCCAGCGGGAGGGCTGACCCCCGCCAGCTCCACGCTCAACAGCCTGGTGGCCTCCTGCGCCTCGGCCGTGGGCGAGCGGGTCGCCTCCACCTACGAGGCCCTGTCCCTCAAAAAGATGATGAACTACCTGCCGAGGTCCGGCAGCCCGGCGGCGGGGGGGCTAACGGGCGTCGTCGCTGACAACACGGCCGAGCGCGTCCGCCTGGAGGACTCCATGCAGGCGAAGAAGAGCTCCAGCACGGGGGACATCCGCGAGGAGGAGGCGGAGGGTCTGCGGCGCCGCCTCTCGCTACCGGGACTCCTCTCTCAGGGTAGATGCGCAGTTCAGCTCTTATCCACCTCTTATGCGCTGCTGCGTAAGTACTCGCATGGGCAGGTTGCTGTGTGTGTGTTTGCTCGGGGCCTCCTCATGCGGCTCGTATGCACGGCACAGGCTGAAAGCAGAGGCTGTCACCTTCATCTTAAGAGATAAAGGAAGTCACAAGAAGCATGTCGGCAAAATTCTCAGTAGAAGTCGAAAACCTTCTTAGAACATCAGATGTCAGAATTAGTCTGAATTAGTGGGAATAAGAAGCGAGGGAGTCCTCTGTAATTCTTAATAGCTCCCCTGTGTTGTTCTCCCCGCCGCCTTCAGGCCTCCTCTCACTGTTTGTTTTGTCACAGCTCGTGTTTGACACGTCAGCTGATCGTCGCTGCTGCTTCGGCGCATCACCCCCATCATTTTCAGAATCGTGTTTTTCAGAAATGTGTCACCGTGCAGATTGTGTTTGCATGTTTAGGTGTGTGTGTGTGAGTAGTGATACTCACTCAGCTTGATGCTGTTTTTTTTTTTTTTTTTTAGATATCTTGCAGTGGAGGAAGAAAAGAAAAGATTATTAAAACTTTTTTGTGTGTGTGTCTTTTCACCCAAAGTGTCCCCGCGGCTCCTGAGGAAAGCCTGCCTTCCGAGGATGCGCGCCGTCGCCCTCACCCCGCTGGGGGGGGCGGTTCCCGAGGCACAGGAGCTGTTTCCCACCCTGCAGACCGAGGTGTGGAGTTGGGGCCGCGGCGAGGACGGACAGCTGGGACACGGAGACGCTCTGGACAGGTTGGAGGAAGTCTCTGGGGAATTTTGACAAAAACTTGTCTGCATTCTGAAAAGAAGAATAGGCTCGAAAAGAGAACGCGAGACCCAGGAAGGAAGAATTACACAGGCAGATCAGATGGGAAACCCAGCGGTCTTTGCATATCCATTAAAAAAGCTTATTACTTATTGACCAAAACCTAAATGGGAGTGAATATCAGGTTGGTATTTCTGTGGCGCCTGCAGATCACAGCCGCTGTGCATCAAGAGTCTGAACGGTAAGGAGGTGGTGCGTTTGGCGGCCGGCGCTCATCATTCCCTCGCTCTCACCGCTCAGTCCCAGGTGAGACGCTGCTGCTTTTTACCTTCACGCATTTTACGACAAGGCAGGATTTTTTTTTAACCATGTATATTTATATATTTTTTTTACAAATCCTCCAGGTGTTTACTTGGGGAAGCAACAGCTTTGGTCAGCTTGGACACATGGAGTCACCCAGCACTGTGCCTCGCCTCGCCAAGGTGTGATGGTAGCCCCCCCCCCCACCTGTACGACACACAGTCACAGGGAGCTGTGTGCTTCATGCCCCTCTCCGCTTTCCCTTCCAGCTGTCAGAGGGGATCCGGGTCTGGGACATGAGCGCTGGAGAGAGACACACCCTCCTGCTCGCAGACGGAGACTGCTTCCGGCCCATCATCTATTACAGCGGACAGCAGGTGAAGGAGGAGGCGGCGGAGGGCAACGCCAAGGAGCTGGGTCAACAGGAAGTGGAGGAGGAGGAGCGGCCGGGGAGCTACACCCAGCAGCCCGTTCTGTTGCCCTTCTGCATGGACGTAAGCTCCGAGTTAGCCCTCGTGGGTGAAATGATGATCAAGTCAGCTTGGTTGGGGTCCTAACCTCAATGCGTATCAGATCCTGAGCCCGTGTGTTTCCCCCCCCCCTTCGCCTCCAGCTCGGTTATGTGAGCAACGTGTCCGCGGGCGGCCAGCGCTGCGTGGCCCTCTCCGACATGAACGTGATGGGCTTCATCGCCAGCCTCCACGAGCTGGCCTCGGCCGAGAGGCGCTTCTACTGCAAGCTGTGCAACATCAAGACGCAGATAATACGCCCCCTGCTGGAGCTGGGTGAGAATGACGCCAGGGAAATCGTCTTGAGTTTGCAGTTCTGCCCCGGCTGATGTCGCTGCTTCTGTTGGGTCGCCCTCCTTCTCCAGAGTCTCTGGGTTCGACTCTCGGCCCGGCGGCCACGGGGCTCCTGCACACTTTGGTGGGCCGGTTCAGCCTCCTGTGTCACCTGACGGGGCAGCACGCCGCCAGCCTCACCGCCAACCTGCGCCGCGTCCGCGACGTCAGCACCCTGCTGCTGCTGGACCACGGCAGCATCTTCCTGGACTCTTACAGCGAGTGCGTGATTGTTGTCAATGCTTCTAGGTCCTCAGGGATGGAATGGATCCTTAAAAATCTGACCCGTGTCTTTATCGTCAAAGGTACTGCAGCGCTGTGGGCAACTTCCATGTGATGGGAGGCTTCCAGACCCTGACCAAACCCTCACTGTGAGCACATACTTTTTTTTTTTTTTTTTTTACACCATCATAAAACCCCGGCGTCGACAAGCAGCTGTGACACAACAATACAAACACAGCCTTTGAATCACATTTCTCTAAATGCTGTCGTGAATTTTTGAAAAAATCTCCTTTTCTAGAGATTTCTTTGGGAAGAGTCCAGAGCTGCTCAAGAGGCTGTCCGAGTGCAGCGAGGAGAACCCCACCATGGCCGACCTCCTGGTGGTGCTCTTCTACCTTCCAACGCGCCACCTGCACGAGTACGCCCGGCTGCTGCTCAAACTGGTCACCTGCTTCGAAGTGGTTGGTGATGTTGGCACATTTTATGTTATTGACCATTCAAATGAGTCTGGTTTACTATGTAATATATATATATATATAGTTTTTCAGGACTATTTAGTTAAAGTTTTTACGTACCTCTTTTAGGGCACCGGTAAAATGAAGTGTCGGCCAATAAAATTGGGGAAATATTGACTAAATAATTGAGCAAAAGTTTTAAAAAGTTTTAAACTTTCTCTAAATCGGATTGTTACTAATTATTCCTCATGTTGAACATGTCAGAGCTCCGATGACTACCAGCGGCTGCAGGACAGCTGCTCCAAGTTTGAAGCTTTAGATCTCCAGCTGAAGAGAAAGAGGAAGGACGCCGACAACACCTTACACTTCTGGAAGAGCTTCCCGGGCAAAATGACGGTAAGCCCCACTGAGTGAGTGTCTGTGCGTCTCCAACAACACCCACGGTGGGTCCTTGGGGTGCCGCATGACGCCCGCACATGGCTGAACGGTGTCATTGTGTGCGGTCAGGACTCTCTGAGGAAGCCCGGACGCCGGTTGATCTGCGAGAGCAGCAACAAAGCGCTGACGCTGCAGAACGCCGGAAGGTTCTCCGTCAACTGGTTCATCGTCTTCAACGACGCTCTGGTTCACGCACAGGTGAGCTACACACACACACACGCGCGCGCGCCATCCATGTTTCAGACTCTGCGACGTGGTGTGTTTCAAGCGTCTGTATGTGCTTGCCTCCGTGCTGTCAGGGCGTGGCGCCTTGTAAAAATCTTGTAAGTATCGGTCAGCACAGCTACCTGTACGGCCCCTCCCCTCCTGTGTGTGTTTGAGGGCGTTAGATAATCCCCCCTCCACCACCGCCTGCGCTCCACCTGAGGGAGACTGCATGGAAGGATGAACAGACTGTAAGAAAGGCTCGGCAGCTTTAATGCATCGGAGAACATTGCAACAACTCCAAACTTAAATACCAAACTCTGAATGGACGGGTAGAAACATAACCAGCGGACATCCGTTTCCCGTTGAAGCCTTTTTCTCACTATCTGTTGATAGTGAAATAACGATGACCTTTGACAGTTTCATGTTCACTTCTCCAAAGCAGCTTCCTTCCCGCTCTCCCTGTTTGTCTCCTCTTTAAAAACTTGTGTTGCATGACTGACCCCATCATTCCTCAGGTTCTTCTCACTGTCTTCAAAGTATGCCTGAATGTGCACCACTTTATTTTTTTTTAATGTTATTCTCAAAAGTTTGGTTACATTTGTAGTCCTTCTTGACTTCATTTTTGGCCTCCCTGCACATACATATATACATAATTATTCATTTCTAGTTATTGGAAAAAACTAAACTACCTAAACTGCAGCAGGGCTCCTAGTTATGAGCAACCTGTTTATAGCAGTCTGTCGTTATGGGCGTAATGTGGTCAGAAATGCTCACAGCTCACCTTCACCTACCGTCTCCTCCCAGTTCTCCACCCACCACGTCTTCCCGTTGGCCACGCTTTGGCTGGAGCCGATTCCAGAGGAGAACCCCGGCCTGTAAGTCACCTGTAACAAAATGAATATGGTGATTCAGTGTTTTTGTGTCTAATACAATTAGAAGTTTACATATAATATTAATAGTACTTGCACGTTAGATATGATGGTGTATTCAGATACTTATGAAAGTTATTTCTTATTTCACTGTGAAGAGTTATTTTTGTCTCAGTACTTTATGTTTGTCATGTATGAATATGACATGCATGACGGTGCAAAACGCTGTGTGTGTTTGTGTCTGCAGACATGGACTAAAGATGATCACACCAGAGGAGACGTTCACCGTGCTCGCCTCCTCTCCCACAGAGAAGGTTCATCTTTTAATGATTATTGACAAAATGCTCACTTAAAAAAAGCAAACGCAGCACTTCCATTTGTTGTAAGTCAAAGAAACCAGACGGCCGTGCGTCATTCTCCCCTCAACCGCGTGCTTGTTCCTAGACCAAGTGGCTCCGCTCCATCAACCAGGCGGTGCACCGGGCCCTGGGCGGGCCGGGCCAGAAGGCGGAGCCTCCCGCCTCCAGGACGGCGTCTTACGCCTTTTATAAGGACGGGCGGCTGAAGGAGGCCACGTACGAAGGGAGCTGGCTCAACGGGAAGCCCGACGGCAGGTTGGACGCACGCACACACCACCTGTCTGCGGGTCGGGAGAAAGTGCTGATGTGTAGTGATGGCTGGTGTTGTTTTTCAGAGGTGTGTTAAAATGGCCTGACGGGAGAATATATACGGGGGGGTTCAAGAACGGGCTGGAGGACGGGTGAGTGCTCGCCCCCGCTGCACCAGAGCCTCGTCGGGCGATCCGGTTCTTCATGCGTCTCCGTGTCTTTCTGTAGCTTCGGGGAGTTTGTGGCTCCCAACAAGTCGCTGAACAAGAACGATCAGTATGTCGGTCACTGGAAAGACGGCAAGATGCACGGCCTCGGGACCTACAGGTGTGTGTGTGTGTGTGTGTGTGGGGGGGGGGGGGGGTAAACTTAATTTGACCTCCTTCATTGATGCGTCATGTTTTATGTTGGATAAGGTTTGTCAAGTCTGTTTCTCTGTATATTGTACAGCAAATATGGGAAAATACTTATAAAACTAATTATTCGCAAATGGGCGTTAAAGAAAGTGGGAGGGGTTTAACTTCCTCCCGTCTGCCTGCAGCTATGCCAGCGGGGAGGTTTACGACGGATCCTTCCAGGACAGCATGCGACACGGACACGGCGTGCTGCGCAGCGGCAAGCTCAACACCTCCTCCCCCAGCGTCTTCATCGGCCAGTGGCTGCAGGACAAGAAGACCGGCTACGGCGTGTTCGACGACATCACAAAGTAGGCTCCTTGACTTCAATGCAGCACAGACTGCCGACATTACGCAGAACGAAATACAAAAGGTGTGTCTTCTTTCTGCACAGAGGGGAGAAGTACATGGGCATGTGGCAGGATCACACGCGGCAGGGAAACGGCGTCGTGGTCACTCAGTTTGGCCTTTATTACGAAGGAGCCTTCAAAGACAACAAGATGATGGTGGGCACTTCTTTTCTCTGTACACATTGTGAGATAGGACTTAAAATATGGCCCAAAGCACATTGAGCGTATCGAGAGTAACAGCACTTAACAGATATTGAAATGATTGTGTCTTGAAATAGACCATGTGATGCATGTGAGGTCAGAGGAAGGCAAAATGTGACTAATACCCAATCTGAATCCTTCTAAATCACTTTTTGCTTCTATATGTAAGGGGGCTGTTTTATACGTTATATTCACTGTTCAGCGTTAGAAAGACGTCATGTCCCAGCTCCTAAAACGCCATTTAAGATAAATGTTAGCGAGGAAATCCCCAAATGAAGGGATATTATTTTCTTTTAGGGCACCGGGATCCTCCTTTCAGAGGACGACACCACGTACGAGGGGGAGTTCTCTGACGACTGGACCCTTAGTGGCAAGGTGACAAATGAACATGATGTCAATATAAGTATTTGCATGTAACTATTAGTATGTTTTTTGTGAAAAGGCACTGAAATGATCAATTCTAACGTCATGTAAGAAACTGCTCAAAAGTTTAACGCGCCGTCTGACCTCCCCCCAGGGAACGCTGACGATGGCTAACGGGGACTACCTGGAGGGGTCCTTCGGGGGCGAATGGGGCTCGGGCCTCAAAGTGACGGGATCCTACTTCAAGCCACACCTGTTCGATACCGACAAGGAGAAGAGCATCGCCGTGTAAGCTCACCGGCCCCCCAGGCCAACAGCAAAGGGATGTTTTATTAGATTGGATTTACCCATATTTTTGTATACGTTTGTGTGTGTGTGTGTGTGTGCGCGCGCTGCGGCAGGAAGTTGGGGCGTCTGTGTGTGTGCGCGGAGGACAAGTGGCAGGCGGTGTTTGAGGAGTGTTGGAGTCAGCTGGGCTGCGAGGCGGCGGGTTGCGGAGAGAACACAAAGGCCTGGGAGAACATCGCCGCGGCCCTCACCACCAGCCGACAACTCCTCCAGGACAGGTACACACACACACGCACACGCACACTAAAGGACACTACAGTAAAAAGAATGAGTCCTAGTGAACTCGAAGGGAGGATGTAAGTGTTGTTTCTCTTTGTATCCGAGCCCGGAGATGTTGTCTCGGAGCCACAGCAGAACCTTGGAGGGTCTGGAGGTCGTCCCGCAGCACGCTGGCCCGATCACCATGGAGAGGTATCACGCCATCCGCCTCTACCTCCTCAAGGTAAACCCCCCACCACACACACACACACTGACAACGTAATTTGGGGTTGTTTTCAGCCACACAGATGTGTGGTTAGCAGTACCAGTGAGTCCATCCAGCTGTGAGTACCAGTAACAATGAAAACTACTTTATAGAGAAGTTACAGATTTCTGGGAAAATGCTCTTCAGAAAAATGGTTTTATAACATCGTATCGTAACTGAAAATTTACCAAGATATCTCTTATCTTGGTAAATTTTCAGTAGAAGTATTATGTCAAGGCCAAATGGGGAATGAAGATTTAAATGTTACGGTCATTTGAAACGGAAAGAGACAAGCTCTGTTTAAAAATAGTTGCAAGAACTAAGAAACTAAAAGGACCCTTCGGCTCGTTATGGCCGTTATTTCTCAACAGCAATTAAAATTTTTTCCAAATTGTTCCGCTGACTTATTTTTAACAAGTTGTGTTTCCAGGAACAGACCACGTAACAGGAATACAAGCATTGCTTTCTTTCCAGGAAATCCAATTACGACTGAATAAATATACTCAAACATAAACCAAACATGTTATTCTGGCTGCTCAAAAGTGATCTCGCCCCTCCAGGCGTGCGACACCTCGCTCCACCCGCTGGGTCGGCTGTTGGAGACCCTGGTGGCGGTCTACCGGATGACCTACGTGGGCGTGGGAGCCAACCGCCGCCTGCTTCCTCAGGCCGTCAACGAGATAAAGTCTTACTTCAACCGCATCTTCCAGATCGTCAGGTTTCTGTTTCAAGACCTGCCGGAGGAAGGCGGCCTGATCCCCGAGCCGACCGCCGTCCTCCGAGACGAGACGGAGCCGGAGTCTCCAAAGGCCGGGTAAAGACGGGCCCCGCCCCCCTCCTGCGCGCTCTTCGGTGGCTCTTAAGTGGTAACCGCCCCCCGTGTTTCTCCTCAGCCGCGTGGTGAGCAGCTCGGCCCTGCTGCTCCCCGTCCTGCTCCCCCGTCTCTACCCGCCGCTCTTCACCCTCTACGCGCTGGACAAGGAGAGGGAGGACGACGTGTACTGGGAGTGTGTCCTCCGCCTCAACAAGCAGCCCGACCTGGCGCTGCTCGCCTTCCTGGGAGTCCAGCAGTAGGTCGCACGCTCACCCGCCGCGGTTCAGTCCTTCTGTTTGTTGATTTCCAAATCCACCCTAAACGGTTGCATCCTCTCCCCAGAAAGTTTTGGCCTGTTTCCTTTACCGTCGCCGTGCCTGCACCGGGGGAGATGCAGCAGGTACTTTTCACCTGTTCATTGGACTTTCAGAACGAGACAAATTGTTTTTAAAAAAAGTCTAAATATGTCATTGGGAAAAAACAGTCAGATAATATTATTGAGTATTCGAGTAAACCCTTTTCTGATCCCCAGGTCCTGTCCAGCACCAAGGATGCCTGCTTTGCCTCCGCCGTGGAAACGCTGCAGCAGATCAGGTTCGGCTCCACGCAGCAGCTCTAAAAACCACCGTTGTGCTTTATTTAACCTGAGAGAATCGGCACTGCTCTGTTTTCAGCACGACGTTCACCCCGTCGGACAAGCTGCAGGTGATCCAGCTCACCTTTGAGGAGATCACGCTGGCGGTCCAGGCGCTGGTGAAGCAGGACTTCCTGTGGTCCATGGACGACCTTTTCCCCGTCTTCCTCTACGTGGTGCTGCGCGCCCGGTCAGCAACGGACCGACCCCGCCGCGCACGAATGCTTAAATGTTACAATGACGAGGCGACCGAGAGCAAACGGGAAACACCCTAATCACTGTTTTCTTCTCAGAATCAGGAACCTGGGGTCAGAGGTCAGCCTGATCGAAGACCTGATGGACCCTTGCCTGCAGCACGGAGAGCATGGGATCATGTTCACCACGCTGAAGGTCCCGCCCACACATCTGTCATTAAATAACCGACTGTTTAAACATTTCTGAAAGTATTAGACCCACAATGCACTAGTGTGTGTGTGTGTGTTCTTATTTGTGTGTCTTTCCCCCCTTCAGGCTTGTTACTACCAGATCCAGCATGAGAAGATCACCTAAAGCCAGCGTGGCGTTACTTCAGCCGGGCTTCGGGATGACGGATGCAAGCAGCGGCCAATGTGGAGCAGAGCGTCACTTGAACAGGTTGTTGACGGCTCCACCCGCTGTGGGACCTCCACCTCCAAACTGTGTCCCGTTCTAGTGACCTCTGCTAGATCACGAGGGTGCACATGTGAGCCACGTCACACCGAGGTCCCGTTACCTGTGGGGAGCCTCACTGGTCCATAGCGGTGTTTTCTTTTTTGTGCCATTTAGAACCGGTTTGCTGTGTTTTTTTTTCTGCTCACAGTCGCACGCTGTGAGATACCTCACCTCTTCTCACTGCAGAACGACAGTTTTTTCCTGCTTTTGGCAAGATAACATTCCTTTTTTTTATTTCACCTCCATGAAGAAAGGGACGGATATCAAGAGAAAAGACGGATTGACTGGATGATATTTCCGCCTCACTGCTGCTTATGACTATGAGCCTGTTGACTTGAAGACACACGTTTTCCTCATGGACTTTGAAAGTTGTTCCGTAGAAGCAGAGATGTACATCATAAGGCCTTAATGCAAAACCAAGCTGAGGAAAAAGCTTTGCAAGATAAATGACAATCTGGTTTTTAATCAAAATGCAAAATAATGATTTTGAAGTCAAATAAATCATTTTCTGTGAACACAATGCTGGACACCCTCAAACCGGCTGCTGGAGATGCTTTGGAGGATGGAGGGTTTGAGTTGGTACAGCTCAGGTCTCACCTTCGCCTTCAGAGATCTCATCAGACATCTAATAACAATGGTGGTATTAATTGTGTTGTTGTGAATAACACTGTGTTTATTGCATGCAGGCAGGGAGAGAAGTCCGCACATTCTTCATGAAGCTAACCGCCGTGTGAAGGTCTCACGACACCACTTTACCTGTAAAACCATGAATGCACAAGGTGACACTTGGCTTGATTGTGGGTTCTTTTGTGCTGCAGCAGAGCGGCGAGCAGTTTAATGTAACCACGGTTTTTATAGATGTGATGTTCAGAGCTGATTCTCTGCGCCATCTGTCAATGCTAACAGTTCTTGTTTTACAGCACTAGCTGTCAGACATTGTTGGTTATTTGTGATTTGCGTCACACAGGCCCGTTTTATAGAGGGCTTAAGAGAGGATTCAGAGGATGACCAGGCTTTTTTATTTTTATTAAAATCAAGGCTTTTGTTTTGTCAGATGGCTTAACAAAAGCAAAGCCGGTGGATCGGAAGCCTCTTTTTTTGAAAGGGACTAAATATAGGTGAGGCAGCGGTTTTTCCCCTCCAGGATTTAGGAAAGATTTAACCTTTTTGTCGTTGACCGTGCGTTTATTAAAACCGATATTGGGTTTTATTTTGGAAACGATGGGTAAAGGTCAAGAGCAGTCATAATGAAAACAGTAACCAATCGGAAATGTTATGAAGTGCGGTTGAATTTGAACATGATCTCCTTGTAGTAGTACGTGGACGTCTGCGTGCGTTGGGCCTCTCTCACTTTTATGACTGTTTCATGAGCTCTTGTTGCTGCGTATGAGCCTGACCTTTAATCAGAGGGTCTCTGTAGCTCAGGAGTTCATTCCCAAGATGCTTATATTTCTTTGTCGTGTCACTAAAGTTCCTTTTAAGATTACTGCTGAAGTAACTGACTTGCAAACCAAACTGATATTCTTGTGAAGGTTGTTCCTGAACTGACTGACGTACATGTTGTGGTATTTTAAATCCAAACTGAAGAGAATGTCCATAAGCTCATGTTTACTATGAAATTGAAAAAATGTTTATTTGTTAACGTGTCTCTATTACGTGTGTTTAAACCTTTAAATAATGACAGAAGGCAATAAACTCATTTGATGGACGTTGATAATGAATCTGTTTGTTTTTGTTTTTATGTGATTCTACAGGAATTGAACGGTCAAACACAAATGAGCCACGTCTTCGCCCATAGCAACTGAAACCAGAGCAGATTTCTCACTCGGAGAACATTTCATTACCGGATTTACATGTTGACCCACTTTAGAAGAATTTACATCTAGTGATGCTTAAATAATGACCGAATGGAGTAAGACGTCACCAGACCAGAGGCAACAGAACCGAGTACGTCCCTTTTTAATTTAAAATGTTTGTGTTCCAGGTCATCGGCGGCTCAGGTGTCAAACTCTCAAATACTCTCAGCGTCGCCCTTTTTTAAACTTGGGGGGTAAGAATACAACACGAAAACATACTTTGTGCAACGAGATAATCTGAGCTTCCGGGTACGATGGGGTCAGGACTCCTCAGGTGGTGGGAGGGGATATTTGTTGTGATGCTTTAGGAAGAAGGTTCCCTAGCAGGAGGTTCCACCCGTTCCTGACAGATCCCTGTGTTTAACTCCAGCTGTTGAGGCAGAGCATCATTTACACGCTAATGTGACGACGCAACCTTTGACCCACACGTGACTGTGCCCCTCTCCAGGAACCGTCAGCACAAAGTGTCGATCGGCCTCCATCGTCTTTTAAAGCCTTTCTCCTGACACCTTGACCCCCCCCCCTCCCTCCCCTCCCTCCTTCTCCGTCAGTCGCCTCTTGTCCACCTACGTGCCGCTGGAAGCTAAGGAGCTTTAGCAGCTCCGCAGCAGCCAGCCGGTGAGGGAGGAACCGGCTTCCGGTGGCCAGAGGCGGGCGGCTCACTTGCCTGGGATTAAGTGGGATCGGGAGAGATTACAGCCCTCTCTCCCTCCCTCTCTCTCTCTCTCTCTCTCCCCCCTCGTTCCCTGCTGCTCGATCAAAGTGTTGCGCTCCGTCTTTTTCTATACATTTTTCCTGCAAGTCCCGGTGCAAAAACCTGCAGGAGCTGGAGGATCGAAGCTTGTGGCACCCTTGAGGATTCAGACAGAAGAAAGGTAAGATGCTTTTTGAAGGAGGGGAGGACTTGGAGGCATGATCCTCTCCTACTTTAACGAGGAACCTCTTGAGGAGCACCTTCTATTTTATTTCCAACAGCTGTTGGTTAAACACATGTCTTAATGGGGTTGTCGTTGTTTATTTACAGCCATGATTACGGGCATAGAGGTTTTTACTGGTGACGTTTATCGCCCAATCTTGTCAGTGTCCCTGTTCTTGTAAAATGGAATTAATAATCCTTGGAATGACATTGCAGCTGAATGTAATGCAAAACAAATACCAGATTGGACTTGATACTAGTCTTTGCATTGCCAGAGATTAGGATCTGCACATCTCTGTTTTCATCACAGCTACTCTTTCAAGCTGCTGCAACGTGTACCAGCGAGCCTTGACCTCCACCCCCCCCTACAGGGCTCGCTGTTATAGACATTTCCCGTCCTCGTGAGCGGTCCGCCCCCCTGCTTGGGGGTGAAAGGTCGGGGGTCCCGGTGACCATGAGGCAGGCGGTGGAGGCTCAGGTGTTGAACCCCTGCTGTGAACTAGGAGAACACGGTGAGTGGGCGCGTTGTTGCGAGGCCGCGGCGGCTCTTCGGCTCCCTGTTCACACTGGTGGTGGTGCGCCGCAGGCCTGCGTCAGATCCTGAGCGACGTGATCCAGGAGGTGCAGTGGTCGGTGAATCAGGACATCGACGGAGCGGAGATCCTCCACAGCCTGCTGAACGCCTCCTGGCTGCAGTCGCTGCTCAAGGTCCGCACACACACACACACACACACACACACACACTGCTTCCAGTATCCCAGTGACATTAGTTGAATGCTCATACACAAAAAAGCACTCAATGAATGAGACCGTGGAGATAAAATGGTGAGTGATAAAAGTAAGAGATGAGGAGAAAAGGTGTCAGTTTGGACGACGTGCTTTTCAGGGTAAATGTTGTCTTTTCTCAGTCAGGAGCTCAAGTCTACTTATTTTTTCATAAAGACGGGATGTGAAACGGCTTCCAGTTTTCTAGCGTAGATTTATACCTTCAAACTTCTGAAATACTGCTGTTGTTATTAAAGTTTGAGACATTTGATCCCATTGTTTCAGGTTTACGAGTGTCTTCAAAGGTACCTGAGAGGTTCTCCAGCACCAGCTCTGGACTACGCGTCCGGACTTTCACTTCAGGTTGGTTCTGTGAACAACTTGTTGCTCTTGTTCACTTTGTGCCTGTCTTTTTCCTCATGCGTTTCATTGTTGTTGTATGCAGTTGCTGGCTGACATCCGCGCGTTGCCGGGCTGCTCTGAAGAAGCCAAAGAGCTCTACAGCCTGCTGAGGAAGCCAAACCTGCAGGTTTCAGTGTCGTTTCCTACATTATTCACCTGTATTTGTGAGAAGAAATCCTAAAACTTTGCTTTGTTATTATCGACGAGCCGGCGGATTTCAATAAAGAAACACACCTGATCTCCGTGCTTTTGCAGGCTCTTCTCTCGGCTCATGACACGGTGGCCCAGAAGGACTATGAGCCGGTGCTCCCACCGATGCCGGACAAGCTGCCGGACGACGAGGAGGCCACCAGGATCATCTGCCTGGTGAAGAACAAGCAGCCACTGGTGAGCCTCACTGCGCCTCAATGCAAACGCTTCAAATAGGACCAGAACATAGAAAAGGCTTCAGACCGTCAAGTCATGCAAAGACAGTAAATCGTATACAACCAGACTCTTGAATGTCCATCTTTTCTCTCATTTCCACTTTATCCCAAAGCCTTCCTGAACAAAGAAACGCCTCCGTGCCGCCGGGTTCAATCGTGTTGTGCTCACACGTGTTTCTGTTATTATGTCCACCGCATTTAAATCGTTCAGGAGAACCTGGACATCACAGCCTGCAACACGGGAGGATTCATGACGGCTTATCAATTGCAATGCAGACGCGTGAACCTGAAACATTAGAGCGTGTTTTCTTGGTAAAATGTGGGTTTACAAAATGAAAAATGTGCCGATTCAAAAGGTTTTGCACATAAAAAAACAAAATATAGGGATCAGTATGAACGTACATACAGAGAAATATTTTCATGTTTTCACATTTAGAATAAACATCTTCAGCGTGCATACGTTACAGATAAACTGGACAACAACAGAAGCCTGACAGAAGGATATTTGTTTGAACATGTAGGCTGTGTTTTTGTGCCAGATGTGAATCAAACCGCTGACTGCATCCAAGAGAAACCAGATGTTTGAATTTCATAATCCCTCATTTTAGAAATTGTCTATTGATGCTACAGATCTCCTAAACGCGGAGAAACAAAATACATTCCAGGCATCTGTCAACGTTCGTCTGTATCTCCTCTGGGTTTTTCCCTGTGCATCTGTTTAAAGAGAAAGCACCAGTCATTGCCCCCCCGGCTCCAAACCCCCCCCTCTGCCTTTGAGTGACTCTGTTGTCTCACAGCTCCGCGACCACCAGAGGGTCCGGCTGCTCAGTTCGTCCTCCTCTGGTGCCAAACGCTCCAGAGGAGGGATCCGCGCTTACTGGGACAACCTGCGGCACAGGACCCAGCAGCGGCTGCACCGAGGGCCGGGCCCTGCCGCCGGGAGCCTGGACTCGCTGTACCCGGGCCACGCCGCAGCGGCGGCGGTGGCGGCTCGGCCGTCCCCTCCGCCTCGCCACAAGCCGCCGGGTAGCTGCCAGTCCGCAGGCCGCAAGCCGATTGGCCGGTGCAGGGTTTGTTACTCCGAGCTGCTCTGGGATCAGAGCCGGAACCGCTCGGCGCCGTCGCTCTTCAGCTCGGTTCTGATTGGTAAGAAAAGCCCCCGTCACTGGTGCTCCTCCATCTTTCATCACAGCTACCCGTGGGTGTCCCCGGGTGGTTAATGTCTGTTTCTTGTCGTTGGAGACAACATGGTGGAAGACAGCGGCGCTGAGGATGAAGTGGAGTCCAGCGGCCCCCGCGCAGCCCGGCGGTGGACAATGTCTCCGCCGTGTCTCGCCGCGCCGTACTGCCTCCCGTCGGGCGTCCCCCACAGGCTGCGAAGCCAAAGCCCTCGCGTCCACACCGCTCCCCCGAGCCCCATGTGGCCTCGCCGGGGGGCGGCTTTGCCCCCCGCGGCCCCCGTGGATCCGGCCCAGCAGGAGAGTCCGGACCAGTTGAGGAGCGCGGTGCAGCTGGCCGCCCGCTCCATGGAGAGCAGCACCAAAGACATCAAGCTCCTCGGGGAGAGGATGACCGCGGCCACCGAGCGCATGTCCGAGGCGGTGCAGGACAACTCGCAGGCCTTGACCCTCCTCTCTCAGGTGGTGGACCGGCTGCAGGCGCTCCTGGCCGCCACCGCGGCGGAGACCGGCGGGCCGGACCCCGCCGAGCGGGACCCCACGCCCAAGAGATCTCCAAAGCGTCCCTCCCCGGCGCGCTCCATCCCCTCGCTTCTGTCCTCCTCCTCCTCCAGCTCCCTCGGCAGCTCCCTGGACGCCACCTCCACCTCCCAGGGGACCAGCTGTCTCTCTGTGTCTCTCTCGCCCCGAACCACCCCGAAAACCAGGAGGAGCCCGCGGGAGAAGCCCACCGAGCACCAAGCGCCCGCCCGCCTTCTGACCAACGGCCTGCTGGACGAAGCCAAGCTGGAAGCTCGCCCGAACCAGCAGCAGAAGAAGAGGAGGAGAAAGAAGAAGAAGAAGAAGAAGAAGAAGGCGACGTGAGCGACGCCCACAGAGTTTCCAGCGTCTGGACTTCTCGGGTCCTTTCACGCCGTCTCCACAGAGCGGCCGACCTGCCGGCGCACACGGTGATGGCCGTCATTCATTCCTTCATTTCTGTCGCATTTCTCATCCCTTTCCTTCGGTCGTGGACCATTTCATGCTGGAGGCCTCGTCCCGGGATCTTCATCACTTCTCCTTCGTGTCCGATCTCTTTTACCACATCCGTCTTCACGTCCCGTCACGATTCGTGTGGCCTGTCCCCCACCTCACCGCAACTTTTATTTACTCTCTGTTTCCCTTCTCCTCTGTTCCAGGGAGCCACTATAAAGAGAAATGAGATCACCGGGGAGATTTTTATCGCTCGGGTGATTCATGGAGGTCTGGCTGATCGCAGTGGTGAGCCTTTTGTCCTCAATCCACCAGTTCAGCTTACTAGTAACTACTAGAAGACGTTGACATTATTGTGTATGTGTGCAGGTCTGCTCCACGCAGGGGACAGGGTCGTAGAGGTGAACGGTTTTCCCGTGGACGGGTTGGAACCTGAGCAGGTCATCCAAGTTGTGGTACGTCAGTTCTTTGTGGCCTAAAATAAAGGAAATAGTACGAAAAAGAGCAATTTAGGGAATTTCTGGCATTTCTGATCCCGACTGATGTAGAAGATGAGAAGTTTTGGAAGTAGACATTTGTTTTGAAGTGGTGCCTATACGTTAAACCAAATCCTCTATTCATCCTTGACAAGTCTATCAGCCTGATATCGGCTAACAAATCCATCCTGTTTGTCTTCTTTTCTAAACAATCAGCAAGCGAGGTCGCAGGGCACCATCATGTTCAAGGTCATTCCCATCACAGAAAGGCCGGTCCACAACCAGACGATGGTAAGTCACCCTCCACACACACACACACACACACACACACACACCGGCATCCCGCTAACTGAGCCGCTCTGGTGAAGCTCTACGTTCGGGCCCTGGTGGACTACAGCCCCCAGCAGGACCCGGCCATCCCCTGCGCGGACGCCGGAGTGAGCTTCAGGAAAGGCGACGTCCTGGAGATCGTGGACCAGACGGACGCGCTGTGGTGGCAGGCCAAGAAGCTGCCCAGCAGCTCGGCCTGCGCCGGCCTCGTCCCCTCCTCCAACCTGCTGAGACGGTCAGTGGCCCCGCCCACGAGGGCGGGATGCCCTCGTTAAGGAGGACAGAGATTTCTTTATTGGGGTTATTATGCTTTTACAAATGTTGGCTAGAATTTAACCAGCAATAGGAATTAACTTCTGCATTCATGTCTCTCAAAACTGCTACTAAGAAAAACTGCTGCTGGTGCCACTAGACCATACAGGTGTAACCGCGGAGCCGATCTTTAAACGTATTCGGTTTGCCATGTAGCTGTAATCTGCGTGTTGTCCCAGGAAGCAGAGGGAGGTCTGGTGGTCTCAGCCGTATCATCCACAGGCCGGCATCCAGACCTGTAAGTCCCCCTGAACTCGCTGTCAGCGCTTCACCGTTCGCGGCCTCTGTGCAACCCGTTTCCCTTTGTGTGACTTGTGTTGTGTTTCACCCCGCTGACGCTGAAGTGAGCACGGTGGAGGAAGGTAAGGAGCGCACACACACACACACACACACACACACACACACGCCGCCTGTCGCTTTCTCCCCATTTAGCTCCAAAAACCAGCGATTCATAACTCGCTTTGCAAAGCAGAACTCCGTTTTTCCCCCCACAGAGGAGGACTTGATCGCCCTCGACGAGAAATGTGTCGAAGCAGGTAAAGCTCCGTTTAATCTCTCACACGTACACCGGCTGCACGTCTTTGCTGCTCTATGATTAATCCCCCCGCTTTGTGTTGTTTCCCTCCTGTCAGACGAGGAGGCATTTGAATCTGGTAGGTAAGTCTTTGTTGATGTCATCTGGTTCCGACTCTGTTTTCTGTCTCCCTCCATCTGAATCTGAATCCTTGGTCCCTTCTTTCTTTTCCAAACTCTGCGTCTGTCTGCCGGCGGAATGTCAGAGGAGCTCAGAGAAGGTGAGAGAACCTCAGTTTCATCTCCCTGAAAGGAGGAAGCTCCATACAAGCTTTTACACTTACCTTCAGTTTCAATCTTTTCCATGTATTTTATTTAAGATTTTAGTGCCAGAATATTATTATTTTATTATTTGATCCAAGGATCAGCAGTAGTAGTCAGGCTTGGTCTTCCACATACTAGTTTTAATGTATTTATTGAGCCTATTGTATGTATCTTTCTCCTCATCCAGGGGAGGATGACGGCTGCAGCAAACTTGAAGACATCTACTTGGGTAATTCTGGCTCTTACCCGCTCTGATACCTGCACACCTATAAATCCCCCACGCACAGTTCCCCTCGATTGTTACACACTCGCCGGATCTTTTCTCAAACGTTAACGTGAGCTTCATCTCCCAGCGGGCTTCAGGCGCAGCCTGCGTCTGTGTCGGCGGCGGTCTCACAGCACCACGCAGCCCTCCTGCCACACCCGCTGCCCCAGCAGCTGCTCCAACAGCCTCGGCAGCCCCTACGAGGAGGTGGTGCGCTACCAGCGCCACCCGCAGGACGCACACCGCCTCATCGCCCTCTTAGGTGCACTTGTCACAGGCCTCATTGTTTAATGTCTTGTATTTCTCACCAGCCCTGTTTAAGCAACACAACCTATTTAATCGATCACATTTGATTTAAATGAATTTGCTACGAGATGTTTGACTCTCCCCTGTTCATCCAGGCCCGCCCGGTGTGGGTGTGAATGAACTCCGGAGGCGCTTGATTGAATTGAACCCAAACCTCTTTCTGGGAGCCGTGCCTCGTACGTAAAGACCAGATTTAGAATCAACTTCATGGATTGAATCAGCTTGTCCGATGGTCCTTTGTTGTTAAGTGATTGTCCGTATGACAGAGAAACGGCACCAGACTTTCCTTCCCCAGACACCACGAGAGCACCCAAAGGATACGAGGAGTCTGGCAGAGAATATTACTTCATCAGCAGAGAAACCTTTGGCAACATGGTGTACAACAACAGGTACAACTGAACCATGAGTAATGGATGTAACACACTAAACGCACTGCGTTTGTGCTCTTATACTAAATATACCCACTTATTTATGAGCTTTAACTAAAGGTCAAGTAGAGGTAGAGCTCTACTGAGGTGTTATTGCATGTTTAAGCATTGAGTACTAGTGACTCCTTCCTTGTTGTCGTGCAGGTTTCTGGATTACGGGGAGTACAGAGGGAATCTGTACGGCACCAGCATCGAGTCTGTGAGGGACGTCTTACTCAGCGGAAAGATCTGCGTCATGGACATCGATCCAAATGTAGCAGCAGCAGTTACATTACCGTCCTCTTCCAGACACCACAATCTCTTTTTGTTGTACTTCTAATGACTTGTCATTAAAAGTTTTGCTTTAAATGTTCAACTCTTGATTCAGGCCATCCATGCAGTGAGGAGCCACGAGCTGAAGGCTTACATCATCTACGTGAAGCCGCCCTCACAAGATCGCCTCAAGGAGACCAGACAGGACTCGTACATCACCACCAACTACTACATCAACCGGCCTTTCAAAGTAACCCCCCCTTTACCCCCTGACCGGATTCTAGATTATGCTTCTGGTAAAACGTCTGCTTTTGTTAACTCAGGAAGACACCAAATACTTAAACGGTGACACAGACATTTTACGTCTCTGAGCAATTTCCTTTTGATTTGAAGTGAAAATCGAAATAGGAATGTAGAGAAGAGACGATAAGAGAACAAAACCTATTGGAAATCATCAGTTGAGACGTTTGTTTCCTCAATCAGGAGGAAGACTTCCAGGAGATGGAGGAAGCCGCCCGGAAGATCGAGTCTCACTACTGGGCGTTTTTTGACCAGGTGATTGTGAACGACAGGCTGCAGGACTCCTGCGTCCAGCTGCTGACCGCAGTGAGGAAGGCGCAGGACGAGCCGCAGTGGGTCCCTGCCAGCTGGATACGACCCACGACCACGTAAGCGAGGAGGATCGGGTGGCGGCGAAGGGGGAAGAGGGAAACTCAACCTCCTCTCATTATGGCAGCAATGGTTTTTGTTTTACACATTTCTCACTGTGAAATCTTAACATGTAAATCCATTTGAATTTTTTAAGGGGGTAGGGCACGAAAGAAATGTGACCATTTCCATCTTTTAGGTAGTTGCTTAATTCACCTGATTATTAGATACATATGGAGCTGAATATTTTACTTATTATTATTGTAGAAGATCATTCTTGCCCTGCTCCCTTCTCTTAAACACAGCCCTGCAACAAAGAACATATGTTTACAAAGTGATGGTTTTTCATGCTGAATTCTTGTCATTTCATGAGTTTACTCTAGCCTAAAATGTTATTGCGTACAAATGTAATAAACATTAACAAAAAGAATGGATCGATTTATATTTGTACTTGTTTGTTACAGCAACAAACCACTTTCAACAATATTCACAAACGTACGACTTTCATTAATCTGTTTGGGTGTTTCGAATAGGAGGTTTTATTTTGAAGATACCGGAAGTCTGTGTCCGATGCTGAAATAGTTCCGGGTAAAACATTTCCGCTCGCAGAATATAAACACGTTAAATGATTATAATAAGAACTTTTACAGTTTCCTCACTTTTAAACGGTTATTGTCTCTAAATAACTTACCTATCAACTAATAATTTAGCAGGATGAATATGTAAAGTCGCTTTTGTGAGAGAAACTCCACATTATGGACACGGGAGGCTCAAAGGTAACGTTTATTTATCACACACATAACGGTCGCTTTGGTGAATAAAGTGCTGCCGCAGAACGCTGTTTGCTTATTTGTTAGATTTCAAATGGTCTCGAGTCTAGACTTTTAATAGAACTTCATTTTGAACAACACATTTGTTTGAACTACAAACGCTGGCTAACTTTAACTGTTAGCTAATAGCTTCGAACAGCTAATGAGTCGCATTTAAATTCGCGTTACTTGAAGATCTTGTTATGGATTTGTGTTTTACCTTCATAGAAAATGAAACCCAGGGAGCTGCCGCCTCTTCCACAGGTGAGTCCTTCAAATATGTCCCTTTATTACGACCGCCAAGAAACGGAACTACTCCATTTATTATTATATTAAACTATAAAAGGACCTCCATGAACGCAGAGAACAAACTGACTAAACGGAAGAACGTTGTTCACTTGAGGGAGCTTCTAATTTCATCACGTAATCGATTACACAATCAAGCCTTTTCTCGATTTTCTTTACATTCACAAACTTGATCAGGTGAATTTGGAAACAGGTGTTAGTGGTTCACAACTTAATAATATCCTGTTACTTCATAGCTGGTCAGTGAAAAGGATGTTCAGACCTCTGTGGTGTCGGATTTAAATCGTGTCTCACCCAAAGCAGTAGAACTCTACACGTAAACTGTCACTTATCTAAACCTGAAATGTAAATTAAAAGTTGTCCATAAGTTGTCTGACTGCATGTAGGGGCAATATATAGAGTAATTACTGTACGTCTCACACACACACACACACACACACTCACAAGAGTTCATAAAGGTTGGCGTCGTGTGACCTCTGTCCTGAGTAATCCCCGGTCCTGGCGGATGAATGGACACGGATTTAGCTGAGGATTTAACAGGATGTGTTGCGTAGCTGCTCTTCAATCTTACTGGATTTGTGGGTGAAATGGCCAGAAAGATGTCGGTAAGTTCTTATCGGACTGCACGCAGTCCCTGACATTTACCCAACGGCTCGCGCAATGCTCCTGTACACTTTAAATCTAACTTCGCTCCTTGTGTCAGAGGAAAGGTGATTTATTTGTTATTGTGTTTGTGCTTCGTTTGATTGGACCTTCACAATGTAGAGGTGCCTACTTTTTATTCCCGATTTCTTTCTTGTTCTTTTGTGAATCAATATTTATTTTCTCTAATGGTATGAAATACTTGTATATACTGTAACTCAAACATTCAGTCACTTAAGTAGCAAAAAAAAAAGAAAGAAGGGGGGGAAATAAGATTTGTTCCATTTGAGGTTATTGGAAACAGAAATATACACAGAACAAAACGTGACTCCTGCTTCTCTCTTTGTGTCCCAGCGGGGACAACGATCCCTTCCCACTATGCCCAGGTAGGTGAATGTCTTTTTCTAATGTGACACAACCCCTTAATCTACAATAAAACAGTCAAACTAAACTACTGCTTCTCTCCTTTTTTTCGGACTCGTGGAAACATGAAGTCAAGACACGGCTGGTGAGTCCGGATGAGACGAATACATCCAATGGTTTTTACCCAAATTCTTGATTTCATTTAACTTCATCATTCGTCACCTTGTACAGAAGTACCAGCACTAAAACAAAAGAAGAAGAAAGTGAGAAGGGAGTCCAATGGAGCCGATCATTTGAGCGGTACGTAACCTTAAACCTTTCACTTACCTGCATTTAAAGGGCTATTGCACCCACGCATTAAGCACAACAAGCTCCTTGAACAGTGCCAAAGATACTTAAGTACACCGCCGGTTCGAACCATTTCACAGTTGAGAGTGTTGCATGTGAGAAGGTTAGCCTGAAACATTTCCTCAATGTCACCGGTTTAGATGCTGCGATGGAAATGGGAGGCCTCGGCAGCCGCAGGGCATCGCAGGTCGTAGAGCAGCTTCCCCTTGAATCCACAACGGACGCGCCGACTCAGAGGAGGAAGAAGAAGAAGAAAGCAGCAACCGTCGGTGAGGACCGAGGACGCGGTTTGGCCCGTTCATGCAGCGCTGTAGTTCTGCCAGCCCAGAGGTTTACAGATGTGTGAATTCATGGTTTCAGATCTGGACGATGACCAGGCCGACCTGGTGAACGGCGACACAGCGGATCAGACAACTGATGGAGAAGAAGTGGTTAAAAAAAGCAGAAAGAAAAAGTAAGAAATTAACAATCCTGTGTTTTGCCACACAATCGATAGAAAGAAAAAAGAGTGAAACGTATTTGATATATTGATATATGGTTTATGCTTTTATTCTTGTAATTTCAGGAAGACCAAATTTGTTGAGTCGCCGCTTTCCAATGAGTTGGAGGTGGAGGAGGACGACATCCTCACCGACACGGCGCCTCCGATCTCCCAGCATCCCCTGTTCTCGGCCCCGCTGGGTCAGAGCCAGCCGGTGGGGAAAGTCTTTGTTGAGAGGAACAGTGAGTAACGACAAAAGAAGAAGAACTAGTGATCCGGTCCGTTGGACAGAAGCCGAGTCGGTAACTCCCGTGTGTCCCTGCGCAGAGCGTTTCCAGGCCGCTGAGCGCTCCGACCGGAGGAAGACTAGTGACCAGATGGACGCCATGACGGACATCCTGCACATCAAGCCGCTCTGGAGCACCAGAGACGTGTCTCTCCGAGTCCACGGAGGCTTCAGGTGAAGATGACGAGTCTCACACAATGCTAGATGTGTCCAAGCGGTCCCCCCTCCCTGAACGTCTCCTCTCCTTTGCACGTGGTGCAGGGTGTTCGGCCTGTATTGCCACGGCTTCCTGGCGGGCTACGCCATGTGGAACATCACGGTGGTGTACATTCTAGCCGGACGGCACCTCACCACTCTGTCCAACCTGCTGGAGCAGTACCACAGCCTGGCTTACCCCGCCCAGTCGCTGCTCTACATGCTACTCGCCATCAGCACGGTGGCCGCCTTTGACAGGTGAAGCCCAGCACCCCACCCCGCATCACTGGCACAACAGTTTGTTATTTAAAGGTTTGCAATTTGACAAAGATAACCTGTTGTGTATTTTCAGAGTGAACCTGGCCAAAAGCTCCATGGCTCTCCGTGAGTTCATCACGCTGAACCCAGTCGCTCTGGCCTCATTCTGTGAGTCCTCACTACTTACTGTCACATCATTACCTTCGACCTGGTGTCCGAGGATCCCTTCACACGCTTTTGTTTGTCTGCCGCTCAGTGTATTTCTCAGCGTTGGTCCTCTCTCTGAGCCAGCAGATGACCAGCGATCGAATCAACCTGTATCCAACCCTCAACACCACATTATGGTGAGGATGAGGGGATCATTTGATCTTTCTTACTATGGTACCATTTATTTGATCTTTCTATCTTGGTACTATGGTACGCGACACATTTCCTTTGTTTCCTCCAGGCCGCCAGGACTGGAGCACCAGATTCTGCACCCGTGGGTGACAGTGAACCTGGTGGTGGCTGTGCTGGTGGGACTGGCCTGGATCTTCATCGCCCTCCGACCAGAAACGGACTACACTGACAGTAAGAGAAAAAGAGTCTGTGCTCAACACTGCAAATCTCCCAAAAAAAGAAAAAATATTTGATTTTCTTTTGCTTTCTTTTCAGAGTATCTGGAAACCATGGCGATTGAACCTCCAAAGCCAGAGGACAAATCAGAGATGAGTGCCTGAGGAATAAATACTTCTGCTCGTATTCATACTGTACAGCTTTGATGTCATTTTGCCCAATATTTTTGCACTGAAATTTGTCAGTGAACTGTGAATGTGATGTAGATTATTTTTGTATTTTTTGAATGTGCTTGTCTCTTTATAAATATTTATTATACAAATCCAACCGCTTTTTGACATACGGGGAAGTAAGTGTTTTTATATATAAGGTGATTGTAGTGGCCATTTGTCCTACAAATCAAAGGGCCACTGGCTGCACCTACTGTTTGTTTTTCTGTAATGCAGCAAGAGAGTGTATTGTCCAGGCAATCGGTTCCTTTTGTTCACATTTTCCAAAGATCCACCAAACACATAAAATAAAACTTTGCTGCCTTCCTATGCAGGGCTCTGGCTCGCTGTCTCGCTGGTAAAAAACTATATGTCATGCTGGTCCTGTACCTGGCTATGCCCTTAAATAACCCCAAAACTACACATACTAAGTGACACAATGATTAAACCAAATACACAAAGCTATCTTAATACTATCAAATATCAATATTTAAGAATAAATGACTAAATCATAGCTCGCACAGTGATTGTTGTCTTATATTTCTCCAATATATCTTAATTCGATACATCTTACTATTATGCATTACATTATTGTATCAAACGAATACATATTCCTTCTGAGATCGATTCGTTGGCTCTGCCGGCGGTCCAGCCATTGTAGTCGAGCCCAGAGTGCCCGTCTCTCCCCGAACGTTTCTGTTGACGTGGTAACGGTGTCTGTTGTACGGACACACGGGAGGAGAAGTCGCCGAAGTCTTGCTACTAAAAGCGCGCAGTCATGCTGGACTTTGCCATCTTTGCCGTTACGTTTGTCGTCATTTTGGTGGGCGCCGTTTTGTATTTGTACCCGGTAAGTCACCGCGGCAGTCTGCCTCAACCCAACGCTCGGTTAGCTAGCGTTGCGTTAGCAACATTCTCCCGAAAGACGGTCCGTTTATTGCTCATTTGCTCACCGGTGAGAGGAAACATCTAACGGAATACAACATCTTCAACCAAGTGTGTTACCTTTTTTATTTCGGCTGACATCCATCACACCAATCGATAACAGGAGTCAGCGAAAAATCATTTGTAAAGATTCACAACGGGCGGTAACTGCCAAAGTGGTGATTTCACCCAAACTAGTGTAAAGTGATTTTTGTCTGCCGATTTCTCCCTCAGAATTAGATTATTATTATTATTATTATTATTAGATTATTAGACAACGTTGGTGTCACACAATCTAAGCGAGGAAGTGTTAAACTGACGTGTATTCCAGTGTGATAGCCACTCTATCAGAGAAGACAGAAGGTCTACTGTCAATTTAAAAAAGAAATGATCTCCAATCATGTTTCCAGTCATCCAGAAGGGCCTCTGGCATCCCGGGTCTCAATCCAACAGATGAGAAGTAAGTCGTCACCTTCACATCTGTTAAAGCAGCTGCTCCTCACTTTTAACTACACAGAAACAAATAGAACATGAGGCCAGTGCTGCAACATGAGGCCTGTGTCGCATATGTGATTTATTGTAATTCCCCTGTAAACTAGTCCAGGTGTGTGCGGCTGCCTAAAGACTGAGCTCCCTTTAGAGGGACGCATGCAACACGTGCGCGTCATCCCGGCTATTGTGTTCTACCCGAATCCTTTCCGTCTGCTCTCCCAGGGATGGGAACCTGCAGGACATCGTGGACAGAGGCAGCCTGCACGAGTTCCTCGTCAGCCTGCATCGGGAGTTTGGGTCGGTGGCGTCGTTCTGGTTCGGCGGACGGCCGGTGGTCAGCCTGGGCTCCGTGCACCAGCTACGGCAACACATCAACCCCAACCACACCAGTAAGAGCGCCAGCGGTGTCCATGCGGCCTTGGTATTCCTGTCGCCAAACCCAACGGAGGCCTTTCTCATTGTATGTCTGTACGGAAGACATGATTAAACAAAAAAGGAGTTCTTTTTTTTTGCTCTTCTTAGCTGACTCCTTTGAGACGATGCTGAAGTCGTTGCTGGGTTACCAGTCGGCAATGGGAGGCGGGGCCGCCGAGACAGTAATAAGGAAAAAGGTGTACGAGAATGCCATCAACAACACGCTGAAGAGCAACTTCCCGCTTGTGCTCAAGGTATGTGTGCTCAAGGTATCTGTCATGAAACGACTGAAATGAAGCATTCAGACAAAGGGCCTCACGCGTCTTCTGCTGTGTAGCTCGTGGAGGAGCTGGTTGGAAAGTGGAAGTCATTCCCAGCGTCTCAGCACACCCCGCTGTGTGCCCACCTGCTGGGTCTGGCCATGAAGACGGTCACCCAGCTGGCTCTGGGAGAGAGCTTCGGAGACGACGCCAAGGTCCTTTCCTTCCGCAAGAACCACGACGCGGTGAGACGGCTCTCCCCACCTTCCAGATGAGGCCGATGGCACGGGGGGCGCACTGTACTTCTTACACATCCCTCAACTGCTTTTCAGCTTTCCTGTCTTTCTCCATCAAATGACGGCTTCTGCATCTTCTTACATATTTGCTGAGTTTCCACGCCTGTTGGAATCTGGCCTGCTTGTGTTCTGCTGAATGCCGTCACTTCATTTAGTTTCTTCCCCGGTCTCCCAACTCGCCAGATCTGGTCAGAGATCGGAAAAGGCTACTTGGACGGCTCCCTGGAGAAGAGCTCGAGCAGAAAGGGGAATTACGAGAAGGGTGAGTGAGGAAGGTGGCACGAGTTTTCTCGGCTTAAACAGCCGACATGTATGTTCAGTCGTTGAACCGCCGTCTGTCATTTCTTGAGTCTAGTGACTCTGGTTTTCTTCTTGATCTCTTGCACCTGCTGTGTGTTGGCACGTGTGTTTGCACATGAGTGAGCCGCGTGGGGCTTCTATCGTTGTTTCAGCTGTGGAGAGACGGGGGAAAGTTTGCAGAGGCTCAGCCGTGATCTCTTTGTGTTTGTGGAGCAGCGCGACAGACAATAGTTCAGGAGACTGAATAACCGACACTTTCAGTACCTCGCCTTTGTGAACAGAGACTGATCGGGTGGACTTTTATTGATTTACCTGCCGACGACAGGTGTTGCTGGAGTTCACTTTAGAAGCTGCCCCAAGAGCTGGAAAGCGAGATGCATCTTCGAAAATGCTGCCTTTCATTTTTTTTGTGTCAGTCAGCTGCGTCTTCATGCCAAAAAAAGTGTGAGAAGTAACCGATGTGAAACGACAATGTTTGCTATGTTTATCTCTCCGGGTGTTCAGCGCTGTCGGAGATGGAGTCCATGCTGCTGTCAGTGGTGAAGGAAAGAAAAGCCCAGAAGAAGCAGACGGCGTTCGTAGACGCTCTGCTCCAGTCCAGCCTCACCGAACGGCAGGTGAACACTGATCCGGTTACTCAGGTTAAGGTTTAAAGCCCAGAGGGAAGCTGGTTCCCCTAAAAGCACTCAACTCTAACATTTTCTGCTTGTTTGAGGTCATGGAGGACTGTATGGTTTTCACCTTGGCCGGATGCGTCATCACTGCAAACTGTACGTGTCCATCAATGAGTCCATCAATGAGTTATGTTTTTCTCGTGATTCCCTGAAGCTTAAGTGTTAAATGTTGTGTTTCCGCAGTGTGTATCTGGGCGCTTCACTTCCTGTCCACCTCAGAGGACGTTCAGGACAAACTGTACAAAGAACTGGATGAGGTTTTGGGTTCAGACCCAGTCTCCTTGGACAAAATCCCTCAGCTCAGGTAAGAACTTCGGACCTAATACATCTAGTATCTGAGTTCAGATCTTAGAATACACATGTGGCATTCTTCTAATTTCAGTGTAGAACTCCATGATTTTACAGATGATGTTTCTAATACCACCCATGCCCGGTTGTTTAGTGCAATGACCTCGACCTCATTTGTGCCCTTGGAAAGATACTGCCAGCAGGTCCTCAACGAGACGGTGAGGACTGCCAAGCTGACCCCCGTCGCGGCTCGCCTCCAAGGAGTGGAGGGCAAAGTGGATCAACACGTCATCCCCAAAGAGGTATCTGCCTGCCTTCTTTCTCCTCAGCTCCTCGGGAGAGAGGCCTTGGGGATAGTAACATGAATTATGCAGCTGGGCATCGCAAAGAGGTTGTTTTTTTCCATTCCATGTCTCAGACTTTGGTCATCTACGCTTTGGGGGTGGTTCTGCAAGACTCTGACACCTGGAACACCCCATACAGGTCCCATTTACTGACTTATGTACTTCATAATTCACCAACACACTACAGAAAGTCTGTTTACAATTTAATGGGGACTATGAGTCCACATGCTGAACTCAGCAGGTTTTAAATACTGATTAGTCTGATTTGTAACACGGGGTTTCCTGTGACTTCATCAGGTTCGACCCGGATCGATTCGAGGAGGAATCGGTGGAGAAGAGCTTCTGTCTGCTCGGCTTCTCTGGAAATCAAACGTGCCCAGAGCTCAGGTAGAGACTGACATGAAAACACGTGAACTGACCCGAGCACACACTCCGCTACATTTCACTTTTAACGTTCTCTTTTTGGGGGCGGGAGTCCGGTTTAGATGAGCCCTTGTGTTTGGATCTCTCGCGTACTTCAATGCTATTGTCAAAAAGGCGATGACATGCGCGGTCTCTCTCAGGTTCGCCTACACCGTGGCCACCGTGCTGCTCAGCGCGTTGGTGCGCCAGCTGAAGCTCCACCAGCTGAAGGGACACGTCGTGGAGGTCCGATCTCAGCTGGTGTCCACGCCGAAGGACGAAACCTGGCTCACCGTCAGCAGAAGAAGATAATCTTTACAAAACACTGCGGGGAGAAGAGCTGACGAGTTGGATTCCTGGAGAACAACTTATCTCAGTTAAAGGATTTACCGGCGTATAGACTATTTTATTTCAGTGCCACAGAATTCTTTTTTTTTCTTTCTGTTCTTTTTCAACATTGTTAGTTGACACTACTTGGAATTAAACTGGTAATTTGAAAGATTCTTAAATGCATTTTCTATTCTTGGTAGATAGATTGTTCTGTACAGTCATAGGTTGTCTGACAGGTGCTTTTTACAAACGGTAATCTGAGGCCTTAAGCACGTTAGATTTGCACTTCATGGAATCCGTAAAAGTGGAGCAACGCAGTGGTTAAACACTTCACGATGTAGGGAAAATGTTTTCTGTAATACACAGTGCAGTTACCTTGAGTCAACATAAACTGTGCGCTTGTTTATTTATATGGCCAATGTGGCATTTAGACATTTCATCCACTTTTTAAACACTGTTGCATATTACGCATAATTAAATATGTTTAAAGATTTATTTTGATTCGTGTCACACCCTAACTGGAAAATGTCCAACATCAAATACAGATTTCAGTGGCAAAGGAGTGCCACTCCTGGTAATTGCGGTTTCAGTTTGCGTATTGAAATATTTAATTGAAGCAATTTTTACAGACACCCTTTATTAGCTAATGTGTTTCTGGAGGGCCCTTGGGCAATACTTTTTTTCCCAACATGATCTAGGCGTTCTCTATGACGTTGCCTTTGAAAAGGCAGCGATACAAGAAAAGAAAAAAGGCGTCTTTGAGTTAGTGGGAAAGTGCAATATCCCAGAACTCATAACTGGTTAAAAAAATGTTACAACATCAAATATATATATATATTTTGCAGACCACACTTACAAAAGCGTTTCGACTATTGGGAGCAAACAAAATGCATTTTCACGCCTCTCTCCACTAGTTGCTCGTCCTGCAGTACCGCGTGCAGCCGCGGGGGCGCAAGAGGCGCCACACACACACACACACACACACACACACACAGAGCTCTGCTAAAGATGTGAAAATGGCCGAGCTACAAATGCTTCTGGAAGAGGAGATTCCAGCTGGACGGAGCGCACTACTAGACAGTTTCACTAACTTGGAAAGAGTCGCGGAATACTGCGAAAGCAACTATGTCCAGGTAGGCCGCCACGTCCGTGGAATAAATCACCGGGTTCTTGTTGTTTTTTTGACGGTTGTCGCGGAGGGGCGAACTGATGCTAGGCTAGCTGTTGCTAACGCTAGGCAGCTGGCTAGCTGACAACGGCTAAAGCAAACACAAGCCACTGGAAAGGCATGTCAATGACTTATTCGTCTTTCTGCCGCCTCATTCTTGTAAAGGAGCTTTAATGCTGCTTATGAGTCTGTATTTCCATCGACAGATCGATACGTGTGACTCGTACATCCCCCGTGGGCTTCGTCGTTAGCCGGGTAGCCTGCTAGCCAGCTGCTCGCCATCACCCCACTCTCTCTAAATAACCCCACGGGCACCGCGAAAATCCATGTATTTTCCCCGTGCGGGATCAATCGATGTCGCTTCGGCGGCCAGCTGATCGAGCATCGGCCGGACGGGATATCAGATTAATCTGCGACGAGCTTTTGGTTTGACAGAAGATTTAACAGCCGTGACAATATTCCCAACAACCACTGATTTATCGCGTCGGACTGAAACGAAACACGTGATTTGAGGCTTTTTCACCCCATTAAAGATGCACCACTAGAGCCTCCATCGCTTCACCCACACCGGCCTCTTCAGCGAGGAAAAGTCACTGTTATGTGGCGTTTTCTGTGAAAGATGGGACTCGTTTGCTGTTGACATGCGTAGCATTGAGGTGTGTGTGTGTGTGTGTAGGGGGAAGGGGAGGGGGGGTGTAATCAATCCCATTCAGAGCTTTTGCGTTGTGGTATTCTGCAGGTGGGAGCGATTTTGTGGCAGGATCTTTCTCCATCCTATAAATTCTTTAGGGGTCGACATTTGTGTCCATAGTGTTATGAGAGGAGGAGGAGGAGGAGGTGTGATACTGGCATGTAAGGTGATAAACCGGTCTGACAGGTTGCCCTGCGATGTTGGCACGGTTGTAATTCTCGCCTTTGTCCTGCCTTAAAGCCAGTTTCCTTGTAGCATTGGTAAGGTTAGTTTGTTGAATCAAGCTGGTTTTCACCATCTCTTCTACAAAAATCTTCCTTTTTTTTCTACAGATGGTCATTCTGTTTTAATAAAACGCCGCCTTAATTTTAGTCCGATGCTTTGTTCCCTGACTTAAACAGCAATCCCTCACTTGTTCAATCACACTGAGGCGTGCTGATCCATGCATCTATCCTCCCCTCCCAAAGATCATATCACCAGTCTATTAGCAAGTGTGGCCGGTACGTCCAAAATGTCTCTTGTGCCCTGCAGGGAGAAGCTGCTGCTTCGCTCCCGCCCTTTTGTCACATAACCGGTTCGTCTGCGTGATCCAGGGATGCTGCGCCCTGCACGCTTCCTTTAAAGGACGCCGCCGGTTGGCAGAAGTTTGATGATTTGTCGGATTGAATTGTGAATTACCTCCCATCACATGCTCCCCGCGTTTCACATGAAAGAGAATAGACACCTCTGAGGACTGGCCTTATTGCGCTGCCTCTCATTAGGTTTTCATCTTTATTCAGGGCCATGATTATTTAATGTCACGTCCCCCCCCCATACACAAAAAAAATTATTACGATTCAGTCTCTTGTAAATATTCTTCTCATTTCCTCATATCGAGATTTGACGTGCAACAGAAATTCAAATAAAAGCTTACGCTTTACTCTCGCAGTGTTGCTGTCGAGAACAAAATCAGTCAGTAAGTCAATATCCAATCACGCGCGGAGATTGTTGTGTCCCAGAGTGTTCAAATCAATCTGCTGCTGCTATTCACGCAGAAAGAAGTGCATTTCCATTTGGTTTCAGGGGTGCAACAAATTATTTTTCTTGTCATTACTCAATGCAAATCAAACAGATGAATTCATCACCAGGACAGAAAATGACCATCGTTATTGTGACTTGCGTGGCTCAATCATATTAAGTAGAACTTGAGACAACTCTGATATGTAGTCCTCAAGTTGTTTATGTGACAACCATGAAAAACCAAAGAGGCAACGACATCAGCTGCGAATCCTCGCATTTTAAGAAGATGTGATCATAAATAGATGTGCAAGTATTCTTTAACCGTTCCTCCCTGCCGCTCACGTCTCCTTTCACTCTGCCTGCGGCTCCATTAACGTTCCTTGTCCTTCAAAATGTTCCTTCTTGCCTCTGAAACATTTAGAAGCCGCTTTCTAATTGCAAAAAGTGTCTTTTTTTTAAAATAAAAGTCTACGGTCTCCTTTCTTTCATTCAGTCTCCAGACAAGGAGAGGGCGCTGGAGGAGACAAAAAACTACACCACCAGTCCCTTGCCAGCGTGGCCTTCCTGATCAACATTCGGGCCACAAACGTCCGGCAGATGCTGGACATCCGGGCTTCGCACCTGCGCCGCATGGAGTCCCCCATCACCCACTTTTCACAGTTTCCCCGGGGGAGGCGCAGAGAACCCCAAGCCTTGTTTAAAAAGTGTTGAGGTGTGAAAATAAAGACCCCCCCCCCCCCCCCCCCGTGTCCTGTTTGTTCCCAGACGGTGGACATCCACAAAGAGAAGGTGGCCCGGCGAGAGATCGGCATCCTCACCACCAACAAGAACACATCCCGCACGCACAAGATCATCGCCCCGGCCAACCCCGAGAGGCCCGTGCGCTACATCCGCAAGCCCGTGGACTACAGCATGCTGGACGACATGGGCCACGGGGTCAAGGTGGGCTTTTTGCGCCCCCCCCTCCCTCCACCCGCTTTCAGGGGTTTAACTTTGTAAAGGGCTGCGGTTTACTCTTTTAGAAGTAATTATCCGGGAATCTCTGCGATTTTCGTCACCCAACTAAATTCTCCCACGTCGGGAGACTCACTTGCTGTTGCCAACCGGTTCCTCTGCGAGGATCTTCTTTATTCGATGAAATGGTGAAAGTGGCGGATTTCTGGGGAAGTTCGCCTCCCACTGATTTCGTGAACAAAGGCGAGCTTGTTTTCCAGAAAATCCTTTCAACCTCACCGAGGTCTCAAAGACGAAATTCTTCAGATTTGAACACTGCGCTTTTGTTTCCCACCAGCTTTCATGAGCCTCGTGCACGAAGAATTGTTTGCTCTTCCTTACTTACTAATCCTCTTTTATTCTTCTCTCCCTCTCTCTCTCTGCTTGCCTAAATGTGTCTTTATAATAAACCGTAGTGGTTGCTAAGGTTTAAGGTAAGACCTTCAAACTAAAAGCCTCAAACAAAAGAGTTTTTTGTTTTGAATCATTTTGCAAATATCATCTGTTGAGATTGTGATTGATACCGCTCTCATTTGTGTTGATATTTAACTTAGCTTTGCATAATTACTGGAAACGGCTCGCCGGGGTCTCACAACAATGAACCCCTAAAGTTCCCTGAATAAGAGATGAGCGAGGCGTTATTATTTTAACAGCCGTTCATATTGATCAGACACTTCTGAGGGTGGTATCAACATTTAGTTAAATAAATACAATTTCCTTTCAACGACGTTATTCAGTCTCTAAAGTCCTTTTTGGGTTAACCATCACGTTTCCATGTTCTCCTCCTGCAGGCCGGCGTTCAGAGCATGAAGGCCGGAGGAGGCGCGCTCCCTCGCACAAACCCCCCCACGCAGAAGCCACCGAGCCCGCCCATGTCGGGTAAAGGGACCCTTGGGTATGTAGCGGAGTCCAGATGGACGTGAGGACTGGTTCTGTGTCCCTGTGGCCCTCCAGACGGGCCTGTTGGCTCCCATTTTTATTATCAGCCCTTTTACCTCCTCGGGGGGGTTGAAATCCATTTAAAAACCGACTGTCCATCTCTGATCGTTGCTCGCTCCCAAAGAATATATTTAGACTGATGGGGCTTATTTACTTATGACTTTACTTTCCAATGCTGGACATCCTGTTCAAGAACATATTTTAAATGAGTTTTTAGTCCAATGTGAAAGACGATCACATTCTAGTTTCTGTCTCTGTGGTCTGTCCGTGTGTCCCGCCCAGGAGAGTCTGTAGTGTCTCCGTGTCCCCAGCCCTTCATATCGGCCTCAAAGTGTGTGTTGGTCCCATGCCGATCAACCTCAGCTCCACCCTCATAGAGCACCGTCGGCTACCGGCAGACCGCTTACCTTTCATTTGTTGTCTGGTGGTTTTTCTTTTTTCTTCCTTCAGAATTTACTTTTCAGTTGTGAGTTTGTGACCCGCCCCCTCATGGCCCATGTTCCTCATAGCAACGTTTGCCATAGCAACCGTGCTCGGAGACGGTCACCCCGCTGTGACTGAACACATCTCAGTCATTTCCCTCCTTTAGAAGACTGAGCAGGTTATGGGTTCACAATATGTGGGTCAGGGACTTTATTTCATACCAGAGTTTTGTGGCCCCCGTCTCCATGTATCACCTAACTGCCCCCCCACCCTCCTCCAGATGTTCATCACGTGTCATGCCCCATTTTTTAAGTTTGCACTGGTTTGTTTCTTGCTCCTCCCCCCCCCCTCCCCTCCACTTCTCTATGGGTGCCCCTTTCCCACCTCGACTCCTGTGTCCTCCTGACCCTCTCGCAGGCGCCATTCCCCCTATAGGACGCTTGAGCCGGTGCGTCCACCCGTTGTCCCTAACGACTACGTCACCAGCCCGACGCGCAACACGGCGCCCCCCCTGCAGAGCCCTGCACGCACTGCATCCGTTAATCAGAGGAACCGCACGTACAGGTACCCCCTTCCCCCCCTTCCCAGCATGCCTCTCTACTCTTCTACCGTCCCTCTCCTCTCCTGCTGGAGAACATTTTCCCTTCTTCTCTGAAATGACTTCTCGTGGAAATCGCAGTTACTCCCTCCTTTAATATTCCACCTAAAGTTTGTACAACTTTCCCCTTTTTAATCAACACTTCCTGCTCCCAGGGAGCCGCTTTGGTTTTATTTTGAAATCCCCACCTGTGGGCTCTCCGGGTGGAGGAAAAGAGGTAGAGATCTCTCAAGCTGTATCAGCGCGTGGCGAGACACAAGTTCCTCTGGTAACACCCGTCACGTAGGCAGTGCCCCCCCCCTCCACCCCCCCCAAGGCCTGTCAGCTCCGAGACGAGACTCTCTCATCCTGAACTCCAGAGACATTCAAGGATCCTTTTCTTAAGTTATATGGAATGTGTAGTCATTGCGCCCCTCGTTGGTGATGTGAGAATGTTTCCCCTGACCCCCCCCCCCCCCCCCCCCCCTTTGCACTTTTGCTTTATCTGCACTACATTTCATTCCCTCCACCTCGCCTCCACCCGCGTGCCTCCATGCTTCCACAGCGTGTCGTGTGTCCGTGGGGAGGCTTCCAGTCGCTTTGTCTGAGTTATTGAGAAGGAAACGCAGCTTTTTGGACTTACTTTAAAAGTGAAGCACAGCAAATGAGCTGAAAACCGCAGTGAATAAGAAGACGATTGAAAAATCACAGTTTCTCTTCACGATTTACTGACGCAGACATGAAAACCATAAAGAACTTGAGCAAGCGGTCTACTTTGGAGTGGACAGTTTGTCTCGTCTCACTCATTACATCCTTTCAAATAGAGTAGTGCCCAAATGAGAAGATTTGATTTTTTAAAATTTGTTTTGAACAGACGTATTTCCCATTTTTAACCATAATTAGCCGAGCACCGATGTGTTTTTGTGGTCTGACGTGTTTGCCTGCCCCCCCCCCCCCAATCCCCCTCCTCCAGCAGTGGCAGCAGCGGAGGCAGCCATCCAAGCAGCAGCCGCAGCAGCAGCCGAGAGAACAGCGGCAGCGGCAGCGTGGGCGTGCCCATCGCCGTGCCGACCCCAGCCCCGCCCAACGCCTTCCCAGGTAACGCCTGCTTCTGCTACTAGCACACAACTGGTGTGTGTGTCTGCGTGTGCGTCTGAGTCTGACCTGGTGGTGGACTAATATTTGTTGAGCATCCAGGATTCCTGCATGCTGTAGCGTGAAGCGAATAGAAAGACGCTGTGTAGGAACCCTGGATCTCCTGGAATCCTTTATCCCCTTCTCACTCTGATCTTGTCTTGACCTCCTCACCTCTCTTCTCTCCCTCCTTTACCTGTTTGACCTGTTTGGACCCCCCCCCACCCCGCCCTGGTTCAGCCCCCGTCCCGTCCAACCCGGCTAAACCTCCCCCCAACACTACAGCCACCACTCCCGGACCCCCTACCACTGCCCTAGACGGCCCCCCACAGGCCCCAAACCCCCCCGTAGAGATCCCGCCGGTACCCCCGCCCCCACCCCAGCTCCCTGCCTCTGGGGGCCCACCTGCCCCCGGCCCCGCTGCTTTTGGCAACCCGGCACAAGGTGAGTTTAACCAGGTGGGAGAAGCCCCCCCCCCACTCTGCACCCCCTCCATCACCCCCCCCTCACATGCATCAGCCCCTGACGTGTTCCACCACCAGCATGCCATCACCACGGATCCAGATGCTCGTAAAAAGGAGGTTGAAGTCACCTGCAATGACTCTTAAGTTTAGTGATAATTATACATTCAGATCTTAGTCCGATAATTATCTTCTAATTCAGTTTACGGATACTTGCACAGCTCATGTGCCCGGTTGGGTTCTGGGGCCTTTTCCCATTGGTTTTGGTTCTGGTGTAGAAGTCCTTTTAGGCTGAGGAGTCCAGTTGGGGGCAATACATACCGGATGGATGTGTTCAGTGAATCCTATATTTGATCCGAGTGACTTCATGCTCTTCATCCCGCTCATCAGCGTGGTGGTGATGTTTAAGGCACGGAGCTGTGTGTCCAGCCCTTTGCAGGGAATTCTCCATTTGTCTGTATTGCCTCTATTTTTCAATTTATTTAATTTTTTGTCGTTGGCCATTGATGCCCAGTGGTGCTCTTATAAGAGAGAGATTATACAAATTATTGTATTTTTCATTCAGTTTTAGTAAATAAATCATTTGTTTTCGAGAAGAATTTCCCGCTGAGCTAAACTCAATTATGCTGAAGCCCCTGTAGTGGTCAAAAGAGAAACGCCCCCAGAGGGGGGGAAAAGTAACCTCTCCCTGGCTGAGATTTTTGCGCTGGGCCCCCCCCCCCCCCACCCCCCCACCCCCCGCAGGTGCCGCTCAGTTCTACAGCATGAACCGGCCCGCTCAGCTGCCTCAGAACTCGCAGGTCGGAGGCTCGCTGCCGTACCGCCGACCCGCCTCCGTCACCGGCCAGCCCAACGCCGCCCTCAACCCGAGCCAGCTCAACGGGGGGCCGCACTTCGCCCAGAACCAAGGTACTGCCTTCTGGTTGAGAATGACTGACTACAGTCTCCATATGTGCGTTCTGACAGATGTTCCCTGCAAGCCACCAGGATACACAAAGCTATTAACTGTGAAAGCGATCTTTTCTAATTCTTCTCATGTCTCTCCTCCACCTCCTGTGTAACGATGCTGTTCAGTGATAGCAGGCCCGCTCGCGCCCCCTCCCCCCTCCATGCAGATCACCCCCCAGCTGCCTCTGATGGGCTTTGTGGCCCGAGTTCAGGAGACGAGTAAGTGGCCCTTAGACCCACCGTGCCCTTCCGCCCCCCCTCCTCCTGCATGACCGCAGTTCGTTCTAAGTCCTCCCAACAGCTCGTCCGTGATTCGTCCCTTCTAGTGGAGTATTCTGTCACCGAAGTACAGTTCGCTCGTCTCAGCTTTATGTTGCTTGACCTTGAATTCTAAATGCATGGATCAGATGTTCTAATCTCTTTACTATTAGTAAATCACACAGAATTATGGTTACGTTTCCATGGTGATGTGGTGGATGTGGTCTCTATGCATCCTGCATGGACGCTTTCTCTCCCGCCCCTTGGATGCATGCATTGTCCGTGATGAGGAGCGCGCTGCTCTTCTCTGCCTCTGATTCGCTCCCTTCTTCTTCCCGCCCATCTGGAACTTAAAAAAATTCTAGTCTCCGACGCGCCGCCGCCACCGCCTCCGCCCGCCGACGAGCCGGTGTTTGATGACCCCGTGCCGCCGCCTCCGCCGCCGGAGGACTACGAGGACGAGGAGGAGGAGGATGACGGGGAGGAGTCGGAGTCGGCGGTTGTGGAGTACAGCGACCCCTACGCCGAGGAGGACCCGCCCTGGGCTCCACGCACCTACATGGAGAAAGGTGCACCCGAAAAGGGGGATCCGAGCCGCGCCGTCCCCTCCACAAACGAGTGATTCCTTTCTAATTATTTCCTCTTCTCTTTTTTTGCCTTCCTGCAGTGGTGGCCATCTACGACTACGCCCGGGACAAAGAGGACGAGCTGTCGTTCCAGGAGGGCGCCATCATCTACGTGATCAAGAAGAACGACGACGGCTGGTACGAGGGCGTGATGAACGGGACCACGGGCCTCTTCCCCGGCAACTACGTCGAGTCGATCATGCACTACGCCGACTGAACGAGCCTCCCTCTGGGGAGCGTTTGGATGGGGGAGGGGGAAAGGGGGGGGGGGGAGGGAGGGAGGGGAGCCAAGGGTTAAAAGGTCAAAGACTTTGATCAGACAGAGCATGATCACCTCCGGGCGAAGAGAGGACGCGGAGAGGAAGCTGCTGCCCACTCGCTCTCAACCACTACGAGCTTTTCTCCCCTGTAATATTTCTTTCTTTCTTCCTTCACCCGGCTGAGAACTGGACGCCGATGGATTTATTGTACTTGAGAGTTTTTGAGTTACATTATGAGACCACTACATTGTTTTTTTTGTTTTTTTTGTTGTCGTTTTCTGTTGCCCTTGTTTTAAAGAATATTTATTTCGATTTTTGTAGTGGGATAAAAGGTGAGCAGGTGGGTCGGACCGGGTTTCCACGTCGCAGCCGTCGGACAAACGGCTGCAGGAGAGAACGCCTTCACGTGTCCATTTTCTCCTTAACGCTGCAGAGACGACTTGGAGGATATGACTCGTATATATATATATATATATATATATTATATAAAGTATAATGCAACAACAATATCCTCGGTGGGAGATGAACAGTAGTTCCGTACTTGACAAAACCGTTGTTTAGGTACCTCATCAGAGAGCGTGCCAAAGCTGACATTCACTAGGAAAAGCACATGACAAGTCTTAAGGTGACACAGTAGACGACAGCGGTGATTCCTTTGATCGCCTCCGAGTTTTAAACTCAAAGTCTCCACGTGCTTCCCTTTGCGGACCAGGGTGTGCGTTTCTGAACGAAAAGGAATCAAACCCCCCCCCCCCCCCCCCCCACCCAAGAAGAAGGCAAAGCACAAGGACCTGGACTCTGGCGTGATTAATAAACCGATATCCGCTCCACCGACGCGGCTCATCGTTTGCAGCGTTCACGTGCATTTGAAAGACTTTAGTTTCTTTGGCGCTTAGAGGTCCGGGATCTGTTGTTGCTTGTGGAGCGGCAGACTGCATGTTTCAAAAAGGAAAAGGAAAAGGGGGGGGGGGGGGCGGCATTTATTGTCTGCTCTACTGAGGATTAATGTCTTAATATTTTTAGATATGCTGTGATTTGGTTTTTGATATTCACCCACGATGCATTGAGGTCCTTTCTAAAACGCTTGTGCCATATTGAAGTGCGTGTTGCTGTTCAGAGGTTGTCACTTCATTTGCAATAACCCGGACGAACGGGGGGGGGGGCGGACGGACCGTCGCAGGACTCCACATCTGCATTTTCTATTTGAGTTTTAAATCAAAAGCACATTTGTAGTGGAAAGGTGTAGAAGAAGACCTAATATAAATGTGAGATGTATTACGTCCTGCACACGGGACTTTTTGAATATGTAAAGATGCCAGCTGTCGTGTTGAAATGGTTTTAACAGTCGGCCGTAGCCCACCTGTACCCCCCCTCCCCCCGTCTGTGTAGGCGCTGCTGGGTGTCTGCGACGGCTCAGCGCTTCTGTCTTTATTTTCTATAAAAAGAGAAAAGAAAAAAAGAGCGAGAAATAATACCCAGTGGGTCTGTATGTGAGTCTTGCATGCCGTTGTTCTCATCTGTACCGGTGTCCCAGAGGTCACCCCCTCTGACCCCAAAGAGACTGGCTGTCATTACGTCAGTGGTAAAAAAAGAAAAAAAAGAGCTCCCCCCCCCCCTGCGCCACAATCCAGGAGTGACCGTGGATAAATTTACTCCTTGCTTCATAACAACTCGTAGGATGACGCTAAAATAAAAAGAGTCCCACCAGACCCGTCCGTTCTGCAGGATTCACAGACGTCCAGTTTAACTCTCATAAATGGCCATTGTGTTGCACAGTTAAAGTTGAATTGCAGAAGTATCATATTTTGTAAATCATGAGAACAAAGACAATAAAATTATTAAGATTTATCTGTTTGGTTCTTGTTTTTTTGTATGTTTCTCTGGGTTGTTGTGGATTAATTAACTATCTGACTCGAGATGAGGACTTTACATCCTCGCAGACCAGGAACTCTCAGTAACACACACCCACAGAACACACTGGAGATCGGGATGGAGTTGATTCACAGAGATTTATTGGAGCAACAACACTCGAAAAAGCCGAGCTCTCTCCGGAAAGACACCAACGAGGTGATGACACAACACATCAGTTGATCACATTTTCTTTGACCATTGGATTGAGTGAGTGAAGCCCTCCCCTTCAACTGTCCTCCTGTTGGTGTCGTCCCACTGTTCTTCTCCTTGTCCTTCACTTGCCCCTCTATCTGGTTGTTGATGCTGGAAGCATTAGTAAAAGTAGTAACCGTAGTTTCCTGCTTAACTTTTTACTTTCTGTTTCATTTTCTTGCAGAGTAAAACGTCAGAACATCACGAGGGTGCTTTCCTCCAATGGGAGTGATCAGTGGGCGGAGTCAGTGGGCAGGGGCGGACTCTTCCTGCCACTCCCTGCTCCGCCAGCTCTATTTCCGCATTCCACATCGTCTCAACACGAAGGGTTCCTAATATTTCAAGAGTCTCTGCAGTTTTTAAAGTTGTTTTTAATTCATTCGCTAGAAATGTGGAAGCTGCTGAGTACGTTTCTGTTCCTCTCGGTGACGCTGAACGCCGGTAAGTGCGGAAGAGTCGCGCGTCGGTGTTTTCTTCGGAATCCAAAAGCAAAGATTTACCGGAAACTGTTTCATTAATCATATTGAAGGTGCGCGGAAGGACGAGGCGGTGCGTGTGTTCTTCAGACGCCATTGAAGAACCTCGACAGAGGATCCCAATGGACACTTTTTTGTATTCATTTGAAAAGTGAAAGTAGCAGCAGACAAAAAAAACCCCTCCCATTACATGTGAAAGTTACGCACTGAAGATTTCCCTTGTGTACAAATGTAGATCAGTATTCAAAAGAATTCGGTTACTCTAAGCTCCTAAATAATTTAGCTGAAATCCATTTCGTTCATTATTGATCGTGTGTTGTCGTCTGTGTGAACGAAACATGGTTCCGTGGGTCACATTCAGGGCCGCCGTTTGTAAACGGTGGGGTCGTGGCGCAGGGGTTAGAGAAGGTGTGCTGGGAAGCACAAGGTCGGTGGTTCGATTCCAGGCTGCCCCATGTTCCATGTCGAAGTGTCCCTGAGCAAGACACCTAACCCCTAATTGCTCCCCGGGCAAAAATGTCAAAAAGCCTTGGGTGTAGGTCTAGGTGAAGGTCACCTGCGCAGTTTTGGTACATTTAGCATTGTCATAAGGAAAAGAAAAGTATTCATATGTCACTTTTTCAAACATTTAGAGAGACATTCATGTAATAACTTTTCCAAGGATAATGTTTGGCAGTAACACAAAGTTGTTAAATAATATAAATGTTAAATATACATGTAAATGTTAACAGTCTACATATAAGACTGAACATTACAATATTTACGGTAATTCACGTATGAATGAATTGGCTCTCGTTATAGAACAGGGTGTCAACAATTTTGTGTTACTGCCAAACATTATCCTTGGAAAAGTTACTGCATGAATTTACATACGTTTCTTGGAACAACGACAAGCTGGAAGTAACAAGGCTATTTTTAAAATGTAAGGAGTAGTAAAAGTAAAAAGTCGTCTGAAAAATAAATACTCCGGTATAGATACCCCAAATTTCTACTTAAGTAAGGTAACTTGTGTACTTCGTTACTTGACACCTCTGATTAAGATACTCTTGATCTCTCACCACAGTCGTCTTGTGTGTTTTTTCAGACGGGCTTGTTTACAAGGCCGTCGGTGACACCGTGGTCCTCACAGCGGTCTCTCAGGAGAAACACATAACCAGCATCCAGTGGAAACAAGTACCAGACATCGCTGCCGAGTGGTCCGGGGGGCTTACGACCTACTACAGCCACTTTAAAGGTATTCTCAGACCTGCAGCGCAGCCAACTCATCTCTGCACTGGTGTGATCGATCCCTTAACTCTTTAAGGTGTTGAATTCCGCTTCATTTTGAGGATAAGATAAGTACCTTTCGTTTCCCCTTTGGGAAATCAGTTCTGGACCTTGTCCTAAACATCATTTTAAGGGATTTATATTCAGGTGTTATGGTATTCACAGTTTCCTCCAGATATGTGATAAATCAATGGATGGTATCAATGGACCAAAGGTAATATTTTGGGTGCCAATTGAACAGAACAGGCCTGGTGATGTATTGAGGTTTTCTCTGGTTCCCTGGGTGCATGCTAACGACGGGTACATATCTCTGCAGGCCGCAGCGCGCTGGATGTTTCGACCGGAGCGCTGACGATCACGGGCGTGACGGCCGACCACAGCGGCACCTACACAGCAGAGATCAACTACAATATCGCCAACTCCTTGGAGCTACTAGTCATCTGTGAGTGGAGGGGGGGGTCCTTTACTTGAGTTATGCTTTGTGCTCAAATTTCCCTCCCCCCCCCCCCCCATCAGCCTCTGTCTCCAAACCCAATATCTCCACATGGTGTGACCCCGAGATGACCTCCTGTAACCTCACCTGTGAAGGCGACACCACGGGAGCCAAGCCGGTGACCTTCAGCTGGCGTTTGCCCGGCGGCTTTGTGAACTCAACCAAGGTGTTGACTATAACTATGGTACGAACAAGACGAACGTCTCCTTGAAAACGCGTGTTCCCTCCATGAGCCTCAAGGTGGCGCCGTCTTTCTGCTCCGTGTGTAGGACAAGACGGAGACAAGCTACTCGTGTATCGTGGAGAACCCGGTCAGCAGAGAGGAGAGCGCCGCCATCCCCGACCCCTTCCCTCAAAAAAGTGAGTGGTCTCTGTCTCGACATCGGAGTGTTTGTCGGACTTATTGTTCATTTATTCATTCATGTGTGTTTTTTTGTAGGGAACCGGATGTGGATATTACTCTGCATCATCCCTCTAGCAGCAGTGATTGGGATTGTGATTGTGATTGCGCGTGTCCTTATATTCAAATTCAAATCCCGCAAAGGTAAGCAGCCACACAATTTTATTTTAAATATCATTTCAAATATATTTACTAAATCTAAAAACAAAAAATGTATTTAGAATGGCCAAAAATGTTTGCCTTTGAGAGCTTTTTTTGTCTCTCAAATTGTTCACATCTCTACGTGTAATAATTCCTGTCGATGTGACTGGATTATATGCATTTCATGACTGTTCCAACGGTAACGTGCTAAAAGCTTTGGGTGGTGCCAATGTGCACAAAGCTGCGGCTCGTCACAGCTTTGTGACTGACAGCATTAAACTTCCTTCTTTGTGGGGAAAAAAGCTCTTTTTTGTTACTTGTAACTTTTGGATGGTTTTATCAACTCAACTAAAAGCCAACAGAAGTGACTCAGTTTCCAGTTCTTGGATCCGCTTTGACTGCGTCATAACCTCACAGAAATAAACATGACTATCAGTGGAGTATTTCATGGAAGTGAATGAAATACGTAGAACTCTCCTCCTTAGTGGGCTGTATTTGTGAGTCATTTTCTTGGAGAGGAAAACGCTCTGGAATAAAAATGTTGAGGCCAAGGAGACACGAGACATTTCCCTCTAGATTGGAGCAGAATTTCCATTATGAGAAATTCAATACGGAGAACACAACGTTTGGTGTGTTTTACAGGATGGACACCAGTTGACCAGAAGCAACCCAACCAGACGACCGACCGTGAGGCCACCGGCCGTGGGGCGACCGACCATGAAGCAACCAACCATGAGACGACCGCCCTTGAGGCCACCGACCGTGGGGCGACCGACCATGAAGCAACCAACCATGAGACGACCGCCCTTGAGGCCACCGACCGTGGGGCGACCGACCGTGGGGCGACCGACCATGAAGCAACCAACCATGAAGCAACCAACCATGAGACGACCGCCCTTGAGGCCACCGACCGTGGGGCGACCGACCAGAAGCAAACCAACCATGAGACAACCGTCCGTGAAACGACCAACCATGAGACGACCGCCCTTGAGGCCACCGACCGTGGGGCGACCGACCATGAAGCAACCAACCATGAAACGACCGCCCGTGAGACAACCGGCTGTGAGACGACCGCCCTTGAGGCCACCGACCGTGGGGCGACCGACCATGAAGCAACCAACCATGAAACGACCGCCCGTGAGACAACCGGCTGTGAGACGACCAACCAGAAGCAAACCAACCATGAGACAACCGTCCGTGAAACGACCAACCGTGAAACGACCGACCAAGAGACGACCGACCAAGAGACGACCGACCAAGAGACGACCGACCAGAAGCAAACCGACCATGAAACAACCGACCATGAGACAAACAGCCGTGAGACAACTAGTTGGGAGACGACCGACCAGAAGCAAACCAACCATGAAACAACAGACTGTGAAACGACCGACCTCAAAAAGCAGTTTTAGAAGAAAGCAGCCGGGTCTACAGTTGACCCAAATTACTTTTAAGGTGAGAAGTTTTGGTCAGGCATTTTAGGTAAGTTCCAATTTCAAAAAGGGGAAGATGTTCTGGAAGACAGCTGCTCTGTCCCACTGAGATGTTGTCGAAGGATTTCATCAGACAACAAACCACATTTGTCAAAAGTGGTTGTGAAAGTTGACCGAAAAACTGAAGAGCTCATTGTAATAACATTTTGTTGGGCTCACACTATTTAGGGATCAAGAATCAGGAACATTTATTGCCAAAGTGTATTAGACATATGAGGAGTTTGACATTGGGGGTGGTGCATAGCGTTGGACAATGAGACAATGCGACGGTTGACAACGAGACAGATCGCACCGTGCAGTGATTCCCTGTGTGTTCATGAGCACATCTTCATTTACAGGTGCTACTCTGAAAGTGAGTGTTTGAAAAGTACGCTGTTACAACCTAAATATGTTTTTGGCATAATTTATTCTTTGCTTTAATATGAACTATTAAAAGAACTCCTTTGTATTTCATGACATGAATCATGTGATCACCTTTGGCCTTATAGGTCTGAGGTTACAGGGAGATTTTAGAACATTTCTATGTATAAGATACTTTTAGGTGAAGGAAGTATTCATCAGTTTGAGTCCCACTTCAAAGTGAATTTGATGTTCTCAACTTGTGCCTTTTCCTGCTCAGTGAGTCATGTTTTTGTTTATTTTGTATGACTCGGATTGCACAAATAAATAGCGTCGTTCCTGCTTTGTCCACCAGGGGGCACCACTAGCAGCTGTGTCTTAATGTGTAAAGACAACACACTAATGTACATAAGGATGTTACGACTAATTGTGAATCTTATAGCTAAATATAAATAAACCGCATACTACTTGCGTGTACTTGTACTGGTTAGTATACAAGAACTTCCACATATTACTTCTGTGGGAGAATGTTGTCCAGCAACAGGAACCTCAAAGGTTCATATCTAATATGCATCCATCTACCGTGAATCTACTGACCTCTGTGGTTTCAGATTTAGAGCCCAAGAGTTTATAACGTGTCAAAAGCGCTGCCACAGCTCTCCTCCTCTCAGAGGGACGGCGCACATCATTCTTCTCTCCCATTGTGTCCCGCTCACCTGTACAACGTAAGTGCTACCCTCCCGAGATGACTCTTCCCCAGCGTTGACAGCCGAGAGCAGCGAGGGAAGACTGATGGAATTTAGATTTGGAGCGTATGTGAGGACACATGCCCGCGGCGCAGAGGGGATTTATGTCTGCGTGTGCTCACAGGATCAGCACCGGCTCTCCGCACCACCACAGGGAGCCATGTGTCAAAGGGATCCCTCCATTCAGGAGTGGTGGAGGACAAGTTCTGACAAAGCCCATCACACTTCTGTGGAAAAAAAAAGAAAAGCAGCCAGTTTCTTCTAGGGAAACGTTTGTGAATAAAATTGACACTTTTGCTTGATTACGTGCTGAAATGCGCAGCTTTGTCTAGAAAAAGGTGGATGTGTGTGTGCGTGTGTGTGTGTGTGTGTGTGTGTGGAGATGTGGTGTCATTATGAGACGCTTTTCTCTCCTTGAGGAATGCAGGGTTCTGTGTGGACAAATGTCAGATGCCCCATGGAGGCCAACGTGTCTGAACAGAGGATCAAACTCACGGAAAACCGCCCGAGTCTCCCACTTTAGTGAAGTAATTACCTCTATTTCACCCCATTTACATTTGCTTATAAAAATGTAACTACTGCCGGTTTTATGACAAAAGAATTGTTTTTCTGTGAAATTAAAACAACTGGAATTGTCAACATCTGTATCTGCAGCAGTTAATTTGAACCCTGTCAGTTTTCATGTTTGGGCTTTTAATTTTCTGAATAAAAGCCCTCATGTCTCGCTCTAATGCTCCAGCAGGTCAAAGGTCACACAGGTGTTTGCACCTGAAGGTCATCGGTGGGGCGACGCACCAAAAGATTTCTTCAGCTCAAGCGAGCGGACTAAACGTTTCTGTTCCTGCCAGCTGCCCCTGATGGTGGGTTCATGGGGGGGGGTTTGGACTCCATCAGGGCCGATGGAGGCGTGAAGCCTCGAGGTGGCAGCTAATTGATGGCAGGTGGGGGAGGTTAGCGAGTACCGAACGGAATGCATTTAGGTAGAGATGCTAAACATAGGAATGTATCAGCTAAAGAACATTTTTTAAAGTATTACTATGTTCAACCAGTTTGTAGGCAAAACACTGGCACAATTGTCATTATTTAACAAATTAAATCAACTTTTGAGAGTATATATAGTATAATATTGACACACAAATAATATTAAATAAATAAAGCATCCGTATAGACTATTTTAGTCTGTCATCTATCAACATCTTGGCGCTGTTGCTGCATGGACTGATCATCAGTAGAGCTTTTACTTTGAAAAGGACAGGCAGGAAGTTCCCTGGCGCCCGGCGCGCCGCCGTGCGTAAAGGTGCGCGCGTCCTGCAGGTAGACAGGAGGTCGCTGAACGTCTCCCCCACTACAGCTGCAGAAAGAGAAATGAGCGCCACCAGGAGCCTGTGAACGGATCTAAACTCCCGCTTCTTCTCATAAAACGATAAATAAATCACCGGGGATGCGTCGGTGCGCCGGGTGGTCGCCGTGGACCCTGCGGACCGCCGTCCTCCTGCTGCTGGCGGCTCCGCGGATGGAGTCTCGGCGCAGAGGTGAGAGGAATTTGCATTTCCCACTTTTCCTCTTCCTCTTTTTGCACTGATTTAAACTTGTGTTTTATAGCAAGAAATCTGGAAGGAATTCTTATTTCTGATTTGAATACATCGTATTGGCGAGGTGCCTGTGCACGATGCGCGTGGTGACCTCTGACCTGAGTTCTCTGCATGTGGAGGTGTGGGTGGCGCAGAGCTTCTCCTCCTCCACCGGCTTCTGGTCATTTGCTGCCTCATGTCTGGTTTTCTTTTGCACTATTTTGTCCACATGTGACATTGCGAGACAGCGGATCCACTGGCACAGTCGTTTTGTGTCACATTGTTGTGTAGTTTGCGTTCTGGTGCTTCTTACACTTGTATTGTGTCTCTTTTTAGCTGTGTTGAGACATTTGGATTTTGCCCCTGACCAGTGGGTCCAAGATCCCCCCGAGGAGCCTCCTCCTGGTTGGCCTTTCACATCATGACTACTTTTAGGATTAATATTCAGTTCTGTGCAGGGAGGCGTGTTTCCTGTGATGCTGTGTGTGTGTGTGTGTGTGTGTGTTTGTGTGGGGGGGGGGGGTTGCTGGTTTGCGGTTAGTTAAAGATTTTCCTCTCTTCAGGGCTCGTTCTCATTACGTGATCACGTCCCTCATCTGTATCTGGGTGCGGTTTCCCTCCTTTGCAGGATGTCGGCACGCACACACAGACGCACACACACAGACCCACACAGACATTGTGCTGACACGCAGGCATGCCCACACATTCATGTAGAGACGCAGAAACAATCCGACAGACTTCACACAAGAATTCCGGCCCGTGCATTGTTTGTAAAAACCTCTGAGGTTTAAAGCGGTCGTTGATGCGACTCCGTTCTTCTTATTCTCCTCTGATTGGCAGAGGACGCAGAGATGTTTGCAAAGATCAGCGTCTGTTTGTCAGAATCTTGCTCCACTGCACCTCCAGAAGATGAACTTGATGCACAAAGTGTTTAGATTCAGCATGTTCTATGAGGCGTTCTGCACGTCTACATAGCAAATCAATAAGTGGAATAAGAGTGGTTGACTTCACCAAATAAGGAGAACTCTGCCACACACTGAGCATCATTAACTGACCATTTACAATCCTCTCAACATCTTTGGAAGCAAATCCTCAGGATTTACACTGTCTTTGTTCTCTCTGAGATTAACATAAAGCCTCTGGGATCTACTGTATTTATGCAACATGTAAGCACTTAACACGAGAACGCTTCCCCAGGGTGGTCCGTGATGGATGACGCTGTATTTCATCACAGCGCAATAATGTTTATGTTGCATTAAATATATGGTTAGCATAGCAAATAACAATATCTGTTAAATGAAAGTAGAAAAAGTCTGGAAGTATTTCCAGAGACAAGGTGATTCCAGAGGAGGTCCAGTAAACCGGAGCTTACATTTTCATGTGTAATTCCACCAGACGTGAGGAAAGGAGCAAATGAAACACCGAGGCCTTTTACAACATCATGTCTCTAACGATGCCTCCTCGTGCAGGACTGAAGAGCCCCATGAAGGCAGCAGAGGTGTATGCATGATCTCATGCTGGGGGGGGGGATGTTTTCCTTTCCATCCTCCTTCTTTCTGTCCAATCTGCCATCTACGCTTTGTTTTCCCAGCTGCAGAGCTGGCGGCTTTGAGGTGGAGATGACGGTGATCCTGGTGGACGTGGTTCACTTGTGACACCTGCTCCGCGCTTTAAGATCTAATCAGCTGGTTGAACCTTCGAACGGGCTGCTGGTCGGAGCTTTGGGTCTGTGTCTGCTGAGCGGAACCATACGTGCACATTGACATCTTTTTACTCCCTGATTCCGGGGACTCAGAGATAAAAAAAACTGGGCGTGTTCTCGATCACAAAAGGCTAATGTTCATCAAAACCGACTATTTAAAAACGAAATCCACAGGGAAGACCTTTCTTAAATATAACATGAATTAAATCAATTGATTAAATCTGCTCAGTTCATAATTATTATTTAATAATTAACGTTGTTTCCTAAATCAAAGGTCAATTGGTGACCGAATGAGCTTGAAACGTTACAGTTTTTGTCGCAGGTTTCCTCTTATTGTGGGAACAAAGGGAAGCCGTGTTCCACCCTTGAAAAGGATGGAAAAAGTAGGTAACGCGTGTGATTATAAAGCCACAGGTTTTTGCAGGCAAGACCTGCGAGGAGCTCAACTTTAGCCCCGAAGCCACTTTTTATATAAAAGGCTTCAACTACCCCCCCTGCACTTGAATGCAGAAGCCACGACGCCTCTCGCTGCACCCGGGCCTCAGAAACAGACGCTCTCTGTGGCCAGCAGCCTGTAATCAGCAGCTTTATTGTCTCTAGTTCCCATGATGTCAGTCTGCTGGCTGTGAAGCTGTCCGCTTCACCGTCAGCCGCCTCATGAGCCGTACTTGTCCTGCAGTGCAGTATCTGGGCTGCAGGAATTTGAACTCACCTGCAGCACTGAGGCCTCAAGTTCCGAGGCCTGAAGCCTTTGAATGCATCATCTCAAGTTCTGGCAGCAGAGCATGCTTCATTCACGCCAAGATCTAAAATGACCTTTTTAATCACATTAAATGCCCCATAATTGCATTTAATTTTGCTCTATAGATCACCTGAGTTCATCGCCTCCCTCCGCAGAAGCCAGCATGTTCTTCCCTGCTTGGTTCCTGCACCTCTTTCTCGCCGCAAGGAGCCGACTGTCTCGTCTTGGAGCCCCCGTGTTGCTCGATGCATCGTGCAGTGGATGGAGGGGCCGGGGGGCTGAGCAGTGCCATGGGTGTTGATTTCTGCTGTGCTTCTCTGCACAGACGCCCCGCAGGGAGTCTCTGGTTTGAAGAATTTGAGTTATTTGATAACCGTGAAGCAGCAATTGAAGTCAGGGAGGAATGTCGGGGACCTGCTGTCATGATGAATCAGTTACTAAGTCCGTTAACGTGAGATTTAAACCAAATCTCACAAATATTGGTACACATGTGGTGCAAGGAGACTCTTCCGTTAATCGGTGGAGTGCTCCAGAGTTTAGTCAGCAGGTGGCGGCGTTTCCTCTTTATTTCCGGGGCTCTTTCACTCAAAACATCTTATTTCAACATAACAGGAAACGAAACATGAAGGAGTTCAAGGAGTTCTCTTAGAAAATAAATATGGGTAAATTCTGCCTCCAGGAAAGCTGTTCATGGAAAAATGCCAACAAATATATCAATAGAACAGATTAAACTATCTTCCATATCAATGAAATGCTGGACTGCTGGTCCTGACTAACAAAGAGGTTAAATAATAAAAGACCGAAATAAACATTCACTGTGTGAGAACATCCTCCGTGCGCCTCCTCTGCACAGCGACAGGTAGTCGTTCAATCCCAAATATGCAGCTTTTGAATCAATAAGTGTGTAAGGAGGAAGTAGAGCGAGCCGTCCCACTGGAGCAGTAATGTGCAGCTGTAGTGTGTGTGTGTGTGTGTGTGTGTGTGTGTGTGTGTGTGTGTGTGCAATGGAAAGCCTCATAAAGTGCCACTCACTATCGCGTGGAGGCCGCGGCGTGTTTACCCGCCCCCAGCCGCGGCCCCGTGCAGGTCAGAGCTGATGGCGATGAAAAGTGCTGCAGACCCAGAGGGAGGGTTAACGTGCACGGGGGAGGGGGCGGGGGGGTTATTGGGCAGTTATGGCGAATTATTGACTAGATCCTCAAACAAGGAAAGTCAGAAGTAACATCATTTGTGATGCGCTGTATGTGATGCTTTTTATTGTTGTGTGAAGGATGAGGACCGAGAAGGAAAACACAGCAGACGGGGAAGTCTAGTCTCTTCCCAAACACACTGTAATTGCTTTTGGTAATTACTGACATATGAGCTTTTATCTTTGTTTTTCTTGGTTCAGTTTTCATTTTCATGCATTGCTTTTGTATGAAAGTGACTCTCTGCTGCTGTAAGAACCCAGCGGAGGCTCATTGTGTTCACATGTTGCCCCTTTTCACTTAATGTTCCCAAGGTGGAGCACAACATGATTACAACTCGCATGAAAAGGAACCCGCTGACTTATAATATAACCTTTTTAAAAGGTCTATTGAGTCAAAATTCACCTGCTCAAACTTTTCTTTTCCTGCTCCGTGTCCAGCAGCCGATGTGTGAAAGCACGAAGGGTCCATGTGGCGGTCTGAGGAACCTGCGGATGTGATGCGTCGTGGGCGCTGCGAGGGCTGGAATGTGTAACAGCTGGATGTCCTTGGTTGGCAGATGGCGGGGGAGCTGGATGAGGGGGGGCCTGGGAGAAGGAGGGTGTGTGTGTGTGGGGTGGTATCGCCCCTCTGTGAGAACCTGGACGTTAAAGGGGGGTTTTCACCGATGAGGCAATGGAGAGGAGCATATGGCATCGATCCAGTCGGGCACGGCCTCCCTTTCTCTCAGAATACACACGGTGTGAACCAGGCCGGCTGCATGTTTAGCTTGTTTTATCTTTGCCCGTCAGCAGCAGCGTTCGTTATCATAGTTTTATAGTATTTAAGTATTTCAGAGTGAATCCGGATAATACATAACTATCCCCTTTTAGGCAGCCCGGAGGAGGCTGCAGGTAGCGTGTTTGCTTCTGAACTCTGAACCCTCACAATGTGAACGTATCCTGTCCGTCATGGGATCCATTTATTTAAAAACTCCACATTTCCCTGAAGTTCTCTCTGGGCAGGGACGGGTGTGTCGTAGTGGTGACACTTGCTTTTTCTCCGAGCTGCAGAGAAGGTCTCGGTCAACTCTCACGGAGGAGGAGTTTAGGGTGTTGGGGCAACCTTCGAGTAACCAATGACATCCGAAGCAAAGCCTGCCTCCACTCTTTGGGTCTTCCCCGTGTGAGTGCATGTAGTGGGAGGGTCTGTGAGAGTGAGCGTCTTCATGTCTCAGTCTTCATTCAGTGGCCCTTGAACTGCTCGGATTGAACCGTGGGCCGGCCGGCTAGCAGGTGGTGCTCAGGGACGAGGACCGAGGTGGACTGGAGTGCACAGTGAGAACCTCTGTGGACCGTCAGGAGCCAGCAGCATGCTGAGGATCCAGGTGTTGTTGCCTCTCCTGGTCCTCTGTGCCAGGAGCTTGGATGCCTGGTGGTGGATCCCGGACACCACCAAGGCTCCGGCGCTGACCACGCCAGCCAACGGCACCACGCCAGCCAACGGCACCACGCCAGCCAACGGCACCACGCCATCCAAAGGCACGCCATCCAAAGGCACGCCACCCAACGGCACCACGCCAGCCAACGGCACCACGCCATCCAAAGGCACGCCACCCCACGGCACCGCGCCACTCAACTGCACCGCGCCACTCAACGGCACCACGTCACCCAACGGCACCACGTCACCCAACGGCACCACGCCACTTAACGGCACCACGCCACTCAACGCCCCACTGGCGAAGGACGAGGAGGATGACGACCTATCCGGACTTGGGGAAGAAATTGTCAACGTGGCGACAGGAATCCGTAAGTTTGTGGAGACGTGGGACGCGACCCCGGCCGCCAGGACTGATGACGGGGGCATGACGGAGGAGGTGGAGCGCGTCGCCGCTAACACCACGGGTAACACACGCCGGTTCGGAGAGGAGAGGGTGGGGGGCGGAGTAGAGGGATCTGACGTCGAAGTCCTGGCTCTTAATTTAACCAGAATAACAGTTGACCCGCTGACCCCCCCCGACAATAGTTCCGACCAATCGTGTCACCCGGTGCCCTCCGATTGGCCAATTTGCTCCGTCGGACGGCCACAATTTTTCGCGCTGCCCAACTTTTTGAACCACGCGGCCGCGGAGGAGGTGGGGGCGGTCCTACAGGAGTGGGCGTGGCTCGCCGCGGCCAGGTGCCACCACAGCGCGGAGTGGTTCCTCTGCCTCCTGCTGGCGCCCGGGTGCCCGCAGCCCGCCGGGCCCCCGCCCTGCCGCAGCTTCTGCCAGGTGCTGCAGGACAGCTGCTGGGCGTCTCTGGAGGGGGGGCGTCTCCCGGTGGACTGTCACCTGCTGCCCGAGAGGGCGTGTGCGTCAGTTAGTAACCAGAAAGGTAACGCCGGCGCGTGAGAATGTTCCCCCGTCCGCTGGTACATACCGAATCCGCCACTTCCTGTCTGTCTGTGTCCTTTGTGTTTTTTTTGCACTAACATGACGTTGCATGTTTTAATGCATTTAATGCAACACTTGCTCAACCCACTTGTAGTTTTTCATACGGTTTGAAAGGCAAAACTTTGAGCGGGCCGCAGAGACGTGATTGGCTCTCACCTTTTGACGCCACACCCCCATTTTTATTTATTCTGCAACTTGCAGACTGTGTCTGGTTGAGTTCCCCTTTAATGAAGCTTTCCATCCCAATAAACATCCCGTCTGCTCTCACCATTGTTGTCCGTTACATTTTTGTTGCATTAGCAGGTGCAGATTGATGTGTCGTGTTTACTGTGCTGAATGCTGCTGCTCAGGCATGTTTCAAGTCTCTGCACGACGTGCGTCAGAGCCAAATGAAGCCAAATATGTGTCGTATAAATAGTCTGCGATTGATTTGTTAAAACATGCACGTCTGCAGTGGTTGTTGCTTTCCAGAGGATGTTTACCTTCTTGTGATTGTCTTGTCCTCACCGTGCAGAAGAGCTTCTGCTCTGTGTGAGCAATGGACAGCAACGTTGTTTTATTTATTTGTTGTATTGAAACCAGCTCGCTCCAGTGCAGGGTATCGTATCTTTAAGTCCATTCATTCTGCACAAATCCTCTTAAAATGACTTTGTGCATTGAGGCAAAGGTTCCCAAGTTCATGAAGAAACGCATAAACCTTACAGACCCGTCATAAGTTATGCCCCATCGACCACATGAGCTAAAACCCATCTTCATCATGTGCCGTCCCACAGGAACATCTAATGTTTATGCTCCGGCTTTGAGTGGAAGATGGTTTTGTAATTTTCCACAAGTGTTTGGATAACCTTTTAAACCACGCTGCGAAACACTAGCTGTATAATTTAGTTCCCCTCTGAACCCCGCGGAGGTAAAGTGGCCTCGTGGGGAACGCTTTGGACTCCATGCGCTCCAGGATGTGACACGTCGACGCTCTTGTCGTTGGTTTTATTTGGTGTGATTTTCCAAACACCTGCGTTGGCTCATGTGTGCAGAAAGCCAACTGAACCCTAGTGACTTCTCTCGTTGGTTTTAAGGACGTTATGTTTTATGAGGGAATACAAGGCGGTCTGTACAATAATCATTCCTCCCGTCGCGTCGTACTCCTGCAGGCCAGTCACCCATTTCGTCTCAGCTGATCTACTTGTCGCCTCGATTCCGATCAGCTGGCGAGGAATTCCGGGTGGATTTTGGGTCCGGATGCTTTCGATGCTTCTGGAGTCACAGACGGGGGAACAATTGGGCCGTCTGTGGTTGGGGTGGTGGCATTCGTGATGGCGGCTGTGGGCGGGAAGAGTGTGGCGATTGTGCGCTCGCTTTGGGAGAAAGGGCAAAGGCGCCGCGGTACGTAACGAGCACAAGAGCGCCTTGTGACCGGGGATGCGACTGGCTGGCTGTGTGTGTGTGTGTCGGCGTCTCCGCCAGAGGTCAGAGGGCGCGGCCAGTCGCCCACCGCCCCAAACCAGTGACCCTTGATGGGTGGTAATGAAGTGGTGAGCCGGTTGTTTATGATCTGCATCCATGGCAACGGCCACAAGTGTGGAAAACCGGATCAGTGGAAGCAGAAGCAAAACGTTAAGGCGAAATTTAACAATTTGAACTAATAAATAGTTTAGAAATTTGGATTCCTGCCAAGGAAACCGGACTGGAATGAAAACGGCGCAGACGTCGCAGCTACGTCGCCTCCGTTGGAAGCGTCTCTGGTGCCTCAGTGGGTTTGGTCCCAGGAGAGCAGACCTGCAGCTGTTAATGGTCGAACCCACTGGTGTATCTGGTGTTTTTCGAGATTTCGTGCCTCAGGGTTCCTCGTCGTGTGTCCTCCTTCATACTGAGGGTCTGCTTTTCCCAATGAGGACTGCAGCTTCCAGCTGGAGGTAGAGAACAATGCTCTCAGGCATTCTTTGGTAATGCTGCAATGTTCTTTCCCCTTTCGTGTGCGAGACGCCTCCTCACACAGAATGGAAAGAAATGTTTTGTGTAATTATAGACGAGGAATGAGAAGATTTCATCTTGGATATCCTCCAAAAATCCCAATGTTTCAGCTTTTTTTCCTGGTTATTAAAAGTTAGCTGACGCTCGGCTTGTTTTGTGAGACGGTATACATTTAAAGCTTGCATTTTTTTTAATGCAAAACCTGAGAAAACATCTTTTGGGAATAATGAAAAGAAAATGGAGTGGAGCATCAGTGGATGCAAAGTCTGGTCTGGCAGCAGATTTGAAAACTGTTATTTCTGAACCTTGTGTTGTTCATCTTTCCCCCGAGGAAACACTGGTTTCAGCCCCTTTTAACTGACATGTTTCCATGGAGGCTTTTGGGCCCGACTCAGGGTCCACTTTCCCAGGGACATCTGACACTCATTTCCTCTGCATCTGTCCGCCTGAGCCTCTCCTCACTGGCAGCATCGTCACACGGTTAAACAGGCATGGAAGGTCCGTGGGGGTAAGCGTGGTAAAACAGTGCTGGCACGTCAGTAATCCCCTGTAACAGAATACATACGCGAGGCCATGTTTTATGCATGTTGTTCCTCCACCCAAAGGGCCTCGTTAGCATGACGCGGGGAGCCGACAGAAGCCTGGCGCACGCGGTGTCACGCTTCCTCCATCTGCGTGTGTTGAGCGTTTCCAGAAACAGCTGATCACTGACTGATGACTTGAAAGGCAGAGCTCGTTCTTTGTTAATCCACATTAAGCATTTATCAATAATCTTGCTTGGTTCCCAGGAAAACGTTTGGCCTGAAAGACGTCGTTCTCGCTCATGGGAGCCTTGTGCCGGCTCGGTGGGAGAGCTGTGGCCGCGCTGGACAGCTTCCAGATGTGAGGCGTATGAAGTGAAGCAAGATCTTAACTTCCAATGCCGCTGCAGAGGAAGGACGTTTCCTTCTAGAGATTAAGAAAAAAAAGCAGCTTTTATTCTACATAATTGCGGCAGCTGAGTGCGTGCAACAGCTGCAGCAGCTGTGAGACGGACCGGTAGCAGGTGCCCTCGGTGGGAAGTTGACCACCCGCCGCGTCCTCCGATTGGACGAAATCCCTCAGAATCCGGACTTAGTGGCTGCTGCTCACTTCCACGGAACAGAACACGGCTGTTCGTGCAACGAGTGTTTGTGAGAACGAGTGTTCTGGCCGAGGGGCCGAGTGCAGATGTGCTGGTCAGAACAATCTTGTCTTGTCAACACTCATTTTTTATTTTTGGGGGGGAAAATGCGTGGAGGAAAAAATCAGTCCAAGATCAGAGGATATAATTCTCACTTTAAGGCAGACATTTTTTTAAAATCAATTAATTGTTTGAATGATTTTCTTGAATTTATTGTTTGGATTTTTACTGTGATTGAGATTGAGATTTTGTTACGTGCATCTTAATCAAACCATCAAAGCTTCTACAGTTTCTAAATCTCACATTTAGAACAATATGTTCTTACTGTTTCATGCATGATTTTTTATTTTAGCAGGCAGCTGTTCTTTGTCAGGCACAGCTTCCTCTCGCTCCTCTGACTGAACACTGAACTTAGCTGCATGCGATACTTTCACGTGATTAATAAACGTGGGAAACCCCCACGACTTCTGACCCCTGGGAGCGTTCAATGCTCACATTGTACTTTGGGGTCCTCTTCTCTTATGAATCCGTGATGACAGAAGTGTCCTCCAGTTCTCCCCCGTGACTCTGATTTATGACAATATGATCTGTTGGTCTCTTGGGCTGTTTGAATCTATGGGAACTGAAACATCTGCAGTTTTTTTTCCCCATTAATTCTGTCTGTTGGGTAAATGTAGGATGGTGCGATCCAGCATTGGTTGAACCGCTGCAGGTTGACCTGAAAGGTCGACGTGTGTGTTGTTCCAGAGGCGCCCGTCATGGACAGTTGAGTCTTTACTCTAAACTTGCAGCCCTTCCTGCAGTGAAAGTTAACACCTCCTGACCTCATTTAGAAAGATCGCTGAAGCATGAGACGTTTATTTTCTCCTCGAATTCTACAAACAGTTTTTCAAAGATTTCTGTGCTTGAACTGACCGACTCTCTGGAACTCCACAAGCTGATAGTTCAAACACTTGAGCTCTTTTTTAAGGGGAAATAATTACAAAATACGTCATATATTAAACTTATTCTTTTCAATCTCTAGTTGCATTCATGCTCAGTGAAATGACCTTCACTCGAAGGCCGTTCTTGCCGTTCAGCCGCCCTCCTCTTCATTGCTCGGCCTCTTTGTTTTCCCGCAGAGGAGAGCGGCGTCTCTTTGCTCCAGCTGATCGGAGACCCTCTGCCCGAGGAGGTCACCAGGTCGTACATGCCGAACGGGGAGAGCGCCTACGTCTTCACCTCCGCGGCGGTGTCCGGCCAGCCGGCCGTGGCCCACGTGCCCAACCCTTTCCACCGCCACTTCTCCCTCCTCTTCCACGTCAAGCCCTCCACCCCCGCCGCCGCCGTGCTCTTCTCCATCACCGACGGGCCCCAGAGGATCATGTACATCGCCGTCAAGCTCGGCGCGGTGCGGTCCGGCCGGCAGCGGGTGCAGCTCTTCTACACGGAGCCCGACGCCGAGGCCTCCTACGAGGCGGCCAGCTTCGAGGTGCCGAGCATGGTGGGCGCGTGGAACCGCTTCTCGCTGGCGGTCTACGAGGAGCAGGTGACCTTCTACTACGGCTGCGACTCGGTGCCGCAGGTGTTGAAGTTCGAGCGCTCGCCGGATCCCATGGAGCTCGACGCCGGGGCGGGCATCTTCGTGGGTCAGGCAGGAGGAGCCGACGGGGACAAGTTCCAGGTACCTTTTTCAATCATTGCAGCAGCTGACCAGGTTGCAGCTGTTGTGTGTCCCAGATGTGGACAAAAGACACGACCAAGACATTTTATATCAAATCGATGTCTCACAAATTGATCACTTGTACAGACCTTTACACTTTAGCATTGGGAGGAGAAGGAATCTCCCGTCCGTATGCTCCACTTTACCAGCAGAGGAAACGCTCCCGGGCCGAAGGGATGTTTGCGCATCACATTTGTGCCTGAAATGAATTAAAAAAAAACAGCATGAATCCTCCAAATGTCACCCACGGGAGCTGCAGCAGTGAGAGTGATTGTGTACTGCATGAGCAGGTGTGTGTGTGTGTGTGTGTTCATTGGGTCGGATCCCCCTTTTAATATCTCCCTCTGGGCCACATCGAGCATCGGAATGGGAGGAATGACCCTCCCTGTTCTTGTAAATCTATTACTTGACCCTCTGACCTCTCGGCCTGCACCCTGCGTCACAAGAGCCAGAATCAGGTCTCTGCTGGATTCATCCGCGTGACTCCATACGGCGTTCGTAGTGTTTTCATTTCAGAGGTGACGTCGTCGCCAAAGACGCTTGTAGCATTCGCTGTGTGTGTTTCCAGGGGGAGATAGCCGATCTGAAGCTAGTGGGAAACCACCTCGCAGCTGAGCGTCTGTGTGACAACGAGGACGACTCCGACGCTGTGAGTCTTCGGTTCATCAAGCCGTTTGATTTAAGGTGCCTGAATGCTTTGGTGTGTGAAACGTCTTTTCTTTCGCTCCGTCTCGCAGGCCTCTGGAGACTGGAGCGGCAGCGGGGAAGGAGACGGGACACCCGCGGTGACCGCCGTGAAGGTTGGTCTTCCCGTTCCATTTAAATGGACGTGCATGAATACAGAAGTCAGACACCCTTAGTGCACTCACATGGTCAGCACTTTGTCGAATGGAGATAACGAGCATCAACAAACTCTGTAATACAAGGTCTCACCTCATTGGAGAACTCGAGGTAATGTAACGCTATTTGTAGCTTCAATGGTTTAGGTTGCAGCTTGAGTTCACTGAGTAAACTTCTACAATAAAGCAAAACAATAAAGTTTTGGGGATTTCTGCTCTTTTTTTTAAACCGTTTTATTTCCAGACTTCAGCCACTTTCTCCCGGCCGCTACCTGAACCGCCTCTGATATCCTCGGATGGACCCGAAAACAAAGAAAGAGGTAAAATGGCGTCATCGTCATCAGTGCAATGCCTCACATCTTCATCATCATCTTTTTAATGACACGGCAGCCGCTGCCAACTAAAGGTCTGTGGACTTGTATCCATGAATATGTGCAAAAGGGTGCCTGCCTGGACCTGAAGACAGGTTTTGCTGCAGGGTTTCAACGTGTCGACTCGCGGAACTCTTATGAGATCCAACAATTTGCACTGGTGCACTAACATGAATGTAAAGGAAGTAATACAGATTAACATTAGCTGTAAATAATTCATGAACCTCAGCGTAACATTTTCTTTGCTAAGAAGTGGAATCTAGAAGAATCCATAATCTATATTTACCAAATAAAATACAGTTTTGACTCACAAGGTGCCTCTGTTTGGTTCCCGGTGATGGTTTGCAGGAAAACTGATGTATTTAGCCTTGTTTTGTGTTGACATTTACAACAATGTGTCAAAAGGGGGAATTGTGGGTGATGCAGTAGCACCCTCTGCAGAACGGATGGCTTCACTGCTTCTACTGACCGTCGTGAGGTCACTAGGTGGCGCCAGACTTATGAGCGAGAACCCTGAAACTGTCATTTATAATACGAATGATAATAATTACTGTTTGTACTTCAGCATTTTGGCTGCGATAATGTTCACTGTTGATAAATGACCTAATTTATGCAATCCTAAATATTAGAGAAATATCCCTGTACAATGAACATGTCAATTGTGTCTTGAATAGTTATTTTTATCTTTTGTACTCGTATCAACGAGAAGTTAAATTGTCAGCCACAACGTAGTTTTAATCTTAACTTTAATGTGCTTTAATCGTGCCGCCTGTGTGTGACTGTTTGCTTTTTGTTGCTCTGCACGTTGCATTGAGTCGACCTCTTCCTGACTTTTCCATCGGGACGTCCTTCAGGTTCGAAAGGGGACAAAGGTGACCGAGGAGCGACGGGCTTGGCGGGGGACTCGGGCCCCGCGGGGCCGAAGGGGGATTCTGGCTCCGACTCCTCGGGTTCCTCCTCTGGTTCCTCTGGTTCCTCCTCTCAGGGGGGAGAACGAGGCCAAAAGGTACAAACATCTCTCTGTGTGCATGAAAGTCAGACGCAAATCACACACACAAATTCCTAATTCTCTGTTTGTCTTCATCTCAGGGAGAAAAGGGTGCAAAGGTATGTTTGCTTCTTTCTTCTTCTTCTTCTTCTTCTTTTATTTCAGCTCTGCTCATTTTTAATCCCGTTTCTCTCCCTCAGGGGAATTCTGGCTTTGGATACTCGGGCAATAAAGGAGAACGAGGGGCCCAGGGCCCCCCCGGGCGCACCGGTCCTCCCGGACCTTCAGCTGAGGTGCTTCGACTCGGGAACGGCTCCGTTGTGCAGCAGGGGTCCAGGCTACCGGGACCCCCTGGACCAGCGGGCTCGGACGGGGCCGCAGGACCCCCAGGAGAGGATGGAGAACCCGTGCGTGTAGAAAGTTTGGTTGCTGGCGAATGTTTTGTTTTAGTGTATTGATGTCACTCACTTCCTCTTTCAGGGGGATCCCGGAGAGGATGGAAAAGCTGTAAGCGTCTTTGTTTTTAATGCTCACATTTGTCTTCCTATTAAACCGATTTATTTGTGGACTCGCTAATTCAAACGTTAGCAGTGTGACTCTCCGTTGTTGCTCCTGTTCCCAGGGTCCCAGTGGGCCACCAGGCTTTCCAGGGACTACAGGAGCATCTGGTGCCAAAGGCCAGAAGGTTGTAGTGGAATAAGATGCATCATGTTGATGTATTGTATTAAAAAGACTTGTTCACGGTAACAATTGTTTGTTTTTTTTTCTTCAGGGCGATCTCGGAGAGGGTCAACCAGGACCCAGAGGCCCCCCGGGTCTACCAGGACCTCCCGGACCTGGGACCGGTGACAACCCGGTAAGGCCGCGCTTCAAACCCTCGACTCGTCCGGTATTCTTCGCTCCAGACTTTTCACTGTGTTCTGTTTGCAGTTTATCGACATGGAGGGCTCAGGGTTCCCAGACTCGTACAAGAGGGTATGTTGATGAGCGTCGTTCAAACTTAGCGGCTCTTTTTCTTTTTCTTTGCGACATAAAAGACTATTTGGTTCTTCATCAGGGTGCCCTTGGTCCTCCGGGCCCCCCGGGGCCTCCGGGGCCCCCTGGGGTCTCTGTGGCTCTGGGACCCGACGGTCCGATTTCTTTCGGACCACCTGGACCACCTGGACAGGATGGAGCGCCCGGTCTACCAGTGGGTTAATACAATACATTTGTTCGTCAAAAAATTTGACATGTCAAACAGTTGTAAAATGTCACTATATGGACTTTCTTACTGAAACATAAAGACCAATAAACGTGTGTGTGCTCCTGCAGGGTCCTCCTGGTCCACCTGGTAGAATAGGTCAACCTGGACCCGCAGGAGGGAAGGTGAGGAAAAGCGACGGTTGATGAAACATTTCTCCCATTTTCAATATAATATTTGGGGCTTGTGAGACGGGCGGATTTCATTAGGTTTTTTGTCACAAAATACTTTCCCCTGCAGGGTGACAGCGGTGACCTTGGTCTCCCAGGAGCCGCTGGAGAAAAGGTGATTTTATAGTTAAAAAGTGTTTTCTATTTATTCTTTCTACTTTAAATCTAAAATGATGTGACGATGCATCCAGATAGATTCTGTCCTCCGTGTTTGTTTCCTCTAGCAAACCTCACAAGGCTCCAACTTTTTCACCGACCTGTTTTCTTACTTTGCTCCATCCTCTACGGTGTGTAATGGGTTGCAGGTACTGGGGGGGTCTCTGCTTTGTTGGTTTCCTTCCTCGCACGCTGTCATTAGCTCTTTAACATTGGGGAGTGAGTCCTCCTTCTTATGGAACTTCCTCCACCTTTCTACTACTCTGCATCTGTTTGTTTTTTTGTTCTTCTTCTTTCCATCTCGACACACGTCTCTTGCATGTCCTTTTTTTCATCACTTGCATCAAAAGTGTCTTAACCCGCTGATCAGTGTCCTTCCTCCCCGCAGGGTGCTCAGGGTGACCTGGGACTCCCGGGTGCCTCAGGGCAGGGAGGGCTGGCAGGGCTTCCAGGTCCCATGGGACCAGTTGGACCCCCGGGACCCCCCGGTCCACCAGGGCCACCGCCTCGCTTTGGTTACGTGAGTACAGGGTGAAACAAATACAGGGATGGGTTGTGAGATCTACCAATCTCTAATCAAAGGGTGTGTGTGATGGACAGAAGTTCTCTCCTCCGTTCCCCTCAGGGTTACCAGGATGGAGACGGGACGAACAACGGCTCGCCGGGCATCGCTGGCCCACCTGGACCTCAGGTACCCCATCACCTAAACCCTAGACCTTACACTTTGCACAAGACGCTCATGACCCCATGTCTTCTGTCTTCCAGGGTCCAGCCGGTGTCCCAGGTCTACCTGTGAGTCCTGCAGAGTCCTCTTTCCATAGATTATACAACACAAATACGCCTGTTGTTCACGGAGAGATATCAGTGGTGTTTTAAGAGTTTAATCATGACTTCCAGGGTAGGCCGGGTTTTCCAGGTAACCATGGAGACAAAGGATCAGAGGGACCGGCAGGACCTCGTGGGATTCCAGGTCTCGACGGCTTCCCAGGACAGCCGGTGCGAGCCCAGATGCATTATGGGAGTTCTACTGCAAATAATTACACACTTTCCCGGTTGTACACTAATAATGTTGATATTTTTAGGGTGAAAAGGGGAACAGCGGACAGCAGGGGGAGCCGGTGAGTCACGCGCAAAATATTTCAAACGTGTAACATGAATTATTAATATGCAAATATATTTACTGAGCTGTTAAACTATTTGGATGAAAGCGCCTGTTGCAAGTTACATATTGTTAATGCAATTAAAATATATACACATTTACTCATGTATCGTACATAAAAGCAATTGAACGTATCAAGTGCTATGCCAGTCAGTATATTGAGAATAAAGATTAGCTAATACGTTTTGTGGGATGTATTGATTGATATATACATGTGCCCTATAATCTACTTATCTTTATCTACATTACTGCTCCAACAGTATTCGCTTGAATTCGTTACCTTGGAGACGACATCTTATGGATGATGTATACTTTTTGTTTTTGTGGCAGGGTCTGCCAGGGCGAGATGGGGGTCTTCCTGGACCTCCAGGGCCTCCCGGTCCTCCAGGACAAGTCCCGTACCAGACGAGCGATGTGAGTCAGCGGCCCAAAACACGTGAAGAATGAATTTAACCCTCACACCAAAGCCTGCCATATGATCCCTGGTTAATGTTTGAGTTACTCACATTCACTAACGGTCACCGCTTGCACACACTAACCGACCTGACTTTGTCTTGCTGTAGTATAATGACGTTTATTGGAGCGAAGGCCTCCAGGTGAGTTGTTCCATAACTAACCTCACCGGAAAGCTAACCCCGACTGAAGTTCTCTCAACACGTTTGCACATGTGTTCCCTTTCTACACGTCTCATCGCTCTCCTTTCTTTAGGGCGGGATTGGTTTTCCGGGTCGACCAGGGTTCCCAGTATGTGGTTTTATCAATATCGCACAGATTTGAAAATCAATGTGACGAAATAAACGGTGGCAGTGAGTGTTTTCGTGCTTTTATTTAGGGCCCCTCGGGACCAAAAGGAGACAAGGGAGACGTGGGTCCTTCGGGATACGCAACTAAAGTAAGATAATACATATTTGAATTTGTTCATTCAGCATGCTGAATGATACGTTGTTCAGTATTGCAAAGATTGACCCCTTATTTAGTAGATCTACATTTATTGGGGTTGACATTCCTTTCTCAGTCTTGATATTATTTCTCCCTGTGATTACAGTTCTTTTTCTACCATACATCAAACATTTCGATTTCTGCAAGTAAAATCATGATTTGGGGTTTTTTGCTTGCAGAAAACATCCTGCTTTACAAATTAAAAGCAGCACAATCAGTATTTTTTTTAATCTAAGCAGTCGTTGGAATCTTTTAGGAAGATGCCCTTTTGTTTTTCCTGCAGTGATTCACATGAAACGTGTTGTGTTCAGGGGCAGAAGGGAGAACCGGGTATCATCACGGACTCTGATGGGAGACCTCAGTACATCGGTGGTCAGGCGGGACGTCCGGTGAGAACCTCTTTGACCGGATAACCTGCGATGAGGATGCATTCCTGCGTCCCGGGACATGTTGCATCGAGCTTTCGTCCAGTCCTGCTCATTCTCTTTAAATCCAGGAATCTTATGCGTCCAATTAAGGGATTAATGCCTAAAAGGTGTTTTGTGTATTTGTGAACAGGGCGACCGAGGACCTGCTGGCCCAGAGGGACCTAGAGTGCGTGCCATATTTGTATTTACCACATTTGGTGTTTTACTGATTCAACAAACAGCATTGCATCAGTAGAATAACCCTAATAGATCGTTCTTTCTTCCCCAGGGTCCTCCTGGTCCTTCAGGACACAAGGGAGAGATCGGGCTACCAGGTAGACCTGTAAGTAGAACTCCTGCTATGTTTAAAATGGTACAAACCACTGCAGAATGAATGTGTACTCCATTCACATTGGGGCTTTAGTGATGCTCACATTTGATTATAAAATGTGTTTTATTTTAGGGTCGCCCGGGGCTGAACGGCGTCAGAGGAGAGAAGGGGGACTCGCACTCTGGATATGGATCCGGTATCGCTGTGAGTATCGCAGATTCATTTTATTTAAAAGTCCGAAGAGGAGGCGACTGGCACACGGTAATCTATGTTTGACGGTGTGTCCCAGGGTCCTCCAGGTCCACCGGGCCCCCCTGGTCCTCCAGGAGGTTCTTCCCCCACTCTCTCGGTAAGCATAATTTTATTTATCATTCATCTTATTTATGTCCAGTAAATAGAAAAATAGAATAGAAAAATTAAAAGTCAAATGCAACACTGAAAGCTTTATAGTGTATGTATAGTAAATAAATAGTAAACTTAAAGCTTCTTAAATAGTGCTACTTGTGATTGTGAACGATCATCTTTGTTTTTTCAGGGATATGATCACAGGTTTCACCCAGGTAATCTCACCTTTTAATGGAATAGTTTGACGCCTATCGATGCCGGTCTCACGTCTCTGTCCAATTAAAGCTACGCGCACATAGCTTAGCTTAGCATAAAGACTGGATATGCGTGGAAGCGGCTAGCCCGTTGACACTTTGTTGCCGTTCCTCCTGTTTGTAGGTACTAAAGGAGAGAAAGGTGATCGAGGAACTCCAGGGACTCCAGGTAGGGCTTCTTCTTCTATGCAAACGTGTGCAGAAAAGAGCTGAAGAGTAGATGTTTATAGACACATTTCTGTTTCTGCTTTGTTTGTGGTCCAGGTGGCGGATCAACCTTTGGCCTTACCTCCACTATTAGGGTAAGCTTCCACTCTAATGTCTGTGGTTAAACTATTAGCCTCGGTTAGATTTTTGTATTCATATGTTTTGGATGTTTATGTGTGCAGGATGAGTTGAAAGGGGTTCGGGGCGATCCGGGCTTCAAAGGAGAGAAAGGAGAACCGGGTGGCGGATATTACGGAGGGAGCGGAGTCGGAGTCCCTGGAGTGCCTGGACCCCCCGTGAGCTCCCACTTCCAAAATCCTAAAGCACTCTGTTCAAATGAGTCCAACCCTGAACCTTTCTCTGTCCTTGATCCATCAGGGTCCCAGAGGCGATTCAATCGTCGGCCCGTCGGGCCCTCAAGGGCCACCTGGTCAGCCAGGAAGAGGGTACGATGGGCCGCCTGGACCACCAGGGCCGCCGGGGCCGCCAGGAGAGTCCTCACCCGGAACACAAAGGGGCACGCAGAGTGGGTTACCATCATAAACTCCCCACATATTCACCATCAAAGACTTTTGCACATTGGAGAGAGGGGAGGGGGGGGTGAAAATATTGCAAAAGGTATTTATTCAAGCCTCAAGTGTGAATTCCTTCCTCTATCTTAATGACAGCGATCAATATTCCTGGACCCCCGGGACCGCCTGGAGTACCTGGACACTCCTCAGGGGTGAGAAAACTTTGTTCTTGTAATTGTTCTGCTTTATTTCTAAATGATGGACCCATTTACCATGAAGAACAAAACGTTACTGCCATCACAACTGCAGGAGAAAAGCCCTGTTCACTTTAGGCGTTTTGCCGTTCGTAGGTGACAGTGATGAGGTCTTATGACACCATGACAGCCACCGCTAGAAGGCAGCCCGAGGGCTCCCTGGTCTACGTCATAGAACAAACAGATCTCTACATCCGGGTCCGAGATGGAGTTCGTCAAGTCCAGGTGAGAGAAATACTTTTTAATCATCAGGTGAGACATAAAAATACTCCCCTTGTATATTAATGGAGTCCTTTGTGTTTTTTTCAGCTCGGGGGCTACATCGCTTTTCCCAGTGAGGATGTGAGTGAGGTTTTTCCTTTTTCCCTTTTCTTCAGAACATATGTGTCATGTGTGAATACATATGTTCTTTTATCTTCAGGGTAATGAGGTAGCAGCTGTGGAGCCCCCACCAGTCATCCCCTATTTCACAGACCACCACCCAAGCAACCCTGCACACGACGCCGTCCCCATTCCTGAGAGTCCGGTCCCCCGGTACCCTTCAAACCCAGACCCCCGGTACCCTTCAAACCCAGACCCCCGATACCCTTCAAACCCAGACCCCCGGTACCCTTCAAACCCAGACCCCCGATACCCTTCAAACCCAGATCCCCGATACCCATCAAATCCAGACCCCCAGTACCCTTCAAACCCAGACCCACAATACCCATCAAACCCAGACCCCCAGTATCCTTCAAACCCAGACCCCCGGTACCCTTCAAACCCGGACCCACAATACCCATCAAACCCAGACCCCCGGTATCCTTCAAACCCCTGACCCACAATACCCATCAAATCCAGACCCCCGGTACCCTTCAAACCCGGACCCACAATACCCATCAAACCCAGACCCCCGGTATCCTTCAAACCCTGACCCACAATACCCATCAAATCCAGACCCCCGGTACCCTTCAAACCCGGACCCACAATACCCATCAAATCCAGACCCAGCATACCAACCTGACACACGATATCAGCCGGATCCGCGGTTCCCGGCTCCAACAGATCCCAGGTATCCAAGTTACACAGACCGGATAAATCAACCAGACGGTAGGATTTCTTTGAATACGGCCCAGGAACGCCCTGCCTACCCGGACCCTCGTTACCCGGTCACCCCCCAGCGAAGACCACCTCCTGCTGTGCCCCAGATTCCAGTCCACCATCACACCTCAGGTCCAGGGGTAAGAGACTAACCCTATCCCTTTTTTTCTCATTGACGGGTCTTCTGCTCTAGGTTTTCTCTGTAAAACGGAACATTAATTGAACATATCTGTGTTCCTGCAGCTCCACCTAATCGCCCTGAACAGCCCCCAGACCGGCTCCATGCGGGGCATCCGCGGGGCCGACTACCTGTGCTTCACTCAGGCCCAGGCCGTCGGGCTGAAGGGGACTTTCCGGGCCTTCCTGTCCGCCAGACTCCAGGATCTGCACAGCATCGTCCGCAAGGCCGACAGGGACCGAGTGCCAATAGTCAACCTGAAGGTGCTTACGCGGCCATTTAGGGGAATCGTTTGAAAGTGAATATAAAGCTACGGGTTAGCTTAGCACGAAGCGAGAAACAACATCTTTGTGCTGATTGTCTCCAGGACGAGGTTCTGTTTGACAGCTGGGACGCCGTCTTCAACGACGGCAGGGTGAAGGACAACGTGCCAATCTACTCCTTCGATGGCAAAGATGTCCTCAACGACGGCACATGGTGAGCCCGACGAGCCGCGGATGTGCAAACGCCATCGTCCAAACTAAGTGGGAGACGGACTCGAATCACAAGGGCATAAACTGTCGAAATTAACTTTACTTTTTCTATCCTCGACGCCAGGCCAGACAAGATGGTGTGGCACGGCTCGACGGGCGGCGGGCAGGGCCACGTGGACGGCATGTGCGAGATGTGGCGCGTGGACAACAGGGCGGTGACCGGCATGGCGTCGCCGCTGCAGAGCGGCAGCCTGCTGCAGGCCAGCGCCAGCAGCTGCTCCGGCTCCTACGTGGTGCTGTGCATCGAGAACAGCTACGCCGCAGAGGCCAAGAGATAGACGCGTACACACACACACACACACACACACACTGGACAAAGCAGTCAGACGTGCTTTGGTCCACAGATGCTCTTCTATCTACTGTAAATAAGTCTTTTTTTTGTCATGAATAGTTTGTGTGTCAGCCCCTCGTATTTGGTGCTATTCAGAATTATCCCACTTTTGGAGCCAACGTTGAGTTCAGGTGACTGTTGTCGCCATGACGTTGATGTAAATGTTAACATTAGCTTGGTGCTAGCTCGTTAGCTGTTGAGATTTTGAAACAACATCCAGATTACTCTGGATAATTAACAGAACACAGACTGATTTCTTAAGGACTATTTTCTTTGCAGGAAGTAGTTCCGAAGCCCGGTAAATGAAATGTTTGTTTTTGACTTGACATCTTATCTGCACACTGATATCTGTAACCCATAGCACTCCATTAACAGCCTTTTTATACCTTCAACTGTCATACTTGGGGAGTTTTCAAATCTTAGCAGTAACAAATGGATATTTATTTTTTTATAAACTGTTTCTACTATATTGTGATGTGAATGCGTTCACAAATAATTACAACATTTCCAAATATATCCAGCAAATGTGCAAACCCTACACAAATGTGTGTAATGAATATTAAACTCTAATATGGAGTTGGTGCACTTGGTAAGCAGACACGATTATCTAGAGATATCTGGAGGATTCAGCTCTAAATGTGTGTTCATGCACTGTTGCTTTCTATTTGCCAGCTTAAACGCGGACATTATTCCAGGGTTTTTAGTCCAAAGTGATGTTTGAATTTGCCATAACCAATTTCGTTACATTTTTATATTGCTTTTGTTTTCTAGTGTGAGCGCGATTTTTAATTCTCATTGAATAAACCTGTGTGGAAGTTGTGAGTGTTTGTTCTTTCTTGAGTGAGTATTGCTGTAATTTGTATATAATGGGATATGACATATGCAGTCTATTTACTCTGTAGAGAGATGTCTGTTCAGCAGGTAACATTCTTCCAAGGGAAGACAATGAATTAAATGTAAACCTTGGATAGAATTTTGCAGCATCGGCACCTTTGTGTTTGTCTGTGACGGTTTCAGATCTACTGTGGATCTGAGTGGATAAATGAAGAATGAGGCTTGCGACGGCTTAACGAAAGCTCAGAGGTGACATTTATCATTTTTGACAGCTTTGCTAATTATGCTAATGTGATTACACACAGGGAGCTGCGTTAAAAAATATGTAAAAGTATATTTACAAATGGCAAGAAATGGAGAAAGAGTACAAAATGCATCGGGACAAACAAACAAACAAAAATAGGATAAAAAAATATGTCCGATTTATCTTTATCTATGTTGGCCCTCTGGTCTTGTTGCCACGGCAACGGCCAACATCATCTGCGTGAGATGCTCGCGGCGTCTGGAGCAGCGAGCAGTTTGTAATTGAGTCCGATCACAAGCGAGCAGAACCGACTGACCGCCACGAAGTCGCAGCAGAGGATGTTGACCCCGCCCGCCTCTACGCCCGGCCGCTGCTCGCTGGTCCAGCTGAGCAGCAACGGGAGAGCCCTCGCCGTCATCTTCCTCATGCCCTGGAGGGGGTGGAGGAGGACGTAGGGAGCGTCCTCCGTCAGGTTCAGGCCGCTGACGTAGAAACCGGCTGGAAACCAAACCGGGAGAGAGAGTTAGTCAAAGAGATATTGCGCACTGTTGTGGATTCAACAAAGTTTCATTTTGATATTTGAATACCTGGTCTTCCTCTGTGCTTCTGGTCCTCCAGGTAGGCAATCACCTTCATAGGATCTGGGCTGTCTGCATACCTGGAGTAATATGTAAACTATAGCTGTAAAAACCAAACTACTGGGTATACAAGTTTTAATAAGCAAATGTTGCATATTTATTTACCTGTACGGTATTTCAGTCCACAGCTCAGGGTGCAGCAGCACCATCTGCTGGTTGCTATAGGAAACCACGACCTGCTGACCTCTGGACCAACAGGAACGCAGAGTGGGAATGTCCTGCATATAAACGCAAATATTAGGTATTTCACATCTTTAGAACTAGAATAAAACTAACTTGTACAATGATACAAAACAACAAATCCTCACTTTTATGAAGCTGGAAACATGTCTCATGTCGGCCTAATAAACACTCTTTTGGATGGTTTTGTTAAGCATAAAAAGGATGCGCTAATGGATTCATCATTTCAGAGTCTCGGAGTAGCGGCCCGGTTACCCGTGAGAGGCAGAGTTTCTCTCCGAACAGAGTGATGATGAAATCCGCAAGGTGGACGTGATCTTCATCGCTCAGCGACTCGAAATGCGAGCAGGAAACGATTACGATCTCTCTAGGATGAGCGTCCAACCAAGAAGCCAGTTCGTGCAGGGCCTCCTGCACACAAACACACACAAACAAACGAAGCCTCTAGATCGTGTGCCTGTGGATCAAAGTGAACCTTGTCCATACTGTGTGCGTGCGTACCTGCACGGTCATCAGTGTGTAGATGCCGTGGGCAAAGAACAATGTGTTGCCACCAGCCGGCTTCCTCGCAATCCGCAGGTCCAAGAAACGAACGCCAAGCTCACACTGATCACTGAGGACCGATTGCTACGTGCACGCGTGGAAGAGAAGGACCAGAATAAATGCTTGATGAGAATGTAATGAAACTCTGGCAAATGTAAAGCATTCAAACAAATAATGCAGTACTTGCACTTCACAAGGTAAATACACAGGTTTCTTACATATACATGAAGGTGTCAGAATTGACGTCACTAGCCACAATATTAAAATGTTGTTTATATGGTCATACAGGTAGTAGTGATCGGACAACATAATGCATGGAGGTCCTATTAGCTTGTGAGAGAAGGCTAGGTCGATGCGACGGTGCATCGACCTAGCCTGGTGCGCGTGCGCGTGCACCTGCGTGGTGGCCCACAGGGAGACGCAGGTTCGAGTCCAGCAGGGAAACAGCCGGTCGATCGCCCTGAGGACGCAGGGCTCCGATCTCACGACCGGAGATGAGACGTCCAGGCAGAAAGACATGCTGTCGTGGCTCCCTGCGGCGAGAGGCGATAACCATGAAGGAATGACGTTACGGTGGAAGACACTGGACGTGTCCCCGCTGTTTTACCGGGTAGAGCCAGGTTCCACAGCGGGACATCCAGCAGCTCCCCGGGCAGACGGGACATCCAGTCCGGGTTCCCCCCGAGCGGCAGCCGCTCTTCGTCTTCCATGTTCTTCACCGGAAATGTTCAGCTTCCTTCGGCATTTAGCTAAATGTTCACCAGGTCTGTCTCCGCTTCCTTGTTTTCAATGTAAACCCCAAGTTTTCCGGATGTGAAAAAAAGAAACCGCTATCAAGCTAGTGGCTATATCGAGCTAGCACTTCCTGTAGGAACCTTCAAAGTAAAACGTGGCGGAAGTTCCATTTCTGAAACTTCAACAACATTAAAATGACCAGTGTGCTAATCTTGCAAGACTAAACTACAATGCATAGTTATAGTTGAGCTTAAATAGAAACTTATTTCCAATTGTAAAAATCCATGTAAACAATGTAAAAAGTTGATTTCAAGGTAAATTAAGTATAGATGTTTTTTTTCCACGTTTCATCAAAATGAATGACAACACATTCTCCGGTTACTTTATGTCTCCTTTCAAATACAGCGCAAATAAAGTAGGACAAGTCTTTAATTTAGAAGCAAAGGGCCAATTTATAGATTATAGATTTTAAATGGCTTTGATTGAATTAAACAAGACATTAGAAGAAAATGGAGAAATGTAAAATATTCCGAAACATTTGATAATGTGCGTTTCTTAGAAAGGTATTTATCTCGTTACCGATCCTCTCTGTCCAACTTTCCCTTCTCACAACCCTGTCGTTCAGCTCCTCCAGGCTGTGCCATTCACGAGTTGTTTACTTGACCTTTGTAAAACACGCTTTCTGAGAATGAGCTTGCTTCTCAGCGTTCCCTTTGGTTCATTTTGAAAGGGCCCTTTTTGCAGTGAACGGGGAACGCAGGTTCGCACAAACATGACACAGAAAATGAAATTGTACAAGAACCATTAAAATGTCAACTAGAACATACCGACACTCATTGGAGTCACACACGGATGGATTATTCCAGTATTTTGTCCCGCAGAAATTAAGCTAAGCACTATCATGTGGCTGCAGTTTAAATCTGAGATGACCTGCTGTTCCTTTAAACCACTGAAAGAAAGTAAATGGAGATGCTATAGTTTGTTTTGTTTATTAAATAAAGCTGATTTAACCTCCATCTCATTGGGTTTTTTTTTAAAATTGCAAATACATGGATGCAGGCACCACAATTCAACAGTTCAGGGACAGGATGACAAAATGAAAAACACGGCATCTGTAAACTGGACTCATCTGATCTCCCTCTTAGTCCTAGTTAAATTAAATGTAATCAAATCAAGAGATCAAGGTCATTTTCTATGAAATGCCTATTTGATTTCAGGGCATTGATTTGAAACGCTGTCTTATGATCTGAACTGTCTAAAAACATTCAGGTCAACAACAAGAGTTGTCCTTATTAACTTATTTTACACATTTTACATTGAGTCTAATGTTGTTTAAAGTTGTGTGCTCTATAAGTGATTGCATGCTGACAGGTTTCGACGTCTAAATATAACCCTGACCTGCCCACTCTGGTCACACCACCAACTCAACTCCCATCTGAGCCGGGAGGTGAGCTGAAAGGCAGATGAAGGACAGCGCTCAGAAGACACCTCTGGACTCAGTGTGCACGCCGGCTCTCCCTCCGACAGGTAAGACCTCGGTCTTCACGAGCCGCTGTTCCTCAGCCTCGTATAGTTTACCATGCCATGTATTCTATACAGTAATCGTATCAGTAATTGCATCATCATTCCGTAAGTATAATCCAGGTTTCTCAAGCGGATTAGAGGATTATTTAAATTACACTTTCCTTTAATGGCGTGTATTTTTCAAAAAACTATATCTTAAAGTGACATCAGGCTGTTTTAGTTGGAGCGGTACACATTGAAGATGAAGGCGTATAGACGGATGGGAGGAGAAGAAAGTTTAGATTATTTCTTTATTAGATTGTGATGGTACGCAGGATTTAGAAAGGGGGGGGTTTGTTGAAGTTTAGTCCTCTGAGATGATTACACGCTATTTTCCAGAGTGTGGAGATGTTTTAATTTTTTTTTTTCAAAAGAATCCTGATATTTATAGCAGGTACAGTCCAGGTTTTGTGGAAGCGTATTTGGGGCTACCTGCTGAAGTCTTTCTTCCCTTTAATTAAATCAATCTGTGAAGGAATAAAATCACTGGTTCTCGTCTCCGTCTTCATGACAAATGAAGAAACCCTGACTGCTCTTCATCCAACTACACAAGTCTCTGTTAACCTTTTTCCTTACTTAAAAACAAATTATTTGTGCCAGAGCGGTGCCGTTGATATCCTTAAATCGACTTCCTGTTGGTTGACTTCAGACCAATCAGTGAACATACGCTGTTAATAATGATTAAGGAGACTTGTAGGCTCCGCTGATCACATCAAATGTGCCCTGAACTGACTTGGTAGAGAAGCATCATTCCCTTTGAACGCCGTCCAGTTAGATTTCCTCCAAGAAATGATCTTCTACGTCTTCAGTATTTAAACCTCTTATGATGCTAACAGCAGACTAAAAGTCGTCCTCCAGCTGAAGTTAAAGGGAGTTTAAAAACTCCTGCTGTGGGTGATGATGAAAAGGTTTATTTCATTTCTTCTTGTATGATGCCTTCCTTTGATTAACTCCTCTGCTCCTCGCATTTCTTCTCTTCCTTCTATCGTTGCTTTTAACGCGTTCTTTTCCTCTCTCCTCCACCCGCTTCAATCCGACCCCCTATTAAATGAATCCTACTGCTCGGGATTAGTCTCTCTTGGAGTAAACCAAATAAAGAAGTCACGTAATGTCTATTAATGAAGTGGGAGGCGTTTTCCCTGCAGTGTGTTTCCAATCGAGAGGCTCGTCTTTCTACCTCATGAGGTCATGAAGGCACGATCATTCATTTATTGGATTATTTGTCAGTTTAATCGCAGAAATCCAATTTCCAGTTTAGTTTTTTTTAATCTTGTTCTCCTGTTTAATAGTCTCCTTATTCCGTCTTGCAGGACTGAAGACCGTGAGAGGAGCCGCCGTCACAATGGCCGAGCGCTACGACTGCACAGAGTGCACGGACTCTCTGTACGGACAGAAGTACATCCTGAGAGACGACGACCCCTTCTGCATAAAGTGCTTCGAGCACCTTTTCTCCAGCAACTGTGAAGCGTGCCAGAAGCCCATCAACTGCACCAGCAAGGTCCAAGCGCTCTTCACCCGTTAGCTCTTTAACCTCAGAACAGTGTCCCGCCGATTTCTAACCAAACCAAACGCTCCGTCTGCAGGATCTGTCCTACAAGGACCGCCACTGGCACTGCGAATGCTTCCTCTGCGTCAAGTGCCAGCGATCTCTGGTGGATCGGCCCTTCGCCACCAAGGACGACGTGCCGATGTGCACCGAGTGCTACAGCAACGAGTACTCTTCCAAGTGCCATGGGTGCCTGAAGACCATCATGCCCGGTGAGGAGGCCTGTCTCGTTTTTCTCCCCGGGGTTCCGTGCTTCTTATTATTCTCATCAATTCAATCAGGCTCCTCTAATTACTGTGCAAATGTCCCACGGCGGTTAGAGCGGCCTTTTAATTAGACGGCTCACTCGCTCTGCATGACTCACATGACATCAGCAAACTGCCATCGACTCTAATTGGTCGAGCCTGACCCTTTCTGTGCCCCCCCCGTCCCCCCACCCCCCTCTTCCTCCACCTCCAGGCACCAAAAATATGGAGCATAGGGGCAACAGTTGGCATGAGAACTGTTTCACCTGCACCTTGGCCAACAGCGGATGGGAACCCGGAGCTTCATCCAGAAGGAGGCCGACCACTACTGCCTGCCCTGCTACGAGAAGCAGTTTGCCAAGCAGTGCGTCCACTGCAAGAAGGTGAAACCACCGGCGTGAGCCACTTCCTCTGGGTTTGGGTTATTTCGTCATCTCCAGACCATCACGTGCTGATGACACCGAGTTGAATCCATGCATTCATGCGTGGATCTGACATTCTATCTCCAAAAATCCTGCATCCAAAGCATTTTTTTTAACTTGATTCTAAGTATACTGTAACCGGTGGATTTTCACACTACATGACATGAATGTTTCAGCCCATCACACGGAGAGTGACTACCGGGACCAGCGTGCACAGGAGTGCTTCGTTGCATCGGCTGCAAGCAGCAGCTGGCCGGCAGCGGTTCACTCTCGGGACGACTTCGCCTACTGCCTCAACTGCTTCTGCAACCTGTTGCCAAGAAATGCGCCCACTGCACCACCCCGATCAGTGGTAAGATGTCAGCGAGCATCAAACACGCATGGCGACGAGTGCAGGTCGGACGGGGGGAAAAAAAGGCGAGGAAGTTAAATCACAACAATTCACTCGTGCTGGCGTTTATTCAGCAGCTTGTACTGCTTCCGTCTGCTAAATCCAAGGTAACCTCTGATTCCATGTAGCATTCCCACGTGAACTGCGTCAAGTAACCACAGCACAAATTACACTTTTATATGCTGCCCAATGTGTATCCAATTACCACAAATTACTGGATTATTGCATTACAGATGTCCCGGGACTTTTTGTTGGTACCTCATGGCTCCTCTTTGTTGCTTTTCAGGTCTCGGAGGCAGCAAGTACATCTCGTTTGAGCAGCGCCAGTGGCACAACGACTGCTTCAACTGCAAAAAGTGCTGCATGTCTCTGGTGGGTCGAGGTTTCCTGACGAGCAAAGACGACATCCTCTGCCCCGACTGCGTCAAGGACCTCTGAGCAAACTCCGAAGGCCCAATTAACCAACTCCAAGGCAGAGGGCGTTGGCAGCATCCTCCTTAACTACCGTGTATTGATTTGTCACACATTAACCTGTTCTCACTGCCAAGGTTTTACTACACGTGCTGATGACACTGAGTTGAAATCTTTGTCCTGTGAAACATTCCTAATTCAAAAGCAAGTATCCCAACAAAAAAAACTGATTTCATTTTGGAGTGAAATTGTCTGTGTTGCATCTAAATAACCCTTTGCAAAACTATGTTACATTATATTTAGAGGAAGTTAAGTTATTGTTAACTCTTAACACTCTTAATATATTACAATCTAATGCTACTAATACTGTTCATTTAAATTACATACATTCTGTCTATTGCATAACATAATACAATTGAAGAATGTTTATTTATCAGTGGTGCAACTTGTCATGGAAACATTTCAATGACAGTCCAGTTAGTATTTTAATCCATATTTAGGTTAGTTTGCTAAAACGTGTGTTTTTAAAATGTTAACAAAATCAACAAAAATAAACTAACAAATAGCGCTTAAAGTGTATGTGTGGGCGAGGTGAATAAAATAAGAACAAATTAATTACAGATGTGTTTGGGGTATTTTTTTCAAGTGTGAAAATTACTGCTAATAATATTTGAAGCATCCAATTTGTTGTTTATGAGCGAATGTTAACCAATAGCTTTTGTTCCCGATTATCCTCTGAAAGAACAAAGATCGTCTTTACACGCATCAGCCAACACACTGTCGAAAGGAGCTTTTACTCTGGTCGTATTTTCAGTATCTGGTTTTTCTGTGACCAGACTACAAGCCCACATATCCCGCCAGCCTTTGTTGTAAATAAGCGATCTTTGTTTAGCGCACCGGAAGTCGGCAGCAGGTGCCACCGGAAGTGTGCGCGGTTCAGCCTTTGCCTGCAGAAAGGGAGGGAGCTAGTGGCGTGTAATTGCAACAAGCCTCTCAGCAATTAAATCCAAAATAAGCACATCATATAATGTGAGTATTGTGTTGGCTTTTGTATGAGCAGTAACGAGTGTTTCGCGCGGAGAAAACTGCACCGTTTCGGGGATCTGTATTGTGAGCCGGTGGAAAGCCGCCGCTGCGGCAGCTAGCTAGGCGGCTAACTCAATTAGCATGGCTTTGTTAGCTAACGGTACATGCTAACGTTAAGTTATTACTATTCCTCTTTAATACATGCGTGCCTCTCAGAACTGTGCGCGTTTAAATGTATTTATTGCACAGTGTCTGCTCGATTTGTAATTTTACCCCAGCTTTTATGTAATATACATCCTCTGCAAAGTGGACTTTTTTTTAAAATCCAATTTATTTTTATACTTCAAATGTAGTGTTCTTGATGGTAGCTGTATTTATTCGAATAATATAACGATAGATCAATAAGGGCCGTTATTTCCCCTCAATAATGCTAACGTCATTGCATCTGTCTCGATGGAGCAGCGCAAACGGGCCGCGCTCTCGCATATGGGAGGAAAGGGGAAACAGAAGGCCACGCTCCATTGGAAAAATCGATCATTTTCGACGGCTTCGCCGTTAGTGAACGGAAAATAGTTGTTTTTTTTTAAAACATGACGTGCTTTATTTTTGCAGCGTTCCGTCGGTCATTTCGGCCCAGATACTATTGAATATAAAAAAGTCTAAAATCTAAAAATCACATCTTCAAGTGGGTTTAGGCCACTATCTTTGTACGTCCATTTTGGTGGAGGATGAGTAAGGAAAAATCTGTGCAACAAGTAATTTTCTTTTCACAGTTTTAAATGTGTTCAGCATTTTAAAAGATAACCAATTTAGGTCACATCATATTCAGTATGCTTGCTAATAAGTGAGGTTGCTTTGTATTTACATTATGTTTTCATCTGCCTTTAACAGACTAAAAAGGTTCCCCTGCTCTTCAGATTGTCAAATGTCTAGCGCGGAAATGAGTGCTGCAGTACCCAACCACCGAAGGACCAAACCCGGCGGTAAGACACGGCTCCACCGCCTGCAATGTATTTACATACCCAAAGCTAAAGCACACGACGCTTTCTTTTGTGTAACGCAGCTGAAATCACTTTTGCTTTTAAGAAATGCTTCGGATGTGTGTTACCAGCTTTGCTCCCTAAGCACAAAGTGCATCTTTTATTTTTTTGGAGCGTGCATTATTTAGGAGCCGTGCAAATGGATGGAGCCCAACTCTCAGGTCTTTGCAGGTATAAAAACCGTGCCTGTGAGCAGCAGCGGCGCCACCGGACCGAACTCCCAGATCCCGGGTCTGTCCCAGACTGCCGACGAAACCTCTCCGGTGGAGAGGACCAGTGGGAGGCGGGTCGGCATCTTTGCGTCGGACTCTGAGTATGTCAAGCTCGCGAAGGGAGGGGGACACAAAGGTAAAATTCTTGAGTTTAAAATGTGGTGCACGCGTCTGTTCGGCAGTTTTATGAATGGGGTTCTCTTTGAAATGCAAATCAGGAAGAAGCGACACTCTGCTCAACAAGATGCTGATCGTAAAGACTGATCTGTTTCTAGTTAATCTGCTGTCTCCTGATACTTTTGGAAGAAGAGGCATCAACCAAACCACAACTTAATAACCAAATAAACCTCCTTAATATTGTATGTTTTGTTCTGCACACCTGCTCTATTCCTCATGATCGATTGAACAGATGGAAGACGGCGTGTTTGTCTTGTTACTCCTGTGAAAGCCATGCTGACGTGCAGCAGGGATCTGGAGGCTACATGAGCTGAACGGACGTTTAAATGACCGACCGAGCTTCTATCGGTGGGATCCAGTGCTTTATAACTGCAGGCAGTGTTTGATTGCCCCTCTTGTCTCTGCAGGGCTGTTGAGCCATGATGACGATGAAGCCGATGACCTCCCCGTGACGGCCTACAACCCACCCAACTGGTTTGGAGATGAGTCAAAGGGGTGAGAGCAGCTAACAGTGAGAAGGGTTTGTCTGCCACTCAAAGTCCGTTTCCCGACACACGAGCGGTAGCCTCAAACAACAGTCAACGGACGCCGTGATCCTTAAATAAGTACCTCGTCTTTTTCTGGGAGGGGGGGTCTTGAGAGACATTTTCTAAGTGCTTTTGGGAGGAAGCGCCCAGCGAGCGTCCGCGCCGTCAACGTGATGCCGTTGCACGTGGAATATCACCGTGGTTTTGTGCTTACAGCGGGAACAAAACCGCATCTCCCGGCGGCGTGAGGATGGCGAGCCGGCAGCCAATGGCTGCGCCCTTTGGGACTGATAACAGTTCGTCCTGGGAAAGCGGTGATATAATTTCCCCCGATAAAGAGAAGGTGAATAGAAAAAACTGGTCACCCCCCCCCCCCCACTCCCACCCCCCAAACATTTATACCGTGTTGATGTCTTTCATCCTATTTTCATCCATTTATTTTACATTTTTTGCCACCACCACCACCGTTTCCCCCCCCTTTTTTTTTCCTCCACCCAATTTTGCTCCATTGTCGCATTTTCAGTTTGGTTTAAACTCCTTCGGGTTGCATCTCCTGCCCGCGCTTTGGCTGTGTACTAGATATCATATCGCAGTTTCCAGGTAAGTACAGAGCGATGCATCGACAGGACCCGATTCAACGTGTATTCGTAGTTCTGTTTTTAAAAATAGATGTATATAAATGTGTGTGTGTGTGTGTGTGTATATGCATATATTTTTATATATAAGCTGCGCTGCCTGTGATTGAAATCACTTTAACTCGTTGCAGAATGACTTGCTGTTTGGCATCAGGCTTCTTCAATCACTTCCCATTGCATGATACATTGCGTCTGAAGTTTTCCTCCATCACTCCACCCTTTTCCTCCGTCACCGCGATCTGTTCAACCTGCCCCCTAGCTGGTATATTTGTGAATAACGTGAACCGGTGTCTGATTCTGCAGTGGCCTGCCCACGCTAGTTCTTCTAATCTGTCCAGCTTAAATGTGGGTGTCTCCTCCATCCTCCAGATGTCTCCTGACGGAGTTGCCGACGAGATGGAAGGTCTGTCCATGACCAACAAGTACAAGAGAACGTGAGTGTTATTGTTTATCCTGGAGAACCGAAACCGCCTGCTGAGACGAAGGGGCGTTCTGACGGCCTGTGCCCCCCCGCCCCCCCCTCCCCCAGGTGTTACGAGAAGAAGGCTCCTCCGGTCAGCATGACCCGGCTGCTGAGTCACGGCTACATGGCGGACAAGAAGAAGTCTGCCGAGAACGACGACGACGACGCTTCAAGTACGACCCGGTCGCGCCGTGCAGGTCCGCCAGTGTTTTCCGCCCGCTGACGGGTGCTGACGTGTGCTTCGCCTTCCAGGTGTGACCTCAGAACAGACGAGCACCACGGTGACGGAGGACGCGGGGGAGCTGGAGTAGTGCGTCCAGGTGGTGAAGGAAGAGGGGGTTCGTTGTAACACTGGTTCATGGTTCCTACAGATCTGAGAACATACTACTACACCCCTGCCCCCCCCCACCCCCCCTCTCGGATTCACTCGCATTTGTTGTACATCCTGACTGTTAGGTTTGGTACTCATGTTTATGCAAAGGTACTGTGTCTAATAATCTATTTATTTGCTCTCATTTGTAAAAAAGACTTCAGGCTGTTTTTGTGGAGTAGATGTGTTGGTGCTCGCGGTGTGATTTTCTTTTTTTTTTTAAACATTTTATTTCTGTGTTGACGTTTTCTCGATTTGACAGACGAGTTGCGCTGTGGGGGGGGAGGGAACTAACCGCCCGCCTGATCGCCATCGCTTCGGCCGGCCGGCTCTAAAGCTTCGACCCGGCGTTAGTCCCCCCCCCCCTGGTTGTATGACGATCGAGTCGGTGAATTTAAAGTGTTTGTGCTGATGAAATGTGGTTCCAGTGACGTGAGGTATCATTAGTTTGGACCAAGGGGCCCCCGCTCTCTGAAGGGACGCTGCAGGTTCCCGTGTGTGTGTGTGTTTTCGGCTGCAGAGGTGGAAATTTTTGTTGGTTGAGACAGCTGCTGCCAGATGTCAGAGTTCATCCTGACCGTTAGTTTGGCTACGAGGAGAAAGGCCTTCTCAACACCCCACCCCCCCACCACATTAAATCTGTTTTTGACATCATTATCCGGCTGCTATTCGTCCATCTCCCAGAATAAAAATGCCTCGTATAAGAAAATAACTGGATTTAAGGTAGTTCCAAGGGTTTGGATACTATCAGGTGCTGCAACATTCATTTTATTATGATTATTAACTCTGCCGAGTGTTTAGGAAGTTGCTAATAACTATATTAGGTCTGTCCTGTACGTTCCGCCTCGTAAAGCCAAACGTCATGCAGCAGCAGCAGCAGAGTTCTGGGAGGCTTCGGGGCCTCGTGGAGCAGACGAGCTGAAAGTCGTGACGCCCAGCGAGCGAGTTCTCAATATGCCAACCGAGCGGTTTGTCGTTGTTTGTTGGTGCGCTGCCTGATCGCAACAAACCCTGCATCTCATCAACGGTTACCGCGGCAACGTTTTAGCATTCGAAGACTTCTAACCAGGAAGTCGACAGATCAAAACACATTTAGGATGGAAGACATCTGCCATGCTGATTGTTTTAAAAATATTTACCGGTCACTCCGTAGGATGGTCTAAATGTACTTTTTATTTGCAGCAAACTATTTCCGTAACGCTGCTCAGCTCGTGATGGGCTAATGTTGTTTTTTTTGCAAAAACCTTATAAAGCATAATTGGTCTCTTAATGCTTTTTCTGCCGCGTATCCAGGTTGCGTTTATTTTATTGATTACACACTACTGGGAAGACGTGCTGAGAGATTTCATGTCCCTGCTGCTTTCCGCCCAACTGGTTTCAAACCGGTTCACGTGACACTAACAAGGTCTTGACCCCTTAAATCTGACTTGCTGAACTGTCAGCCAACTTTTCAATCACTTTTACACCCTTTTAGTTTGACTGTTTTTGCCTTAAAGTCTCTTGCTGAGTGAGATAAAGGTCCATGTGGGGAGGAGAAGCTGGTCAGTGCCTCCGACTGACAGGATAGCTTTTGATTTGATAGACAGTCCCGCTCTGTCGCTTGACAGTCAGTGAAATCCAAATCCTGCAGGGAACATTGTCCTGCAAAGGAAAAGGATGGGAATAATTTATTTGGCCGCTCACGGCGAGGTTTAAGCTCCGGGTTTGTCCTCCGTAAATCCAGCACGTACATCACTCTGAAATGATGCAGCAGTAGCAGACTGTCATTTTGAAAAGAACTCGCTGATAAAACTCTCACAAGAAATGTGTGTAATGCTCAACGCTGCCGTCACAGCAGTGATGCATTATTTATCTGTATGTGGTATTAAAGTAGACGCACTGGACCTTGTTTTGCAGTAGACGGAGTGGCCGTCGTGTCGTTGGTATGGTTTTACGCTGATGAACAGGTTTATTTTGTATGGTTAGGTATTAAGGTACAGTTTTAGTTCATGTGTTTCCTCTTCTTCCCGTGTGAGTTGGTGGCATAACTGTTTACAAACCATAGCAGGAATCTTCACCGGGTGAACGGCAACGTCCTCCCTGATGTCTAGTTGCTTGTACCCCCCCCCCCCCTCCCATTGCTTATTTTTTATCTGCAAGTGGTTCATTTTCATGTGCAAATGTACCAAAAGTGACTGACGCTTTTAAACAAAATATCACCAAGTGTTTGGAGAGGAATCCAGCTGACACGCCTCAATGTAAGACCCCGCTTTTCCCCGATGACTGCACACAGACTCCACCATCATCTCAATAAATGGGCATGTGCATGGACTCGTGTGCTGTTTTTCTTCAACCAATTTTCCGGACATTAGTTATGCCATGAATATCTTTACATTTATCAAAGGACCAAATTAGTTGAGCAAATTCTGTTGCAATTTCTTGAATGGTGTTATTATGCGTTGGACCTAAAAGCACTTTTATCAAAAGCATCATGCAGCTGTATTAACTGGCTTTTATTCACAAAGTGCAGCTCAAAAAGCCACGTGACAGAATCTAAACATTGAATCATGTTTATTTGTAACCTCAACAAAACGCTTCATACAGTAATGAATCATTAGATCTCGTTTCTGGGCTCCGTAACGACCAGTCAGGCCTCCACCAATCGTGTCGCGGGGAAAAAAAACACACACACACACACACACACGCACACGGGCGCGCGTGCACACGCACAGTGGCCGTTGCAGGCGCGCGTCCTTCCTCCCCTGCAGCGCAGTTTGCACGAAGCTGCAGCGCCGCATCCCTCTCGCTTTCTGCAGCCGCGCATGCATCGGCTCCGGGATCGATCCCCCCCCCCCCCCGTATCGGAAACCGATCCGTAGCCGCATGGTGACGTCACGCCGCTGATCGGCAATAGTTGCTGGGCGGGGGGCTGCCAGGGAGGCAGACGGGAGCAGCGGAACCTCCACACCGGATTAACGAAGCGAAGAAAAACACCAAATACTCTCCTCTTGCACGAGCGGCGTGCGTGGACGCGCACGGGATTGTTTGCTGTTTTTGTTTATTCCGTCGCGGCGGGCGCGTGGGGCATGTAGCGGGTCCGTCACGGCCGCCCGCGGGGGGAGGAGGATGGACTGAGCCAGCTGTGGCCTGCTCCTGACGGCAACACCTGGCCGGTGAGCCGCGCCGGGAAGCGGGAGCCCGGTGAGTCGCCGTGACCTCGTCCTCGGCCCGCCGGTGTGCACGCGCTGACCGAGAGGTTGCGTGTGATTAACGAGGAGCGCGCGAGCTCTTGCGTGGAAAAGAGAATTTTCTTGATTCCTTGAGCTTGACACGCTGTCAGACGCCTCGTGTGCCGCGCGCGCGCTCACCTGCACACGCGCTGCAAAGCTCGGAAGGTAGAACCAATTACTGCGTTAGTGAGGGTTACATCGCGCTGCAGAACTAAACAAGGGGAGGCATTGCCATTTCATTAGGAATCCTCACAGGATACATTACCGTACGGGCTTAGACGCCATTGGGTTACTGCCGGGAGTGTATGTTTACACCATAAGGTCACCGTGGACACAATACGAGTCCCTGCAGGATTGTTAAAGCAGCAGAAACGCAGTGATCTCCGTGAACCTGCTCAGCGGCCCCCCGGGGGGGGGCCTTGACAGTGACTTCCTGTTCGCCGTGCGCCCACCTTCCTAACCGGCTTGTAGTCCTTCTGCAGGGTCAGAGGCCGCCTCAGCAGCCAGCCGGCGGCGTACTACCGCGCGCGGAAGGAGGAGGAGGAGGAGGCGGCGGCGGAGATGGAGGAAGGGGACGGAGAGGGGGAAGGGCCCCTGGCGGTCACAGAGAGGCCGAGCGGTCACGGCATCCAGCCCAACGCCGGCGGCGGCAGCACCACCACCACCAACAACCTCCTGGCCTCCGTCAAAGAGCAGGTAGGAGGCAGGAGATGCTGCAGTCAGCCCTTGTTAGCTGGCTGGTGGCCCTCCTGATGAGCCTACAGTCATGCACGGAGACGATGGGCCCCTGAATGTAAAAGTCCCCCATCCCACCTACGTAACAGCAGCCAAATGGACAGACAAGTGACCACGGTCACTTATTGTCTCTTTGTGGTCATTTAGCATCTATTTATAGTCTCCTCGTGCAGAAGCTCCGCTGCATGGACCCAGTGAGGTCCACGTGTGATACCATCACCGTGTTCTGATTCCAGTAGGAGGGGCCACCCGGCTGGCCCCGCCCCCGCTCACAGGATGAATTAAGTCCGTGATTCACTCAAATTTACTTGGTCTCCATGCTATGCTCCAAATGTGCCCCCCAAAATCTATTAAAACCCCCAATAATAACTTCTCAGGAGGCGATGTCTGTTTAAATGATGTAAAACCAGATCTGTGTTACATGTCCAGAGACACTTGCAGCTTCAGAACGTCTCTCCCCGTCTCTTAGTATGTCTCCTTCTGTCTGTCTCCTTCCCCGGCTGTTATTCCTATGCTGCTTTCTATCCCGTCAACATGGCAGCCTTTCTGTTCTGGACAGTGGCCATGTTCTCCACTCAGAGTGTGTGTGTGTGTGTGTGTGTGTGTGTGTGTGTGCACTGCTGTTTAAATGCTTAAAACGTCCAAGAAAAGAGGTTCTGCTCTTCCTCTTAATCTTGGTCCCTCTGGAGGCATCGGGAAGCTCTCCTCCCAGGTGGAGTTGAGGCACTCTGGCTTCCTCCGTGGTGCGGCGTTGGTTTTCGCCGGGCGCTGCGGGAGCCGCTTCGTCAGCCCTTGATCAAGACTTAATGCCTCAGAAGCTCTGCCTGCCGCTGGAAACTCACTCGTTTTCACACGCGAGGACCCGTGACTGCTGCAGCGCGCGTTGCCTTCCGGTGGAATAGGTGCATGTGTTCGCTCGCAGTCAGTGTTCATGCAGAGGCTCCGCTCCTCACCAGACACAAGGCTCCAAACAGGAGGTGCATGTTGAGGGCGGGACGGAGAGATGCGGATGCTGAACAGCTAAACAACGTGCAGCCGGATTGACGTCGCGAGAGAGGAACCATTTTCTCTGTCGGGCTTCGAGCTGCGAGTGGGGAAAGTAATTAGCTTCACCTTTCTCTTCTGCGTGCTGAAATGCAAGCGGCAGCGCCGCTCAAGCGTCAAATCTGCCTCCTGCAGCTTTGCCACAGAAATGTCAAATTATACTTGCTAAATGGAGCAAATCACTTATGGCCCTCCATTGTGCTCGGGCCCTGACGCGCTGCCACTTTGCTCTCATTGAGTCCGTTAAAGGCTTGGAAATAACGGAGGTGGCGCACAGCTTGCCACGTCTGGGGCTGACGCACAGACGACAGCTTGCTGCAAAGATGTCGGCCGCTGCAAGAGAGAAACGCGTCCCTGACATCGGATCCGAGCAGTTAGGCGAGCTGTCACAATACGACGTTTCAACGCGCTTGGAGAGCCGAGTATAGGAGTTTGGGTCGGCTTTGACTTCCAACGTTTCTGAAATGCATCCAACCCGTCTGCTAAAACGGGTTCAGATGGGGTCCAAGGACCAGGCGGCGGCTGCCGGGCGGTCAGCTGCAGGGTGCAGGAGCAGTGGTCCTCTGCAAGTGACGCACGGCGCTGCTGAAAAGGAACGTGCATGCTCTGCAAAACCCACCCCGGGGGAAAGAAAGGGGGGAGAAAAAGCTCAATAAAACCACAACTGGGCCAAGTCAGCGCTCTGCACGCTTGGATTGAGTTCAGCTATTGGGGCTAAAAACACCTGGTGAATTTACCAACGTCGATGGGGATGATTGATGGAGCTTGTCCTGTCAGAGGTCCGCCTCCGCGGGGGTCACAATCTCAGTCGCAGGGTTAAACCATCTCCGTCAATCCAGTTAATGTCACCGCCGCTCCTCCCCAGGCAGCGGCTGCTGTTACACGTTCCCATGCGTGCTCGCTGTCATGTTTCGGGGGAAAGCGGGAGCTGGAGATGGTGCCTGGCTGTCATCTACGGATCACGGATTCAAAGAGGAAAGTCCACCCTCAGATTGCATTGTGGGAGTTATTTACCTTTTCGGTGCCTCGTGTGTTTAGTGACTCCCGGCGGCTCCCACGAAGCCCCTTGGGGGCCCTCAGAGAACCATCACGTCTTCTGTGGGTGAAGCACTGCAATAGTTCACACGTATTTACAGACTCTGCAGAAAAGATGCACCTTAAAAAAACCAATCTGCCTATTTAACAACGCCTTAAAGTGTGAAGACTCCTTCAGGCTTGTACAAGATGGCGATTTTAGGGGCGGCGATGTGTCGCAGCAGCAGAACCAGGCCCGACATTTCACGGATGTCACAGGTGCAGCCCGGATAAAGCAACCTGCCGGGCTGCGATTCGACACGGCGGGAGGAAGGCTGGTGTCCCTCGATGGCAGGGAGAAACCGTTGGCAACGCCGCCTCCCCCAGCTGGCACCAAACAGCCCTCTGCAACCAACCCGGTCTCCAGGCCATCACGAGGGGGTGACGGGGGCGCGGGACGCGGCTCCGCTTGTCCCCCGGAGGCCCCCCCCGCTGTGAAAACAAGGGGGGCTGTGTGCCGCCGCTGCCCCCCCCCCGTCCCGTCCTGTCTCTAAGGAGAAGGCCAGGCGGAGTCCGCCGTGGTGCTGTGACAGTGTCACTGTTGTGTCCCTCAAAGTGCTGGACGCGTCCCATCCCGAGGTCACCCTGAGGCGACCTCTTGCTAGTTGGAATCTGCCAATGTGTGACTGCAGCCGACGTTGTAGATTCAAAGTGTCGACACAGTTCAAAGGTGAGCCACAAAGAATCGCTCACTGATTTTGACTATTTCTCTGGATCTGTCTTTCCTCTTTCAAGCCGTTTCTCTGTATGAGTCACCATAATGCAACGTGAAACCAGTAAATCCCCCCAGATATATCCAATTTACCTCGTTATGGGGGCTTGAGAAAGTCTGGCAGAAGTTTCCACAGTTGCGCACTGAAATCGGCATTTTGAAATATTTCGGAGCAGTCGGCAATTTAAACAATTCAACATCATTAGAACTGTAAAATTAGCCGCCGCAATAATGTGATCATGTGTGTGATAATACGTCAGAATGAGTCTTTATTTCTGAGCTCATTTTGATTTAAGACTCTGCAATCGGTCCGTCGCTCTTAGTTCTTGCCGCCAAAACATTCCCTAGCGGATGAGACACGAGCAAACAGCCGACGCGGAAGAACCGTTAGCTAACGTCAAACCGTTCGCTAACGTTAAACCGTGCGGCGGTAAACTGCGAGCGCCACGCGGCCCGAGCTGACCCAAATACAAAAGGGCTTTTATCAAGAGCCTTAAACAGACGCACCGCTGCGAGCCTTTTGTACTTTTTGAAGGATTATCAAACGAACGGCTTTAAACAAACCAGGGACGGATTTGAACGTTGCACATTTGTATGTATTTAATCAGAAGGACGGTTCCCGTGTGGTGTCTCTGAAGGATCTCCTGCTGGAAGGACATTCTGTTGGTCTGATCTGGTGAAGAGCACTCCATCCGCCACCATCTCAGCTTGGGATGCTCGACTGCGTGTCTTTTTCTACCTCGGGATGTTTCCCCGTGAGGTCTTTTCACTTCTAGACACCTTCATCTCCCTCCTGTCGGGAGAAGTGCCGACGCATTTTTCAGCATCGGCCGTCTTTTTGCCAGAGGTTTGACGCCTGCAGCGTCTGAGGACACGTCTTGTGTCGATGTGTCCTCGGCCCTGGTGACTCGGATGTGTCCTTGTGGTTAAGCCCTCGCGTCGACACCCTTTCTCTTCACCACAGGTGTGAAAGTGACCTCCAGCAGCCTGGTTTCCAGCCGGGTGGCTTTATATTTAGACCTTCTCTTTTTTTTTTTTTTTTGGAGACGGACCCTGATGACGCCAGCTGGGATTCCTAGAAGATTTACGAAGCAGCTGGAAGGCTGCGTGTTATGTAACTGAATAAAAATGAGCCACGGCCAAAACTGCAAGGGACCCAACCGCAGTCTGCACACGTCTGCTCTTCTTTCATTACCCTTGAGCAAGGCATTGGATCCCTCCAAGCGCTTGGGAAGTAAGGCACGTCTTAGTGTCGCGGCGTTGGAGTTGTCCAGATTGCCTAATGGACAAATGTCATGTTTTGAGATACATATCACATTTCTTCTCTGCCTAATCACATTTTGAACATGGATACAAAATGAAAAGGATTTTTTCTATTTAAATCACAAAGCACTGAATCAGGAAGCGTCTGATGCACATAAACATTCCTGCGGAGCGCGATCAGACGGTCTTAACGTTTTAAATTCCCAGCGAAAAAAATCCATTTAATTATGGAGGGCGAAAAGATAACTTTAAGCCTTAAAACTCGTGTACTGACAAAAAGAAGAAAATATGAACTGTATAATGCTTTAATGTCCAGGGGTTCCGACCCCAATCGACTAGCAGAACCGACCTGTTCTGTTTTATCGCTCTCGGCTCAGTGATTCTATCTGCACCTCTTCTTTTTAGGGTTTTGAATCTAGAATTCACTCACACTGACTCGATCGAATGCGCCGAGCCGTGGGGCCCAAACACAGAGCGGGTTTTAGGCGTAATTCTAACTGGCATCAGTCTTAAAAAGGAGGATTAAATTGCTGTCGCGTTGTAGTAAAAAAGGAACGCCTCCCTGCAGGAGCTGCAGTTTGAGCGGCTGACTCGGGAGCTGGAGGAGGAGCGGCAGATCGTGGCCAGCCAGCTGGAGAGGTGCATGCTGGGAGCCGAGTCCCCGGCGGGAGACAGTAGCAGGTAAGCATGAAGTTTACATGTGACCAACGAGGGAGGCGTCTTGTTCTCCTTTCTTTGTCGTCTCATTCATTTAAATCAGATTTCCTTTGAGCGCTTATTCCCGTTGTAATCTTCCTACATTTGTGTATAAACATTTATCTCTCATCTATTTTCTCCACCTCTCTTCTACTGAAGCTCATCCGAGAAGTCGTTTGCATGGAGGTCTGCAGGTACAGATTTCTCACGTTTTAACCTTTTAAATGTTTTATCTAGGAAGTTACTTTGGCGAGAAAGTGTTACTATCTGGTTCTGCGAACAAAATGTCCCTGAAACCTGAAATCAGATCAAATCTAATCATTTCGGCTCTAAAGAAAGCAGTTTTTCAAGCTGTAGAAGGACTGTTCCACCTCCAAAGGGATGGAAATTCCAGTGAAGCAAAACTAAACAACGTTTCCGGCGGAATTTATGAGCTTTGAAATGGATCCATTTACTATTCTGTCACAGATCCCTCGGCTCGGTTTCACGGCTCATTCTTCTCTGCCGGCTTTCCAATAGAACAAAAGCAACGGTGTAAAGTCCGTCGTGTGTTTGGGCCAAACAACCTTTACATTTAATGTCTTTTATTAAGAAAATTCCTTCTGCAAAGGTAGAGCTACCGAAGTGGACCATTTTTTGGGGGGAAACGCATCTGACTTTGCAGATTCGTAACTCGGCGGTTGATGCCCCGGCAGGTGGAGAGTTGCGGGGCGGAGCCTTGGTGGCGTCTGGACGTCAGCTGGAGGCGGAGGACGGGCTCTTCATGCCCGAACCGGACCGCGCCTCCCTGCATGACAGTGAGGGTCTGTTGCATGTACAAAAGTCCGGGTTCCCGTCACCGACATCGACGCACTTTGTCGTTTTATGGGGCAAAAAAACGGCAGAAATCTGCAACAAATCCCACACGTCCCTTTTGTGATCATCACGTCAGTGGAGGCCGCGGCTTTCAAATACAAACATCCACTCACATCACTTTAACAAATAGCTGTTTGGATTTTCCACACGGCTGGGGTGGTCTGATGAAAATGTCCCTCACATGCTTCCTGCTCCTCATCCCACAGGAGAAAGTAGTCCAGCAGCTGTGTGCCGATGGTTCTTAAAGCAGAACATCCATGTGCACGCGTTCACACGCATAACGCTCCTCAACGAGTTGAGAGCCCAGCGACATGAAATGCAAATCTGGCTGTGACTGTGTCCGCGCCGGGCCGGGTTTGACCACAAGAAGCACCGGCGAGGTGCTTCCTCACCTTGTCGTCCCCTCTCTCAGGCTCGGGGGGCCACTCGGCCCACGTGACCTCGTACTCGGACAGCGGCTACCAGGACAGCAGCGTCAGCTACTACAGCAACCAGAACGTGGTGCGTTCGGAGCCCCGCGCCTCCGTGTCCAGGAGCCCGAGAGCCGAGGGCCAAGCGTCCGGGCAGGTAGGAGCTCGCGCGAACGTTTGTCTTCTTTGACACAAAGATGATTTAAACGAATGAGTTCCTTTTATCACAGACTGGTGTCTAATAATGATGAAGAACTTCAGCTTAACCTTTCAAATTGACTCAAATCTGAATCACGTTATTCTCTCGTGTGGCTGATAATGACAGCAGGAGCAGAAATGACCGATGAGCAGTGGTTTGAATCTTTTCTCCCGATTTTGTCCAAAACCCAGCAGCTTCTCTGTAACCACAAAAAGACAGCGATGGTCACAATGCAAAAAAAATAATAGTTCACATATAAAATAAGTATTAGAATTCACCATCTTATTTTTCCAGAACAGATGCATCGGTATGAATTGTGTATTTCTTCCTCGCAGGTGTCGGGCCGCGTGCTGCGCAGGATGGCCTCCCTGCCCTCCCGGAGCCAGTCTCCCGGCTGTGGCGCCGTCTCGCCGTCCCGCGTCTCCCTGCGGACGTCCCAGGGCAGCACCTACGACTCGCCCGTCCTCTCGGAGCCCAAACCCCTCGCCGCCGTGTTCCCCGGCACCGCCCTGCCGCCCTCCTGCCCCTCGCCGCCCTCCCCGGCCGACGGCCCGCGGGGCGGCCTGGTCCTCGGGGGAGTCGGGGCGGGCGGGCGTCTGGGCTCCACCCTGTCGCTGGTGGAGGGGCGGTGTCTGACGGGGTCGCCGCTGCGTGCGGGGATGACGGCGGTGCCGCAGCACTACGGCTCCACGCTGCCGCGGCAGAGCCAGCCGCTGGGCTACGGAGCCGACCCGTACGGGCTGTACCAGAGGGGCGCGCTGCCCCGACCCGACAGCCTCATAGGTCAGCACGCTCTCTCTCTCTCTGTGCTCGGTGCAACGCGGTGCAGGCATTCATCCCACTGATGCACGCTGACCCCTGACCCCTGATATTCTTTAAGTAGTGCAAAGTCTGCTTTTCAAAAGCTCGTTTAACGCTGCAATAGTCAGGATTATTTATGATGTTTGTATTTTGCATGTGCATTAATATCGACGCGCTTATATATTTACAAGCTTTGTCCATGACGATGTTCTTTAATGGTGGGGTGCGTATCGTCTTACTGGCGGCCGTAGAGGACCAGTGAATGCACACATCCGAGATCCCGTTGGCCTCTATTCAGCTCCTCGCTGCGGTGAGAGCGGTCAGCTCGGCCTCCGGGTGGATTTGGTAAAATCCAACCGGGTCAAAAATGTGGGGCAGAAAATCTCAAGTTGCGTTTCCTCTGAGAAAATGGCTCCACTGGGGAGTTTGGCTGCTGCGCTCGCGGATGTTCTTCAGTAAACCGTCTCCTGCGCTCCGCAGCCTCAGCACCGCCTCTCCGGTTCATTGACCGCACAGGAAGTTGATCGAGCTGCTCTCATTTATTACTGTAGAGGTTCCTGCATCTCCGCAAAGCTGCATGTCGAACAAAAAATACGTTTGAGGCAAACTGCAAGCTGGGCGGGTTTCCATCAGCAACCGGGCTCATTTCATGCACTTTTAGGTCACATGATCTCTTCCAGCACCAGCAGACCGCGCTGCTGGGTTTGACAACGTGCTGCGTGCCGCTATGACAAACGGGGAACGTAATGTTCGAGGGGGGAGGATTCCTCCTCTCCCAGGTGGATCTTCTGATCTGCAGCAGTCTGAAGGGAAACAAGATCACAGCGCGGTGACCTTCCTCCAGGATCTCTCTCGTGCGCCGTTGAAGTCTGTGAGAAGAAACCGCGTTAGTATCTATTGGTCTTCATACGCTCGATGAGGAGGCAGCGGGGGGGGGGTCCACTTAGACTGTATGAGTTCCCTCTAGAATCAGGAACCATTTTGCTTGATCAAATCTGCTCAATTAAAGATGTTTATAATTCCAATATCATGTATCAAATCAAAAATCAGATATTAACGTGATGGCAGCTAATACTCATACGTTACATACATTGTGACCTTTCTATAATAATGGTCATCATTATTAATTATTACTACAATACAAGTCCCCATAATTATAAGAAAATACTAGATATTAATTACATTTCAACTGTAATTATGAGGTGAGAACGTTACGTTATATATAAATTAAATTAGTTTTTAGACTTATTATAGTTTTTGTTGTTTTTTTTCCTAAATCGGGAAACCATTCTGAACGTTTACAGTGTGATGATGATGACGATGACTGACAGCTGAGCGACGTGAGGAGGGAGTATTTCTCTGCCGTCCACTAAGACCGATGTTCACACACCTTTTCAAGGAGACGAATTTCAAACCCGAACCGGACGCATCAAACGCCGCGGAGAGACACGTGACCTCTCTTCCTAAACATGGCGCTCCTCCTCCCTCCCTAACCGGCCCTTTGACAACTTTCTCCACCCTTTGCTGAGGATTTACTGATAGAAGCGCTGACGCTGCAGCAGCGACGCAGATTTATCCCCCCGTCCTAAGCCGCTCCCCCTGACCCATATAGGGCTGCTTCTATCGCAGAGCATCAGCCCGCGATTATCAGATGACGGCCCCGGGAAGGCTTTGCTCTGCCGCGATCGCTTTCAAGCGATGCTCGTCCGTGCGTGTGTGTGTGTGTGTGTGTGTGACGACATAGGTGCTGTTGTGTTTGTGCATGTGTTGGGAGGGTTGTGTGTGTGTGTGGGAGGCCGAGTCAGTGAACTAAATAAAATGCCTCTCATTCTCTAGCTGGATGCTTTTAATCCTGCAGCGCTGCTAAGTGGCCCAATGCGTCGCCTGAGTCCTTATTCTCAGTTATCCTGCACATCCAACGTAATCCCAGATTACACCCGCGAGATAAGCAATAGATCAAAATACGAGATTAGGCTACTACTAACCGGTGGCTGAGGTGGGGAAACGGGGTGAGCCGCCAGGCAATAAACCGCGAGATGATCTCTTTCTTTAGAGTGGGCGCAGAATGGGTTGAAACATAATAATAGTTTGTAATATTCATGTGATAAGGGACTGCAGAGGAGCTAAATCCTCATTTGTTATTTAGCTAAAAACCTCGGATTCAATTGTTCAACCGTTTTTATTCTGCAGTAATAATGCAAACTTAAACAAAACCACCCGAATGTTATGAACCTGCCACTGCAGATAGTTCCACTCATACTTCATATTGAATAATATCCAGTTTAAAGGAGCTGTGGAAGAGCGAGGCTCCCACTCGGAGGACGAGCGGGCTTTTGGTAGCAGCCTAAGCATCCTCTGCACTTGGAGGTCGCGGTCTTCGCTCGAACAAGGCCCGAGCCGCATCCAGCGCGCCGCTCCTCACTCCCCTCCGGAGGAATGTTCTGAGCGATAAGCGACCGTCTTATGTAAAGAGCGCTGCGCGAGCAAGCGGCTCCTTCATCACCAGCGTAAAGTGCAGATTGTGTGCTTTCTTCTCGTTGGACTGAGCCAGAGAGCCCCCCCCCAGCCCCCCTCCTCGTGCCCTGAAGCCTGCTTATAATTGGAGCGCGCTTTGAACTGATCTGCGCTCAGATTGGAGGACGGAGGAACCCTCTGCTCCGCTTGTTTGACTTGCTGATGCCGGCGCCTGCAGCAGAATGAATGACCCGAGTCTTTTTCTGTACGTTTTTATAAGCACAGCGGCGGTTGGGATGAGTCGGCATTATGAAATCCACCGGTGTAATGGGCGTAGAGTTGCACGGTCTCACCTACAGAGGGCTGGTGTGCGTGATAACGAGATGAACGTATGATTTATGTATGAGCACGACGGGGCTTCATTTGGCTCCTACAGATGTCGCGCAGCTTTCCGTTTCATGTCATTCTGCAGACGTTATTCGGCACTTTTCTTTGGACTAAAATCATCTCGTGCATGGAATTATATACTTATATTCTCTTATGTTACGCTCATGATTCACCATCCTAACATCTTGTATGTGGCAGATTTGCCCAGCAAACATTCAGTGTTGTTCTATATTTATTTTCTCCTCCTCGATAAGATTTGCTTTGACCAAACGCTTAAATAACGTCCTTTGCGGCTGCAGGGCTTCACAGCTCGTACGCCGACCACTCGGGGCAGATGGACGCAGAGATGAGGGCGGCGCTGTCTCCGGACTGCCACATGACGCCCGTCTTCGATGAGCGCTCCTTCCACAGCCCCCTGTACCACAGCCCCACCCACGACCCCCAGGGCTCCCTCTACAGGACCAGCGCAGGTACTGCAGCGCACCAACGATTCTCGGTATTAGACTCGGCCACGGGCACGTGGATGCTGCACAGCGATAGTATTCAAATGTTACTGCGCAGCTTGTTGGCAAAGTACCAAATATCTGGCAATAGTAGTACTCGTAGCAGGAAAACCAGCATGAATACAGGACTAATTCAAGTAATGACGTTGCGGTAAAAGCAGAAATAATCTCTCAAAACATTGCAAATAACTGATTGAATCACTCCTCAGCGTCTGGCGTCCCCTGGTTGAGCTGCCGGACCGTCACATCTGCTTAGAAGATCATTTCTCTCTTTCTCTGCGGGGGGAAATCAGCGTTTACAGGCACAGGAAGTGTTGTTATCGTCGCTCCCCGACGTCAGAACTTAATTAGGCTGAAACCTTTCATGTCCTCGCCGGCTGCCTAATGGAAGCCCTCGCGGAACCATTTGAAGCTGAAAGCTCTGCGGGGTTTGATAGCGCAGCGTCTAAGGAGCCATGTTAGTTCCGTTTAGATTCAAACAAGTTTGGCCTGTGAGACGCCTCCCTTCCTCCCCCCCCCGCTGCTTTAAAAGCTTGTGTGAAGCGCTAATGAAACCGGGTAGCGTTCTCTCGTTTCTCTTACCTCCAGTGTGGTTTGGCTGTCAAGCTCCGTTTCTAACGTCTCCCGCCGTCCTCTCCTCAGGGGGGATGGGGACCCTCCCCCGGGCCTCCAGCCAGTGCGGCACGCTGCCGTACCAGAGGAGCAGCTACGGGCTGAGCACCGCCGCCCTGTACGTGGACTCCTACCGGCTCTCCGGGGAGCCCGTCTTCTCCCACCGCCACTCGGGACTGCTGGATCGAGAGGTCACGCGCACGCCGTCCATCGAGAGCATCCACAAGGACCCCAGGTGCTGGCGGGCGCAAAACGCCCACTCACACCGCGAAAGCGCGCCCGAGCGGTCGGCCTTGAATGAGCTGCGCTCTCTGTTTTTCCCACCTCAGGGAGTTTGCCTGGCGTGACCCCGAGCTGCAGGAGGTCATCCACATGCTGCAGCATCACTTCCCCTCCGTGCAGGCCAACGCCGCCGCGTACCTGCAGCACCTGTGTTACGGGGACAACGGGGTGAAGGTGGAGGTGAGGACGCCGCGTTCGAGGGCTCGACTCAAAACACGTCCTCCGAGGGTTTCTTTACCTTTCCTCAGATACCCTCCTCTGTCTCCGAGGGTCTATTCTCCGCTTCCGGGGTTTTAAGTTTGACTTTTCTTTCTGCCGCCGTCCTCTGAGCCAAAGCGCCATCTGCTCCTGTGAAACTTTGAGGAACGTCGGTGCCAAATGTGCAGCCGCTCGCTCTTCCCCGTGCAATAAATAGCTCCTCCGTGGTTTTAATCAGCCTGCAGGAGCGCCGGCTCGTTTCCTGTGGCGGTTCGAGAGAAGTGTCTGCTGCTCCCCCAGACGGCTTTATTTTGAGATGACACAAGTTTTGAGCATTGAACGAATTCTCGCTTTATTTGAATGTTTCTGTAAAGGAATTATCAATCTGCTCCGATAGAGAGAATTGGATCGATTGTCTACGTCTTAGAATGTTTAAACCGTTTTAACTGACCAGCATGAGCACAAGATAAATGAGAAATGAAAGTGTGTGAAACACCCGCACATCCCTCGTCTCTGATTGGTCTGCAGGTGTGTCACCTGGGAGGGATCCAGCACCTGGTGGACCTGCTGGATCACAAGCTGACGGAGGTCCAGAAGAGCGCCTGCGGGGCCCTGAGGAACCTGGTCTACGGCAAGGCCACCGACAACAACAAGGTGGCGCTGAGGAACTGCGGCGGCGTGCCGGCCCTGCTGCGACTCCTCAGGAAAACCACCGACAACGAAGTGCGGGAGCTGGTCACCGGTACGACTCTCCGGGTTAACGCGAGCGCTTTCTCTTCATAAAGGTGCTGAGTCACAGACTCACATTGAAAAGGGTCCTTCTGTTCGTGCATTATGTGCATTATGTCGTGCAAAAACCTTACACGGCGGCCGGGAAACACTTTGCTACATTTCTCTTTCACTGAAAACCAAAACCTGATCAATTCCAAAGCTGCACAACCAAAAAAAAGCCTTTATTTAATTATTATAAATCCTCACCAAAACAAGCTAAAATCCCTGAATCCAGCAGGTCAGATACAGAACAGGAGCCTTAAAGAGAAGGCAGCTTCCAGATGGACATCACCCCCCCCGCCCGCTGTGATTGGCGTGGGTGTCCTGCCGGTCTGACCGCCTGGCGGCGTGTTGTGTATGGAACTGAGTGGCGGCTGTGCTGTGGGAGGCGAGTGCGGCGGCGGTGTTGAAGGAACAGATCTGGGGACAGATGCTAAGATAATGTGCTTTGGAAGCGGACATACTGTTTGGTAGCGGGAGGAGGGAAGCTGCGAGACGCCTCCCGTCTGATAGAAAGCGTCTTTCTTTACAAGCTCACCGCAGGTTTGGTCTTTTCACATATTTCAGCCTATTATGAAACTATATTTGTGTCTTTATTACACAAATAAAAACAATGCTCTGAAAGAGCGAGGCGCTCCCCCGCAGGCTGTTTGATTTGCACGTCCAGCCCAGGCAAAGTAAGGGTTTTAAAATCGTTTTCGTGTGCTATCCTGCAGAAAAGCATGATTTCTTCCTTGACGTGATTCACGGGTCAGAAGGTCAAACGAGAAGCGTAAACTCAAGTGCAATTAAAATACACGCGAGCCTCCCTTTGCACCCACAGGCGTCCTGTGGAACCTCTCGTCATGTGACGCGGTGAAGATGACCATCATCCGCGACGCCCTCTCCACGCTCACCAACACCGTGGTCATCCCCCACTCGGGCTGGAGCAGCCTCTCGCACCGCGACGAGCACAAGGTCAAGTTCCAGTCCTCCCTGCTGCTGCGTAACACCACCGGCTGCCTGAGGTGAGGATTTGCTCCTGTTGTTCATTGGCAGACGATAAAGTGGCTTTGACCTGCAGATGTTTATGCGTATTCACCAGCAACGTGTTTTGCATTTACACAAACTCACGTCTTCTCGTCCACAAGAAGCCTCCAGCGATGCTCTGCATTCAGGCGGTAGATTGATGGTATAGAAATGCATTGTGGGAGTCATGTGCTGCCGTGCAGCCTTCTCGTGTCCGCCAAGGATCCTATTGGAGAACCCGGCCCCCCCCCCCCCCGCTCCCCCATCTACTTGTATCCAGGCAGGTTTTGAGCCACCGTGTGGGAGAATCCACACACTGCTTCTCAGTCTGGGTTAGTGTGTGACTGTGTGTGTCTGTCTGTCTGTGTGTGTGTGTGTGTGAGGAACCTGAGCTCAGCAGGGGAGGAGGCGAGGAGTCAGCTGCGCTGCTGTGAAGGTCTGGTGGACTCGCTGCTTCACGTCCTCAAAGCCTGCGTCAACACCTCCGACTACGACAGCAAGGTGCTAAAAAAACATATTTATTCACGTACAATTCACCCCGTGGAAACAAACGTTAGCGACGACAAAAGGCTCATTCCGATGGACCAGCTGGAGGTTTAATGGTTGTCTACCCGTCTCAGATCGTGGAGAACAGCGTCTGCACCCTGAGGAACCTCTCGTACCGCCTGGAGGTGGAGATGCCCTCCTCCCGTCTCCTAGGCAACCAGGAGCTGGACACCCTGCTGGGCTTCTCCTCCCCGGCCAAGGAGCTGGACTACCTCTGCTGGGGCAAGAGGAGGCGCGGCAGGAAGCGCGGCGGCTGGCCCGACGACAAGGTGTGAACGCAGCGCGGGGGGCGGGGGGTCTTTTGATTGTTTGGTAAACGTTTTCTTCTGCAGTCCAAATGACAGAATAACGTTTCAAACCACCTCGCGTGTGTTCGCCGCAGTGGGACGGCGTGGGGCCGACCCCGGGCTCCTCCCAGTCCCTGAGGGGGGCGGAGCTTCTGTGGCACCCCGTGGTGGTGAAGCCGTACCTCAACCTGCTGGCCGAGAGCTCCAACCCCGCCACGCTGGAAGGCGCCGCCGGGTCGCTGCAGAACCTCTCTGCTGGGAACTGGAAGGTAGAACTCGGCGCTCTGAACGCCGCAATACCTCAAATGATCTGATTACACAGGTGTGTGTGTGTGTGTGTGTGTGTGTGTGTGTGTGTGTGGCCCCAGTTCTCAGCCTACATCCGAGCAGCGGTGCGTAAGGAGAAAGGTCTGCCCATCCTGGTGGAGCTGCTGAGGATGGACAACGACCGGGTCGTCTGCTCCGTCGCCACCGCCCTCCGGAACATGGCGCTGGACAGCCGCAACAAGGAGCTGATAGGTGAGCTCACCGCCGCTCGTCGCGAACGTCCGCTGACACCCTGGATCTGTGATGACAACAGTGCACGCCGCCGCCCCCCTCTGCTTCAGGAAAGTACGCCATGCGGGACCTGGTGAACCGGCTGCCCGGCGGCGCTCCGCCCGTCCTGTCGGACGAGACGGTGGCGTCCGTCTGCTGCACGCTGCACGAGGTCACCAGCCGCAACGTGGAGAACGCCAAGGCGCTGGCCGACAGCGGCGGCATCGAGAAGCTGGTGGACATCAGCAAAGGGCGCGGGAAAGGGTACGGAACCGCCGACAGCTGAGCGAGCACGCGCAGACGCGCCGCGCGGTATGTGATGTGGGAAATGACCTTGATGCCGCAGGTACTCGACGAAGGTGGTGAAGGCGGCGGCGCAGGTGTTGAACACGCTGTGGCAGTACAGAGAGCTGAGGAACCTCTACAAACAGGTCGGGGCCCGCAGACGCAGCATGAATGTCTTAGGTCGTGAAACGTCGGCGTGTCCCAGTGAAATGATTTCTGCAGGGGGACAAATATGAGACTTGTCGGTATAAAAGGGAGGGAGGGACTAAACCGAGCTTTGTGTGAGCAGGACGGCTGGAACTACACCCACTTCGTGACCCCGGTCTCCACCCTGGATCGAGACCGCTACCTGTCCCACCCGACGCTGCCCACCAGCCCGCTGCAGATGTCCCCCGTCATCCAATCGGGTGCGAGAGCTCAAACCCGGGGCGTCTCCCAGAGGTTCAATGGACATCGAGCGTTTTGGAGAAACTACACGACTGATAATAATTTGTCTTTTTCTTTTCTTTCTTTTTCCAACCCTCTCCAGGCGGCAGCGCGACGTCCTCGCCGGCGATGCTCGGCATAAGGAGACACAGTTCAAACTACCAGAGAGCGCAGTCGTCTATGCAACTCGACACGTATTACGGAGACAACAGTTTACACAAACAGTACCCAGGTCGGCATTGTTCACCTGACACCTGCTGCACATTGACACCGAGGTGCCTCCGTGTTCAGGCTTTGCGTTCCTCCCCTCAGAGTCCCAGACGAAAACTCCGTACTTCATCGGGACTTACTCCTCCCAGTCGGGAGAGGATTTGAGAAGGTCCCAGGTAAGACATCTGTGAAATCCAGCGTCAACATGAAGCGGTCGGTTTAGTGTCTCACTCGCCGAATGTCCGCTTCCCCCCCCCCCCCCCAGCACGCAGAGCCGTTCTACGACGAGCCCGACAGGAAGAACTACAACAGCTACAGAATGTACCTGTCGTCCCCGCAGGGCTACGGGGAGGAGGAGCAGCGCTACGAGGACGAGCCGGGACACCTCGACCCCGCCTCCCCCGACGCGTTCGCCGGCCACTCGCTGCCATTCAAAGCCAACACCAACTACGTGGACTTCTACTCCACCACGCGGAGGCCTTCCAGCAGGGCCAACAAGTTCACCGGCTCCCCCGACTCCTGGGTGTAGAAAGTGTGTGTGTGTGTGTGTGTGCGTGTGCGTGTGCGTGTGCGTGTGTGTGTGTGTGTGTGTGCGTTTGTCAAAACTGTACCGAAGGACGCGGGCTCAGTTTGACCATGTGCCACAATAATGCAGATAAATATGAACTATTCCTTTTACTTTGTAAACTGAAGAACCGTGACGTGCTTTTTGTATAAGTTAGTGATCTTAACCGTTAACGTGGGAAGGAGGACAATTGTAACAATAACAATCAGCTTTAATTATACGACGATACAAAGCTCGATAATAAAAGTCTCAAATTCGAGAGAAAAAATGAATAAATAAATATAAAATAAAAGTTGCATTTAATGCATTTGTTTATAGGAACAATTTTGAAGAAGTAACTTAAAAGTGAAGTTATGGCTACAAACCGTGAGCAAGTTTCCATTAAGGTTTTTCTGTATTATAAATAAGAAAACGCCAGTCAGGAAATCTCAACTTAAGCGTTTGAACCTGATCTGCATTACTGTGGACGTGGATTTGTTTCCCGTGGGCTTCGTCAAAAGCTGCTCGTCTAGAGTGTTTTTCATTTGTCATTAGCCAGCAACATCCTGAGGGATCCCGTAAGAAGACCCAATACTATTAACAAGGATAAGTCATAGTGGTACTATTTGAGTTTAAATAAACAAAACTGCGATAAATAAAACAGACTGTGCTCTAAAAACTTTTAAAAGACTCCTAGAACCGCGGTTACAACTGTGTGTTGGCCAAAAAGTGCAGTAATATCATAAAGTATGTGAATTGTGTGGGGGAAAAAAACGTGAAAATCTATTTGTACAGGTACAACGGTTTGAGCGTCCTGTCAGTTTGTTGTATTCAATATGTGGAACTTTCTGTGATTGTGTGAAGAAGATTTTTCTATTATTTATTATTTATTTACTTGTGACCTGACCAAAATACATCTGTCTGTTCTGTCCAAAACTGATGATAATGTGCAATGTTACAGAGGGAAATATATGTATAGGGATTAAAGATTATATCATGACAACAGATCGGAAATCATCTTTTTGGACCGAAAAATCCCAAGATAAATAGACTTGGATTAATATTATCTTTTAATCGCATCAGATGAAGGTATATTCAGAGATAAGATGCCAAAACAAACAGCGTTTTACCAACAAAATGTACATCGTTATGGCCTCAGCTGGTCCTCCCTGAGCATGCCTTTAACACAAGAGCCATGCAGGTACATTCATTTCATCTTAATTCAATGAATTCGTCTTCATGTACAGTGACTGCAGCTCCCTCAAAACGGACACAATCAAACAATTGCGCGTGAAATGAAGATGCTGATAATCTGCTCAGAGTGCCGCCACTAGAAAGTTTCCCCCTTCGTCATCGCTCTCAGCGACGGAGAATATCGTCTGTAGATGTTTGATCAAAGGCCGATGGGCTCTCATCCATTACAATCTTCTGCTTTAAATTTAGGAAGTGGTGTTTCTACCTGTGGAAATAATACACGTATACGTTCAGGTGTTTCTAAAGGCACAAGGTGTGGCAGAGTGAAAAGCCGACTTTTCTCCGTGATTGATGAGTCACCGCCCCGTTTCTAAGCTCTCTGATTGGCTGATCAGGAGCTTTACAGAGTAAGTGCAACACTTTACAGGACTGGAAACATCCTGGATGTGCAAGGAGGCTTTTCTGTTCTGTTGTTTCTGTTGCAGTGTGAAACCATGAGAAGCCTTCGTGTCGTACTGCTCGGCCCCGGGAGCGTCTGATTGGCTGGTCAGTGTCCCTGCAGCGTACACGTACATTCAACCACAACAAGAAGTAATGCTCAGTTATGGAGGCCTACAGTCATTGAACACCTGCTTCCTGCAGACACGCCTCAGCAGGGGACGCCTCTCTTCTAAGCTTCGTGGTGATTCATTTTTAGATGATTGTCACCAATTGGGGGACAAAAGAAGTAACTGGGAAAATGTCCAACACTCCAGCACATTAGCATCGATATATCAGGCGTCAGTGGGGAAACGCTTCAACGCAACATTTAACAAGCCGTGTGCGTGTTGATTATAACCAGCTGTGACCTCCAACTTCATCAAGGTGGGAAACTCAAAGGTTTCAGAAAAACACGTCCTGCTGAAAGGAATGCTTTGACATTTTGGGACATTATTAGCTTTTTCACAGAGACTTAGATATTCTGATACCACTCTGCATATTGATATTGGTGTGAATATACAAGAAAAATATGAACAGATTCTTTCAAATGGACGAATGCCGGGTTAAGATCAGTAAACTGACATCGTAACGTGTCGCTGCTGCGTCGGCCTCTTCCAGCTTTGGTCACAATCACGTCAACGCAACATTTCTCAATCAGGGCCTCATTTATAGATCGTACACTTGTAATTATGCAACAGAATGCATACATATAAATACAAATGTAATCAGGAGAAGGCTCAATGCTTTTGATCTTTTTTTTCTGAAAACGTGATGTGGGACATTTCCTAAATGAGGCCTCTGATATCAAATGAAACGTGTTCACAGCTCATATGAGTAAATACACAGTGGATGTTTCTTCTCAGGGCGGCTGACAGTCTGTGGTGATGGCCTCTCATTGGTGCTCCAGCAGAAGGGGCGGGGCTTGTGGATCCGGTCGGGGCGATGGGCATGCGTCAGTCGTTCAGTCTGCAGGAAGATTGTTGGACGTTTTATGTCTTGTTTCTGTTTTTAAATGAAAACTGCAATTATCTACAGTCAGTTACTAAATGTACTCATCTATATGTTCATAAAAGCAAAGGGAAATTTTAACTCTAGAGGGAAAAAGGAATCACACTTTGATGCATCCCTGACGCCAAAACAAAATACGAGTTTCTCACAGGGTGAAGTTGCTGCGGCGGCGCCGGCTTTAGTTGTGGCCGTAGACGGCGCCGGTTCTGATGGAGCTGCAGATGGGGGATGACGGCGGGTGATGGCCGGGTCGGATGGGCTTCGCTGAGGCACAAACAAAGAAGAAAGTGAACCATTCAATACACATGTTCAATTTCCCCCCGATCCCAGGCTGGAATGTTGACCGTCAGCTCACCGATCTGCGCAGAGAACCCCCTCCTCGCCATGTTCTTGGCCCGGACGGCCTCTTTGATGCGGTCCACTTCCTGCTCGTAGCGCTTGCGGTCCCTCATGGCGCTCTCCTTGGCCTCCTTCAGTGCGTTCTCCAGGGCTTTGACCCGCTCGGCCGTGGCCCTCAGACGCTTCTCCAGCTTGGGCAGCTCGCAGCGGAGGTCCGCGTTGTCTCGAACCAGCTGGAAGGACGTTTTACTTTAGTGCGTCTGTTGAAGTGCTCGATGCATCAAAAGGTCCTGGTTCATCCTTAGTTACTCCTTCATTTCGTATACATCTTCTACAGTGTTCCCACCTGCTTGTGGACCTTGGTGAGCTGTTCCAAGTTGTTCTCCAGGAAGGAGATCTTCTGTTTCTGGGCCATGTTTCCTATCCCCTCCTCACAGTCCAGCTCTGCACTCTAGGAAAGGAAACAAACCACAGCTTCACGTTAAACTGGCAGGTTCCTGGCACCAAACAACCAGGGGAAGGTAGATGATGTACCTTCTTCACCCGCGTGGTGAGATCCAGAACAAAGAGTTTGCGCAGGTTGTGCAGAGTCTGCAGCTCCTTGGCCTGAGGGAACAGGAAGGAAACGGTTCTGGAGGTTAGGTTATCCTCATTAAAGGGTGCGAGAGACGGCGTGGCTCCCAGGTCACCCAGTCACACGCGTTCTGGAGTCCAGACCAGTGGCGTCCACTTCAAATTCAAAATGATACTGCAAGCCCAAGTTAAAGAAACCAGATGCAGAACCTCACAGCTGCTTTAGCTCAGTGAGATGGTGGCGGCCTCAGAACCACAAAGATGTGGGTTCAATTCCTGGTGAGGAGGTCAAAGCCCGACCCGACCCGATGAAGAGCCTCTCAGCTGTGACACCTCGGAGTGACGAAGAGCCGGTTTGTAGGTGTGATCTTTGATTCTTGATGATTTTAGAACCAACACCCCAGAAGATGAGCTGAATATATGAGCTAAAGTACATTCTCAGTAGCTCGTTGTGATGGTGCACGGGGGTTGGTAACATGAGGTTGTTGGTTCAATTCCATCAGGTGACGTCTGCGCCTTAAGCCACATTTATTTGTAAATTCAAGGAGATAAACAGATGGTTGAACCGCTCAGAGGGATGCAGGACTGCTCTGTATCTGAGAGTTTGTTGGTTCGAGCCTTGATTTATTAGAACCAACTTGTCATGTGATGAAGTCAAGCCCGAGCCAATCAGAAGCAAAGACAGCAAAGAGTGACGGAGGACCCGTTTGGGATTGAGAGTTTGATAATTTGATGCTTATTTAATTAGCTTGAACAATTTTCAAACACCAAGTGATGTCAAAAACTTTTCCATCCTGCGCCTGGTGAGAAATCTTGAGGTTGTGAGTCCATTCCTTTATATTTTCACATATCATACTGTAAATTTTGCGTTACTATTTTCTAAAACCTTTTTCTAACTATTTTAGACAAATTTCTCCCTGAATCGGAAATAAATACAAGAAGAGACAGTGGATGTGTGGAGAGGTAGAGTAGCTCAGTGGAATACACCGTCTGTCATGAAACCAAAGGTTGTGGGTTCAATACCCATGGGTGTTGGTTTTATTTAGGTCCAAATTGCACAAAGCAAAGTTGAAGAGGGCAAAAAGAGGAGGTGCTATTGTGCTCGTGCTGGTGGCGCAGCAGGTTTGTCCTCGACACGAAAGGCGCCCGTGTCGGGTTCAAGACCTGCTCGGTACCAGAGTGAGTACGAACACACAAAAAACAAAGTTCGTCCTAAAATAGATGCTAAACTAGTAATAAAAGCTGCGCATTGCGGAAACACAACCGGTACCAAAATAATAACGTGTAACAAATACCACCGTGAAAGAGTTAAAAGGCAAAGCACAGAGTCACATGTAGTACTCTCCTCCAACACCCTGCAAATGATGGTTGATTCCTACCAAAAGACGTTGTCAGTAGTGAGATACAGAAGCACATTTGTATTGAGTACAAATCCCCCAAATTAAATTCAGACCCTCCTTTCTAGCATTTGGATAAGCGGAGTGTGCATATAGGATTTTAAAAGGCATTTGGAAAAGCCTACTGTACACGTAGTGTGCATTAATGGCATTCGGCACATTTGTAGCATTTTAAAACGCCTACTGTACACGTAGTGTGCATTAATAGGATTTTAAAAGGCCTACAGTACATTTTTTGCTACATTTTAAAACGCCTACTGTACACTTACTGTAGATTTCTAGCATTTTAAAAGGCATTCGGCACATTTGTAGCATTTTAAAAGGCATACTGTACACTTTTTGAACATTTTGAAAGGCCTACTGTAAATTTATAGCATTTTAAAAGGCATTCGGCACATTTGTAGCATTTTAAAACGCTTACTGTAGATTTCTAGCATTTTAAAAGGCATACTGTACACTTTTTGAACATTTTGAAAGGCCTACTGTAAATTTCTAGCATTTTAAAAGACATTTGTAGCATTTTAAAACGCCTACTGTACACGTAGTGTGCATTAATAGGATTTTAAAAGGCCTACAGTACATTTTTTGCTACATTTTAAAACGCCTACTGTACACTTACTGTAGATTTCTAGCATTTTAAAAGGCATTCGGCACATTTGTAGCATTTTAAAAGGCATACTGTACACTTTTTGAACATTTTGAAAGGCCTACTGTAAATTTATAGCATTTTAAAAGGCATTCGGCACATTTGTAATATTTTAAAACGCTTACTGTAGATTTCTAGCATTTTAAAAGCATACTGTACACTTTTTGAACATTTTGAAAGGCCTACTGTAAATTTCTAGCATTTTAAAAGACATTTGTAGCATTTTAAAACGCCTACTGTACACGTAGTGTGCATTAATAGGATTTTAAAAGGCCTACAGTACATTTTTTGCTACATTTTAAAACGCCTACTGTACACTTACTGTAGATTTCTAGCATTTTAAAAGGCATTCGGCACATTTGTAGCATTTTAAAAGGCATACTGTACACTTTTTGAACATTTTGAAAGGCCTACTGTAAATGTATAGCATTTTAAAAGGCATTCAGCACATTTGTAATATTTTAAAACGCCTACTGTACACTGTAAATCCCTAGCATTATAAAAGGCATACTGTACACGTAGTGTGCATTAATAGCATTTTAAAAGGCATTCGGCACATTTGTAGTATTTTAAAAGGTCTACTCTACACTTACTGTAAATCTCTAGCATTTTAAAAGGCATACTGTACATTATTTTAAAGGCGTTCTATACATTTATTTCATTTTAAATTTATTCTGGAGATTTCTGGGATTCTTTCAGGTATATAAGACATTCTGTGTGGGATCTTTAAGGGCATTCTGTACATTTCTAGGATTATTTCGAAGGGATACTGTAGGTTTCTGGGTATTTTCAAGCCTAACCTTCTGTATATTTCTGAAGGCATTATTTTTTAATTTGTGAAGCATGCTGTAGATCCTTTCAACACGACATACCATGATTTCTTTTGGCCTTTTTCCCAACATCCTATATTGTGACTTGTCTTGTCACATTGGATGATTACTTTTTAAATACGCATTAAAATGTGAATCGAGGGTTCGTTTTTTTTTTTAATCTTTCGGGGAACGATATTAAGAGTCAACGTCCTAAATTATAAGGTCATAACCTCTTTGAAACTAAATGTTATTGTCAAAGATAAAATCGCTCGCAGCGTCCTGCGTGTTAGAAGACTTGGTCTCACACACTCACCACAGTCTCCTCCAGGCCCTTCAAGTCCTCTCTGGCCTGCTCGCTCTCTTCATTCAGCAGTCTGGACACATGCAGACGTTAACATTTACAAATCGACTGGGACTACATGCGATCACTGATGAGACGCCTACATGAGTTTTTGTAGCTTTGCATCCTTCTCCTGCTCCTCGGCCTTCAGTTTGTCGTAGTCCGACACGAGTCTCTCCTGCTCCAATAACAAGCGCTGGTTCAGACTGAGAGGAAGAGACGTGGTGGTAAACACAAAAGTAATTCACGGGCCGTTATTTGGTCCTGCGACGACAAAATGTGACGACTTTCATGCAGCAGCTTCACTCATGTTCTCCTCTCTTTCTCAGCAATTTGGAAAATGCGGCACAGCTGCACGTCGCCAGTGCTGAGGCGTTCCTTACTCTGTGAGTTCGTCCTGCACCCTCTGCTTGTCTTCAATCTCGTCTCGCAGGCGGCTGAGCTGCTTCTGGTGGGCCTCCCTGTGGTTCTCCAGCTGCTCCTCCAGCGTCTTCTGGAGGACGGGTGGAAGAACATTAGAGATTCACCATTCAAACATGTGTCATTTTCATTTTCCGGCTGCCGTTTCAGGTCACCTTCATGTCCTCGTCTCCACCTGGTCTACTGATGTCCTCCTTCTCCTTCTCCTTCCCTAACGCCTCGTGTCTTTTCTCTGAGAGAACACAAAGGAGACGATTTGTTTTGAGCTATGGGCTTAAGCTGCAGGTGAAGGCGAGGTGGTTTCCTGGGCTGACCCTGAGCCTGCAGGATGGTGAGCTCCTCGGTCAGGGCGTCCTGACTCTCCTCCAGCTGCCTCTTCTTCTGCTCCATGTTCTGCATGTAGTCGCTCAGAGACTTGATCTTGGCCTGGTGCTGCGCACAGAGGGGACAACAAGCCGAGGGACATTTTATTTTCCTACTTTGCAAACAAACAAACGTTCGGCACATAACACACGCATCAGGCGACCATTGCTTCCAATGCGACGGTCACCTGGGAGATGAGAAGCTGACAGGACGCCAGCTCCTTCTCATTGGCCTGGATCTTGCGGTGGGCGTCGGCCTGCGCGCTCTCCAGCTGCTTGCCGCGGTTCACCAGAGACTTGACCTCGGACTTCATCTTGCTGATGTAGAGGCGAGCGATGGTGAACTCCTCCTCCACCGCCGAGCCGTTCCCCTTCGTCTCCGAAGACTGAGCGAGGGGCGGGGAGAAGGTTAGGACGCCAGTGGGCACGCGTGACCGATGACACGTGATGTGAGCGCCTCCGTTCTCACCGCGCTGATCTTGGCGTCGCCGTTGCCGATGATGGCGCCGATTTCGCCGAGGTCACGCAGCAGCAGGTTGAGGACCTCGGCGGCTCTCTTCCTCTGGAGGCCGTTCAGCTCCTGCAGCTGACTCAGCTCCCTCTGCACCGCCGCCAGCAGCGCCTGCAAACACGCACGAGCGCACCGCCACACATCAGCGGCATGCACGGGCGGCGTAGGCTCCTCCATCTCAAATTTACAAAGTGTTGAGTATTTTTTAGAACACAAAGGCGGAGGTAATCTTTGTGCAGTCACCGTCTTTTGGTGCAGCTCCTCGATCAGCTGCAGGTTGCTTCCATCCCTCTCCACCACCTCCTGGCTCTTCTGGTCGTAGTTGACGGCCAGCTCCTCCAGGGCCTGCAGCACCTCCTTCACCTCCTCCTTGGCCATCTCGTTCTCCGCCTGCAGCCGACACAGCTCCTCCTGGATCTTCTCGTAGTCACGCCTCGTCGACGCCAGCAGCTGGAAAGAGAGAGGTGTATAAAAGCCGGGATACACGCGTGTATCGGAACATAAAACTAGCGGCTGAGGCGAGAAATGTGGGTTTCATGGTCCCGGAGACGAACCTCTTCCTGGTCCATCATCTGCTCCTTGAGTTTCTCAGCCAGCTGACTCTGTTGGTTAATCTCATCATCCTGTAGAAAAAAGAGAAAATAAAGTCATAGTATAGCATGTAAAAAAAAGTGGATAAAAAATATAATAGAGACACTTATAAAATCGCTAAAAAGTGCTTCCTAGTTTGCAAAGCAAGGTGTCACCTTGTCATCCAGCTGCTTGTACAGGTTGCTGATGTCCTCCTCGTATTTGCCGCCCTCGTCCCCGAAGACGGAGACGCCTCCGTCGGGCGGCAGCAGGTTGTCGATCACGGGCGTGTTGTCGCACGCCTCGACGCTCTTCTGATCTTTGGAGCTCAGCTGCTCCTCCTCGGGGACGTCCTCCCCTGCAACGCCGACCCGCCGGTCAGGTCCACTCTCATGCACGTATTGTGCATCAACACCGGATCCTTTTGTGTGTGTGTGTGCGTGTGTGTGTGTGTGTGTGTGTGTGTGCGCGTGTGTGACCTCATCACGTAAAGCTAATTGTTCTCATTTCATCACTGGGGTGAAAGTCATCAGCAAATGGGACGACGGAGAGGAGGAGAGAGCTGTTCCCGTTAAAAAGGCCTCGGCGTGCAGCCAGCGGCTGCGTCATGTCAGAAACGCTGCATCAGCATTACGTGTGTGTGTGTGTGTGTGTGTGTTTTCAGAGATTGTGCGTGTGCACGCTACATTTCCGCACGCGCAGCGTGTGGCTACGGAAGAGGGGTCGTGAGTGTGGGAATTAAAACAATCTAAGAACGCAATGGCCAGACAGAGACAGAGAGAGAGGGGGGGGGGGGGCGAGGGACAGCGGTTACCTAGCAACAGAGCAGGTGATGTTAAAGGTGTCCCTGCGGTCTCAGAGAGGAGCAGAAACAGTCCCTGGTGGTGCGTTTGTGTATCTGGTCAATGACACTGGGACTGACCGAAGGAGGTTTGCTCGATGTTCTAAACGCGGCGAACATTTGAGCCGACGCGGCCGTCTAGACCCGAAACAACCCGAAGGTTCCTGTGTGTTTTTTTGTCTCACCGTTCCTCCAGCGGTTCAGCTCCGCCTCCAGCCTCTGGATGATGCCTTTCAGGCTCTTGTTCTTCTCCTTCTGCTTCTCGTATTTCTTCTTCCACTCCTCGGCCGTCAGCTCCAGGTTCACAGACACTGTGTTCTTGATGGTCTTGGCTCTGAAGTTCGTGTAAAAAGTCATTTTTGTGGATTCTTTTCTCAAACTTAAGAAGGTAAAATCCAGCAAATGTTAAATCATTATTCTCATTAGTAATTATACCATTTAGTGGATATTCAAGACTCTTTATTCTCTCAAAATAGAACCCAGCAAGGTGCAGAGAGTCTCATCACAGAAACAAACAACGGGGAAACTAAAAGCCATCTGGTTGCCTGTTTTTCCGCACCGACGTCCCACTGAGTCGCTGCGCTCTTGTTACCATGCCAACCGCGTCCCGCCTACCTCTGCCCGAACATGAGCGTGGACTTGGTCTCGGCCTCGTTGTAGACGGACGGCGAGCAGCAGATGATGATGGTGGTGCGACAGTTCCCCCCCAGAGAGTCCTGCAGGATGCGGGTCATCTTGCTGTCCCGGTACGGCACGTGGGACTTCTGAAAGGGGACAAACACGTTCAACCCGCGTCCTCTAAAACACGCCGGGGGGGAGGAGCTACAGCTGCGAGTGCCGCACCGTTCCCTCGGCGAGAGCCGATATGACGTTCCCCAGCGCCGACAGGGACTTGTTGATGTTCTTGGCCTCGTCCAACACGGCCCCCTCGGCTCCCGTCTTGCTGACCTGCGGGGCCGGAACACACGGGTCACACATCACAGCCCCTCGGCGGGGGGGGGGGCGCTCATCTTCCTGATCCCGCCCGGGATTACCTTCTCGCTGCCCGCCAGGTCCACCAGGTAGAGCTTCCCCGACAGCTTCTTCTCCGTCTCCATGTTCTCCTGCTTGATGGTGATGAGGAATATGCTGTGGCTGCGAGAGCTGTGCTCATTCATGTCTAGAAGAACGAAACAGGTTCTGGTCTTTTTACAGTACATGTGAAGGACGGTGGGAGATGTCCTCGGTTGACATTGAAGATACATACTAGTCACGGCCACATGCCGATTGTTTTTGCCCTCATCGATGACGTCCATGACTTCCTCTGGACTGGACACGAACCGCTCAGTACAACCCTGGCGGAGACAGAGGAACACTCACAGATCACCTTGAGGCGCTTCACCCGTGACGTCCACAAGCTGAAGCATCGCACAGTGAAAGGGTTCTGAACCCTGAGGCCAGTTCACAGACCTTCACGTAGGGAACCCGGTTTTTGTCTTCGTGCACAGCCAGGTTGGTCTTCGACACTTCAAACAGAAAATCCTCACGGTCACACGTTGATTTGTGGGAATAAAAAAAGAGGGGGTACGATGCAGCGATGTTACACGCTTCAGACCATCAGTCCTACTCACCATCCAGCAGGTCCCTGATCTTGTCCAAGTAGATTTCGAAATACGAAACCTGCACCAAAAAATGTTCTTAAACGTTTCACTGGTGTCAGTTTATCCTCATCTAAGATATTGAGCTCTTATAAGAGTAAATAATAATCACGTTATGACTCATCATTACAGATGTTGCAGCTGCGGTGTTTGTTTCTTCACCTTGATGTGGAACTCCAGGTTCTCGTCCATGGAGTAGATGTGGTCAAAGATGTCGTGGGCGATGCGAGGGATGATTCCCATCAGCTGGTGGTCGTGCAGTTTGCCCTGAACACAGCGGGGAATATTCACGGAACTTTAAGCTGGTTTTAATCACTTTATAGCAGATTGAGATGGAGCAAGAACTTAAGGCAGAGACAAGGAAGCAGATGTTTTTCATGGCAGATCAGATCAGAGTATTACTGCTGTCTGGGGGATTGGTCTGTGATGATGAGTGAGGATCTCCTTTAAATGCAGTCTGTGCAAACAGTTCTCCTTCTTCCACTTGAAATGTGTAGAGTTCACTCAGAAAACACTGATTTCATTTGGACATCGATGCCTCGCTGGAAAGCTTTGGACCGAAACTTCTCTCCGGGCTTTGAGAGAACCTCCTATGAGATTGGATTTAGTGTTTCCGCAAAGTCTGTTACACAATGCCTGCTGTGCTCTAACCCTCTGACCGGAGACGAGGAAATAAAGGGCATCGCTGGGTGTTACTCGACGGCTCGGATTCATCCGCCGTCTGTGAACGCCGACATTGAGGTCAGACCTCTGTGGAGGTTCTGACGAGGCTCCTCCGGGCTGAAGATGTGTGTGTGTGTGTGTGTGTCTCACCTCCATGGTGTGTGTCTTCCCGGAGGACGTCTGTCCGTAGGCGAAGATGGTCCCGTTGTAGCCGCCCAGCACATCTGGAGCGACGGCAGAACACAGGCGTTAAAAACACCAGCTGTTAAACCAGACCAGGATGAACAATGAGGTTCTGTTGGGCAGGAGCGACCTGTCACGGTACCTTTGACTATCTGTTTGGCGCACTGGTCGTACACCTGCTCCTGGGACGTGTTGGGAGGCAGCACTCGGTCGAACACGTAGGGTTTACTCTGTTCAGGGGAAGCACACGTCAGTGTCACACAAAAACTCCTCAACGCCTCCAGTCCATCATTCCTCCTGAACCCATCCAACCAGTGTCTCCGTCTCCGTCTGAAACGCACCCCTCAGCACTCCCGGACCTCCCCGAGCCCCCGACACGGGGCGGAGAAAACACTGACACCCACAGAATGGCAGTGGAAGGTGTTTCCGCAGCCCGATTGACGGCTCGGGGCGTCCAGAAAGACGATGCAACAGAGTGACTGAGTGAGCGTTGCAGGCCGCGCGGGTGGCCGGGGCCACTTCCTGTCTCCACCTCAGGGTCAACACGACGCAGCCTTCGCTGGTGAGTCAGAGCAAGCGCACGCTTTGACCCCCGACCTCAAAATGATCACTATCATCATGTAAACTTAGCAAATCGGTCCCGATCAATTTTGAAGTAAAAGACTCCAACCGAAGTCTTGAAAGTGCTTTTTAAAAGTCTTATGTGATCCGTCCATTTTGGCTTCATAATACCTTCTGGAACAAGACATTTACAGTGTAGACCCAACGACGTTTTTGCACGATATGGTAATGCAGTATTTCATTCTAATTATTATTATTATTGTGTCCCATAATGGAAAGGTGTAAGTCTAAATATACCAAAAGATACATGAACTATTCCACGTTCTATCTACTGACACAGGCCGACCATCAGCACCTGTGTGCCCCCCTCCACACCGGGACCACCGGCTCATTGCGCACCTGCCTGCGGAGCTCCAGAGGACCTTCTCCCGTGGAGCTCCGCAGTGGCTGCGCACGGACAACACAGCAGCACGGACACACGTTGCAACACTTGCCGTTATGACCACCGTGTCGTCCTCCTTGAATTTGGGGATGTACTTGTCTCCTCGGTTTATCTCGGACTCGTTGAGGGGCCTGAAGCGGCACATCACCCTCACCCCGCACTCCGCCGCATCCATCATGGCTGCTGCTGCTGCTGCTGTTTACACCGCCCCTCCGAGCAATGCGCACCCGCCGGCAGCGCGGGGATTCCTCGCTGCGTCCCGGGGCCAAGAGAGAGCTACACGATTCACTACGGGAGAGAATCACATCATTATTGGGAAATAGGCTACAGATTTCCGGGGGGGGTGGAGAGACACGTCCGGCTTCCTCACCGCGATCAAAGCTGTGTTCGTTGTCCGATGCGCACGCGCGTCCTTCACCCGAGCCGGACGCGTCCGGACTCCCTCCGCTGCGCCATGGCCGAAGTGAAGCGGGGACCTCCCGCTGCGGCGGTGACACCCACAAAAACAATGAAACGCCCGTGCGTGGAGCGGACTGGCGAGCGTGTGCGCGCGTATCAGCGGCGGGGACGGACTCCGGGGTCGGTCCCGGTCTGCAGAGGGGGTCCGGGAGGGGGGGGGGGGGGGTCCGGGGAGGATGCGCAGAGACATCCGCAGAGTCCTGACGATCGCGGCGCGCACCCGTGCCCTGCATCAGCACCACCGAACGTGCACGCGCACACACAAGAAACTGCACTAATCTCTGATTTAAAACTTCCATTATTTTTCGGGTGGAACATTCGCAGGTTGCAGCCGCTAATCGCGTATTGCTTCATTACTGGTGGATTTATATTCTCATCGGTGGTCATATTTAGATCCACATCATACTGCCATCTTTATTTATATGACATGCAGGAGTGTTTAAATTGACACGAAGGGCCAATTATGTTTTAAGCTCCAGATGCTCAGTGTGTGAGTCTGCTTTTATTACGTGTATTGTGGGCTCTTACCTGCACATGTGCTCATTCTCTTTGCTGTTGCTGCCACCACACCCGAATGTCCCTCCGGGATCGAGGGGGTCTTCTGATCAAAATAGAACGAATAAATAAATGATGATGTATTATTATAGATCAAAAATGCAGCAATATTTGTCAAAAGTAAACCCAGCACTGCGAGCTTAAACAGTGAAGCTTAAAGCTTGTATATTAGAAAATAATGTAAATGACTCATTAGATCATTCGTTTACATTAAATGAAATAAATTTCGTTTAATAGACAAACACTTATTTGCCCGCTAGAGGGCAGTGTGCGACAACAATAGCTTTAAAATGAGCCTAGTTATTATCTCCACACTTTAAAAATGTAAACATTTTAGAACCTGAAGAACCGTAATCAAGAAACAAATACACGTCACACACCAGATTATTCAAGTAAGAGTGACCATGTTTTTAATATCTTAAACATCTGTGCAACATTATTCATAATGTTGCATCACTGCATGACCTGTAATGTTTCACAATATTTACAAAAAAATGCTGTTTACATCAAACCATTAAAAAAAGTCCAAACAATCTGAAAAGAATGGACCGACAAACTATGCCGAGTCCACGTTAATGCAAAAAGAAAAACAAACAAGAGCAATCAAGTGCACCTCATACTTCACGCAAGTATATTCTTTGTAAAGTATATATTAGTGAGAAAATATATACTTCATTACAAGTTGACAAAATAAAATACTGACAATGACGGGCTGGGGGGGGAAGTGAGATTCAGAGGGCAGAAAAACAACCATCACACTCAAACCTCAACACACAATCACAGGCGGGAGGAAAACAAACTAAAAAGCGACTGCACACACACACCATCGCAAACACAGAAAGGCTTTGAACTCGTGACCACAAATGACATGAAACGGGTTAAAGAACAGATCCATAACACATGGGTTCCCAACATGACACCGGGTTCCTGCATGTCATTGCACAAAGAATGGGGTGGGGGGGGCAGAATGAACTTTACCGAGACCTCCGCTCCAGATTACAGTAGAAACGTAGGTGTGCACACTGAAGGATTAGGGGCATTATGAACACGGATTACGCCAATAAAATACTTCCAAGTGTTGAGCCCGATGATCTTTATCTTTAAATAATGTTATCTGACCTCGCGAGGCTGCACATTTTTCAAATTGCCCTTTTATTCCTCAGTGTGCACAACACAAAAAGATGAATCTGGTTAGAAAATACCACACAACCCAAGTTGTGTTCTTAAACCCGAGTACACCATGACAAAATCAGAAGGGTTTGGCTTGTTTCTGGGTTGTGATTCAGTTTGTTCAGGATATTAGGAATAAAAGTTATATAGTTCAATAGTAGTGTCTTCATGTTTCAGTGGGTTTCTATACAACGTAGTGTGCTATTTGGTTTTAAAGTTATCGTCAGAAACATTTGTAATCGCTGAGTTCTTTGCAAAAAATTCAAATTAAATGCATTGTAGCCAGCTGTGTGTGTGTACACGTCAAAGTTAAAGCTACAAATAAATTACTACTTCATGAGTTTTTGAGCATGCATGTTGAGGACGAGCACCAGATAGAAGGTCTCAGACAATCACAGACGCAGAGTTTCTAAGATGAGGATCGTTGCCATCCAGCGGTATATTGCACTTGATATTTCTGTTGCGATTTCAGGTTGTTTTGATCTGGAGGAGCAGAGGTGTGTGTGTGTGTGCGCGTGTGTGTGTGTCCACAGTTCCCAATAATGGGCTCACTGTGGCTTTCATGACTGATCAAGTGATGGTTTTGCTTCGTTAGTGTTAAAACTGCATTTATTACCATCGTTAACGGCGTCAGATGTGCATATTCATAAATAGTATGGTCTTTTGGACGCAGACGTTGTTACATTTTCTTCTTTTAGCCAAGAAATCCAGAAAAAAAAAAAAATCAGAAAACCTGCCTGTAAAATAAGGAGCAATCTGTAATGCTCGCTTCCTAAGCGGGAACACGAGCTTCGTAACACTCTGAATACATCTCTATTAAAAAAACAAACATACATATACACATATAAGGCTTGAGTTCTCAACTCTTGGTAGTATTATTGCCATCTAGCATATTTGTAAAGCTTAAAATAAATATGGAGTACTGTACATAAATAATTTACATTAATAAGCAAAACATAGTAACACAAGGCCCCTAAATGAGAGAAATGCTTCCACTGCTCCTGGAAACCGCGTTAGTGTCCCTGTGGAGGATCTAGACTGGAGGTCGGTTACTCTACCTAAAGCTATCGCCATGGAAACAAAAACCACTGTACAAACAAGCACGAGAACATGATCACAACAACCAAATGACGGAATCCATCAACGCAGCCGGCGATGGTTGACAGCGGTTGAGGAATCCACCCGAAGGCTCTTTAGGTTGTGTTGCATTCAGGGTCCTCTGGGTAATCCGGTTTAATGCAGTTAGAGTATGTAGGTCACACCTCCAGAAGCTGCATCAGTTTAATATTGATTAAAAAAACGGGGCGGGAAGTGGTTGAGAAAGTATTTCATGGTAAGAAATTAGCTTAATGATAATAATTGAATCAAAATAGCTGGGGAAGTTGCGCTAATGGGGAATGCTGAGTGTTTTTTATTGTCCATTGACCTGCCTGTTGCTTGTTTTTGTTTTAATCATTAACTTATTAACATTAAAAATACCCTTACGTTTCTCAGTATCTTCTTAAATAAATACTTATTATCCAAATAGTTGCACAGAAATGAAAATGATTCAGAAACACACTGGATGTTGAAAAGAGCCTGCGGGTGGAGTTTTCCCTCAAATAAAGAAAAGAAGCAGCTGGTGAACCCAAAGCAGTCTTCTGCCAACCCGACGGGGCAGGCTTTTGGTGTGGAGGCTCCTTCCACCATCGTCGCCCCCCCCCCGACCCGCTGATGGGACACTCCAACACTTTGGGCTGGTAAAGTTCATTCTGTTTTCTGCCTTTTTTTCCCCCAAATACAAAAGGAACACTGGGTGACTTTCGTGATGAAGAACTGACGTAACTCGCTCCACTGCTGTTCGCTCACAACAAAAAAACGTAACGAAACAACAGCGCGTCTCGCAGTTCATCGTATAAAAGCTTTAGGCTGCGTTCTTATTTATCCTACGCATGCGGCCGTACGCCACCGCATGTCTCAATAGAAACCAAGACATTGGTACACCTCTGCTTTGTTTTTGTACAATAAAAGATAAAATGTGCATTAGGTATGCTTGTACATGACATTGTACAATATTTACATACATTTCTTAATAGCATGAAATTTCAGGATTATCTATATACATATTGAAAATGTATCAGAAATATTTGGACTGTCTATTTTTCTTAAATATGTAAAGTTATGCTTGTCGCTTTTTTTGTTCGTTTTACTGTCTTATACTAGAAAAAAATAGTTAATTCAGTGAGCTGTAGACAAATCGCAACCAATGTTTTTCCGGTTTTTCAGTTTCTTGCTCTTCAGTTTGAACTGTATTGGTGTTTGGAATATCCAGCACCTTCTGTGGTCATTAAGTCAAGTTGATGTACCACCGAAAGTCCACGTGTAGCACCTGTTAGAGAGCTCAGACAACAACGTCTCCGAAGGGCCGACACATTCAATGTTATCTGGATATCTTCCTCCTCTTCGGCTTGGGCAGCTTCACCTGACGATCTCTGGACGGGATCTGAGGGACAGAAGCAGCACGTCGCCGGTGGAACACAAGCACAACTGACCAGGAGAAAAAATGGCTTCTTAAGTGTGTGCAAAGGCTCACCGTGCCAGACATCTTATCCAGCTCACTCATGGCCTCGTGGATAGCAGCTTCCAAGTGATTATTCAGTTTCCCCGGTCTGTGGAACATTTGGATTTGTCATTAGTTACGGTCACGCTAATGCAGACAAGAGTTTGATGATCACAAACGAGATTGACTTACTTCAGGCCTCTTTTGGCGGCTCGTTCGAGTGCCTCCAGGTCGTGAGTCAGTGTTTTCAGCTTCTCTGGCTCCACCTGGATGGAGATCAAACACCAAAACAATGACGGTGAATTTGTTGGACTGTCATTAGTCCTCCATGCAGATATTTAGATTTGGCAGGCGACCTGCCACTGACTTGCTGGCAAGCATCAGTCTTGCAGTGGAAAAACACGCTGCAGAACCTTGAATGCGGCTGGTTTGTTTTGTTTCACTCTGCATTCAGTCTGGAAGGTGGCTTGTGAAATACCGACAGGCGGGTCTGCTCACCTTGGCCTGCTCACGCAGCTGCACGGCAGCACTGTGCACTTGTTCGTCCCCGGCCAGCTTGGCGGGCCACGGTGGGAAGCCCTTGAGCTGGCCCCAGACCAGCTCCCCCATGTTGAAGGTCCTGGACCGGTAGTGAAGCAGCTCTGAGGAGGGAGAGTCCGGTTGCCGCAGGTCCTCCTCGCTGCTCAGGCTCTTGGTGTCCGAGGGGCTGGGCGCCATACCGTTGAAGTGGCCGTTGTAGTGGCTGTAGTCTTTGGCTGTGGCCAGAGGTCCCTCCAGGCTGGTGGAGGAGCTGGGCGACTGGTCGTCCCCCGTCAGCTCCTGCCGCGGGGGGCCCAGCACCTCTCCGTAACCCCGGGCATTGAAGTGGGGGGTGGCGCCGTTGATGTGGACGCAGCGCTCCACCGTCTGCTCCAGACGCTCCTTGTAGTTAGCGGGGGCCCGGTGGCAGTTGCTGAAGCGATAGCCGTCGTCGAAAAAGGCCTTGTCGTGGGCCATGACCAGGCCGTGGTCGCCGGACCCCTCGTTGGGGCAGGGCGGGGCGGGGGCCAGGCTGGCAGGACGCTCCATGCAGGGACTACTCCTCACCTGGGTGGAGCACTCCAGGAACTCCTCGCCACCCCAGGCGCTGCTGTTGCTGTGAGCGTCGAAGCCCCCCACGTGCTGCGTCTCCCCGTCCCACTGCGCCCTGGGAGTCGCGCGGCCGGGAGAGCGGAAGTAGTCGCCGGCCTCGGGGCCGTCTGGAGTGCTCTTCCCCGCGTCCATGTGCTTCTGACCCCGTCCAGGCCTCACCTGCCTCGGCCTGGCCTGCTGGGGTAACGCCTCCGCTTCCTGGTGCCGGTGCAGCACCGAGCTGACGACTTGGGGGAGGTTGACCGGCTCCCCTATAGAGGCGGTGAAGGCACTCATGGCGCTGAGGGCGGGCCACCGGACTCGCCTGTGTGGTCCCACTCACCGTGGTGGTGATGGTTACATGCATGCCCTTGCTGGCGGCGTCCACCACGGCTCTGTAGATGGCGTCCACCGACTCGGGGCCTCCACCCGGGCCCCTGTCGCCGCCGGTTGCCCCCCCGGGAAGCCCTTCACCGTGGGGCTGCTGCTCCTCCCGGAACTGAGGGTGAGACGACATCCCCGGCTGAGGGCAGAACAGCAAGGTCACAACGATGAAAAGAAAGTTCTCTCGTGAATGTGGAATGCAATTGGAGGAGAGCTCATCGCCCCCACCTGGTAGTTCTGGTAGAGGCAGGCCATGGAGCCGGCGTTGCTTCTGTCCGCGTAGGCCGGGTCGTCAGAGAAGTGTGGCGGTCCTTGGTAGGCCGGGTGGGAGGCCACCACCCCCTGCTGCATCCCCTGGTGGACCTGCTGCTGGTACATCTGACCCACACCGGTGCTGCCGTGCGGCTGCAGGCCGCTCATGCCACAGCCGAGGGACGAGGGGTTTCCTGCAAAACCGGATGATGCATGACAAAATTGTCCAGGGAGAAAACAAGAAAGACGGGAGCTGGAGGGAACGATCCCTTCAGCATTCAAACCAAACAGCAAAGTCACGGTTTACTCTCCCTGTAGCTGGAAAATGATTCTCCAACCAGAGAATTATTCAATTCAATTGATTTTTTTTTATAAAAGCAGACGTTGCTATTAGCATTAACCCTTTACATTTGTTTTTTGCAAACAATGAACGGCGTAGAAACACAAGCAGATCTACTGAAAGTTGGCAGCCCCAAATAAATTCAACATCCAGACCAAGTTGCCAAAGCTGAGCTAGTGTCAAGACTTTCAGAATAAAAGAAAAAGTTGCACATTAACCTATTGGATGCCTCCAAAAGTAACAGATGGACTCGCTGCGCGGTCCAGCTAGCAAAGCGTTCGAGGACAGAACATAAACAAAACAATTCAAGGCCACGGACGTATCAATGAATGAAGAAAAGGGCCGGCAGCAACGCGATGCAGACAAAGCCGAGGCGGATTCAAACTCTCCGAGGCCTGACGTTGTGTTCTGTGCGTGTGAGGACGGTGGCGACTGGGGCAGCTGGTGCGATGCTACGTAGCTGAGGGGCAGCTGTGTGTGCGTTCTCCATTTTTTTTCTCCCTCTCTTTTCTTTCTTCCCCTCTACAACGCCGAGAGCCACGACCGGGCTTCCAACCCCCTCCCCCCAACTCCCCACATCCTCCGCTATGATATAGTGACGGCTGTTGCCGAGGAAGGTTGCCATGGGAACCGAGTGATGATTGGTGGGGCTGTCCACTGCCAGGAAGCTTGTTGGGGGAGTGGGGTGGGTGGATGTGGGGGGTTACTCGGGTCGGGTGGTGTGATTTTACTCCTCTGGGGGATGGGGGGTGGTCAGCTGGGTGGCAGGAGGTCTTGTTGATGGGGGGGGGGGGTGTTCAAAGCTCGCTAGCTGTCTGGAAACAGATGGTTAGAGGCTAAATGCTAAAAAGCCAGTGACTAGGCCACATTCAAAGAGCTTTGCGTGCTCTAAAGATCCCGAACATGTCTTTCAAATTAGCCTCAAGTACGGGAAAATCAACAGAACTACTCGGAGGCATACATGCCATTTGTGACAGAATATTCTTTTATCCTAAGAGCCTGTGAGTGCGTATTTGCCAGACAGGGGAGGCACTTATCTGAGGCATTGAGGCCAGTCATTTCACTGGGGTTGTTACATCATACGTCCCTTCGTCCCGTCATGCTCTCCCTCACACGACCAACCCAATGTTTTCGCCTCGACTGGGAGGATAGCGGCACACCTGGTGATAAGAGCAGGTGGCCTGCAGGAGACCTTGGTGGTATCTCCATTATAAACCATATGAAGACACACAGACGCACCGTGAATGCATAAACGCAAAACCCGGCCCCACAGCATGCAGGAAGGAAAACAAAAAACAAGATCTAGATCTTTTCAGTGCATTCAAAACAAATGCTGCCATGAATGCCAGCACACACACACACACACACACACGAAAAAGCATACAGTCACACACATTCATTCATATGCGCACAAATAAACCCTGTAATACACCAGCAGTCGTAGGCATGCACACGCAATCATTCAAACACACGCTACGGCTTAAACCCTCATCAAAAGCTTCACTCTGGTCCTCATTCAGGGTCCATCGTTACTATAGCGACCGGCTAGCAGCGAGAAGCTCTTTCGAGTGCCCTATCTAGGCTGCCTCCCTTAAAAGCGTGATCCAGATCCCATTTCCATCTTCTTACACCATTGACTGATGCTACCATACAAATAAAACAAAGAGACACACTGGCTGACTGACAATTAGCTGAGCTTCCTAAGATGAGGGGCCTGCTCATTAGCTCACAGATACTGGAGGAGCCCGACTGTCTCGGCTCGGCGCCTATCACTTAAATCCTTTGCTTTTTGTTCACCCATAACCATAGAAACCACATCTTCATCCAACCACGAGCTTATCACGAGGAGGAGCGGTGGACACAGTCGCTAACTACACAGGACATCAACTTTGGACTCTTGGTTTGTATGTATGTGTGTCATTTTGAAAACTATTATTTTTAGGATTTGTATAGATGAATTCAAAAGGAATAAAATCTACGAGTTGGACATATGTAATCAAAAACCTACATTTACATTTCAGGACAAATAGGAGCCTTTTTCGCATCTTATTTCTTTGAATAGCATTTCAGAAATCAAGGAATTATGAGCGTGATCACATGATAGAAAGGACATTGAAATGCAAATGTCAGATTTTTAAAAATTTTTTTTAAATAACATGGCGTAACATTGCAAATGTAATGAAAGAATGCTAAAAAGTCTCACCCGATTCAGAGATGGTCGGTGCACAGCTTCCGTCACCACCTCCGTGTGGCATCCCCACCATGGTGTTTCTTCCCATTCCGTGAAGGAGGTTCTGCTGTGACGGGTGAGGGCCGGCATGGGACAGCGGTGGTGGGTTGGCGTGGGGGCGTCCCAGCGGCATGCCGTCAGGACCCACTGGTCCACCTCCTGGCCCCATGGGCCCACAGTTACTCATGGAAGAGGCCTGCATCTGGCCTATCGTGTCAGGGAACTGGCCTGGACGAGGGCCCAGATGGCCCCCGGAGGTGTCCATGTTCTGGCAGTGCTGCATGGCGTCTCCTGGCACCCGGAGCCTCTGCTGAACAAGGAGGTTCTGCGGAGGGCCAGCAGGGGCCATTCCGGTGCCGTCGTTGTAGTGCATCTGTGCGGGTCCTTGAGGCCCCGGGCTGAGACCTGGACGATGGCCGTGTGAGCTCTGGCAGCTCATGGACTGAAGAAGCTGGGCCATGGAGGTGTTGGGGGGAAGGTTTCCGAGTCGGCCCACTTTGCGAAGCTGCTCAGTGGCGCTGGGCCCCGCCATGTGGGGTCCCCCCATGCCTCTCTTGTTGAGCATGTTGTAGACCATGTTGTTACTGCTGTCGTGGTTGGCGGCGGCGGCGCTGCCCGAGGACTGCTTCCGTTTGCGCATGGGGTCTCTCTGCTGGGCCATGAGCTTGTCTCTGAGGGCCGCCCGACCGCTCTGACCCTCGGGAGTGTTGAGCAGCATGGTGGAGTTTGGCGGCAGCATGGAGTTTAAAGTGCCGTGCCCCTCCATGCCTCGAGGGCCGCTCATAGAGCCAGGGTGTCCACCGGCTACTCCGTTACCACCACCAGCCCCCATGCCTGCCATACCACCACCACCTCCTCCTCCTCCACCACCACCACCCATGCCCGCAGGGCTGTTGCCACTGGTGCCGAGTTTGTTTTGATTTGCTAGCTGTGCTTTGGCTGCGGCTGACAAGAGACTGCTGGCCGGGAAGGAAGCGGCATTCTGTTGGTTGAGAATCTGGTTGAGGGGCATACCCAGGAGTCCTGGGTGGCCCTTCTGGGAAGCGCTCGGGGTTGCCAGAGAAGAGGATGACGACGAGGAGCAAGAGGTGGGCGAGTACATGGGGTTGCTGTGCTGCTGGAGGCCAATTGAGTTTCCCATGCCGGGCAGCATCTGGGGGTCTTTGTACTGGTGGTGCACGTCAGTTTTGTTGGTGGAGGGGCTGGAGGGCATGCAAGGCCTTGGAGATCCCATGGCAGACCTGGGGGAACGAGGAGGAACCTTCATGCTGCCGCACGGGGCCTGGTGCCCCGAGGGCAATGCAAAGTTCCCATGTTCAGAGGAGGTGGAGGATGAACGTGAGCGATGAGGAGAGGCCTCCATTCTGCCAAGGACAGGCCCCGCCATGTGGACAGGTGACGTGACAGGGGAGGGGGACATGGAGGACGCTGGACCCCCCTGTTGAGTCCTTTGAACGTGGCTGCCATGCCCCACAGGCCCAGGCTTCACTGTGGGTAAAGGTAAGTTGCTTGGCAAGGGAACGATGGCGGGAGGGGGGGTGTTTACATTCATCATTTGTACCTGAGAGTGGATATTGGGCTGGAAGTTGGAGGCGTTTGGTGCGTTGCCGGGGGGCTGGCCGACTGGCTTGCTGGGGATGGGGTCCAGGATACCTAATGGGTCTTTTTCAGAGGTCAACTGCCTTTTCTGAAGTGCACAGGATGGTTGTATGGATGAAGGAGGTGGTACGGGGTGCACAGGGGGTTGTGTTTTATGGTGAAATGCTGCACGGGACATGTCCATCCCTGGGGGGAAGCTCCCCCGAGGCATGTTCATGACAGGGCTTTTGGCAGTGGCCGTGGGGGAGAGGGGCGTGCTAGTCCTCCCTGTCATGGCACAAGATGGCTGGCCCGCGGGGGAGCCATGGAGCATTAAACCGGGTGGGGAAAGAGGCGTCCTCGTGTTCCTGTGGATGGAGGCGGAGCCTGGACTACCGGCTCCTGGAAACCCACAAGAATTGGTCCTTTGAAAGCCATCGAGGCCGCCCACAGTGTCTGCACTGGGGGAATGGGAGCCATCTCCGTACAGCTTGGCAGTGGAGAGAGGTGGGCTCAGCATGCGCCCATACCCCACCCGGTAAGGGGATTTGGGGCCCGGCTCCCCACTGCTCAACCTCTGCGGCCTGGGGTAGCCCGGGTAGAGTTCGGGCTGCTGAGCTCCACCCATCTCCTGGGGTGGATACAGCCTCTGCTGCTGCTGCTGCTGCTGCTGTCCAACTGCCATCATCATCATCTTGAAAGGAATCTTGCAGTCTGGGCCAACAGCATTGGGCAGGCCGTCGTGGGGTTTAGTCCTTATTGCTCGCTGAGACGTGGAATGCGCAACGACCACAGACGATGTACCTTGAGACCCAACAAAAACAGGAACACTTGAGTTGGATCAATAGCACCTCATTGAGCAAAAAGCAGAGGAGGAAAATGATTGTTGCCCGCAGGTCACAGTGGCTGTGAACCATTAAAATGACAAACTAGTTGATATCAGTGCTGAAATAATGCACACTTTAAGTAGTAGATTTCAAACACCACGAAACCACGTCACCTCTGCATATTAAGGGTTACTGATGGCGTCCCGTCATCAAACGGAAACGTTCATTTTCAGGTGGAAACAACTGGATTTACTGGTACCTCCCCCCGGACTGGTGAGCGTCAGAGGCGGGTGCGTCCCCATGCTCCGGTGCAGCGTGGCCACCGCCAGAAGCTTCCGCTTGTGAATGCAGAGTTTGGTGACGTCGTCGTCCGCTCTCACGTCCTCCGCCGTCCTCTGCTTGACAGCTGCCCCGGGGTCGAAGTTGAACACCTGTGGAAAAAAGGATTGGAGGGTTGAACAGATAACAGATAACAGGTTTCATTGTTGCAGGTGAAACTCAATTAAAATGTTGCACTAAAAGCCAGAGAGAGAAAGTGGTGCTGTGCCATTAGGTGAATCCATAAACTCATGGTAGCTTTGCAGGCTACTGTAGGTATCCTACCGACTATGGACCTCGCTTCAAAAAGTGTTTCATCAAGGCCGCAGAGCTAAATGTGAATTGGACTAATAAGCCTTAAATGTAAGAATGGTCAAGAATCTAGAAGAAAAGGGTTAGTGCCTGCTATTAAAAAAATGAATAGAGCAGACACAACAACATCCGCCTAATCTGATGGACACGACATCAGGGACAAATTTAGCTTCAAGCAAGATAATCCTTTATCCAACGTAATGGGATACAGTGAACGCCTCACGACACCCAATATCATCAGTGAGGACCGTCCCATAGATCAGGGGAGTCTTTATTTCATGCATGCTGCGCATCCGAATGGGGGTGGAGAAAGGGACTATGCTGCAGAGCTTTCCCTGGACAGTGTTATGCGGTTTTCCTCTACTGGAATTCATGGGGACGGACGTTAATCCAAGCCGACCGCAGCCACCGCGCTGCGTGAAGGACAAAACCACCAACCGGCCTCGCAGCCACATTTCACAGCAACTTTTTGATACTCGAAACACCAGGTCGACAAAAATTAAAGCATCACCTCAACAATAACTGTTTTAATATACTGTTTCCCCGTTTGTGTTGACTTCTAATTCTCTTAGAGTAAAAATATGGAAATGGACCAGAAAGAAGTCAAAAATGTTCACTTCATTTCAACCTGTGATTTCAAACAGCGGATCAGACACGACTTCCCAAGCTCAGCCAAAATTTGAAGTCATTCGACGCTTGCAATGAAATTGTGTGGTTCCGATCCATTTCTTCACTTTTTACCTTTGGAGAAGAGCTGATGAATGAAGCTCGTTAGGAAAAGGGACGCTAATGCAGGTTTCGCTTTGTTTGTTTTAGATGAAACGGGCCGGAAAGTATTACCTTGTGGAGGATGAGTGGGCACTCCAGGCCGCATTTGCAGGTCCCATCAGTCAGCAGGTAGGTTTTCACCTGCTCCAAGCTGGACAGCACCGAGCCGCTGGGACTGCACACAGAACACAGCGACGTTAGAGCGCCGCCACTCCCGTCATACGCCGACGTTCAGCAAGGATTTCGGAAGGTCTGTCATCGTGTTTAGACTTTAACGTTGAACATATTCATGGGGAAACATTCAAAAAGGGCCTCGTTCTCCCCCAGCATTTGTCTTCCTGACTCAGAAGAGGAGAGGAAACCGTCAACAGACTCACTGCAACCAAGAAATCAACGGCTGCACATATGTGAAGCAAACGCACACTTTGAATGTAAAAGAACATGAGCTGGTGCGCGGTGACAGTATCAGGCCACGGTCACAGAAGTACACAGGATTCTTTCCAACACCCAAAATAAACCTGACACCAGCCAACTGCTTTGGTTCATTGTGGCGCTGGGGTTGTTACGCTGGGAAGGACACCAACTTCCAGTCTGCACAACTCAATCCCTGGGAGGGGATCCACTACCAGGCGAAGCTCGCCGGATCTTTAGAAGCCGCCCGCCGCTTTCTCCAAGGAGGCGGAGTGAAATTTGCTTGCGACGATCAACGCTTCTTACAATTTGCCGTTTGCCAGCCGGGAAAACATGTGGGCTGCGATTTACTGGAGTGGCGGGACGGCTCGCTGGAACGTTAGCGGCAGAATCCTGGAAGAACCGTATGGTTCACAGATTTTCACAGCTACTAGGTGCCAGACACGCTGCAGCTTTACCAGAGTAAAGAACAAGATTTTGGGGGACAAAATGAGCATTTTTAAGTCATTCAAGATGATGCAAAATTCAAGGCACATTTCAATTGAATTAAATGAGTTTCACCGTCACAGGCATTTTACGGCAAAAGTCTTGAAGCTTATTATTAACAATTGGTAAAAAAAAGAAAAGTGTCAATGTGCTCAATTTTGGTTATTGTTGACTTCTTATTTCAACAACGGCTGGAGAAAATAAAGAGGCAGATTTGTCATCGTCCATTTCTTACCTTACGTATACGAGCCCGCCGCCGCCGCGCTCCGGCCTGCGCTGCCAGCCAATGGGGACCTGGACAGGGGCGGCCGGCCTCTCGTCTCCCGCCTCACAGTTCTTTCCGCCATTCATTGCTCCACTGGTTTTACGCTCGACGCCTCAGAGGTATATCTATCAGACATCAATCGGCGTGTTCGCAACGCACCTCATGGCGGTCTTCCGAAGCCGTGGTGGAGGAGATGGCCGGTGGACAGAGGGTGGGGGTAGGTGGGGGGAGGGGGGGTAGGGTGAGGCAAGCTCGCAGCAGACCCTACCCTTTCAGCTGCTTCATAGCTACGGAGCTAAACTGTGCGTGGACTTCCATTAGTGCATCTCGTCTTCCGGAGCCATCCGACTGGGGAAGGTGCTGGCTGACGAAGTTTGGACCAGGAGTGGCTTCACTTTCACTATTTTATACCGTTTGTTTTGTGCTGCGACGGATTCCCTCAGAGCGTGTTCAGCGTATCGGCTCGCGAACGCAGTTGGGTGGTGGTGGTATTCCCATGGTTCCTGTGAGGGCACAACAGAAGACCAGATGAATACATAAATGGTCAGTGTGGACAGGTGATATAATGGCCCCTTTAACTTCCACCAGTCAAAGAAAATTTAAAAAAGTATTTCCATTTTTCTGTAGAAAGGCAAAATGCTCAATATTTGTGTGGAAGGACCTTTTTAAATGGTCTGCGATACAAAGTAAAACTAAATAAAGATCCTTCACCGGACGTGGTGCTGACAGGAGCTTGCTGGAACTTCCATACATGACTTTGAAACATGAACGCAGTATTTCAAACGATTACCTCGGCTGCGGTCCAGCTCTGTGCAAGAGTATTACAGACTGCGGTGTCGTTTTTCGGGGGTTAGATCTGTCATCCTAGATCATAATTCATGCCATGCCTTAAGCAGCACCACCCCAGTCTTAAGGGCTGCTTGGTAATGTGTCTTTTTAAACGCACCAAACTACCAGATATTAGAATACAAACTAGAAGACCCAGAACAGGCAACAGCGGATATTTAAAAAAACACATCAGCTCAGTATTTTACTGCGTAAGCCATTAACGCGTTTGCCACCTCATTGCACAAATATTGCAGATTTAAAATGAGTCTTGTAAATAATGTGGACGCCAAAACTGTATCATAAAAATAAGATAATATAGAAGAAAAATAGTCCCGCAGAGTGCATTTCAAAACGCTGCTAGAAGCCCCATCAGAGCTGGTAAATCGGTGCGTTAGTGACGGCGCTCCATGCAAAGCCTCCTCTCATCCGCCAGTACTGCTGACTCATAACTGCCCGGTGAGCTGCTGAACCCGGTGACACCACCACAGAGGAAGAGAGAGAGAGAGGTGAGGAGGGTGGTGCTGCCCGTGGTCACAGTAAAAAAAACGCGTTCTGTTTAACTGGAAATACGCAGCAGCAACCGTCGCCCCACGTCCTGCCGGGAGAGGCGCGCAGCGCCGTGTCAGACGCCATCGCAGCGCTGAAACCTCCTCTCTGTTTGGAGAATGCAGAGGTAACAGAGAAAACGCCATGCCGAACGTTGGGTTCATATTGAAGATAAAGACTAATTATTTTCCCAAGAATAGCCGTTTGACAACTGTGACACGAATAACCTCAATTTCTCATGTTTTGATTCGGTATTTGGGCTTTTTTGCCTCAATTGGAGGCAAACCGGAGGCAGTGCAAAGAGAGGAGCGTAATGTCCAGAAAAGTCCTGGACCGGAATCAAATTAAAGACATTTTGATTAAAACCTACGGGTGACACAGCCAAATGTTTTCATTTTAACCTTTGGCAAAGCGGCGCCATCTAAATCTGTCACCTTGCTAATGTGAAGGCACAAAATGAAATCTCAGCTCTTACCAGTTTACTGCCCACCATTTCCCGACTCTCGAGTCCCACACGGAACCCTCTAATCTGGAACCGTTTTGCTGCAGGTGGATCTTTTATTAAGATTATGTTTTTGGCCTTTACACATCTATCGTTGGCAGAAACAAGCAGGAGACAGACTGACGGCGAGAAAGGACCCAGAAAGACACCAGAGGTTGTTGTAGTCAGGACATTGCGTGTAAATAAAAGCCCACCAGTAACGCAGCCTGGACTCCTTTGTGGCTGCACGGTGTGTGTGTGTGTGTGTGTGATTGAGCAACAGTGTAAGAAATGGTTGTTTAAAATGTCCAAGTTGTTTTTACGATGACAATATGAAACGTCAGTGACTGAACGTTACTAAACTCTTTGCAAGGAGCAATCGACTGCATCTTTTTTAAACTTTAAAGGGTTCGTGATTAGGTTATGATACGCAGAAGGGTGTGTGCGTTTAAGGACAAGGACACACACAAAGCCCAACGCCACTGCGGAGTCACCGAAGATTTTAGAAAGGTCGGCAAAAATAGTACGACAGTCAAACTTTTGGGACTTAGGAAGGTAAAGTGCACCTTGTTGAAAGTGAAGGGAAAGCAGTCAATCATTTTATCGAGGATTTCCTATTTTTCAAAAGGTTCTTGAGTAACAGAATTTGCAGCTCAAGTAAATGAAAACGTCTCCTCTCAATGTCCAGATTTTATAGAACACGATCAGACAAAGTGGCTTGTGTGGATCTCATTACAGGCGTTTTCTCGTACAGGTTAATAGAAGAACATGTTGCTTGTAACGATGAAAGAATATCTACGATTTACTTAAAAGAGCAGCTGGTGAACTCGACTTTAGCATTTGGATTATAGGATGTTACCAACACCAAGACCGCCAAATGAATGAAGCTATTTAAAAAGTAATCATACGTAGTAATAAGTGAGAGCCTTTTAAAATAAAGTATATACTTTAAAAGATGTTGCAGGAAATAGGTCCACCCTGAACAGACATTTAAGGTCTGCTGAATTTGTCACACTATGTGTGTTATGCATTTTCATTCCAGCAAACACCAACACTTTATCCTCGGGAACTTTGGATCACATTTTTACTCTTGTTTGTTCATCATTTTAAATAAGGACTGCAGTGGTTTTATCCGTCAGTGATTGGAAAGTTCATGTCACGTCAGTCTGCTCTCCGTTCGGTTGACTGTGCAACGAAGGGCAGGTTTTTGGTGGTGGACAAACCGCCGTTGCATGAAATTCCGATCATTTATCTCTAGAAACGCATTTGCCAGAATGTTGTCAGATAAAGAGCAGGTAACAGGTAGCAACGCAAGTTACCTGCACAAAGCGCGTGCTGTTTACGGAGAATCCTTTTAGTAACGTTACGCGCTTTGCCCTCCTCTGGCTGAAGAACAAGACCTCTACCTCGGTCTCTCAGACCGGATTAAACCCATTAATTCCCAACCTAGCATTCCATCTAGCCGTGACCCCATGCAGCTGGCTCAGGCGGACTGAAACCCGTAAATTCACCAACTTCAAAAGTTGACAGCTACTCAAGTTGGCTCCATGACACGACTTATTCCTCCGAACATGACAACCGCTTGTGTACATAACCAAAGCAACCACAGCTGTCTGAACCGTAGCGGCTAGCCAAATTAGCTTAGTGACCATTAGCTAGACTGTGATCACCTGTGACAAATGCCGCTTTATCACCGCTTTGGCGACAGCCGTGTGCCGTTAAATGTGGTCGAGCACGTCGCGTGGCAACGCCTGCTGCCCGGACTCCATCGCCCGCGGGCCTCCGCGTTGAAAAAGTGACCGTGTCAACAAGCGGAATCGCTCCTGTCTGACTGTGCTTTTTGATGCATTGGATACAGCGTCTGCTAGCTTGGGGGGGGGTTAGCACGCCAACCGTCAGCTGTCTAGCAACCGTCGGCTAGCCAGCTAGCTTGTTGTAACGAAAATTGATTAGAGGGCGAGCTCGGCTACGCTAGCAACGTTTTGGCGTTCTGATGGGCGAAGCTGGACCGACGTAAGGCCCGCGTGCGGACCCGCCAGCCCGGATTCCGACTTTCCAAATTATCGAAGTGAAAGACAAGCTAGCTAGGCCCGCGTTAGGTTTCGAGCCAAGGGGCCAGGCAAGGCCGGGGCACAGGCCGTGTTAGCACGGGTTAGCTTAGCATGCTAGCTGATAGCCGTGCGAACCCGTTGCGTTTGCAGAGAGACAGCGAAGAAGAAGAAGAAGAAGAAGAGAGAGAGACGCTTTTGAGGCACTAACGTTTCTGTCTGCGTCAAATCGAACCGTAAACAGTCCGTGCTTACCCGGCCACCGCGGCGAATGCACGCCGGTACCGAAACAGTGAAACGTGGGGGCTGCGGTTCGTTTCTGACCTTTAGAAAAATAAGAATAAGAAGCCTACCCATTAGCTCTCTGCCTCTGCTGGTTCTTCTACACTGGGATATATTGGAAATGATGGAGAGCCGCACTGCGCATGCGTGGCAGGATCAAGCAGCAGATGGGAGAGGTGATGCACGTTACCCCCACAGCTCGCATGCATAAGCTCTCTATGGCAAAACGGGAATAAAATTATGAAATGAATGAGGAACAACTGGATGTGTGGGTGGGATGACTCACACAGAGTTGTGGCTCCTATTGTGGGTTATGGGGGCCTCCAGGGGCTGCTGAGGGAGCTTCACAAATAAAGAACAGTTCACGTGGTTTCAATTATTTGAATTTAGCCTTCTGACCGCTCGTATAATCACGTTGCACCCTTTTGATTATAAGGGATCCATTTATATTGCATTTCCTGGCTGAGACATGTTCAAATAATTTTAATGCACGCAAAATGGTAATAAAATAAAATATTATTTCTGGCAGGTCAAAAAGCCTGGGAAGCAGCATTTAAAGTAAGAACATTTCAAAAGAATACTCATAGTATGTTAATAAATACATTGTTGGGACAAAAGACAATACCAATCTGTAAGGCAGGTGTGGTAATTCAGCACGAAACATAGAGGCACTGAAGCAAAAAATGATGTTCAGCAAAATAATTTCCCTGGATAAAATAGATAAAGGTCACAAAAGCTCAGATGTGGAGCTGTAAAGGAGAGGAGACGTAGCTCAGGGTGCAAATGCTAGAATTGTGTCTGAAGGTCAAACCTGTGGAGACGTTAAATTAATTCAGTGTGTGGCTGTTGTAAACGGGCCGCTTCGTGTATTTTTAAGGGCAAACACGGAGCTGAATGTTCGAGCGGTGAGTCGTATTTTAGAATAATGTGACAGGCTTAACGTGGAGCAGAGACGGTTTGTGAGATATCTGGTGGTTTATTGGGCTTTTTTCATCAGTCAACCAAAAGTCACAGGGAACGTGTGGTCACCGTCAAAGATGTCATGCAGGCATTCAGATGAACAAAATCAAAATCAAAACTGTGGGGATGGATTAAAAAAAGAAATAAATCCGAATTACATTTAATTCCCTCTGCTGGGGAAACCATTGTCATGTTTTGAAATGCCACAGGCTTCTTTACTACCCCAAATCAGAAGTATATAAACGCTTTATAGAATTTGAATTTCTGGAGTCTCTACAATATTTTTTTTGTAAATAGGGTCTAAAGGATAGAAATGTAACCTTACAAGCGCGTCTAATGGCGGTTGCATGGAGCACTCTGAACATCTGGAGGGGGTTAAAAGGTCCAGAGAATGATTTAAAGCCAACATTGGATCAATACATTTGTTTTTATTGTTCTCACGAAATATTAAAAAAACGTCACAAAATGGGCAAAGCATCATGACTAGAGCACATAAACACCGTGAGATCTCAAACAAACTCAAATAGTCGGATGTCAGCATGTGTTTCTGTTGATATCAGACAGTGAGATGAGTAACGTGTGTATGTGTATGCGTTGTGTTTGAAAGCCGTGGTTTATTACAACAGGAACAGTGCGTCCGTTCTCTTCTGACGCTCAGCCAATCAGAGACGGGAGAATCCGTAAAAGCCGGAAGTCGTCACCGCCGGCGGAGCGGCGTTCCCGCGGAGACTGAGCCCTCGCCGACCGTGAGTTCTGCGTGTCATCGGGTTTGTCTCTTTTATCGTTCCGTGCGCTTAATTGCTCCACATAATGAAACGCGGCTCGAGTCAAACAGTCAAAGTTCCTCTTTGTTGAGCTAACGAGCCCCGGACGCTTAGAACGGCGCGAGGGGGGGACGTGTACCAAAGGACACATACGCATATAACATTATATAAGCATCTCTTTTCAAACCATCGAAGACAAATTGCGCCCGTTTCTGGGTTTTTATAAGCTATTTTATAAATGGGCATAAGTACTCAACGATGAACCCTCAATATGCCGAGTCGTTAATAAAATGACCCGTGTTTCAGTGTCGAGTCACAGCATCATGAGCAAGAGGAAGATGCAACCTGCTGATCTGCCAGCGGGGGAATGCGTCTCTCAGGTGTGTATCTGCCAACTTGACTTGTGAACATGCAACTTGTTTACGCGTGACGTCTCACTGCGGTGCCTGTCGCTGATCTTCAGCTGCAGGAGATGCTGAGGCAGCGGCTGTGTCATCAGCAGCTCCCTGACCGGCCCGAGGGAGTGGAAGCGCAACACAAGTGGGTTCATCTCAACTTCTCTGTTTCTGTCCAACCAACAGTAACACACATGAGTAATGACCATAGCTTCAGATTCATTTTCTATTAATCCACTGGCTGTTTTTGCTGTAGTGTTTTAGGTCATATAAAGGTTTTTGATGTGTTGGAAGTGGCCATTGTCGCTGTGAGGGGTATGGCGTAGTGTTGTAGTGGTGTATTGGTGTAGTTGTAGTGGTGTAGTTGGGGGAGGGGGGGATGAAAATAAGATTCACACGATCAAAGGGAAGTCCCTGAAGCTACAGTAGCTTTGTCATCTGTAATCCGGCCGAGTCCCAGTGACCTGGCGGACAGCTGTCCCAGTTTAGAGAAGCTCCAGTTCCCCGCAGACTTGAACACGACACGCGTAGCCCAGATGTAGTGAAGTCCACCTCCACCACGCAGCATTTTATTTTACACTCATTAGTGGTTTGAAAGAAGTCTCTCAACTACTGAACCTGCTATTTTCTGCAGCTGCAGGAGCATTCTGGGTATTGTAGTGAAAGCTCTGTATTTTCAGACACCTGCTGGAGCTGCTGAAGAGGACATCCGTCCACGGGGAGAGTAACTCTGTGCTCATCGTCGGGCCCAGAGGAGCAGGGAAAACAATGGTGGGCCTCTGCAGCCAGATCACGTAGTTAAAATGATAAGATGATGATGATGATGATGATGAAGTGTGCCTAAATCCTGGGAGCGGTTGTGTGTTTGCAGCTGCTGAAGTGTGTGCTGCGAGACCTGCAAGAGGAGAAAGAAGCGGAGAAGAACCTGCTCCAGGTTCATCTCAACGGTACAAAGTCCAAACCCGATGTCGTTTTTTCAGAATGACAGCATTAGGAATGTTGTGGGATTCTTCTTGTACACGCCCCCCAGGGCTCAAACCTCGACCTCGGATCTCTTTATTGCCTGCAGGTCTCCTGCAGACTGACGACAGAATAGCGCTGAAAGAAATAACGCGGCAGCTGCACCTGGAAAACGTCGTCGGCGACAAAGTGTTTGTGAGTGTTTGGAAAGAGTTTCAACCGCTTAAACGAAACGGCTTGAAAACGTCCTCCTCTTTGATTCCAGGGCAGTTTTGCAGAGAATTTGACTTTCCTGCTGGAGGCGTTGAAGAAAGGTCAGAACATCTAGTGTTTATAAAGAGTGTGGCACAGTTTCTTTTTGGGGAGGTTCCCCCACTCGACTCTTTCTCCCATCCAGGTGATCGCAGCAGCAGCCGCCCGGTGCTCTTCGTCCTGGATGAGTTCGACCTGTTCGCCGCCCACAAGAACCAGACCCTGCTCTACAACCTGCTGGACGTGTCCCAGTCCGCCCAGGCCCCCATTGCCGTGGTGGGCATGACCTGCAGACTGGTGAGCCTCGCTCAGGCACCGCGCGGCTTTGATGGCACCGATGTTTTTTTTTTTTTTTGACCACGGCGGTTCCTTTTTTTTTCCCTCCAGGACGTCCTGGAGCTGCTGGAGAAGCGCGTGAAGTCGCGGTTCTCCCACCGTCAGATCCACCTGCTGAGCAACCCCACCTTCGCCGAGTACCTGGGGCGGGTCCGGACCCGGCTCGGCCTGCCCGACCACTTCCCCGACAGCAGGTTCGCTGCGGACTGGAACGCCAGCGTAGAGGTGAAGGGCGGGCCGCACCTGGGCGTTGAACATCTGGATTTAGACGTCCGCAGTCTGACTGTCCCCCCTGCTTGTGTTCGTTGTTCAGACTCTGTGTGAAGACAAATCGGTGGAGGAGGTTCTACGGAGACACTTCCACTCCAGCAAGGACTTCCGCTCCCTGCACATGCTTCTGGTGCGACACGCCTCATCTGAACTGTGACGGACCACATCCTGCCTCTTAGCTTTACCTCCTAACCCCTTTTTAAAATCCTCCAGATGTTGTGTCTGAGTCGCGTGTCTGTGGCCAAACCCTGGATCAGGCCAGCGGACCTGCTGGAGGCCAGCAGACTGAGCTTCGCGGACGGCGAGGCGAACATGCTCCACGGTAAGCGGCGGCCCGCTGGCACTCGGGACCGTCTCCCTCGCGCCCGTGTTGTACCCGTGTTTTGGCTCCTCTCTCCGTAGGTCTGTCCATCCTGGAGCTGTGCCTGATCATCGCCATGAAGCACCTGAACGACGTGTACGAAGGAGAGCCGTTCAACCTGCAGATGGTTCACAACGGTACGGCCCGTTTGTGGTTTGGTCGTGAAAGAACTTCAAGATGAAGACATGGAGGAGCACTTTTAAGTTATAAAAAACCATTAAATATCAGCCAGAAGGTTGTTCGGCTTCTTCTTTACTTGTACATAATCATTTTCTTCATGTTCTGTTTTTTTTCAGAGTTTAAGAAGTTCCTGCAAAGGAAGTCAAACTCCATGTACAACTTTGACCAGCCGGTCATCTTGAAGGTGTGCGAGTCCTGTTTCTTTTACATAAAAATTGTAGTGACTTTGAGTCAATTATAGTACTTATTCCCTTATGTAGCATCGGTATGCAAGACCATTCTGAATGACAACCGACCACATTTAGCTACAGTTCTACACTGCTTTATTTCCTAATGCATACATCTTATGTACGGTAGCATACCACCCCCTGCTGGTGTGGAGAGTTAATGCCATTACCAACACATCACAAAAATGGTCTTTTCACCGTCTTCAGGCCTTTGAGCACCTGCAGCAGCTGGAGATGATCCGGCCGGTCGACAGCTCCTCGGCCAAAACTCAGAGGGAGTTCCAGCTGATGAGACTCATGCTGGACCACAGTCAGATCATGGAGGCCCTGCAGAAGTACCCACAATGCCCCACGGAGGTCAAGCAGTGGGCCATGTCGGCGTTCGGCTAAGACTCTGCCTACATTTGGGCCTCCATGTAGACCGTTGTTCTGTTTGCTGTGGAATAAATCCTCAGAGGTCTGTGACACTGAACTGGACCAAAATGACAGGAGAAAGCACGGCTGCCGTCTGTACGAAATGTACTCTGAATATAACATTTTTCAAAATTTGTTGGACACGTTTTGCTTTACTGATGCTGAGGATGTGCTCAAATAAAATGTGTATTATATGTTGTATTGTGAATCAATCAAGACACCTGTTATCAACCATAACCTAAGACGTGGCGTCAGGGCGTCACGCTGCCATCTAGTGGTGGTTTCCTGCCATTATAACCACCTGCACATGTCAGGAACTTCAATTGATAAATACATCGTAAGTCACGATTGAGTCAGTGAACAAAGGAGACACCGCATTCACAATCTAAAAACATTTATTTACATCACGTGGATCACTTCAGCTGATAAAAACCATGAGCCCGGTCACAGCGCTGACCTGGGATCTGCTCTCCGATCAGGCTCCAGGGTTTTTGAAGTTCTTCTGCTGCAATACTTTTCAGAGGGAAGTTTTCTGATCCTCCCTCCACTGCAAGGTCAAAGGTCAGGGTGGGACTGCCCTGGAAATGGTGCTACTACTGCCTTAAGTCCCATCAATGTTACTATTTTCCACATCTTTCGGTCAAGATGCAAAGAAGAAACCATTTTATTAGCATGTGACCAAATCAGATTTATTGGATACTTCCGGCCTTAAACACCAGAAACCCTGTGAGCATCGCTTCCTGTACACGCTGCGCTGGCAGATCCTGGATCAGCGCTGCGACTCCAGAGCCTTGAGAAATGTGGGGTCACAAATGTAGTGTTTTGGATTGGGGAGGGAGGGGGGGGGGGTTCCATCCAGACAAAGTCTCGGCGGCGAGGTCATTCGAGTCCAATGTTTCCTCTAAAAATGTGACTAACCGTGGGAAAAGGAGGGGCTGGAATGAAAGACCTGTAGTGGAGTACTGATGTTCGAGAGCTTTGGAGCTCCTTCAAATTACAACCGTCAGGGACCTCGTGGAGGATTCCTCTTCTTTAATGGCGAGGAACCCCTAAGTGCTTTCTTGGATGCCTTACAAAGTACTCCAATGGGCCTGTAGCTTTTCAGCTTGACACAAAGCTCAACTTAAAGCATTTATTCGCATTGTGAAGGGACCATATTTATGCAGCCGGGACCCATACCCGCTGGCGAGGCAAAACACCAAGCTAGGAGACGTGAATTGAGAGGAGACCGGAAGTTCAACACGCACTTATAAAGGTTCAGAGTATATAGTTGATACAGGTACGTATGTTCTCATGTCTGTACACATCCTAGACTGCTTAAAATAGTGGGGGCAACAAGACACAAATGTTTCACTGGTAGTTAATATGCAGCGTGAGGCGCTGGGCTGCAGGAAGTCCACACAGAAGCCCGCGACGCCTGCTGAGGAAACCCGCCCATACACCTCCGGGTGACCCCATCCGATGACCCCGTCCGCAGCCCAGAAGGGAAGCAGAGACGGGTTCCACGTGTTCACAAGCGGACGCGGGGGTTCGTTCAGGTGACCCGTGTGCAGGGTTGAGGGGCGGAGGTCTCGGGCCGGAGCAGCAGGAAGGCCAGAAGTTACTTCACTCCTGCTGCTCTCCTCCTCGCTGCGCGGCGGTGCTGCTTCAGCTGCCTCCTTCACGTCCAACCAGGAGGCGTGGGAGTGAGTCCCCGGGGTGCGTTGGTTTTACTAGTTTCCACGGCGACGGGGCACAATCAAGCGAAAAACCCGCCAAACCGGCCGGGCCCCCCCCCTCCACCTCCACCCAGGAGCCTGAAGAACATTCATTCTCGGTCGGCAGTCCGCAGACTGAATAGAAAGACGCACGTTACAGTTTACATCTTTTCTTTTTGAATTAATTAAAGTACTTCCTGAATTACAACCCCCCCCTCAAACAAACCGTGCCAACTCAGCTTTATTCAGAGTCGCACCCAATGTTGTGTTACCCCAAACCTCAGGCCTGTAAATAACAAAATAAATACAACACATCAATATGCCAGGTAACGGATACAAAGGAAATCAGAATGCTACACGTTATTTGTGTGTCTGTGTTGTGTGTCCCTCCTGCAGGGTACTTAGCGCCACTGGTTGCATATAACTTGCTAGAACTTAGAAAAGCATAGTACTGAATCCCTGAATGGTGTTTGTTAGTTCGGGTCGGTTCCTCAAAGCGCGGTTTGAAGCAGAGCCGTTTAGTACTGAGCGATGGGGGGGGGGCTGATGATGGGTTTCTCAGCTCTACTCGCCACTTTGGCAGGAAACCACAACCGGCGGTTTCTGAAATACTGGCGAGCGACTGTTGAAGAGTAATACTGGCGCCTCTGCTGCCGGTCAGCGCATCCGTCCTGCTCTTCGGTCTCGTGCAGCAACGCGGTAAAAACGCTGAGTCATCTCATGGTCGGGGACTCCAACGGAACATTCAGCTCAGTCGAGGGGTTAAATGAACACGCGTTCTCCTCCGGCTCGACACTGGATCTGAAATGCTTTGGCAGAGAGACGTTTCTACACCTCTGGTTTAAAAAGAAAACGCTCGATTCTAAACCGCGTCTTGTGAAACCGTCCCGAAGCTGGAGGAGAGACTGCAGGTCGGCGCCAGTGTGTCAACGTCCCTCAGGAGAAAGAAATACTCTGAAAAATGTCATTGCTTCACAACGACGACGACGAATACATCCGTTTTGCCTGACATCTACTAGAGTGAACTACTATGGTACGTCGAAATGGCACCGGGAGGAGAGCTCCTCGTCTCGCTGCGCGGTCAACGCCTCTGTGTTCATTATTTTAGTGAAAAGCCCGAACAGGTCCAGAGCTACGAAGGTCCGAGCGGCCGCTCCAGTAGAAATACTGACGTAGGACTTAATAAAAGAGGGTGTGGGGATCGACAAGGCTCGACCGGCACATTAGTGTTGAGATGAAGCTCTATCTGGTCCTAAAGCCTGTGGAGACACACGGCACGGCAACTGTTAGATGAGGGGGGGGGGGGGCACGTATCAACAAGAGAGGAGGTACTCCTGTCTGAGACGGGTGAGGATGAGTAGCAAAGTTTCCTGAGGTGTATCAAAAGAGAGCAGAAACTCTTGATAGTAAGAAAAAGAAAAGAGATGCGTGAGCAATCAAATCCAGAAGCGAGCCGGCTGATCAGGAATACTGATCCAGATGAGCGTGGCTCCAAACCCGTCCCCTCCTGGAAGCAGACACGTGGGAGGAGGAACAAGACACCGAGGATCAAAAGAACCAAAAGGTAACATTGGCTCACCCGGAGATATAAATACACATCCTGTAAATCCACATCTCAGACACAAGCAGGCTGGTCAGCGATAGATATTATTACTCTGTTGGCATTTGACACTGCAAACCAAAAAAAACTGGGGAAGAAAAAAATCTATTTAAACGACCACTTTATCGTGGGGATATTCTTTTTTTGTTCATCAAAATCTCAAAGAGAAAAGAAATAACCAACAAGGGAAGGTCAATATTCAGCCACACATCAAAGTGGAGACAACTAAAGATTGAGAAGGGGGAGGAAAAGGGGAGAAACACTGGGGTTGTTTGGCGCGTACGGCCGTGTTGACAGAGGCTGTTTGGATGTCACAATGAGTGAGCGATGACTGAAAAGGGACTAATTCAATCTGTCCATCTGAACTGAGGTATCCCTGGTTGAAGGAGGTTTATGGTTTTTAATCGCCGTAATGCTTGAAGATGGACCCCCCCCCCCCGCCCCTCCCCCTTCAAAAGAAGCTCGATTACCAAGTTGCCTGGGTCCATAATACACTATGTACAGCAGCATTACACTATAAACATTCAGAAGCCGTTGCTTATTGGCAGAACGATAGTCGTTTCCTCAGAAAAACGCACACAAGAAAACAGCAAAAGTATTGAGAGCCTGATGCTCGTCTTTTTCTTCTTTTTCTTTTTTGTTTTACACTAAAATGCACTGAGAGTTCTGTGAAATTCTTCTGCCGGATCTTCTCTCTCTGTAGAAAACCGGGCAGAACAGGTCGCCCCCCTGTGTGTGTGTGTGTGTGTGTGAAAACAATACATGATAAAAGTGTTTGTTGCGTGTCGGCGTCCCAGCAGCTGAGCACCTCTTTGTTTCATCCTCAACGGTTTCCACAGGTAAAATGTTACATATTAATATGGTATCGGGTGACGTGGTGAGGCGGGCGCAGGGTGTTTCCTGAACGCGAGTAGCGGCCCGCACTTCAAAAAAGGAACAAAAACAGAAAAATGGAAAGAAGGAACAAAAAAAGAAAAATAACACCTCGCCAACCGGCCCGGGTCGGCTGCTCATCGCCTCGCGCTGATCCGCGCTCCGGCTGGCGCTCATAAGCTGGACTCCTTGGGCTGGAGGTCCACGTTGGTCACCGTGGTGACGACGGTGACGATCTCCTCGGGCCCGATGACGGGGGCCTGGCGCTTCATTTGGCCGATGCGCTCCTCCACGCAGCCGGCGGACAGGCGAGCCTCGGCCTCGTGGTCCCAGCAGTCCTCGATGGTCTCACACAGCATGGCCAGACCCTGAGAGAGAGAGAGAGAGAGCGCAGCGGGGTCATCCAGGGTCACGTGATCAGCGTCTCCACGGGGCTCTGCTGGATCCGAGACGTCTCTGCTCACCGCGTGTTTCTGCCAGCAGTCCCTCAGAACGGGCCTCAGCTTCTTATGGACGACCACATCCTGCATGTCCTCCAGAGACGGGTGCTGACCCACCTCCTCCTCAAAGGGGAGCATGTACTCATCCACCGGGCCTGGTAACAAACACATTATTACACTATTAAAGTGAACCCAAAGACAGCGGGCGGCACGGCGGCCACATCGAATGCGGTGGTCTCACCGTCGGCGGCGGTGCACCGCGCGGCGAGCTCCCAGAGGACCAGGCCGAAGGCGTACATGTCGATGCGCAGGAAGGAGTCACGTTGGAAGTTGATGGCGCCCTCCAGGACTTCGGGAGCCATGTAGCGCCGCGTCCCCACCTGAGGGGATGAGTGGGGCGGGTTACGATGGAACAGCTTGAGAGGTCAAGGGTGAACATCAAGCACAAGCTGCCAGGAATCAGGAAGTCATGGAACAGCTCGACGATGTACTTAGTTGGCGGGGGACGGTACCAGAAGTTCCATTAGTGCGAGTTAGGAGATTCCTGTCCCACACTGCCACCTACTGGCACCTCACAAATCAACACATTCACGTTGAAAACACCGCCATTAGCTAGCGGCCAAAAGGCAAGACACGTGGTGAAGACGTGGACGAGTTGTTCCCATTTCAAACCGTACCTGTCCATGTGTGTCTCCTGCAGATTTCCCCGCCTCAAACTGCAGGGCAAGGCCAAAGTCGGCGATGCAGGCCGTCAGGTTGGTCTTCAGCAGCACGTTCTTGCTCTTGATGTCCCTGAGAGGCAACGAGGGAAACACATTGAGTGCGACGGACCACAGTGTGTCGGAGTGATGGAAGCCGTGTCGATATCTAGTCAGCGGAACCTGTGAGCGATGGAGGGCTTGTGTCCGTCCTTGTGTCCCGGGATGTCCTCGTGGAGGTAGGCCAGGCCGCGGGCCGCCGTCTGGGTGATGTGGCACAGCTCATTCCACGACACCACGTTGGCCTTCAGGTAGTCGGTCATCGAGCCCTGGAGACGATGTTACGCGTTTAATAATTACATAAATCACTGGCTTAATGGTTCTTTATGAATAAATGCAGTTCCCGTATACTGAGATGTTTACGCTTTAATCTTCAACGGCACCGCTTACGTTCCTTTTCCTCGACAATTCCACGTTCTTATATAATGTATGTCAGTAGGATACAAGGTCACTTCCTGCGGGGCCAAAGACAGCCGTAGTTGCAGTAGTGACCACCAGGGGGCAGCCGACTTCAACAGATGTAGATGCATTTAGTCCGCGTGATTATTAAAAAGGCAACATCCCTGGCAGCCATTACTACAAATATTTTAATTATAGGGAGTTTTGGAGGGGCCTGCATCCTTCGAGCAAGCCCCTGCATGCTACGGATAGTGCAAACCTCAACACGTGAAGCTGCGTACGTGCACCGAGCATCGAGGCATAAATCAGCTGTCAAGGCCTCTCCAATCACTGCTCCAGCTGTTACACCAGCGAAGGCTCAGCCCGAGCTGCCGTGGCCAACGTTCCCAAAAACTGGCAGGAAGGAAAAGCTTTTTGTAGGTTAGAGTTTAAGTTATGTATCCCCTACAGACTTGTCCTTTCAGAATAATTACAGTGCACGCTTGGCAAGGCTCAAATCTGTGCTTGTCGGATGACCTTTGCTAAAACTAGTCCATTCAATGGTATTCCTACTTGAGGAGCTTCTACGAGCCAGAGGAGCACTTGCTGACGTACTGCGGGGTTGAGTGGCTGACCAAGAGGTGCATTGTTGGGTAAAAGCCCCACACCCACAACCCCTCCAACCTTAATTCACACAGGGAAGGTCTTCAAGCACGGCGATTTAAATTCTCGGCCAGGCGGGGAAAAACCCAAGCAAGCGAGAATCACTCTCCACTCCGTCGGTAATGACCCTCAAAGCACAGAGGCACTTAGAGCCCCCCAACGCCGCCGAGGGCGAGTGAAGCACCACGCGGCCAACAAAGCCCAAATCCACATTCTCTGGACAAACAGGGCTGGTGAAAAGGAAAGGGGAACAGCATGAAGTGTATTGTGATTGTTGGATTAGCAAGACAATGCCTGTTTTCTTGCCTTTACAACTTCCCAGCAGCCCGTCCTGGGGGCTGCAAGAGCTGTGTAGAGGGAGCACGGGACAATGTCTTCACAGGGACACACACTAACCGGGTTATTTGGTAACCGGAGATGGGTCGTCTAAAGCCCGCCGCTAATCACATTCCTCCTGTGTTGTAGACCAAAAAGGAAGCGCCATGTTGATTCTTTTCTTACTATGTTAATGCGTCTGAATTTGACAAATTGCCTCTCGCTCGGTTGTGGGAACTCGAGCGCTTATTTGGACTCATTTTTTCCCAGTCCTAGTTTCAGTTACACACTAGATTGAATTATTTTGGATGCAGCGATGCAGCACCAACAGCTTTCATCTGTTCACCCTCCGCACTGTTGCTGCAGCAAAGCTTTCCCCCCTCCGATGTCTTCATCAGGGTTTAGATGAAGCTAGCTTAGCCAGGCTAGCGTCGTCAGGTTTAGAGGCTGGACTAAAGGTAGATTTTGTACCAATCTTTCAGTGGATAAGCTCTTTTGACCTTGTTAGGGGAAAGAGAATGCAGGCTCTCTACATTTATGTTAAAATGGGCAATTCAGTCATCAAAAATAATTGTGTTACATTAGAAAAGACCATATGCGCCCACTTCTCCTCCCTCCCGGACAGCGTACCCTTTCGTGGTAGGCGGTGATGAGCCACAGCTCCAGGTCCAGGTTGTTGTTCCTCTTCTCCGCGCCCATAAAGTGGAGGATGTTGTCGTGCTTCATGCCGCTCACGCTGAAGATCTCGTATTCGTTCTGCCATGACAGCTTGTCCTGGGCCGAGGAGAGACACGGATGCAGATTTTATTTCTCTCACCAAGTCGAGTTATTTGGGCATCCGAGTCTCGCCCTGAAGCCTCGTCAGAGTTTGTTGAAATTAAAGTAACTCCTCTCCCTCACATTTCCACCGTCTCCTTTCAGCAACAAGTCCCCCGACATTCTCCTTCAGCGACATTAAACGTGGACATATTTCATTAACGTTACCCTCTAACAAATCAAGGTCACGCTGGTGAAGATTAATGTTAGAAGTGATTCGATACGACGGAGGAAACGTCTTGGGCGTCTCCTCGCCGACAGCTTCCTCGGTTCAATACCTGAATGGGGAAGATCTTTACAGCCACGACGTCGTTCAGCAGCTGGGCCTTCCACACGCACCCGAAGCGGCCCCTGGCCTTCATCTCAATCAGCTGCAGCGGTTTGTGTCCCAAAATGGGGGACGGGGGTGAGGGCCCGGGGTCCTGTGGGGGGGCGAGAGAGAGAGAGAGAGAGAGAGAGCGTTATTCTTCCCCTCGCGACATTGAAACAGCATCGGCTTCTGCTGAAGGTGACCGGGCCGTTGGCACGGCAACAGCGTGCCTGAGGAGCTTGGGCAGCAGAGGCAGCGTCATCTCCACATCCTCAAACACAACTTGCATTTATAGACTGAGGTGGCCAGGTGCACTTACGATCCTTTGCCAACATGCTGCTTTTAGCCGCTCTCTTTATGCTTTATGCAGTGGAGCCTCAGTACTTCTGTGTTTTATGGATCAGCGGTTTGCTTTATTTGATAGTTGAAGCACTTGGGAGAGCGCTGCGTGTTTGAAATCAGCTTTATTAATATTACTGTGACGTTTTTTGGCAGCGAGGACACAGCATATTAAATAGGGGTTTGATTCATTCATTTCAAAACGCAATTAAACCCCTGGATGCTGCATTTGCTCGAGTTAACAGACATCGCAACTGGAAAAGTGCCAGTTTGGATCAAATCGGTCAAGGAGAACAAAGTTGAAATCTGAAACCTCCACTGCCACTGAGCAAGGCACATAAAGCTCAGGCTTTAACCCCAATGAATATGAACGGGGCTGACCGAAAGGAACCATATATTCTGGCAGGTCAAACCTCATGCGTGTGTCATGCTAATCCCGTATAAACAAAAGTGGGAGCGAGGAGGCCAAGTGTTCCAAATGTAGAGTAGGTTAAACACAGCTGGTGATCGGTATTAAGCTGATCACTTTCACATGTGACTTCACAGGGAAGGACGGACGGGGGGGCAAAAAGAAGCATGCACTGAGGGAGTCACATTTCCAAAGGATAAAAGGTAGCGGAGAAAGATTAGCACATGACTGATGGCCTCAGATGAAACCAGATATGCTTCTGTAAAATCTCCACTTCACCTCCAGGTCTGTGTATCGCTGTTGTCAGGAAAAGAAGAAAAAGCCCCCCCCCCTCCCCGCAGCCAATGTTCGTGTTTTTACTTGAACTGAAGGCTTACAAGGTGCTCGATAAGCTGGAGCGAGTTTCAAGGACCCCGAGGCCCACAGGCTCCATTCAAGTAGCGTGGTGATTTATCAAAGGACCTCGTCAAATGGCACCTCCACATAAAATGCCCCTTTGGGTTAGAGGTTTGCTCCCTATAGGAGCCACGGGCGAGGTGAAGCACTCATAATGCGTCCCTTCTGGCTGTGGGGAATTTAAAAAAAAAAGGTACATTACTGCCGGGGTTCTGGCATCCGGCCTTTCTTAAAGACAAACACGCGTCTCTTTGGGCGCCTGTCCCGACAGGAATATCGTGGCATCGGAAGCCAAGTGTACTTAGATTTTTATTTGAAAATGTTCACCTGGTCCGGAACAACAACACAAAAAAGAAGGTTCTGCCGTTTGGAGGAGAATCTCACATGAAGAGAGAGTCAGCAGTTTTGTTCTTAAATGACATGTGATTCTCCAGTTCAATACTTTAATATCTGTGCCTGCTGTTCCTCCACGATACACGAGGCCTAGGAAAGAAAAAAAAAAGCACAATTTCTGATGTAAAAATATGGGACTATAGAACAAAACGGTGCAGAAATGCAGATTCTTGTGGTGGTTTGGTGCATTGCATGATGTTAGTTGTATTCCAGAGCTGATCTCTGATACCCGACTCATTGGTTCCGGGGGTGCAGGTCGTACACACAGTAGCAGCTGCACATTGAAAGAATGGAGGAGTCTTTGACGAGCTGCCTCGAAGCGTCTCCCCTCTGACAGAGAGCTGTGAGGCAGACCTGCTGTCTCCGGGCGCCGCGTTCACACCGAGCGCCGGCCAAGAGGCGGGAGAACGTCACCCGCGGCGGTGCCCGGGTCGGATTACATCGCGGGCCCGACTCGGCACCACGGAAAAAAAAAACACCTTCAAGAACACGATGTACTCGGATTCACAAAAATGTTTCTTTCTGTGTTCAGCACATTGAGTAGCACCTCTTACTTTGTGCAGGAGGAGATGGAACTAAAAACGTACCGCTCAGTCAGTAGCGGTTATTATTTCTAAATATTGTGATGCGCTCAGTGTTTTGAAGCAATTCATCAAATTGTCTGCCTCTCCAAACCCTTGTGTGTGTGTGTGTGTGTGTGTGTGTGTTTTTTTGTGGTCGCTAATTAAAGCATTTCCCATTCTGATCAGGATTCGTATTTTAAATGCAATCCATAGAGGAGTCTGCAGAAACAAAAGCACTAAAAACAAAGCTTGCGCGATTAGGATTCGGTTCATGCTTTAGACGGTTTAACCACGCGGGTTGTTAACCAGACGGCCATTAAATCGACACAACGAGGTTCTGTGTTGTAGGTCCCTGGTGATGAGAGACGCGGCGCGTCTCCACGGCAACCCTCGGTGCATCGCCCAGACACGCTCCTGAGCATCCGGTGAAATATGTGCCACCGCCTCCAATCAAGATGACGGACAGGTGGGAATGACGACTGACGGGCGTGATGATCCTCGCCGTCGGCAGAGCGCCGCGCTGCGCTGAAAGTCATCAACGTCCAGGCTTTTGGGGATGATGATGGAACAAACTTTGCTGTCGTTTTATTGGATCCGCATTGGTTTCTGTAAACTCGCCGTCCCTCTTTCGGGCTTTGGCCTGACGACCCGCCCCCCACCGGGAGTCACCGGATCCCTCGTCCGATCGCAGGGCGCCGTGGCGCATTACACTTAGTCAGCAGACCACAGGAAGCAGGAAAACAGAATCTGCTGCTTCACGCCGTTCTTCCCAACCCTCAGCCGGCTCCCATGGCCCGGTCGGGTTACACCTTCATCAGAACGGGTCCTTTAGGTCCTCTTTGGTTGCTGCCAGGCTTATGTCTTGCTATGGTTGATTTTTGTTTTAGCGATGGTTATTCTGGGCTCAGCCTCATGTCTTAAGGTCATATGATGGTTGATATGGCCATAAAACTGGAGGTTAAATCATTATATCAAAGACAGACTGATGACCTAAGCGAGTGTTGACTCGGAAGGCTGGACTGACGGTAAGCCCGACGTTCTTACCCAGGGAGCATTCTCTGTGATGTCTGCAGCCATGCTTCTACTTAGGCTGATGCTCCTCCTGTGCTTAAGTCATTTACACTCTGACTTGAAACGTGTTCCAGGGAAGTAGCATTTATCCTACTTATGCAAAATGTGGCTGCACTCTTCAGTCAGCAAATAAGATGGAGAAGCATGCAGCAGTTTGCATTCCTCCTGCTCTGCTTCTGAGCCGTCGGTCCAGCAGGTACCATTCTGGAAACTGGGTCACATCAGGCACAGCGCGTTACATAAACATCACAGGTGGACATTTGTACACAATACTAGAAAAGGGGGGTGGGGGCTGCATTCGGAGCCACGTTGGCCACTTTCCACCATGCACAATATGTTTTCACCAGGGAACATAAAAGACATCCATCCATGCAATAAACCCCGGCAGACCCCCCCCAAAAAAAACAGCAGACAGGAATGTGCTGTCGGAAAAGCAAAGAGAAGAAAAAAATAGTGGTCCGGGATCGAGGTGGAGAGAATTCATACCAAGCTCTGAATCCCAAAAAATAGGGATAACTCAAATGGCTTTCAACTTCATTTGAACTGCTCTTACCTCCACCATTATGTGAAAGGCGTGCTTGTTGAAAAAGAACATAAGAAGCAAACACAGTCATTATTTTCTGTCAGTTAGAGGAGGAAAAAGAGGCAGGTAACAGGTAGAAGAGGATGGGTCATCTCTGGACCACCCAAGCTTTGGGGTTTAAGGGACACATGAAGGGCAACAGCTCAGGGGGGCTCCTGATGCCCCGTGATCACAGAAGGTGTTAATAACAAGCAGGCACCAAAGCCGATTTGGTATATTTCAGGAACTTTGATGATGAAAATAGATGAAAAGGACCCAAAAAGTTCTCTGACCGAACTGTGAAACCAAACCCAGATGAATGCAACGATGACTGGACTCACATCATGTAAGAGAAATGCTGGCGAAGGGAAGAAAATATTAACAAAGAGCCCCAGTATGTCCCTCTCGCCGAGGCCTGAGTAACCCCTTGCCTTTCTTCAAACCTTACTTCAACAAGAACCAAATATGAGCTGTTGGGCCCATTTTGGTCAATACCCCCAACCTTTTTTTTTTTTTTTTAGATAAATTGTCCACATAGACACGAGACAAATAAACAGCTGAAGTGAACGTCTCTCACTGGGGAGAATTAAATCACATCTCTGCATGTAAAAAAAAAAAGTAATAGGACTAAATCATGGACCACATGGAGTCTCGGAACGGGGTTTTGGGGGCTTTTCCAGACGCCTGGAGTCCACCGGCCTATCAGGAGTCCTTTGGAAGGCTGCACCCAGACAAACAAGACGCAAGTAGCTCCATAATAAAGCAATTGATGAGATTTTGGTCAGAATCGATCTGCCAGATGGCTAGAGATAACAGAATCGGGTCCAGGTGGAAAGAAAAAAATGGCCAGACTTAAGTTGAAGTGCTGCAGGCCGCTCCGTGTGAAAGCTGTGGGTCTGTGTACTCAGACACAATCAATTCCAGTTTGCCTCCACTTCGCACTGTGGTGTGAATAATGGAGGCTTGGTGGCAAATATGCACTTTGTGATAAACCTCCATCACAATGGCCTAGTGACAGGAGGCCTTTAAGTGACTCGGCCGCACTGGATTCGGCCTTTTGAAGGGTTGCAGTGTAAAATGGGAATACGTGTGCAGGAAAAGTCAAAGCACTTCTCTATGAGCTGCACCCTTCAGCCGGCTGCAGTGTGGAGCTGTGTGTGCTCTCTGCATCGGCCTAGTCTCCTTTCCTTCTTTCCTCGGTGCCTCGCTTCGCTAAGTTCGACAACAGATCCGTGATAATGAATCCATTAGAGGTCATTAAGTGGGAACTATTACTTTTGCCTCTTGAAGACTGCATGTTTCATTACCTTACAGAGAACACAGCGGCGGCAACTCGATGCCTCTTTTTGTGTTTTTCTCGACAGACTACGAACTCGCAAAAATGCAGAAAATCAAATGAATGAGACATTTTGGGGGATTTTATGAAGACAAATACATATATTTTGTTCTTATGGTCATTAGGATGAAAAAGAACTCGAGGTTCAGCGGCATTGTAATGAATAATAAAAAGACAGTTCTAATGAAAATCTGAAATCAGCATAACGTATTTGTGAGATCTTTGTCCGCTGATCCGACATAATCACACTCCTACTCCTCTTTATTGAAGAGGTGGAATACAGGAGCACAGTGTGTAGCACCGCTCTGCACATGGACGTTGAGAAGCTACCAACGCCTGTGATGAACGACTGTCACCACTTCCCATTCGCATGGGGCGCCTAAAAACCCGACTGGCAAACAAGTGCGGGCCATTTGTAACCGTCGCATCAAAACTACAGGACGCCAATGGAGCGCTACGCGGTGGCAGAGCAGAACAGCACAGAAACCAGCAGGACGAAGCGCATCTGTAGAGCAGCTTCTGCTTTCCAGGTTTCACTGAAAGTTGATATGGAATCATAACGACCGACTGACCTCTCTCTCTCAAAAACATATTATTCAAATTCAATTAAATGCGTTTTACTCAATCAATGCAAAGGGGCTGTCCGCAAAGTGCCTTTTGGACAGCGCCTGCACGGGGAGCGACTTTAAAAAGAAGCATATCGTCGTTTTGTTTGCTCGCCAAGATTCATGCGAGAAGATTGATACCGTTCTCGAGTCAGTGGGCCAAGCATTTTTTCTGTATTTACAGCATTGGTGCAACACAAAAAGAATAAAAAGAAGCAAGTAATAAATGCCTTTCGCTGCATCCATCATGCATCTCTCTCCTCTGCATGCCCCCCTCCATCTTCTCTCTTGAAGAACCTTGTTTAAATCGCTTACAAAACAAGCTACGAATGCCTGAACCACGGAGCATGTGTCATACAGTGACTGCAAATACGCCCGTGCTGGTTTCCACCTCCTCGGAGCAGCAGGCGGGTGGGGTTCACTGCATCACCTCCTTCCAGAAAAAGCCTACGAGCTGACTTTTAAAACACATTCTTGTGACCTCCTTCCCTCCTCCTACTCGTTCATGCATGAAATACCTCTGCACGCGCACGGTTACACACACCCGGCATGACTTCATTTGTTCCATCCAGGATTTGGGATTTCATTTTCTTATAATTAGTTATCCGATCCACTCTTTTGTGGTCATGTTTTGTTTAACGTTCTTTACTTATTCATCCACTTATTCATCTGTTTCCAGGTGAGATGACTCAGCCGCCTCCTATCTTTCCAATGAACATTAGCATTCGTTTGCATTTGTGTCACTGTCTTAATATCTGTTGCCTGCTCTTCTTTGGCTTATTGCAAATACAATAACTAGGTTGAAAGAATAGCGTGTGTCTCCGTCCTCCCTCCCCTGCACCCTAACCACCCACCCCACCGCCCCCATCCTCCGAGGCAGAGCTGCGAGCGGCTCTGTGTTTAGTTGTGTTTGCCTATATAAAGCCTCATCAATAATGCAGAGGCCCCCGACTCGTCTTCCATACGGTGGAAGCTCTGCATGGGTTTTCTTTTTACCCGGGTGCTGCCGAGCAGCAGAGAATAGAGCTTCGCTGACGTTGGGTTAAAAACGTCTTCAAATCATCAAAAAAAAAAACATGGTCGGTCCAAGAGGACAAGATACCGAAAAGGTTTTCAAAAGGTGAAGAAACGGGCCGATTTAAGAGAAGACTTTAAATCATCAGACACAGTTCACCCTGAGCAGCAATGGAAAGGACACGCTGGCGAGGTCGGCTGAACGGGAAACCAAAGTAATAAAAGAACTAAACGGACACTATACGAACATCCCAGTATGGAACGTGTCTCAGAATAAGACAGAACCAAGGCTGCGCTCGTCCAACTCTGAAAGAAGTAGCTGAAAAAGCAATCACAGTGAATATAAACCCGGCACACAACTGGAGCGCTTTCCCTTTGGGGCAGGAGAGGCCAAGGCTGCCCAGAGAGAAACTAGACCAGTGCTAACAATGACGTCGAACAATGCAGGCGCCCTCTGCTTCCAAAAGCAAATAAAAGAGCTTTAAATCAAATATCAAGTAAAGCAAACAGAGCAGAACTACACGACTTCTGCAATTGATTATTTTCATGTTTTTTTTTTACAGGAGTAACGTTTAAACTTTCTTGGTTATTTCTGTTGAGTTCCAAGAAATAAGTCATTTGGGCGGAAGAATGTGATGCGTTTCCTCTTTGTTTGCAATTAACGGACAAAGTGGGACGCAGTGGGACGCAGTGGCCGGCATGGCTGACTAGACAGAAAGAGAAACTCTGACCGCATCAGCAGACACTTCGAGAAAGAAAGAGGACACCGACAGTCCCTGCCACACCGTTTGATTGACAGGTGACCTCTGGAAAGGGCCACGAGCGTGGTGGTCAAGGACTGGACGTTAGTCAGAGTTTAAGAATCCATCCTTTCGTTTTGTCCCCCTGGTAAAACTCACATGTGTGGGGACGAGGGCCGCTGGGTAGGCCAGTTTATGATGTCTCCACATCCAGAAGGAGAAGAGGACCACGGCGGCCAGGCCTATGATGGGGACCAGGGAGTAGAGCAAGGTGCTGAAGAGCTGGGGCTTCTGGGAAAAGGGGTTGGAGGTTGCTGTGGACAGATCAAGACAGAGAGGATGGTGGAATGAAGAAAACAGAACGTGAAGATTATTTTACATTCATAGAAACAAAAGCAAAGCAATGAACAGTAAAATGTGATGGACGGAGCAGAAGTAAATATAAAAACAGCCTTCCTGATTGGCCCGACATTGTGCTCCATCCCCTCTGAGTGCAGCACCAACTCTGCTTACAGCTTACAGTCACGGTGCTTTGGGATCATATCAATGTACGCGTACACACACGCACACACACACACACGGAGCAGGACTAGCAAATCTATCTTGTGACATAACGTAATCCGCCTGCCAAAAATAACAGAGCCCTGAACTGCGTCCGACCCCGGCAGGAGTCGCCGGGTGACGCCTGCTGGCTCAGCCCGTCCTCCCATCCCAAGGTGGGACAGACTGATTCGACAGGGCTGTCAAAGCGCCGACCGCAGGGTGGGGGGAGGGGGCGCAGGACAAGAAATAGTGGGGGTCGGCAGGGTTGCACCAGCTGCATCATGGCCCACTCAGGGCATTTGTCAAAAGCGTTTTACTCCACGGGGTGTCTGCAAGTTTCAGAGACTCGCATTTAAAAAGGAACATGAAAAGACAGACAGGCCTGTTGGACTACTTAGCAAAAAAAGTGAAGAGTGACACCAGAACCGCCTGGTGCACATGGCAGCGGCACCATTGTGCACTTACTGGCCTTACTGTTGTAACCCTTAGAACAAAAGCCTTTTGCTATTTGTCTCTGTTCTGAGCTCATTTCAGTGTTGTTAGCGTTAGCTGTCTTTTAGCATTGTGAGTGACAGCTCTTATGGATTATTTGGATGGATGGTAGGTTCATGCTTCAGGCATACTCTCAATCACACCATATAAAGTGAAAATAAGCCGCATGCACACACATTTGCAACTATAAACATATTAATATGAAGATTTTGTGCTTACATATTTAACAGTAAATGATGATATATGGATTTAACTGCCTCGTTTTTACTGGATGGGTTTATCATTGGCTTTAATGATGTTGTTTAGATCAAGTACTAAGACGTTACTAACACTTGGTGGAGGACTATATCTTCAAAGTTAAAGCTTGGCCGTGGTTTGAATGTTTTGGGATGGTAGAGAAATACAGATGTTTGTGTGAGTGTGTTGAAGTGTACGTACTGTAGGCGGTTGAATGGTGCGGGTCGCTCTGCGGCGTAGCTTCAGGGGCGTACAGGAACTTCTCGTTGCACATGTTGCCCTCACAGCAGCAGAAGAAAACGTCGGGGCTCTCCTTCCTCTCCACACACTCGCTACTGCAGAGGTGGAAATGAAAAAACACAAGGAGCTCAACAATACTCTCTTCTCTGTTTACTGCAAAGGATCATTTTATTGAAGAGCGGGTGAGTGCACGAACACACACACGTTTGCTGAAACGCGCAAACACACTTGGAGCATAACACACGCTTCCTCCCTTTTCCATTTATAAAATCTAACTCCTACACCGACACACACATGTACACTAACAATCACACACAGTCATCAGATAACAGCCAAAGGAAGTGGCAGCCGCCCTCGACTTGCTCTGGACTCTCCGGGGAGGCGTGGCCGCGCCGTCTGAGCAAGCTGCACAATCTACAATCTATCGCTCCAGAATCCGAAAGGAAAACACGCGCAGACCCAGGAAGAAACATCATAACACCACCTATTGATGTCTGTTTACTGCAAGAGGGCACGCAGCCATTTCAATTTCCTCTGCCCGGGAATTAAAAACGCAGCCTTGTGCTAGTCTCTCCGAGGAGGGAGCATCCCTCGGAATAAAAAAGGGGGCTTTGAGTGTCTTCACAGTGGAGCCCAACTTATCACGTACGTTTTAAGGCGGTTCCTGCCTTTGCTGATTTGCAGATGAGGCGTTACCTGTCGTAGCAGTTCATGTCATCCAGCCAGCAGCCCTGCCGGACGACCTCCACGGTGCCGGAGACGTTCTTCCACGTGGCGAAGCAGTGCCTTCGCTTCTCTTTATCGCCATAGCAGGGCTCGATGCCGCTGCGGTTGGTGCGCTCCTTCTCCCAGCTGGAGTTGTAGTAGGTGCACTCTTGCGTCTCCGAGCGTCCCAGGATGGCCCCTGCAGAGGGACAAGAGGGCATTCTTTCATTTCGTTAAGACATTGCGTTGCTGGCATGTTATCAAACATGATGTGCTGTAAAACGTGTGGATTTAGGAGCCACTTGGGGTGGGAGATAAAAAGGTTATTGCTGAAAAACCAGGTACTTTAGTTTTGCATCAATAACTGGCAGAATTTCTTTGCAGCCTAAGTGTAGTCAGTACATTTTATTCTAGTGCTTTAGAGTCAATACAAAAATGTAAAAAAATAAAATAAAAACAATAAACAACCCAGGAGTTATAGAGCAACCAGATTGCTGTTCACAAACCCAACTGACGTAAGCCAATTGGCTTGCACTCCCTGCCAAAATAAAAGGTAACTCGGATTTCCTGCAGATGGAAGCGGGCGGTTTAACGGTGCCGGCGGGTTATTCCAGTCAAGACGGAGGACAGTCGGTTTGTTTGCCTCCCCGAGCGCTTCAGACACACAGGAAACCAGGATGCTTCCTACGTATCATTCTGTTTGTGCTCCCAAAGGGGCAATAAGTAGCTTTTTACAGCTCTGAGAAATCAATGGGAACTCTGAAGCATCCGGATGCAATGAGCGTCGCTCAGCGCCGTGACACATTTCTGCTCCTGACCCAAGAAGCAGTTTATTATTCCGCTGCTTATCGAGGGGATAGAATTTTCTTCACACCAGCAACTTTCTTATGAAAAACAATAACCTCGTATATAGACGGTTTTATGTAACTGGAACATGATCGTCTTTTTTACGGTCTGTAACGTGCGTCTATAACCCCCAACGCATTCGTTTTAAGGCTACGGGTGAAGGATGTATTTGTGGGTTTTATGTGCGAGTTAGTGACCCATGTAGTGAATCTATTCAGAGCTCGTCTTGGAAACATTTGAGGAAACCCTCCTGTGCAGAGCCATCAGCGCGGTTAGCATCAATATTTGGCTTCCGAATAGGCTTCATTCATTATTTAAACCGGTTTTATTCATTTGATATCCTGTATATTTTGTCTGCCAGCCAGCTAGAATTTGCACTGTTGACCTGGTCATCTTTAATTTATTGTTGCTTTTAATGCACCAAAGTGCTCTGTAACTCGAAGTGAAGGACATCTAAAGTATAACGCTTCAATATAAATGATCATTATCCAATTCTCCTCCACTAGTGTGCGTCACAGAGGACAAGTGTCCCGTCTGCCCCGACCGTGTCTCCGGTCACAGCGCTTTGAGGAAATTAGGGCGTAGCCTCCATAATGGAGGTTACCTTTCGGAGGAAGATCTATTTTTCATCAAAACGGCTACTTAAGTAAAGCTGGTAGATGCGAGCACGGAGCCCTTGAAGGGCTCTTTCCACCGACATCAACAGCTGCAGATGGAACTGAGCGCAGAGCGCCCACTCCCCCACCAGGCGAGGTCACTCAGCTTCCTTTTGCCGAATCCCCCCCCACCTCCCTCAACAGGTGCGACAGTGAGCTGCGTGTGTGCGATGGAAGCGGATCGTGAGGAGAGTCGGGCTCAAGGTGGACGATTCATTGCAACAATAGCTCTGTGTCGTGATCTCTGCAGAACCGAGTGAAGGTGGAAATGAGAATTGTTGATAAGGGCACGGCTTCCTTTATAAAAATGTCTGCACGGAACACAACTAACGAAAGAAATGTAAACACTGCACTGGCATGGTTCATGCCTTTGTCCCATATCCCATCATGCCTTTGGGCTGTTAAGGCAGGAAAGGATAAGGATTGATGCTTTCCTTGGAGAGACCCTTTCCATGCTGCGTTTGGTAAATTCAGCCTCTCCCATCGGGCCCTTCAGCACTTTAAGTGGCCATTGTATGGCGCCTGCTTTCTTCCTGGAGGGGGCGAATGCAGCGCTCCCTCCTCCGGCCCCTCGTGGGAGCTGACAGCGCTAATTATGGAGCGGTATGCACAGGTAAAGCGGAAGGTTCGCTCATTAGCCACTTCTGGCGTAACGGCATCAGCCACGCTGAGGTCCTCGCCAAACGCGCATTTCCATTTTACTCGCGAGGGATTTACAATGAAGTGAGCAGGAAGGATAAGCCTGACTACAAACGTAATCACAAGCATGTCATAATGAGGAGCGTACAGTGCTGTTTGTTTGTGTTGCTAGGGAACCAATGTGGCATAAATTAAAACATGATGTCTCTGTAACTTGGTGAAACCTACTTGTTAGGAGACTTCACTGAGAGGAAAGTTCTAATATCTTCTTGTATATGTATGATGTCAACCGTTTTTTCAAAATGAAATGTTTGTCAAAGTGCCTAACTAGGACAGCCTGTCGACTTTGTTCCAGTCGGCCCCGGCGAGCTGCAGCAGCTTCTTTGATAACGCCTCAGCTCCGTGGCTGAGAGCGAGCTGGAAGCCATGTGAACTGCAAATACTGCGCTCCGCTGTAAATACAGCCGTTAAGAGCTCGAATCAATCACCTCTCTGAAATGAGGTGACAATAAAGGACGGCTGCCTATAGCGCCGTGTGCCAAAGGCGGGCGTGAGCTGCCCTGCTGTATGGCGAATATGAAGGATATAAAGCAGAGAAATCAATCTTCTAAGTTGCAGCTCAGATCACTAAGCGACTAATGTCAGTGAGTCTATATGACGATTGTGCAAGGACATGCAGGAAGGAGGCTTCCACCCACCAGCACGTATCCAGGCAATACAGAGAAAAGCCTTTTTGTCTCAGATCCATATTTCACATATAGAAATGTCAAATATGAGCGGCACACGGGTCACTATGTCTCTCCTCTTAAGGATGAAGAACAACAAATATTTAATTCATTACGCACAGGAAACGATAGCGTGAAACTAAAGAGGGGAGGCAAAGCAACATGAAAGGGAGGAAAGCCATTTATTCCTAATCATCACGACTGGATTGCTAATAATGCTCATTTAAATATCAGATATAGGGAATGAGCCACTTACTCCATCAAGATGAATGTAAGCACAACGCGTGACACCCTCGTCACCGCTTCCGTTCTTCTGGGGAAATTACCAGAGCATTTGGTCTCCTCCAGCCAGGGAGAGATGTATCAAGGTGAACCGCGACCTACTTTGGTCGTAGATGTTTCAGCAACGCCTCCCCTGGAAAACGTCTAAACACCCGACCCACTTCTCAATCCACTGGGGCTTTTTCAAAAACTGCTTCCAATCACGTATTCATGTCATGGAATGTTTTACCAAAAAGAATCCTCATTACATTTCTTGTGTTATTAACAAGACAAATCAGGTGTGAAAGTTATTTGGACATTGAGTGGCGAATATAACGTATGATCACTTTATACTATATTTTCCCACAAAGGATTTTTACCATTTTTGTTGAAAAATGTCCTAATGGGAAGTATTCATATGAATTATAAAATCATATTTGATTAAAAGTATCGACAGTAACACAGAGCACACTGTATTCTGTTATGCAGGACGTTATCATAATCATCCATCCTCCAAACACTTGAAGTCCTCTGGGGATTGCAAAACTCTCCTTACATTTCCATTACTTCTCTGACCCTTTGAAATATGACCATGAGCAACTTTTCCAGCACAGTATTTTCCTTCTCTGAAGCTAAGTGGCTTCACTTTGCGAGCACCTCTTCCATCTCGCCGCGGAGACGCCCCGGGGACGGCTCCATCGGCGTCTTTATTAGCCCGAGTCAGAGGGCCGCGCAGCAGAGATGCTTCTGGTCTGATCCGCGGCCAGGCCAGCGAGGCGCACGCTGGGTGGGAAATGACCACCAACCACCTGCCAAACGTTGGAGATTTCCACTAAGTCCATCTGGCAGGCGGCCAGCGGACACCTTTGAGTCATCTCTTCCAAAACTCATTCATTCATTCATTGAGGACGCCATGAGCTTGTGGGATGGGAAAGCTTCAGGCAGCTCTGTGCCGGAGGGCTACATGTTCCTGAGTGCATAAACGTATACTTGGTTCTTCTGAACTACAAGTGGTCTTAACACCACAATGAGTCATTCAACCGGAACGTGCAGATAGGAAGTCACGACTCCGGCTGATACGTTGGTTGTAAAACGCTGCAGCGGCAAGTGTCTCGCTCCAGGGGTTCATTATAAGCAAAGGAAAGACCCTCAGGTGGGTTCCCCACCGGCCCGTAGCAGCACCACAGCGTGAAAATTCTACCTCACACACTGTCGGGCATGTTTTTGCCAGACAATCAAACACTTCATTTCCTGTGTGCGCCTGGTCACAGGGCCTCATAATGAAAAGGCGTTTTGGCGGGCCGGGTCTGCACTCGGCGCCGCGTGAAGCCAAGTAGGTAAACAAGTCATTCATCAGGGCCTTTTCTTTTTTCTTTTGTGGGCCTGCCCGGGAGCAGGTATTGTTCGCTGTGATGGAATTTGTTCTCCGGATCAACTCATCACCTGCGTCCAGGCAGACTTGAGGTGATGTATGGTTCTTCGGGGGCGTGGCTCTGTGTGGGAGTATGTGTGTTTTTTTTGAATAGTGCTGAAGAAAGAAGTTATGCCGAGGCCAGGGGTCAGTCTGCAGAGACGCCCTCTTGGATTCAATACTTGCCGGTGGACACCCCTCCCCCACGTGACGGAGTCAGGACTCAACTAAATACAGCTTCGGCGTGTACGAATATGCAGAAAAGTGACAATGGCTAAAAAAACAGTCGCCCACAAATCCTGCAAACATCCTGCGGTAACGACAGGAGTATCCGACATGCAGGGAGGGACGGGAACGTTTGTCATGGCTTTGGGGGGGAAGTTGGGTTCAGTCAACAACATTTTTAAGCCGTCAGGCCTGGAAGCGTCTCCAGCTCTGATCAAATCAAGCTCCGGGTTGCTTGCTAAAAACAAGATACATTCACTAGCATGGTTTTAAGTCCAAACCACACAAGTGCGGGTGTCCTTTTCCTGCTGAATGGGGCAAACGGCATTGGGGACAAGAGCGATCAAAAACTGCCCCCCCTCTTTTTACACCATTTATAGCGGCTCCAGTAACAGTCATGAGATGACTATGGTAGTATGCTAGACCACTGTACAAA